ACCCCAGGAGATGCTGGTTGGGAGGCTCGTATTGATCTCAAAGGTAGGGTCGGAGTATGTTTTAACTGGAGATACGGATCGCCAGACCTCAATAGCGAACGGAGGACTCGTGGACCCATCTGGCAGCTCCGTAGCGGGAACCAATTCCAGCTTCACTTGCCTAGCCGACTTATAGTCGCGGTACTCTTCGGCAATCACAAGATTCGTCCGAAGAGACCAACTGGGCAGTCTCGGAGACTGTCCAGGGCGCAAAGCCGGGATATGCAACAAATCCAAAGGATAGTCTCTTAGATTGACGCGCGCCTCTCCCATGTCCAGCTGTATACTCATGGGAACCAGCAGCGCATATTGCGTCGACATCGGTATACCTTTGCCAACGTTGTGAAGGAACTTGGGGTAATCTTCCAGAGGGAAAAACGGCTTGTCGATGACAAGGTTGATGTCACTTATCAAGGCAGCCAAAAGAGCAGGCCGATTCGGAATGGACAGTACAGTTTCCGTCTCTTGCACATCTTCAGGCGGCTCGTCAGCGCCGGAGAATAGGTTTCGCACCTCCTTGATAGATGTGCCCTGGAACCGTAGAGCAGAATCAATCTTATCTTTCCAAGACCGTGAGTTATGCTCTTGGAGCCGATACCAGGCATTCTCTGCTGAAATCTTGGATTCGGAAGACAAGCAGGCAGCGCCCTCGGTGTCGTAGCGAAATTTCTTTCCACGGCCATGCATGTCATCATGCAAACTCTTCCGCGGTTTGGGATCGGCGCTTTTGCTTCTCCTCGAATCCTGACTTACTCGCTCACTACGAAGAGTTCGGTGGCTAGACCTAGCCCGAAGTCTGGACGAAGAGCGGCGTTGATCCGAATCTTTGATCTTCTGAAGCTTGAGCTCGAATGCTTCCTCCCGGGCCAAGCGCTGACGCTGTTCTAGAAGCCCCGTTCGATAGATGCAACCAAGCTTCCACTCAAAAGCATCGTCTTCCAGTTCAAAAAGCAAAGCTTTGCTCCGCACCGACACCCTGGGTATCTTTTTCGGCTGCTCCGGTCCTCTTGCTGCTCCAAATTCAGACGTGTGGTTTTGGAATCGTTCATGGAGCTGCTTGAGCGCTTTTGAAGTGTTAATCACATTGTCAAAGACGCGATGCATTACCATGTGATGTGGCACTCCCAGTCGGATGAAATCAGCCCAAATGTCTATTGACTTTTGCTCAATAAGGCTGGTGCCTTGCTTGAGTTTCATCTTGCGCAAGTCAACCCGGACGTTGTTCATGCTCACTATTCTGGCCCAAACACCCTTGAGCTTCGGCGCTTCTGCATGCAACCGAATGAGATGTGCCTTTGCAAATGGAGCAGAGAGGCGATGGGAACCAGCCGTTACCCCGTAGATTTGAACCAGCATCGGAGGGTCCGCCGGCATAAAGGTCTTCAGCTGTATGACAGTTGCTCGGACATCCACAGTAACAAGCTCGCTTCTTGCTGAAGTACGTGGGGATGAGGGGTAGGCGAACTCCTTTGCTATCGGGGATGTAGGCTCAGGCATTTCCGGCGCTTTCCTCATGAAAGCTTCCTGGACCACAGATGCAGCTACCCGGAGGCAATAGTATCGATAGAGGGAGTACTGTAGATAGACTCCCTTGAACACGGAGTTGACGTTGAATATCGGACCAAGCCGATCACTCATCGTGCTTAATGCCACCTCGAATCTTGGCAGCGAGAAAAAGGGTTCGGATTCCAGGTAGTCTTCCGATTCTATGACAAAGCCCTCGAAGCCGCGGACATGAAGGGCTAGTCGCCTTCCATCCGTGGCACCCACTTGTTTCTGTCTCGGAGGAGACGTAGGGGGAAACCGGAATGACGACTCATCGCCGATTGTAGAATGACTCGGGGTACGCCTTCTGGCAAAGCTTACAGTCGCCGGTTCTGATTTCTGGACTCTGTAGTCCGCGGTCCACGACTGAAGCTGGAACGAGACGCCACGTGAAACCTCTGATACACTGGTGTCAACACCAGCAATTTCCAAGCTGAGACCAGTAGCTTCAAACTGGAATCGAAGCAACCATGGAGGAATTCGTCGGAGGACACTAGGTTTCCGCTCCTCGAATGACATGGAAGCCTTCCTCCTATGCCGTGTTTGAGCCCGGAACTGCTCAAGGACTTGGTGGATGCCTCGGTTCACTTCATCATTCACCATGTGTGCAGAGCAGGTATTCAGACTTCCTGACGCAATTACTCGTACTTCTGGGGATGCACTCAGGAGCACCTTGAACTCCAGTCCCTCTGTTGTCAAGAGATTATGTTTCACCCCAGACGGGGTCTGGTAATATAGCTTGTGTGAGGCCACTCGGTAAATAGAGGACAGCGAGTAGTGAACCCCGCCTTCTGACGAATGCGAAGATTCAATGTCAAGAGATATAGCGGATATAGAGGAAATGAGTAGATTATAATCGTCGCTAGGGGTGTCGGAAGGGTTCGTGATTGGGAGGACAAACCGGACCACAGGTTCATGAACCGATACTTTGATGCTGGCTTTGGGGAGCAGCCGGGATATCAATCGATGATTATCCCTTTTCTTCCCCCGGGAAGGCGCCTTCTTGGCCTGAGCCAGCCCCAAGAGCCGGGAGACCTGTTTTGGCTCTAGATCAAGCGACGGAGACGTCACCACAAGGTTAGCAAATAGAATATTCGTATTGCGCTCCTCGGGATTATGGTCATCGAAAGAGCTGATAGTCTTTGAAGGGAGGGTGGTTTTGATTGTTGTCGTAGCCATTGGAATATAGAGAATGTTATCCGTCTCCCCCGAGGCATCGTCCAAGCTGACCGAAACCGAGATGGCCGCCAGAAGGGCCTGGTGGGCGACATCATTGCGCTGGAAATACATGCGATGGGCGGGACTCTTTTGGTCCATTCGATGGAGATCGATGCCAAGCTCATGCGATACCACGTTCAGATACACGGGGTCTTGCTTTGACGAAGGGGGTTGAAAAGCCCGAGATAATCTGAAGAAACTCAGAGCCACCTGTATCCCCTGTATTCCGCGAAGGATTGATCCGGCAAATTCTTTCGAGTCCGCGACTGCCTGCACGATTGTGTCATCTCGGCTTCCGGGCTGGTCTAACTCCTCCACAAAGTCTGAGAAGGAAACCTCGTCATCGGTTTCGTTCGTGGCGGGCTCCGCAGAGGATTGTCGAAGTTGTTTGATGCGCTGCATCAGTGTCACCACGTCATCGTATGGGATATGCATCCGCCCAATCTTAAAAGCAATAGACGCATCTCTCAGGCCCTCGAGGTCCTTGTAGAGAATCCCATGGATGTTGACCCGAACATTGTCCAGCACTTCAGTTGGCTCCCCTCCATCAATCCCGAGCAGCACGTTCTGTACATTCATCACCCACTCTGCCGGTCGTTGCTCGCTGAAATCATTGCTCTTGCGCCGAATGAATAGTTTTCCTCGATCCACCATCTTGCGCCTCGTGTCGACTCCCAGGGACAAGGATCCAACCTGAATCTGGCCAGCTTCGAGAACATTGACGGTCGTGTTGACGGCGACGACATCCACCAATTTCAACCAATGAATCTGCCGATGCAATCGCTTCACCTGTTCCTTCATGCGGGTCAAATTCTTCCATGTCTTACTCCTCTTGGTGCTAGAAGGGGTGTCTTCCTGATCCTCCGATTTGGCCGACTCCTCCGAGGAGCCTTGAGATTCCGACACATCGGACTTGCTGGGAACCTTCTTCCCCTTTCCCAAAGCCGAAGGATCCAGTGTCAGTTTCAGCTCGGTCAGTCGAATACTGAGCCATGTCGGTTGCGCAAACGATGGTGGGTGTAAAGAAAGGCCGAGGCCACGGAGTTCGATCTGTACACCATCTCGGGGAACGTAGGCAATGCGGCGAAGAGAAAAATACCCTATTCGTTGAATCGAAATTCCTGTCGCGATACGGACGATGGCGAAGATCAAAAAGGAGGAGAGGTAGAGGAGGAGGAAGCCCACGAGAACCGTGGTCGGGCTGAAAAGCGTCATCGTAGTTCGCGATCAGCAGGACTGATCCGTTGCACAGGGTGGGCAACCGTCAAGCAAGAAACCATGGAGATGTTGCCGGCGACCGCTGCGTGGATCTAAAAGGAATGCGAAGGTGAGAAAAAGCCAGAGGGGGCAGTAGGCTTGTCTATACATTCACAGGAGCTCCCCCAAGGCGATCCAGCGAAACCCTCCTGAAGAGAGGGGAGAGGGGGGTTTACTTCTGCGGATCGGGTAAAAGAACAGGTCTCCGTTAAGAGGAGAACTGTAGAGGGGTCGAAAAAGCGGCGGGATGAAAACGAAGCAGCCGTACGTCAGTCATGCTTTTGCGATTCGAGAGGTGACTTCTTTTCTGTTCGATCGACCTCACCACAGCAGCCGTCTTTCACGGAGCGGATGATGAAAGGTGTGGATGATCGGAAGGGCGAGCCATAGATGCCAAACCAATGGAGCGGCAACCTGTCAGCGGCGGAAAGGTCGAACCCGTCGCGGACAAGACTGGAAGCGGAGGGCCGCCCACCGGGGCTTCTCACTGGTCCAACGGAGAGTTGTTTTCTGGCCGGACCGTCCGGCTGGCTCGGCTTTGCTGCTGAGAAAGTGTGGGTTCGCTGCAGCTTCCGAGCCTCCCTGTACGATACCGACTTAGTAGAATGTACGTCGTAGTCTGGCCGGAATGGGGCAAGCCTCAGCTCTGCTGGGGCGATCGGGCCCTGTTTCATTCCCCCTGCTCGAGGCTCTCATCCTCACCAAAGCTTACCAGCACAACAATCCCCCGTTGGATTCAGGTACCTACATACCTACTCCGTCCAAGGTGGCTATCGGGTCTCTTGACTCGTTCCAGCGCAGCATTCTCCCCAAGAAACCGCCATTGGGAATCCCTCGAGAAACCTTCCCAGCACTTTCAACCAATCAGCAATCTCGACCCGGCGTGTTTAACAACAAGAAACAGGTCGGTCGCAACCGGTGTTACATTATGCAGCACCCTTCTTCTTAGTTATACGAAGTCTTGTTTCAATTAGATACATGCTTGGGGGGCGATATGATACATGAGAAAGGTTATCTCCTTCCGGAGGTTTCAAGGAATGATGGAACATGGAATAGCACCCCCGGGGCCAGCCGGACTGAGTGGCCCATTCGAGGCCCATTCGAGGCCAACACCGTGGTCGAAGGTTGAGTCGTAACTTAAACCCCCATGTGAGCACCACGCCCCTGCGGGCAAGTGCAACATGATGCCGATGGAATCCCTACCCTGGAGGCGACCGATCTACAGCCACCCCGATCATTTACAGTAGTCTCCTCCTTAGACAGATCGGACATGTAAGATCGACGACGGCCATTCAAGATTGGTCGTACCTTTTTTTTCCTCGCCTATAGCCGAATTGCTAGTGGCCATCGAACACGGCTACTTAGCTGCAGGATCCGAGACTGCCGACTCCAGTTCAGTAGACTTGAATTTTTCGAGTTCCTCGATCTTCTCATCAAGGAGTGCAATCTCAGCCTCGATGCTCAATAATTTCTCACTCAGGATGCCCCGGTAGTCATCATCCGAAAGTGACTTAAGCGGGATCCATTTGGAGTCGGCCATGCGCTGCAGAAACGGCTTAGAAGGGGTATTCGCGTTCTCCATTTGCCATGCGTCGATCGCATTATACGAGCTTTGCCCGACATAGCCTACTAACGAAAAAACAACTAGCCCTGGGACAAGCCGGCCGCCTAGCACCGAACATCAGCACCCCAACCGTAACACCACCTTTTCTCCCTTAAATAGGAAAAAGGAGGATCAATGGAATCAACTCACCCATTAACCGCGTAACAGCCCCTCCAGCAACACCCCCGGAGAGGGCGCTGACATAAGCCCGTTGCTTGGGGGTGGATTGATCTTTGTAATGGTGCTTCAAAATGTTGCTCCTCAACCCTGTAGCACACTTAGGATTATTGTCGCATCTATAAGGGGTAGAAAGGGGAACTCACACCAGAAGGAGGTTCCACAGACAAACCAGTGGATTCCGCACGAGATCGAATGGATCACCGGGTGGGGAGACCGGATGACACCTGATATGCCTCCATACACGAGACCAGCAGAGCCTGTTATAGCATGTGAGTAGGATGGTTGCAATACACCTCGGGCAGGTGGCCCTGAATTGAAGCCGGCCGACCGTTCATCACCGGAAGGGATTGGTCACTCACCACTCACGGCTCCCACTTTCAGGGAGGAGATTAGCACATTGGGCTCCGGATACAATGACCTGGTTTGACCACTCATCTTTGCTGTGATGGACTCTGCAGCTCGCAAGACAGCCAGGTCAGAGGCAAAATGGCTAACATCTATCATGGAAAACTGCACCGGTTCACGTGATCCAGCACGCTCAATGTGATTACCTAATCCAGTCGCTGGCTGTATCTATCTACTCATATATTTTCAATTGATGAAGGAATACTGGAATCTATCTGGTATTATCATTTTCGGCCCTGAATGCTCTTGTCATTAATAAAGTACAATCTAACGCAATATGTTTTGCACTCTCCACCATGTACATTTCACACCAAAACTATTTACAAACAAACGCACCGGGTCCGTCAGCTCTAGAATTTATGGACCTGGTCCTTTGAGAATCCCAGTAGACTCAGGATACCTTCAGGCGATCTGTTCGATCCGACAAGGGCATCCTCCATCGCCGGAGGGCCGCAAACAAAAACCTTTGTGTTCTTGGTAGGGCCCTGGAAGGCACTCCTGAGAAGCTCCTCGTTGATATAGCCCTTCCCGTAGGAAGAGTTCTCTTTTGGATGGCTAACAGTGTACTGAACCTTGAAACGGTCAGGGAATTCTGTGGCATAATGATCAAGCTCCTCCTTCAGAAGCAGATCCTCCTCAGAGTTGACACCAAAAATAAGAGTCATCTTCGTTTGATCTTGAGGGTTCTTCAGGACGCCTCTGATAAGCTGGAAAATTGGCGTGATTCCAGCACCACCGGCCAAGAGATAGACTTGGGAGAACTCATTTAGTTTCCATTGATATCCTTTCAAGGAAGCGGCAAATTTGAGTGAATCTCCTGGCTTCAAGGAATGCAAATAACCACTAGCCTTTCCTTCGGGGTATTTCTTGACCATAAGTTCGAGACGGCCTGGTTCATCTGTGAAATTAATCAGTAACCATGATCTGACACAACGAGACTCTCGATTGTAAGTTTGCTTTCACCGGCTTAGAGGCAAGCCATCTCCATGCAAATCACGAGTTATGTTGGATAGGGTACAGGATCGCCTACCCAAGTCACTTATAGGAGTATACGGTCGAACAACTGGGAGCCAGCGTCCTTCCGGTTGAGTGATTGCCAGTAGTGCCGCTATGTATGTCAGCAATCTAGACCGACAATAGACATATGCTTTCTGCTTTCTAGGAGATGCCTACAAGTCAAAGTCAAGCCACTGCGGGCTGTTTCATCGGAATATTCGAAGACAAGCCGCTTCGTGTTGTGATTGACGGTCTTGATGCTCTGCAAGCGTAAAGTGGTGAATCCCAGACCGGAAAAGACTGTTTTTGGTTCGTTGGATTCGGCGAATACTGTGGGGAACTGTTTCGTGCAGTAGATGCCTAGGCCGGCAAGGCCAGCCACACCAGCAACCTTGATCGCCCTAGGGATCGTGCGCTGGACAAGAGCCATGTTGTGATAGAAGCGAATCTGTTATATAGGTGAGATGTAAGGCGACTATAGTAAGCAAGCAGAAGATTGGGACTAAATTGGTATACTGCGACTTATAAAGTCGCGGATCCAGTATGGCTCCATCTTGCCTGGGGGCGAAGGATGTTCAGAGTCAATGCCGAAGTGTGGAACCAGGGGCAAAGCAGTGTCACTAGATGAATTATCATGCAACAAACTCAGTGATAAAGGGCCCCCTGGGGGAGTGGCAGAGGGCAGGCCCCACAATACAGATGCAGTTCCAAAAGCCGAACATCATCGTCCAGAGTCCGACAAAAGCCGAGTTGGATGATGTCAGCGCCGGTGGTGTGTGTGCCTGGGCAGCGGATCGGTGCCTTGATCTTCCCGCTATCAAAGCGGGTCCACCAAAAGAATCAACAAACAGCGACTTCAAAACTTTTGCCTCCCTGTCCATATGTTCTTTATCCAATATTGATGCTTCAGTTTGCTTGTGCTGGTATGTGGAGCTTGTCTACTTTGTAAAATATTGCTACCTTATCTGCAATTTTCCTCATGAAGGATCTTTGGCCCAGACTTGGCACTTGAAGCTTCTAGGATATATATCTGAGTCTTGATGGCAAACAGGATGCCGATCTCAGTGGATCATACTTAGTACGGATCCAAATAGTGTAGAACCCACCCTGATCTATAAGGGTCTGGTCTAATAGTCGGCAGAAGAGGTGGAATATCTTCGAGGCAGCATCTTTAGGCAATGCATAGACAAATCTTCGGACTACGTTTGAGGCATGGAGCAGAAACTGACATGAGGATACTAGTAGAAAGAACGCTAGAGATGATCTCTTCCTAGCTGGACAAATGCCAGAAGACAAGGGCATCGAGCCGTCATCCTTTGAGTACCATAGTACATGAGTAGGGTATCTGACGACCCGCAGATCTTGACTCCCCGCTGCGGGACGCATGGGTGGGAGCTACCTGCGGTGGAGCGCGGGTCACATAACTCGTACATGTTGGCGTGTTGACGAAACAAGGGTCTAGAGCAGCTGCTCAATTCACTACGTGCAGCGCGGGGACTGGCCATTGATTTTTGCATCTACGAAACGTTGAATCTTTGAGGACTGATCCTCGTAGTTTCACGAGCTTTGTGGCTTCCAGAAGCCACTTGGCAGACCATCAAGTATGCTCACTAAGACGTATCCAGAATTTGGTACGTCGCTCATGCATCATACCTTGCATGCCGTTCGGACAACGATCCGCACCGGGCCCCAACACACTCAAGATTAAGATGACAGCCAGTGTGCAAAAGGCCAAATGCGTGCGTTAACCTGGGACAAAGCAGAAAGGAGCTTGGGGCTTTAACCAAGGGTTTAGCGCAGCATCAGCAGGATTAGTCCCTGCGTTGTCCAGCTGCGTCTACCCATCAGTGAGTGACAGGGGCTCGATTTGACGCTTGTCCATGGAAAGTCGACGTGCGAACCCCGTCCATTCGATCTGTCTGTCCAATGTGCCGGTATCCTGAATCCATATGTTTTAAGACAGTGGCGACTGCGAATGACCCTTCTTCGATCGAGAGTTGATGGAATTGGCACCGTACATCAACCGCGAATGGTAGACTGAACGAGTGTCGCCCATCCCAGAAGGCAGTATAACCTCCAAGTCGAGTCCATTAATGCGTCTCCGAATTCTGAGACATGACGGTAGCTCGTGATTGTCTTTGTTTGCTGGCGACGAAGTTTTCATGACTGTGCATGATCGTGCGATAAGTCTAGCACCCCCAAACACGGTAAACATTGAATAACAATAATCTGTGTTGTCCTCACTTGCTGAGCCGTGATCATTGCCGGAGGAGAATTGAGCATGAGCGTTTACTTGAGAAGGATGAGTGTCAAGACGCGTCTATCGAGGACCGGTTTCTGGGCCCGGGGGCGCCTATTCTGATCAGTAGTAATGCCATCTTGCTGGGATAATGTCAGTCTGAGAGAAAACCGCCCAAGTCGAGTGAAAGGAAGCGGAAACAAGAGCAGGAGATTCCTGGGTTGATGAAGAATGTAGAGAGGGTCCAGAAGGATTCTGCATGGCACGTCAGAACCGGAAGGTGGGCGCCTGCGAGTCGGCTAAGTAGCAGCAAGTATGGGCCAAACAACCAAACAGTCAAACAATGAATGCTCGGCCCAGTGCGGAATGGGCCTACTATTCAGGCGGAGAAGCATTCACATTATTCACCAGCATAACAATAGGAGCAGCAGGGGAAAAAAAGTTAACCATCCACCGTCACCGGACCAAAGTAGTCACCGGGTGGAGAGAAGAGGGGGGAAGAGACACACTTTCTCCGCAAAAGCGCGAGGGAAAAAGGTGGAAAAAAGCCCTCGGGTTGGGTCGAGGCGGCCAACCCAAAGCCGCACCAACACTTTTTTGAGGCTGACTTTTCTAGCGTCATCACTAAAAATTATCCTCACGGATTAACCTACTTTCCCCCTCTGCCCTTCACTGCGGAGCTCTCCTGCATCCCCCATCACTCAACGCCCCCCCATCGTATTTGTGATCCCTTCCTTGTCGGAAGCCCCCCCTCTTATCGTTTTAGTGATCCTTTATTCTGAGACGCGCACAGGAACTCCCTTGGCGCGTTTCCCACTCTTGAACAACCGCAATCATGGGTTCGTCTCGACCCCTCCTCATCCGGCGCACTGTCCCAATTTACACCATCTTGCATCCTCTGACTGGTCTTTGATACTGATGTCTCTATCTACGTACAGCGCCCGCAAAGCAGAAAGCCCAGAAGATGTCTCTGGGCAACTTCTTGGCCGACGAGAGTACGTCCATGTGGATTCGCATCGTTGCGGGGATGGACTGTGCTAATGGAAACAGACTTCGGTTCCTGGGCTGACGAGATGGAGGACATGCCTATGCCTGGTAAGTAACCGATGCCATGCCATTCAGTCCATCGCTTCTGCTAATCTTGATGCCCTTCTAGCCGGTACGTTGGCCACGATGCTTTCACGCCCAGGATAATGCTAAACAGTCATCAGCTCCCGCTCAGTCCAGCTACGGAGGCGATCGTCGCTCGGCTGCTCCCTCGTCTGGTTTCGGAAATGGTTTTGGTGGTACGGAACCCGCCCCTGTGTGATGTTGATGTTGGTGCTGATGGAGAACAAGAGCGTGAGCGTGGTGGCTACGCTGTGAGAGAGCCTCTGCCTCTCCCGACCCAGCCCCCTTACACCGCTCACGTCGGAAACCTGTCGTTTGATGCGACCTCCGCCGATATCTCCGACCTCTTTGTTGACTGCAGTGTAACCAATGTCCGTGTTGTTGAGGACAAGTTGACCAAGGCCCCCAAGGGCTTCGGATATGTCGAGTTCGAGACTGTCGATGGCCTGAAGAAGGCACTCGACCTCTCTGGCGCCACCCTTCAGGGCCGTGCCATTCGTGTTAGCATTGCTGAGCCTCGTAAGTGTCCTTCCAGGGGATGATCTGCTGCTCCAGCTGACGGTTCCTATAGCCAAGGAGCGTGATGTCAAGGAATTTGACTGGACTCGCAGAGGTCCCCTCCCGGAGCTTCCCCAGCGTCGTGTGCCCGACCGCTCCTCTTTCGGCCGCAACCTCGACAACGTGTCTGACGCCGGTAGCGAACGGGCCACTGGCCGTCGCAACTTCGAGGGTGATGGAAAGTTCCGTGATTTCAGCAACTGGGAACGTAAGGGACCTCTCTCCCCGCCACCTGCACCTGTGAGAGAAGGCCGCCCCCGCGGTGACGATGGCCCTGGTTTCAGAAGAAGCTCCCCCGCCTGGGGTGAGGGACGCTCTCAGGATGGCTCCCGCCCCCCGAGACGCGAATTCCAAGAACGCACCCCTACTGCTGCCGACCTTGACAACCAATGGAGATCCAAGATGCGCCCCGACCAGCCCGCCAAGGAGTCTAGCAACCCTCCTTCTCCTGCTGCTGCCCCTGCTGCTCCCGCGACTCGTCCTCGTCTGAACCTTCAAAAACGGACTGTCACCGACGCCGCTTCCACGCCCTCTGCCGGCGCGGAATCCAAGGCCAGCCCCTTCGGTGGTGCCCGGCCCATCGACACCGCCGCCCGTGAGAAGGAGGTCGAGGAACGTCGCCAGATCGCCATCCGCCAGAAGAAGGAAGCGGACGAGAAGGCGAAGGCCGAGAAGACCGACAAGACGGAGAAGCAGCGTCCTGCCAAGGACCAGCCCAAGGAGAAGTCCGGATCTTCGGCGGATCCCAATGGCCGCGACACCGCTGAGCACGCCCAGGGTGGCAAGAACTTCGACATCCTCCGGCAGGCCGGCGAGGATGAGAGCGGCATGACCGCGGATCAGGACCAGACGGAGGAGGCTGCTGCCGCTGCCAAGGGCGCCGAAGCCTCGACTGAAGCTGCCCCCAGCAAGGCCAACGGCAGCTGGAGGTCCGGCCCTGCCGAGACCGGCGCCGACGACGAGGGCTGGAGCACCGTGAGCTCGAAGCCGCGCAACAACCGCCGTGGCGGCCGCACGTTCGCATAGACCCGATACCCCAAAGCTGGTCATCAGCTGACCGAAACCTTGCGCCATGCCCCGAGATGCGTATCGTGACGAGAAGCCCTCGCTCTTGCTTCTCCGGGCTCTGATCCTGGTCGCTTCTGGCTGTCCCAGCGAACGCTGTGGTGCATGGCCCGGTGGATTTTGGTTACGTCGATGTCCAATTGTTTTGATGTTCCTATCGTCCTCGCTTTTACCTTCTCCCTTTCTTTTCCCTACGGGTTGCCGCCTCCGTCTAGATCTAGGATTCAGGTTCAGCCCTTGTTTATCCGTCGAGCATGTCGAAAAGTTTTTTCTTTTCCCATTTCCTAGTGTTGTTCACGTTTCTCCGAGCTAGTTATTCCCATGTACGTGGATGAAGTGTTATACAGCAATGACCCTTATGGCTGATGCGAAGGAAGAAGAGTACTCGTTTTATCTTTGAATTGCTGAGACCCCGTCGATTAATTTGCCCCGCGATTCGTCCGTCGGCCTTTTGCTGTCAGAAAGTTCCCCTCTCCTACCTCTGTCTTGCTCTGGAAACCGGGAGATGGCGTGTGGAGTCCTGTTCATTCTTGTTCATACCGGAGCCCCCCCCCTTCTAGTTGACGAGGCAGCCATACGAATAAGATTACGTTCAACAACAACCACCACCACCACCACCACGGTCGCTGTCTTTTGCCTTAGTCTTGCCTTTTGAACGGACTTTGCATTGCGATGGAGTGCTGCTGCGTACATGGGATATCTCTGAATCTGTATTTGTATCTCTTTGCCTGGCGGTCGCCGTCTGATTAATTCGCTCGTAATTTGCTTGGGTTGGGAATGGAGGGATGCAGAATGGACTTGCTACCGATTGAGTTCTTATGTACTACTTTGCTATCTACTATCTATTATCTACTATCTATCTACTACTGAGACGCTCCTAGAGACAACAGTACATGGTTATACTAGTATGGGAATTTACCCATGTGACTAGTTAGGAAACACATACAATAGCTAGGATAGTCAGTCCACCCAACTAAGTACAGACCAGCCAGACTGCTATCTATAGCTAATAGCCAGTCAAGTTGGCTGTTAGCCGTGTAGGAAACGGGTGAGAACCACTTCAACATCATACGACCTTAAAAAGCGATTAGAGATGGGAGAAAACTTGAGCACCCGTCCCAGATATTTGCTCACCCTTGGATCTACATGACTGGCAATGCGCTGGCCGAAGGTACATAATCAGTTGGTGGCGTAAAGGAGAGATGGATACATTCAATATAGAGATGCTAGATGATTTACAAAACAGATAAAAAGCTCAAGGCATCAGGGACGCCCTCCTACCCACCATCAAAGCCAACATTGTCAAGCCAAAAACACCAATGACTGTCGTGGTTGGCCGATATATCATCATGTCTCTAATAGCAACAAGGAAGGGAGACGTGCATTGTTGGTCAACCGGGGAGGGAAGGCGTCGATCAACGGTATTCCTGGAACCATGCGAGTTGAAGCTCCTGAGATGGCCGGCACTTCTCGAGATAAGCCCGGAAGGTCGCCATTAGTCATATACGCCAGTTCGGTCGATTGTGCCGAAAATCTAATACAACGGACAATGCCCTCAGAGCGGGCATCCTTGACGCTGTGCAAGCGTTGGTAAATATCTTGCTCGTGTCGGACGCTATGAAGGTTCACTTCGACATCGGAGTCCGAGCTCCAGAGATACCTGAACGGAATTTTGACGCCAATGTCTTTTTGACGCAGAACGACTGCTGAGCTTCCATATCCAAGAACCTGCTCTTGGGGGATCGGACCACCTCGAAGGTCAAGAAAATGGGGAGGACATCGCGAGATGAAAGACAAGTAGAATGATTTCCTACAGGATAAGGAGAAGGCGATTATGCGGGGGACTTGAGTGAGTCGATCTGCGTGCGGAGCCGGAATACAATACGCCCATTTACGCATATCCAATCCGCCGTAGACGATCAACTCCTGCCTCTGGAACAGGCTAGGCAGTCGGTGCCTCTTTACATATCACTACTTTTCAGTTCTGGAGGTATGAAGACATCTTTTATTTATTATAAAATATTTCTACCACTGGACATTCGTGGAGCCTGATATAAAGTACAAAGATTGTATAAATAATGAACAATCTGATCAGTATTTCCCCCCTACTTAAACCGCATTCATAATAGTAAGAACAGTACACAAATTTTCGAGATACTGTAATCGACTAATCGTATCAAATCATGATGGAAAAAAAAAAAAAAAAAGAAATTCAATAAAAATCCTAATATCCAATATATCTAGATATAAACTTCCAAAGTAACATCTACCACTCTGGCGGAGATATATGAATCTGGAAATGATGTCTTTTCTATAGTAATTGGTACTATAACGGACGGTGTGAAGAATCCGATCGATCTCACATTCACCTCAGCTTATAGACTCAGAACGCGCATCTCTTATAGGCAGATGGCAGATGGCTGGTGGTTAAAGTCTGGAGGATTCACTGCCTGAAGCGCACCAGGCGGGATCCTGACAGGTGGCCGGTCCAGATAGGAACTATCTATCTACTACGTTAGTTAACTACTATCTACAGTAGTAGCTGTTTCACCCGATCTCCACATCCCTAGATAGGGCCTCCCTAAGGGTATCTAGGTACGGAGTAGACAGCGTGGTACCAGAATGTTCGTACCAGTCTTTCAATCGTCCAAGTAATGAAATGTAACGGTACGTATGTAAATTACTCATGCACGATCAACCCCAGAACAACCCCAAACCCAAACCCAATCGGCAAGAAAGGAGAGAAACTCAAGAGGTGGAAGGCAGGCAGGCAGGCCGGAAGGAAGGCAGAATGAAAAGTGGAGGGAGGGGAGGGGAAGGCCCGCCTGGAGACCCGAGCTGAAAGCAGTAAAGTAATCCAGAGCGGGCCCCAGCGCTGAAGATCAGCCGCGGTCAAGCTACGGAACTAGAAACTTGGGCATTAGGCAAAGGGTACTAGGAACTAGGAGCTAAAAAAAGTCCGGTCTGTCAGCTTGCAGCCCACCTCGGTGCCCATCGTGTGGTGTGGTAAGGTGTCTGTTGAGAAATTTGACGGACTGATTGATTAGCTCCTACGTAACTCATTCATTATCTATCGGTGTATCTGGGGAGATAGAGAGGGTTTCTCTATCTATCTTCTTTACTTATCGGGTACCCCTCACGTATATCTTCTTCTTTTAGGTAGCTGTGGATTTGCTTGCGTTGGTATTCTTTCTCGTTTGTTCGAATTCTTGGGTTTGGGCGTCTGTCAGTCGGTCAATGCCAGCATGCACTCGGACGAGTCCCGCGATAGAATGTCAGTTGCTGGTGCCGGTGCCGCGCCGTGGAAGCTGGGGTTCCGGTCGTCCAAGGCGTTTGTGATTTCCGTGGTGGCGATTGCGGTGTTCACGGTGAGTTCATTGTCGCCCCTCCTGTGGTTGCTGGGATGAATTGAATTGTTGGGCTAATGGGATTGATTGTGAGCTTAGGATATCTTTATCTATGGCATGGTGAGTATCCCGCTCCACTTGGGTGTCTGTCTGGGATTCACCTAACAGTGATAGATCGTGCCCATCCTACCGATTGTGCTCAAAACACGTGTGACTGTCCCAGACGATGAACGTATGTGGTGTTTCGATCGCAATTGAGATGCGCAAATTCTGATGGCGCGCAGTTCAAAAATGGATGTCAATCATGCTTGCAGCGTTTGGTGGGGGCATATTCTTCGGGTCTCGTAAGTCGCTGGGGTTCCTGTGTGATCGGTGCGCTCGGGCTAACGGGGTATAGCGATATTCGGGTACTTTGCGGATCGAAGCACCTCGCGACAGCTTCCGTTTCTGATCGGACTGCTTGCGCTTGCTGGGACGACTATCGTTTTCTGGTTCGCGGAGACGGTCTCGTCGCTGGTCATTGCGCGCAGTCTCCAGGGACTGTCGGCGGCCGTGGTCTGGACAGTGGGTTTGGCCCTTGTTGTTGATACAGTGGGTAAGGATCAAGTGGGAGTCGCAATGGGATATGTGTCCATGGCTCTGACCGTGGGGACTGTCTTTGGTCCGTTTATTGGAGGCATTATGTGAGTTTATACCTTGTCGCATTGGACGTGGTGCTAATGGCTTAGGCTGTCGCGAGTGGGCTATCATTCGGTGTTTGTATTGGCGATTGGGTTGATTGTCCTGGATATTAGCCTTCGGCTTGTGATGATCGAACGCAAATCTGCCTCTAAATGGATTCAATCGGACGAGAGCGGCGAGACAGAAGGTCTGCTGAGTGGCGCGGAGGGAGAGCATGGCACTGGATATGCTGCTATTACGGAGAATGCCACCGATCAGACGTCTGCCCCAGTTGGCGAGCCGCTGTCCAGCGGGAGGACCACGTCCGTACCCGGAATTGTTCGCTTGATGTGCTCGGGCAAATTGATGGTCGTCCTCTTGGCAACCGTAGTGGATGCGATTATCTGGTCCTCTTTCGATACGGTATGTATTCCACATGAGCGCGCAGACTCTTTCCCGATGCTGACATCGTCAGGTGCTTCCACTGTATGTGATGAAAACATTCGGCTGGGGATCTTTCGAGATCGGCTTGTGTTTCCTGCCGCTATTTGTGCCGTCATTCCTCTCTCCATGGGTTGGTATGTATTAGCCACCCCGATGCTGGCTCTGCTAACAAGGATGCAGGCGATGCTGTTGACCGCTGGGGAGCACCGCGGATCGCTTTCCTCGGCTTCCTGCTCGATTTCCCTACGCTGCTGCTTTTCCAGCTCGTCGCACGGAACACGACTCAGGATCAGGTCCTCCTCTATGTGTTCCTCTGCTTCGCAGGAGTTGCGTCCACGCTGCAGATGGTTTCTCTGATGACGGAGGTCAGCAACGTTACGGAGCGGTACGAGAAGGAGTTCCCCGGCATCTTCGGGCAGCAGGGGGGTACTGCGCAAGCCTATGGACTGTTCAACGTAGCCTGGTCCGGCGGACAGGTCTTGGGACCGCTGGTTGCGGGTCTCCTCGTCGAACGAGCTGGTTGGACGACCATGGTGACGGTGTTGGGAGCTGTCAGTGGAGGAACGTCGGTGGTGATTGCTCTCTCGGATCGGAGGGTGCTGCCACTGCAGAAGAAAAGGTGATGACTCATGATTCACGATTCACGATGCTCAAAGCTGCAATGATGTGCATGGATGATGACGATTGACGGATCGAAGAGGTGATGGGTATTGTTATCGACAGTGATTGCCCGATAATCATGTGTTGTGTAACGTCCGAGATGATGCCTGCAAGGAGCATGCGAAGCAATATAGGGTATTCTTCAGAGGGCAGTCATTTCCATCCAGATAGGCTCAGATTGAAGATCTCCCGGGTCAGCAAGGGAGGGATCTTCATTCTATCTGCAGGGTACTCATGGCTGGGTTACCCTGACGATTGATGTAAACAGAGGGGTGAGGCAAGCATGGAGGCCTCCTGATCAGCATAGACAAGCTACTGTAACTGGATGCAAGAGTCGAGACGTTGAGGGGAAGTGAGAGCAGCAAATGACGAGTCACAGCAGCGACTAGTCGGCGGGTCTCAACGGCGCGATCCACACGTGTCGCCGCTGCCGCGGACCGTCGAGCATCCCTCGAGTCGTCGACGAGTAATAGTACCACCGGCCGGTGAGGTTGATCCAGAAGGATGGTCCCCGATCTGATATCGCATCGCCCAACGGGCACACCGGCTCCTCCAGGATGAGTTGGTGGAGGAGAAGGCTGCATTCCTGTCGTTCGTCCAGCTGGGCGGCTCCCCACCGCTTCCCGCCGCAGGGACCTTCAGCATCCCCCGTCGCCCTTCGTCCTTCTTACTCCTCCCTCCGTCCTCCTGCTGACCTGGATTCTCCCCGTCTGCTCCGGGCTCTGCTTCGTTGGGCTGGCTACAGGCGGATCTTTGCTTCCAACCTCCTTCCCTTGCCTCCGCTGCACGCCTGCAGAACCGTTCCTTGATCTGCCCGTCTACTTCGGCCTCCTATTTATTCACCTCCGCCCGCGTTCTGCGACACTGGTCCGGCATCCTTTCATTTCATTCCCGCAGGCCAGTTTCACGTCTGGGTCGCTGACGTTGCCTCCATTGTTGCCCGTCACATTCCAGTCAAATCCAACTTGACCTCATGCGACCCAAACCATGTCGACCACCACAACCACCACCGCTCTAACGTCCACCACCCTCATCGGGACGCTGCCTGCCATGGCAAGCGCCGCCACCCTGGTCTCAGGGAAAACTTGTCCCACGTGCGGACAGGACGGCTTTTCTGCTCCCGGCCAATCAGCAGATGATTCCCGCCGCCGAGTCAAGGACCTTGAAGGCGAAGTGAACGCCCTAAACGTTCAAGCTACACAAATGGGTAGGATTGAATCCACCATTTACACCTACTCTAGCCTCGACTAACGGAGATTACTCACCTACAGCCGAGAAACTGGCCGCATATGAAGAAGAGATCCGAAGACTGCGATCGCAGCCAAGTTCTCGAAATGATTCCTCGGTATCGTTTACCTCGTCGACGCAAGACCGGTCCCTATCGCCCACCCAGCTTCAGACATCTCCGAAATCGCAACCTGGGCGACTTTCTACGCTTGCCTCTTTCCTTCCGTCTCGTCGACCCAGCGCTACGAGCGCGAGCAGCACTACGCAGGCTCAACCGCTCGCCTCGCCTCCGCCCCCGCCCCCACCCCCGCAGAATACCAGCCACGAAGAGACAGTGGAGTTGCAGAATGCGCTGAGTCGGGAACAAACGTTGCGCAAGGCCGCGGAGAGCCAGTTGTCGCAGGCGAGCACGGAATTGGAGGAGCTGACTGCGCAGCTGTTCAGCCAGGCGAACGAAATGGTGGCACAGGAGCGCAAGGCACGTGCGAGATTGGAAGAACGGGTAGCGGTGTTGGAGCGTCGAGATGTCGAAAAGCGGACTCGACTGGAGCGATTGGAGAAAGCGATGGAGAGAGTGGAGCGGATTCGCGCGATGGTTGGGTAGGCCGCATACATGATGTTTGTGTTGGTTTGGTTTCGGTTCCCTCCGGTTTTTGTCTTATACCCATACCGCACATACCCTGGTGTTTTGGCGACGGCATATTCCTTGGTTTTGTTTCTTCGAGTTTGATCCATGAGAGATGCAGGCTTGACGGCTGAATGGGACAATGCTCAGTGATGATTAGCATTTGGCGGCGTTTGGTTTTCTTTTCCTCATTCTCCTCATTTTATAATTAGTCATTTGGGGATGAGACAGGTATATATGATTCTTGACTCCATCTCATCTTACTTCCTTGACATCTACTCTAATCGACAGATTGAAGCCTGAATCACAATCCCTATCCCCTCAACCCCCAACCCACAATGACCGACAATGAACAACCCCGCCACCCCAACCGGGATGAGACTAGTGTAATTTAACCCATAGCACGGTCCCCACTCCTGCCCTTTCCGGAGTCCATTTATAGAACCCCGGGCCCTGAGCAATTCCTCTTATCCACCTATCTATTCAAACTCCTATTCTTCTCTTATTATTTTTATAACCCTATTTTATACTATTTTTATACAAGACAAAATGACCATCGGAATAGCCATCATCGGCAGCGGTACATCCATACCCAATTGCGAAATTCAATTTATCCTTGATGGTATCTGAACTAACAGTGCTTTGGTGTTGGTGATGGATAGGGAATTTCGCGAGGGAAGAACATTTGGTACGTTCCATACTCCATACCCAAATGCATCCACACATCCATCCCATACATACATACACACATACATACCTACCTACCTAGAAACCATACACAAACAAAGCAGCAGATCACTACCCACGCAAGATCAACTGAATGCTACTAATAAAGACGACTAGCCTCTCCTCCACGCCTCCGAGACCTTCGATCTCAAGGCCCTCTACTCCCGGAGTTTAAAGTCAGCAGAAACTCTCCTCGCAGAGAAGACTATCACGACTCTCGATGTGTATTCTGAGGATGCGGGGCTCGGGAAGGGATATGCGGATTTACTTGCCAGGGAGGATGTACAGGCTGTTGTTATAGCGTGAGTTATACCACTACCATACCGTTACCATATCTAGATCCTTCCATTCAATCGGATTTGAATTAAGGCGTGGTGGATTAAAGAAGTACTGAAATTGCTGAATTTCATTAACAATTAACGATGAATGAGACCAGCCTCCCGATCACAGCACAACCAACTTTCATCAAACAGGCCCTTCTGGCGGGAAAACACGTGTTAAGTGAGAAGCCCATTGCCGGGGACATGGAGTCCGCTCGGTCACTACTCTCGTTTTATCAGACGGACGTGCTGCATAAGGGAGCAGAGAGAAAGGTGTTGTGGGGCGTGGCGGAGAATTATCGGTTCCTGAGCAAGTATCGGAGAGTGGCGGAGGAGGCGAGGAAGTTGGGACCGGTGAGGGAGTTCAAGGTCTCGGTAAAGACGTTGATTAAACCGGGGTCGAAGTATCATCGTATGTTTTCTTTTCTTTTCATCGGAGCTGGCTGGATAGGAGGGTTGGAGGTATGCTGACGAAGATAGAAACGGAATGGCGACGCAACCCTGCGTATCGAGGAGGATTCGTTCTCGATGGAGGTATTCATGTCGTTGCTGGGTTGAGGCTCATCCTGGGAAAGGAGGATGCTCTGGCGGCCGTGTCGGCCATGTTGAGTTTGCAGCAGGAGCATCTGGCGCCGGTGGATACGGTGGATGCAGCGGTCAAGACCAAGTCCGGAGCTACTGGAACGGTGTATCTGTCGTATGGGGCTGCCGAGAATGAGACAGTCTTTGAGTTCAAATGCGACAAGGGGGTGGTGAGTCTCAATTTGGACCGGGTGACTGCTGATGGGGAGTCGTTCGATGTGCCCTATGAAGGCCGGGGTGTCAACTATGAATTGGCCGCGTTTGTGGAGTCGATTCGGCAGGGTGAGTTGGAAGAAGGGCTGCGGCCGGAGGAGGCCATGGCCGATTTGGAGATCATGGAAGGGATGATTGTGAGCGAGGGAGGGAGTGTGAAGTTGGAGTTGCAATGATAGATGATAGACCGGGAGGGGATAGACAAGATAGACTATTGGTGTCATAGAGGTGTATTGCTTGTTGCTGGCTAGAATATTAGGTGTTGTATCCCTTCAACATGGCGGCGGCAGTAAGTTCGTGATTGGCTATCCCGACAAGATGCACCACACTTTTTGCAGTAGTGGCAGATATCGAAGACTCCGTCATCACACTCATTGCAGTGAAAGTGATGCTCTATATCCGATACAGTCACTACAGACATCAGACGCCTTCTTACCCAGTCTCAATCACTTTACCAACTTAGAAAACTCCATCACAAACTGGAGCGTCTCCTTGGCCGGAGAGCAGGCGCACGACTTCCATATATGTCTCGACTACCAGGACTGATAGACTATATATCGAGCAACAATCGAATCATATTCGCACGTCCTGAGGCCTCAGCACCTAGAAATGGCGTTCTTCCAAATTTGTCTGTGGAATTGAGTCGGAAGAGAACTGTAGAGCAGCATTTCTGGGTCGTTCTTTAACCATTCCTGAATATCTTTTGTATCCAGCAGCCATCACCTGCACCACGTTGTCGACAGGATAGATATTCACCCTGCTGAGCAACGTAATTGACCAGCGTAAGCTAATCAATGATCTCCTATTGAGCACTATCTCGTGTTGTAGAATGACATCAATTCTATCAACGGACTCCTTGGAAAAGGCTACATGACTATTCTATTCCGGACAATGTAAGCATTGGTCTTCACATCATATCAGTAGAGTATATCTGGCCAGGCGGTTAGTAAGAGATTTGATCTACCAATATTCGTTTGTAACCTCTATTAAATATCAGTTGTTTCAGCTTGATCCAAGTGGAGTCTTGTCTAGGCACGCCGACAAGCTTCGCCTATACCCTTGCCACCAGGCTCTATTCTTTGGTACTTGTGTATTTCTTTTTATAGTTCATTCAGAGAAAGACGAAAATCATGCGAAGCATCGTTCAAGTGTTCCCACAGCTGATCATTGGGCCTACTTCAAGATAAATAACGTCGATGTGTCGAAGACATGATCGGAGAAGGTCGTTGGCTTGGTACTTTGTGAGCCTGTGATGACCGGCATGGTTTGAATACAGATGCATTTGCAGTGGACTTGAACTAGGAGGGTATATCGACAAAGCATTTCCTGTATGTATTGCGAGTTACAATAGGGCAAGTCATCAACACCATAGACGAAGCTCATGTTTGTGATGCAGACACATTCAGGGAAAGCAAGCCAGAAATTAGATACAGAAGCATCGTGGAAGTGGCATGGTGATGCATAGTCATCCTACAGAAGACAAGAACGTGTCTCAACACCAGACTAAGCCAGAGATACTACAAGTATAAGCATCAAATAGTCAGAGAAGCAGCTGCAGTTGCGGAGACACTATACCCCATCCAGCCAAGCACAAATTATCCGCGACACTAAGAATGCTGAGTCAGCTGTGGCAACACAAACCCGGGTGGAACAGGGCTAGCGGGGCGAGCCCTAACGCACCGAGAGCAGTTAGACTCGCTAAGCGAGCCACTAGCTCGACTCTCTCGGGCGGCCAAACCTGAGCGCGAATTTTCGAGATCGATTTCGACCCGTACGACAACTCCCAGCGCCAGCCCGCGAGACGACGACAAGGTATGTGATATTGCTGCTGCTGCGTGGTGATCTGTTGCATGCTAATTGAGATCAGATGGTCCTCGCAAAGAAGCACGTCCCCATCGTCAAGAAGCGTATGTCCTTTCTTTTCTCCCTGCACTCCTAGCCCAGTCCAGCCAGAAGTCGATCCGTTCGGTTTGTCGGTCGTCCAGCAAGCATGAGGGTTATACCGGTGCGGAGGAACGAGAGTCGGATCATTGAAGCGAGCGATTTTTCTTTTTTTCGAAGCGCGAGAATGAAGAGAGCAAGCGAACATCATCATCATCGGCGAAAGAATTCATCACTACGACGGGAAATGACAATCTGAACGACATCACACCCACAACGATTGACGACCGTGCTTGCTGGACTACGGACACCGGCCGGATTGAACTGAACCAAATCAAACCAGACAAGACTACGTAACGAGGTCGATCGCCGACTAACATCACTCAGGCACCAAGCGTTTCTGGCGCCACCAGTCCGACCGCTTCAAGTGCGTGCCGGAGTCATGGCGCAAGCCCAAGGGTATCGACAACCGCGTCCGTAGACGCTTCAAGGGCAACATTCCCATGCCCTCCATCGGCTACGGATCCAACAAGAAGACCAAGCACATGATGCCCTCCGGCCACAAGGCTTTCCTCGTCCACAACCCCAAGGACGTTGAGCTTCTGTTGATGCACAACCGCACCTACGCCGCTGAGTATGCCCTCCCCCATCCTTCCCTCTCACAATCAATGCCAGAAAGAAAATATATTAATAAAGATAATAGGATTGCCAGCGCCGTCTCCTCCCGCAAGCGCGTCGACATCATCGCCAAGGCCAAGGCTCTCGGCGTCAAGGTCACCAACCCCAAGGGCCGCGTCACCACCGAGGCTTAAATGGATATGGAATGAATGTAAAGAAAGCCCAGAAATTTCATCATTTTCATTTTCTATTTTAAAATTTCTTCTCTCAATCATCTTCATTGATTACACAAATGGGATCTGAGCTCGGGGCTATCTATTATTTATAAAGAATGCCCGTCCATTACCTCATTTCACACCTTCTTGCCTATGTGAGGTGGGGTGGGGTGGGGTGAGGTGGTGGTGGGTTAACTTGGGGACTTGCGGAGCCTTGATTTCATCACTCTTCTCGCGCTCTGTGGGAATCTACTTGACGATGACGTATGTGCTGGATTGCTAAACGTATGATGGATGTCTGCGTTTGTGGTCGTGGCTGGTGCTGCCAGTCTGGGAATAAAAATTCAAATATCTTATGAAGACTTTTCTGTTTCCTCTTCAAGGTGTGTTGGGTGTTTGTGTAGGTTTGTAGTATGGTGGATGGTAGGTATCGTTGGTATCTTAGAGAGTTGTATACGCTACGCTGGAATGACTGGTAGATGTAACTGTCTATCATGGTATCAAGCAGATGGCTAATCCATCTCACGAGTCTAATACATAGTAGATCTAATGGTAACGCCAATCATGCACCATCATCCAACCTAAACTGCTGCCGCAGCAGCAGCAGCAGCAGCATCGGCCTTTCTACCGGAGGAGATGTCAACCAGGCCAACACCCTGCACGAGGGCAGGGATATTCGGCTCAGAACCATCCCCCAGGTCGGGCACAACGCCATGTCCGATGATGATCTCGTCTTCCTCCGGGCCAAATATCCAGTCGGGCATCTGGCGCGGACCCTCCACGCCGTCCGGCGGCAAGGCCCAGCTGGGCATTGCGCTGGTGTACTTCCAGCCGTCCTCCTTGTCGGAATACGCCGCAGCGTGGAGGAAGATACCCAGGTCCTCGGGCCGAGGATCCGTGTAGAGTTCTGTGTCGCAAATCGAGCATCTCTCGCCAGACAGCATTTCACCCTTGCGCTTATGGTATCTCTCCACGGCGGCTTCGTGTTCGCGCGACATGATCTGCTCCACAACAGAGCTGTCCGTGCCGGGTGGGACCAACGGCGCCGCAGTGAGGTGTGTCCGGTAGCTCACCGTGTCGGGGACTTCCGTCTTGCCGATATTACATAGTCGATCAATAAGCTCTCCGTCGCGCTCGTCGGTCGTCTCGTTCTTGCCAAGATCAGGTCCAAAGACCTTGCGATTGGAGTAGATCGGATCGTTGGATATAGGGTGGCCGAGGAACTGGAGGTGCACGCGGATCTGATGTGTCCGTCCAGTCAAGGGCAGGCAATGTACGATACTGTATCCTTCGTTTTCGTTGGACCAGACCGGGGGCGGCGTCGCCGGCCGTCCGTCCACACCAACAGGCTGAGGCTCGGGGGCTTGAGGAGGGATGTACGCCAGACGACGGAACTTGGTCTTTGCTTCCTTTCCGGTCGCGCGAACGCGGTTGAGGCCTACCTTCGGGCTGACGGACATGATGGGCTGGTCGCAGACGATGACTCCGTCGGGAAACTTTCCCTTGACGCGCGCTACATACTCCTTCTGGAGGGTGCGGGCCTTGAGCTTGTTGGTCATGTTCTCCGCCGCCTTGGGTGTCTTTCCAAGGAACATGACTCCGGAGGTGAGTCGGTCCAGACGGTTGCAGGGTCGGGGAATCCATTCGGAACCGCGATGCGAGCGCATGATCTCGAGCACGGAGTTGTAGTGGTATCGACCAGCGGAGTGGACGGGCACGCCAGCAGGCTTATCAATGACGATCAAGTCCTCATCCTCGTGGATGATCCCGATATCCTTCCCGGTAACGGGGGGTTCGTGGCGATGCAGGGTATGCGAAATAATCTCGCCGTTTTTGACGACGGTATCGGGGCCGGCTGGCTTGCCGTTGACGGTGACGAGGCCATCTGCGAGTGCTTTTCTCTGCAAGCACAAAGAGACACATGTTAGCATCCGACTTTCTTCAACAGCCCAGTAAATGAGGGATCATACGTAGTACTCGGCCGGACGATCGCGGAATTCCGAGAGGAAGATGTCGACCAATTCTCGGCCCCTCCAGCGCTCCTTGCAAAAGGTGTTATAGGTGTAGTGGTATGGCTTGACGCGACGCAGACCACCTTCGAAGTAGTAGGGAGCCGGCCATGGGTCACAAGGTGTGATGGCCACCTTGGGCGGTTCCTGGACCGGGTCCGGAGGGGGCACTTGCAGCGTCGTGTCGACGGGGACCAGAGACATGATGGGTGGGGGAATTCGGCCGCGTCGTATCAGGTACGCGGTGATGCGGGCAGAGGGAGCCAGGGGGGAGAGAGGGGGGAAGAAGCAGGCAGGAGAATGAGTAGGAGGGGAAAGGGGGAGAGATGGAGAGGGGCTGGACTGGACTGGACTGGTTCCTGACTTGGTCCCGCGGCGGCGAAAGAAAAGAAAAATTTGGCGTTGCGGGGAAGTTTCCCCGTCGATGATCGATCCAGGCGATCCCGCAATCAACTGGAACCCATAATAACCTCCAGTGACCAGACTATTGTATGCTTATCACTGGAACTACTACTATGCAAGCTCATATCGATCACCCAAGATAGGTCAATATCCCTGCTAGCGCCGACTCACATGTATCTACTCATGCCCCTCCTTGCCAACTCCCCTCTGCATAGTGCCACGGTCCCTTGAACCGTGCTTCGCATTGGTATCAACCCAGGCTATTGCCGTAAGCTCCTTTAGCATCGCAGAGCGCAGAGACGGCATTCAGCGATATAAAACCGGCACAGTTGCTCGCTTGATCTCCGAGGTTATAGTCCACAGCAGATTGCAACCTTGGCAGAAACGAATCTAGTAAGCTGCGTCCCATTTCTGGTCCTCGTTGCATGTGTGTTGAAGATGAGGATTCCGGTCCTTCTTAGCAAATCCAGGAAAAAGGACATCCTTCTTGACCAAGGTAAGATCATCAGACTTGTAACGGTGTCTTGAATTGCATGGTCTGAGTATCACATCAGGCAAGTCCTGTTCCAGAGAAATGACTCATGCAAATAAGCAAACGAGAGTCAGAAAGGAAAGAAGAAGAAAATTAATAACCATATTAGTGGCACAAGAAGCACTACACAGGAATCGGCGCGTAGTAACCAAACCTGTCCTGCGGGTCATATTTCGCCTTCAACTCCTTCAGCCTCTTCAGTCTCCATGGCTCAAAGCCATACAGGTTCTGAAGGGACTCCGTCCCAGCTGCATAGTTCACGTATGCATGCAGCTCAGTAGATCCGCTGCCTTCAAGAAGTACCTGTCTCAATTTGTTGCCAATCCGAACGGCTTGGGCATCCAGCTCCGGGCGTGGTGCATTCACCATAGCAACAGTGACGAGTTGATTGTCTCCTCGATGCGGAAACGCCGTAGCATTGTCCGGCACAGCTTTGACGCCATACATTGAGTACCCCTCGAACAAGACTTGGGACACATTGAACGGAGAGTCCGGCCCGATAACTTGGGAGAAAGTGTCCATAAGAGCCTGCTGCGCGGTGGCATTGTAAGAGACAAGCCCAATTGGGAAGCGGATTTTGGAGGTATCTGCGACATTGCAAGCTATAGAATTAAAGTTCACACCAGTCCATTTGGGGATATCCTTGTACGTTCCTGAGCCGGACCCGACAGACATAGGACCAAGCTTTCGGAACGGGCTGGTAAAATTGGGGGCGACGGCAGAGACGCTCTCTTGGAGAAGGTCGACCTGCAGGATTGGCTGCAGACGTTGGTCAGCGGAAGGACAAACCATACCCCAGACGAATGGCGTTACTTACATTCTTGGGGTCTACACTTGGATTGCGATAAATGACATCCCGATTGAACATGCCAGGAGGTTGGTGCTGAGCAAGCCAATTGATGGTCTCAAAGACGGCTTCGACTTTGTCGTAACTGAAAACATAAGTCTCATAAGACCACAAGCCACCATCAGGCACATCGTAGACTTTGGAAGTTATAGACGTCACAATCCCAAAATTATGTCCGGCACCTTGCATAGCCCACCATAGGTCAGAGTTCGGACCCGAAGAAGATACCTCGCGAATGGCTCCGTCGGCAGTCACCATGCGCATTGAGACAAATTGGTCAGAGGCAATGCCATACTTTCCCTGAAGGACACCGTGGCCCCCTCCCAGAGCTGGGCCTAGGAAGCCTGTGCATTCGCAAATTCCCGACACTATTCAAACCAGTCAATGGTGTATACAAGATGCTTCGACCGCAACACCATACCCGTCTGCTTGCCAGCTGCCCACAGTGCCTCGATAACCTCGCCAGATCTTTTGCCACCACCAAAGGTAGCTGTTTTTCCATCCTCTGAGATGACAGTAGAGTTGAGCTTGCGCATCCTAATCTCGATGCCATTGAATTTTCCAAGGCAGGCTATGGTACCGTGGCTACCGGTCACTGCGAGGAAGGGGATGTTGTTCTTGTTGGCAAACTTGACCTACATTATTGTTAGGTAGGCAGCAATTTAAGATGCAAGGACAGGACGTCTGGTCTTACTGTTGTTGCAATATCTTCCTCTGTTCCCACCTCGACGACGGCTGTGAAATGGGGAGGGTCGAAAAGAGACCATCTCTGGGTGGCCTGCACGAAGCCTGCATTATGTGGTAGGATGATTTGCGCACCGTTGGAAAGCTGCGGCCCTAGTGTAGTGGTAATGTTCTCCCGACGAAATGCAATAGCGTTGGTGAGCCTATCCGTCAAGAAGACAGCAAGGAAGACACCTGTGATCCAGACTTTCCAAGTAGACATGGCTCCCATATCACCTGGTAACTCTCAATTGACGGAGAGTCAAGGCACCTTGGTTCCACAGTAATCAGGCTATATATATCGCAGGTTTTGGTGTGGCCCAGAATGTCAGGCTCCTGCACCCATCATATGGTACCTTTGTAGCACAACTGCATTGCGCCCCATTTATCGCAATATGAACCGGAAGAACACGCGATACGTGCATCAAAGTCAATAATGGTGCCTGTTGAATGCCAAGGCTCGTATGACCGTCAAACAAGGAGTATACTTTGATAGGGCAACAGCACCCCCATGTCTCAGCTCGAACTGAAACTTATCCCATGTTTCTTACCAGTCATGACCTTCATGCCCCAGTCAATTCTAGTATCTATAATGGGCAAGAGCAACCATCGTCACCTAATGTCACAGAACAGCGTCGACCTGAGCGATCAAGTTCCGTTACTCAACTTCTAAGCATCTCTGCTGCACACGTCAGCGAGGTTGACCAGCGATTGGATCTAAAGTACAGATATCGCTTACCAAGAACAGCCACCAAATGAAGCAGTACTTCTGGGATGTTACAGAGCTTTCTCAAAGACAAAGGAAGAAAGTGTAATTGCCAAATCCACTGCTTGAGTGCTGCAGGGGACTGAGCACAAACGGAGGTTCTTCCTTGTTTTTTCTGTCATACACACTTGTACACCGAATCCATCAGGTCCACCAGAAGCTTTGTATTCTCAAAAGTGGGTCAAGCATATCCGAAATCCGACCCAAGAAACCTTAAGAGATGTGACAACTGAAAGAGAGTGAGATCCTTTGCCGTCTTGGTACGACATGCCACTAATCCCAAAACAGCAACGTGGATGAGAAACCCCCTTCGACACCTGATCCCCAGGGTGTCTAACCCCGACCGTGCCGATCGCTACCTGAAGCGGAAACATACCGCGAGCAATTGAACCTCGGCAATTCCCTATCCGAGGAATCTCCTCCCTATCGTGAGTCGCGATACTCCGTACTCATACTACCATCCCAATCCCCTCAATACCCATTCATATCACCTCCAAATCTCCAAACCTTCCAAAGCTTACCTAGAAAACTAATACAAACAATGGCTCCCACCGAAATAGCCCTCAAAAAGCGCCGCAAGCGCAACGACTACATCTTCCACCAAGTCCACCGAACAAGATGGTCCGTCCCTCCACACCCACCCGCCCATCCCCAAACACTAACCCCCCAACCCAGGTTCGACAACGACATGTACGCCCACCTTAACAACACCGTCTACGCCATGCTCTTCGACAGCATCATAAACACCTACCTAATCACCCACTGCGGAATGGACCCCTTCAGCATCAACAACAAAGAACCCACACCCACCTCCACCACCTCCCCATCCCCATCCCCAACGCAACCCAAACCCTCCCAAGTCGGAATAATGGTCTCCTCATACTGCGACTACTTCGCCTCCGTCTCCTTCCCAGACGTACTAGATCTCGGCCTCCGCGTCACCAAACTGGGCTCGTCGAGCGTGACCTACGAAGTGGGGGTGTTTAAGCAAGGGGAGGAAGATGTGAAGGTGGTGGGTGGATACACGCATGTGTTTGTGGCACGGGAGACCATGAGACCGACCAAGGAGGGGATGGAGGATGGGTTGAGGAGGAGTTTGGAGAAGTTGGTGGTGGGTGGTGATAAGGGTGGGGAGAGTGCGAAGTTGTAGGTGGTTGTCGCTAACAGCTACTGATCTACAATTGGCTCTTGGTGTGATTGATGATGATGATGGTGTTGATTAGTGATGCCTGTTCCTGGTGAATGGGCTATAGATATGTAGACATTTTTCTCTCTAAATTTTCTAAACATGGATGATATGACTACTTGTCCTAGTGACATTTGGTGTAGGGTTCTGCTGCGCATATGCATGAGTGGCAATAGAGGTAGACAGTAGATACTAGATCTCCGAACAAAGTTCTAGTAAGGGATCACTCATGTAAGAGAACCATCCGGGTAGTATCATAAGACGAGCTGCAGTATCAAACAGATGCCTGCCGATATGATACGTCTCATGCAGCTGTCATGTCGATCCCTCCCCTCACTGCTCGATCCGGACTTACATGCACTAAACTTTCCCACAATGTCTACCAAGTATCATTTCTTAAATTCGAGCTTCGAATGATCTGTGACAAATACTGACGCCCAAATTAGGGTAAAAATAGACAATCCTTTCATTCCATGGTATTGTTCGCCGAAAAAGCAACCACCCGAAAGATAAGCGTACAGATAGATAAGTACAACGGACAGGAAGAAAAACAAGTATCGCTAAAACCTGATAAAATCGCTTGATCGCAAAGTCTATCCGGTTTTCTATGACCTCGACCCAAACGCCGTCGTCGCTGTGTAAACAAGGTCACTGCAGAAAAGCAGATTCATCCCAGCATTACAGGCTCATATGCGAATATCATCATGAAAATGCAAAGACAAAGAAAGGAAGAGAAATAAATGAAGCGACAAGGGCACCACGCTGAAACGCTAGCCCACATAGCAATCGCACAGTAGCAGTCGTATTCGCTCGTGGACAGCCAACGCATGTTCTGTAGAGGCCAGCTACAGAAAAGCATCGTAGAGTCGGACGTGCGCATGTCGACAGCGAAAAGAAATTTTTGGTTCATGCAGGATCAAGTCGACTTGTTCGGGAGGACGCTCGCCCGGGAGACATTCGAGCTCTCGGGGAACAACACCCGGCGCATGGTGTTCGCTTCCGCATCATAGTGCCATTTCTGGTAGGGACCGGCAATGAATTTGCCCTTAGCATCCCATCCGGCAACCCAGGTGAATCCGTCGTCAAGGAGGAAGAACATGAACTCTTCCGGCTTGGCCCCCTCGGTGGTTTCCACCGAGTGCCAGCGACAACGATCCTCCATTTCGTGTTCAAAGATGTACCGGTGGAGGATCCGGCAGTAGACAAGCGGAACAGGCACCTTTTCGTCGGTGTCATTGCCGTCCTTGTAGATGAGATGCCATCCTCGACCCGGGATGTACTTGTAGATGCCAGGAACTGGACTATCCCAATGTTCCTCTTTGTGGATCGATCCTTGGATGCGTTCCCCACGCTGGAACCAGTAGGTGGGACAGAACACCTTGCGCAGACAGAGAAAGAGGTTGGGAGCCATGGTAACGAAGAGTGATGGAAGACTTTTAGGATGACACAATGTCGTGAGAGATTTCGGAAACTTCCGAGGTGAAGAAAGAAGATCAGAGACGCTCGCTTGCTGATGGAACAGATATCAAGAAAAAGAGAAGTTGCGAAGAGCAACGGCTGGTTATAAGTCGACGTGCATTTTGAACAAACAAGCAGTAGAACCTGAGAGTGAAAAGAGGAAGGAGAGGAAGATGTCAGGCAACAATCAATAATCGCCGATTGTGCCCCCAAGTGCCTCGAAAGAGGAGTTGGATTCGTCGAGACTGCCTCCGATGGTACTGCGTGGTGGTCAGGGGGAAGGCAAGAGCGAGATGCACGACACGCTGTAACGATGCGGTGTGTGCCAATGTATATGTAGACGTGCCTGGCGACAGTCTAGGCCCTGGCCCCAAGAGAACAAAGGTTTGGGTTTGTTTTTCTTCGCGAAGCCAAAAGGAAGAAGAATCTGGACTGAGGCGGGTTTTAATTATTGGAATTGGGACTGATCGACAGGTCAAGGAGACAAGGAAGCTGGAGAGAGGGGCCGGAAGACGCCTAAAGGACCAGGGTGCAGCGAGACCGACGGAACGACGCAGACAGCTCTTGCTTTCAAATGGCTTTTTAGAACCGCATGGTGGCAGGCTGGCTTCTGAGTGGACGAGAGACGGTCAGGGCATGCCAGTCAGAAGCGACGTATCTGGGAAGGAAAAAGGAAAATGGCGGCCACAGGATTGGGTTAAAAAGAGGCAGGAATCAGAAACATCAGGCGGTCTGAGGTCAGACCGTCGACCCCAAAGAGGACAGGATGGAAAAGTGGGTGGGTGGAAAAGTGGAAAGAAATGGAAAAATTTTCTTGATGTCACGGGCTAGACCACACACAGAAGGCGCCCGTCATCCCAAACGGTAGCGTGGGCAACTGGGCCTGTCCGGGGCCTCTGGTTCGAGCATCGCGGTTCCAATGCTAATCTTGCCCTGCAACAGGAAACCTTGACGCGGGAAACCCGAGCCCCACGGGATCCACCCTCGGGCGATATTTTAGCTTTCTTCCTGCTGCCTGTGGCCGTCGCCCCCCGTCACGGTTTTGATATTCCGATCCACCCAGACGGAGGAGTGCCCCAGAAGCTGGAGTGGGATGATGTATCGTCCGGCCTGTTGGTGCTGGTGCTTGTAGATAGGTGGGATGTCTCGTCGGCCTTCAGCTCTCTCTCTCCATCACATCATCCTGTCGATCCGCTTTCCTAAATTACCACGGACTCCGGTGGCTGTGCTTATGGCGCGCCACTACTCCCGATGGTGACTCAATGCCTTGCTTGGTGGCCTTCATCACCACCACCCCCCTAATCATATCACCCGAGGAACCTTGTAGGGAGCCCTTCATCTCGGGGGTTCGAGACCACCATCACAAAGTAGCCTGATCTTGGCTCTCATTCCTCGGCTGGGGTCTCGATCCTCTCCCCGTTGGATTTGACTTTCTATCCCTTTCTTCGCCAGTGCTGTTGTGTTGGGTTGTGTTGTGTTGTGCTGCTGGTGTTGGTGTTGCGCACCATGTGGCTCTCATGCATCGCTAAAATAGCTGGCCGTGATCGACAGATCATGATATCACTAGTCCGATTCTCCTATCAGATATTCAGCAGATGCGCCCCCAGATGTTGCAGGCAGAAATAGTCACCACATTAGCCAGCTTGGCGGAGACAAGGCGCATTCTTGGACTCGAATCACAGAGGCCAGGTTTATCACGGCCTTGCCGTGTTGTTCATGCAGGTGGACGACCATTCCATGGCTCCTGATTCTGCAGTTAACCACTGGGCCAGGATCAAGGCGTCTAGGTTTGCTCAGGCCCCTGTGCTATCAACCGTGTTATGGCGGTGTCAGGACCGGCAGGTTTAGATTGAGAGGGGGTGGTGTGAGTGGGTGGTTGGAAAGAGGGTGAGTCAACAGAGGCTCGTGAATGGAGGTCGCACAGATCGATGGTCTTCCGCTCTTTCCCACGCACGAAAACAAGACGGAGAGGCCCAAGGAGGGGCAGGCAATCCCGTGATTGACGGATGGCCGGAGCACTTTGTTCTTGGCTTCACATTCCTTCTGAGCTTACTCCATACTCCAGAGAGCCGGCCCCCACTAGCATACTCATGGAGATGCTATCTCGTGCATACCGCTTCTACTACCTGACTAGCCAATAACGCCATACAGACCGAGTCCTGGGTCGGTGGTCTATCGTCCGAAAACGCGTGACCCGTTTCCAATGAATGAGATCATCTAGCAATCAGCCTACGAGATAGGCTATTGTGCACACAGGCCATCCTATGCAAGCAGTTGGTCGTTTGAAAAGACTGATATTGGGATGTCCTAGTAACTTCAAAATTCATCCTTCAGTGATTATGCCTCGGTTCCGGGTACCGCTGCGCCAGCCGTTGGTATTTGACTGCTTCCCGGAGGACCATTCCTTCGTTCAACTGCGTGGTCTCCTTCCGGAACAACTCTTGCCATGGGGTTTGGCTTTCCGGCATCTCGTAACCCCCGCTTGCTTCTAGCTCGTCCTTTCGCGCCTTTAATTCGTCCGCGGGGACCAGGATATCTACACATCGCTGATTGAGGTCCACCCGGAGCCGGTCTCCATCCCGCAGGAGAGCCAGGTTGCCACCCGCGGCTGCTTCAGGACTGGCATTCAGGATAGAGGGGGATCCTGAAGTTCCCGACTGCCGTCCGTCGCCGATGCATGGGAGCGACTTGACCCCCTCTCGCAGGAGCCTTCCCGGGGGGTGCATATTGACCACCTCAGCTGCGCCAGGATATCCCAGTGGACCAGCCCCGCGCATCACCAGGATACTTCGGTCATTGATCGGGGTGGAGGGGTCTTCTAACCGGTGATGGTAATCCTCTGGTCCATCAAAGACCACCACAGTCCCCTCAAATGCATTTGGATCGTCAGGATTTTCGAGGAACTTCTGTCTAAACTGCTCAGAAATGACGCAAGTTTTCATGATAGCAGATTCGAACAGACTACCTTGCAGGTGGAGGAAGCCAGCGTCTTTGAGAATCGGGTCGTCATAAGCTCTGATCGTCCGGCGATCCCAGGTATGGCTCCCACGGACGTTTTCTGCTACAGTGTGGCCATTGCACGTCACAGCATCTGCGTTCAACTTGCCCGCATCCAACAGCTCCGCCATGATAGCTGGCAGCCCTCCTGCTCGGTAATATTCTTCGCCTAATAGCTCCCCCGCAGGTTGCATGTTCAGCAAGAGAGGAATGTGGAATCCGAGACGGTCCCAGTCATCCAGAGACAGGTCCACACCAATATGCTTTGCGATCGCATTTATATGAATGGGGGCATTGGTACTGCCACCAATCGCCGTATTGACAACAATGACATTCTCGAATGCTTCCCGGGTCATGATGTCGCTTGGCTTGCGATCGGAATGCACCATCTCGACAATCCGCAACCCGGTTTCATAAGCGCATTGACCTCGTTCACGATACGGGGCAGGAATGGCAGCTGACCCCGGTAGTGCCATTCCAAGTGCTTCTGCGAGCGCATTCATGGTGGATGCTGTGCCCATCGTGTTGCAGTGTCCTACTGATGGTGCACTATTCCAGAGCGTTAGCCAGACCAGGCAAGCTTTGAAGTTTCTGACCTACCCGCGAGAAATGTAGTCGACGAATTCTTCCGTATTAATCTCTCCTGCAGCGTGCATCTCTCTACCCTTCCACACCACCATTCCCGAGCCAGCCAATTCCCCCTTCACATAGCCGTTGAGCATCGGACCAACATTGAGGCATATAGCAGGGATGTTCTGGAAACTGGTGTCAGTCGAGCAGTGGTGGGCGAGCCAGATGCAGTCATTGAACGTACAACAGTGGCAGCAGCCATCAGACATGCCGGGGTTGTCTTGTCGCACCCGGTAAGAAGGACCACGCCATCCAAGAAATACCCATGAAGGATCTCCACAAGGCTGAGATAAGACAAATTCCGATCGATGCAGGCAGTGGGCCGCCGACTAGTCTCTTGAATTGGATGTGTCGGGAACTCGAAGGCGATTCCCCCAGCTGTTCTGATACCTTCTCGAACCCTTTTCGCCAGCTCCAAGTGATGGCGATTGCACGGAGCGAGATCGGATCCGGTCTGGGCTATCCCAATGATAGGTTTGCCGGACATAAGTTCCTCCCTTGTCATGCCATAGTTCAAGTAACGCTCGATGTATAAGGCCATCATTCCCGGATCACCTTCACACTGGAACCATTTCGTGGAACGCAGCTTCCGTGCGGCTTTCGTGCTGCCTGACGAAGATTTCTTCATCGAGGCCAGCGCCTTTTCAAGCTCCACGGTTCTCTTGCGGAGAGCGAGCAGCTCTGTTTCACAGTCCTCGATATTGACCACCCCCTGGCTGCCATTCGGGCTGCAGGAGCAACCCTCGCACGAAGCTTGCGACTGGCACGGCATGATGTATAGTAGAACCTCTATCCAAACGCACGCGCTGAAAACTATCACCGGCTCTTTGGGACAGATAAATCGGTGTGGAGTGAAATACCTAAGTCGAAAGGGATGGGCCACCGTTATAAGACCCTTAAGACGCTGATGTGTACCCCGGGATTGGGGATGCCGACTCAATCGGCGGAGAGTCTCCGAGTCGGATTAGCCGCGGCCGGAGGGGACGTGAAAAGGGGTGGGAAAGAAGCAAAGAAAAAGAGAATCGGTTTCGCACCAGTCACGGTGGGAGAGCCGACAATTTAACAGCAACGCAGAAGCACTGGAAGCGTGGATGGAAAACCAGTGTTCGGGATTCAGCCTTGGATCGCGTGGCTCTCGGCTCGGGTTGGTTGGCTCAGGCCAGGAAGATGGAGCAATTGGAGGTGTACCCCACGCTATATCCATGGGGGCACCACCGGGGCCTGGAGAAGGGCATGGGGGTTCCATGATTCCATCCCATTCACCCTTCCGTCCCAACGGATTGTGGCCGGTCAAGTGTCCACCGGACCCGAAATTTGAAATCCCGTCATATCCGCGAGGTCTCAGCTTCTGTGGTGCCATGCAGATGATCGCATGTGGCATTCCGATGCACGACCCCCGATGGATCGGGAATCAATCGGGACGATCGGCCGCAGGGCCATTGCCAATTACCAAATCATCCCCCATCCCACATTCTCTCTTCCCCACGGGACTCGGTCCTACTCCATACATGACTCATAATGTTGAAACGGGGCCCTGTCTACACGAAGAAGAGTCTTGGTCGAACTCGACAATCATCATTCCCATAAAAACTATATTCTCATCGATCAATTCATAACAGTCGACCCGAAACGCCCACGATGCGAGAGAGGAGCTGATCCAGAAGCAGCCAACAAATCTATCATCATGAGGGGAACTAGCAAAAAGGTATAAAGTCCTCGAAAAGAGAAGAGGTAACAGATACAGAGAAAGGGTAAGAAAGTGAGAGACTATTGAGTCGCACACTGCGCAGTCGTCTCGCCTTCATCGTCATCATCCTCCCATGCAGATCCCCCTTCAGGGTCATGGGCTCCAAAATCGTCCAGGTTGCCCTTGGGGTCGAAGTCCACCTCATCGACCGTGTCGGCCTGGATGGGGGCATCAGGCTTCGGCAGAGTCTCCTTAAGTTGCTCCAGAACGGCGGCACTGGGCTTCCATTTTCCGTCAGGGAACTTGATGTTGACGACCAGATACAGGTCACCACGGGCATCGCCGCGCTTGATGGGCATTCCTTCCCCAGGAACCTTTAGGACCTGGCCCGGAGACAGAACCTCGCCGGGGGTCTTGGGGTGCTGGATTTCGATACCCCGACCGTCGAGGTGCTTGACAACCACCCGCGAGAACCCAGTCAGAGCCTCGGCCAGCGTAACATCAATCGTAGCCGTCAGATCGGCACCAGCCCTCCTGAAGATCGCGTGCTCCTCTTCCACCAGATGGAAAACGATGTCTCCGGGTTCCTGACCTGGTACTTGATCGGCTTCGCCCTCGAGGATGATCTTGTCTCCTTCCCTGATCACGGGTCAATTGTTGTACCCAAGTGGATATCGCATATAGTCAAAACTCACCTCGCCCCACGGGGGATGTAGATTTCCAACATTTTCTTGGCCTCGGTGGTCTTCTTTCCCTTGCACTTCTTGCACTTATCCTTGTCGACGAAGTAGTCGCCAGCTCCCTTACACGTGGAGCAGGGAACCATAGTCGGAGACAAGAACTGTCCCATGGGCCTCAAAATCTGCTTGTAACCTGCAGAGCACACAGGTCAGTCTGGCTCAGCTACACTAAGTCCTGTTATCTTACCTTCGCCATCGCAAGTAGCGCATTTTCTCGCTGTCGCCCTCTCCTTGCCTCCTTTGCCCTGACACAGAGAGCAAATCACGTTCTTCGTGCTCGCAAACTTGACCGTCTTGCCCTTGTAGAGATCTTCCAGGCGAACCTCGTATTTCTGCTCCTCATTCGGGCTCTTGCGCGGCTTACGCGCATGCGGGCCGCCGGGCATCCCTCCCATGCCGCCCATGCCGCCCATACCGCCCATCCCACCCATCCCACCAAACATCTGCGCAAGGATATCGTCCAAGTCGGGGCCGGCACCCATACCAGGCTCACCGGAGCCATTGAAAGCGGCCATTCCGTGGGTATCGTAGATCTCGCGCTTCTCTTCATCATAAAGGATATCGTAGGCTTCTTGCACGGCTTTGAATCTGACCTCGGCCTCTTCTCTCTCGCCTTCGGGGACCTTATCGGGGTGGTTTGCTAGGGCGGCCTGGCGTTGAATAAAAGAAGTCAAAATTTGTCCGGGGGCATGCTCTTTTCAGGAATCGCACATACCTTGCGATAAGCCTTCCGGATCTCATCTTTGCTAGCGCTGTTGGAGATGCCCAGGACCTCTGTATTCCATCACATTTAATTAGCTCCTCATGCACGCATTTCTAATATGTCGTGGACCTGAATAGATTTACCGTAGAGGTCAATATTGGCTTGCGTCGCCACTGAATCCCAGGCATTAGCAGAACAACTTTTTTTTTGTGATAGCGGAGCCACATACTTAGAGAGTGCGGGTGGAAAAAAAAAGCCCAACGGTAGCTCAAGCAGAAAACAGAAGGAACCGGGTATCAAATCGAAGCACAAACGAACAACAAACAAAAAGACCAGTCACAAGTCTACAAGCAGTGTGCCTGACGAGGAAGCAAGCGGATGAGACGAGCAATCGCGATTAGAAGTGCCGCAGCCCGATCCATACTCAATCCTCACAATTTATTGCCGCCCGAACCAACCAATCACATTCCCCACGATTGGTCGGCCGCCTTTTGCTGTCGGATTTATCCGCGGTCTAGGTTAACTTGCTCCGTCTTGTTTTCCCCGGCTTGCATCTCAGTTCCCTTCTTCGGACGGTTCTTTGGCATTGTTAGCTTGGAGTTAGCTGTTATCTGAAACAATGAGACGTCCAATGCCCTCCGTCTGGGCCCGTCGTCCGTGGATCTGCACCCAATGTCGAGCTCGCTATTCCTCCGTTGCGCCGGGTTCGAATCTCCGCGCTGGCAATAAGAAGACGAATCTCCCGGATTCGCCTGCGAGAACTCGGTTTGCGCCGTCGCCGACTGGATATCTTCATTTGGGGTCGTTGCGGACGGCTTTGTTTAATTATCTGTTGGCGAAGCGTACGGGGGGGCAGTTCTTGCTGCGCATTGAGGATACGGATCAGGTTGGTTGTTTAGCTGGTCGGAGATTGCGAAGAGCAGGGTAGGGCTAATGGGTGGTGTTTGCAGAAACGTACGATTCCGGATGCTGAGCAGAGACTATATGATGATCTGCGGTGGGCTGGGTTGCATTGGGATGAAGGTCTGCGGTCCGCTGGGAGGGTACCACATCATGGCGCATTGGCTGATGGAACTGGTTGAACATACAGGCCCGATTGTTGGAGGTCCGTATGGTCCGTACAGACAGGTATGGCTCGAGTGATTGGGTGCTTTGATACTCGAATTGATACTGAGGAAGTGTCTTCTAGTCCGAACGTACCGCGATCTACCGCACCCACGCGCAGGAGCTGATCAAGAACGGCCACGCCTACCGCTGCTTCTGCTCCGCTGAGCGATTGGACGCTTTCGCGAGACATCGCAGCGAAGCTGGACTACCGGCCGGTTACGATAGAAAATGCGGCGAGGTCTCTGCGGAAGAGTCCGAAGAGAGGGCGGCCAAGGGCGAAGCGCATGTGGTCCGGTTGAAGGTGGAGGGATACCCGATGTTCAATGACCTGGTGTACGGCAAGACGGGCCAGAACCGCTCGCCAAACAAGCTGGATCTTATCGAGCGGGTGTACGATGACCCTATCCTGATCAAGTCTGACGGACACCCGACCTACCATCTGGCGAACGTGGTGGATGATCATTGCATGAAGATCACCCATGTCATCCGGGGAACGGTAAGCTGTTCGAGGAAGACGCAGGATACATTGGCAAGCTGACACCTACCTAGGAATGGATGCCCTCGACCCCGCTGCATGTCGCTCTCTACAACGCCTTCAAGTGGACGCCTCCCCAGTTCGGCCACGTGCCTCTTCTTGTGGACCAGTCGGGACAGAAGCTCAGCAAGCGTAATGCGGATATCGACCTCACCTTCTTCAAAGACACTCAGGGTATCTTTGCCGCGACCCTCGTGAACTTTGCCGCCCTCCTAGGCTGGTCGCACACTAAGAAATCGGATATCTTCAACCTTGAAGAGTTGGAGCAACTCGTAGGCTTCCCGTCCATCCCTCACACACCCACTCACTAACCGCAACCAGTTCAACCTCAAAATCACACGCGGAAACACCGTCGTCGCCTTCGAGAAGCTCTGGTTCCTCCAGAAGGCTCACGCCCAACGCTTCGCCGCCACCGAGGGCCCCGAGTTCTCCGAGATGGTGACCAAAGTCTCCCAAGTGGTGGAGGACACCTACCCAGCCGAGCAGCTGTACGTCCATCCCCTCCTCCCCCAACACATCCCTCGATTCAAACTGACCTCTCAGCTCACCCATCCTCCAATCCCGCCCTCTAACCAACTACATCCCCCCTCTCCTCTGCGCGGACGCCAAATCCTACACCAACGCCTCCGACTTCGTCACCCGCAACTCCACCTTCTTCACCACAACCTTAACCCGACCCCCCTACACCCCCGCCTCGCCCACCAACACCATCCCCATGACCGCCCTCCACACCGCAAGCGCAGCTCTCACCCTCGTCCCGCCCTCCCACTGGACCCTCGAAACCCACCGCGCCAACATAACCGCCTACGACGGCAGCACCACCCCCCCACCAACTTCCTCAGAACCAACCACCCCCGAAGAAACCGAAAAAGCCCGCAAAACAGCCGACAAAGCCTTCAAAAAGGAACTCTACCACTACCTCCGCTGGGCCTTGTCGGCGGGTGCCCCGGGCCCAGGCATTCCGGAAACAATGTACATTCTAGGCCACGAGGAGACGTTGCGTCGGTTACAGGAGGCGAAGAAATTGACCATGGAGTTGGTGCCTGCGCCGACGAGGAGAGCGAAACAGGGGACTGCGTCGTTGGGGACGGATCGGTCGTGGATGGGTTCGCTGGCGCCGGGGGCTTAGTTCCCACTATGTACGTGCTATGGAGTAGGTTAGAGTGTGTTGGGTATTGGGGGTGGAGGTGTGGTAGTGTAGTGGGTGAGTGTATGAGTATTATGCTTGTAAGATGAATGTGGAAGATAGAGGTGTGGAGGTGTAGATGTACAATAACTGTAAGATAGGACCAGATTATGATTATCTACTTCATACATCCTACATCTCCAGTTTCAGAAAACTTAAACACTAAATCCATTTCTAGGATGTAATAAATAAAGCGACGAGGCTAAAGTAAGATAGACGAACGGCAATGCGCTGATATCACAACACGGATCAAAGATGACAGATGAGAGAACATGCCAAGGACTTGTAAACTTGTACACGGGTCCATAGTGAAATAGACAAAAAGAAGCAAGCAGAGAGCCACACCAAGAGGGAAGAGGATATTCAGAAACGTGTGAGAAAGGCAATTATCAAAAGAGGAAGAAGAATGAGAACAAGATTGATTCTCAACACCAACCACCCCATCTATCCCAGTCCGGGTAGAGCAAATTATTCAACAGGGAGCAAAAGCATAATACAAGAAGGAGCCTGGGTTCTCCGCAGTTCTTTTCTCTCGACAGCAATGTCATGATTGTTGTCGCGCCTGCATCACACAGTGAGTGGCAGGGATCGGAGTAAATGCGCTGTGGGAATCCAAGATTCGACGTCAAAAAAGCCAGAACATAACGCGTGTGGTATAATCCGAATTTTAACAAAGAAATTAAGATGGTTAGCTGAGCACGATCGCTCGAGTGTCGGTGCCGCGAAGGGCTCAACTATTAGTGGCATGGTTCTGAACGGTGACAGAATGGAGGGCTTGGGGATGAAGGGCTTCAGGATCGTGAAATCGTCAACGTCGAGTCGTCTCGTAGTCACGTTCTTCGGAAGATGCTGAAAGTTTCGAACACATAGGATCATTAGGGGTGACGAGGGCTATGTATGAGGGACTCCTCAATATGGCTCCAGTTCGTCGTCCCAATCAACGCCACTGCCGTCGGCGCGAACCATGTGCCCCATCGGATGGGCGTCTGGTTCGTCCGGACTTACGCTCCGGATGCCTTTGGCCTTTTTGCCTGCAAGGGAGCGGATCTGGCTTTCCTCAGGGGGAGCCACTCGTTTCCCGTGAGCAGCACGAAGCTTGGCGTAATAAACGTCGCTGGCGTCCACTTCGGACTCCGATCCGTCATCAAAAGTCTCCCAGTTTTCGGACCCGGAAACTGCGGTGTGGACCGTGGAGGAGTTTGACACTTGTCTCGGCGCTGGTGGAGGGGGCATGCGCTGCAAATATGGGTTTGGCTTCGGATATCCTTGCATCGAGGAGTTCAAGGATAGCGAAGACGCCGAAGACACTGATGATTGAGAGAATCCGGTTGATCGCTGAGAGAACGCGGAAGAGCTAACAAACGAACGCTGGTTACGATCATCATACACGTCCTCGGGGCTGACGGGTCGAACGAATGAATTGGACAAGGCGCTGGCAGATCGGGGTGGCTCAAACAGGTAGGCTGCGCGATCCTCCCTCGACTCCCCACCGGTCAGGGCTCGCATCCTCGGCGGTGGTGCACGAGGCGCCGGCATCTTACCGTTGACCGTGCTGGACGAATAGCTACCTGGAGCGCCCCGGCGCGGGGAGTTGCTTCCGTGTGGCATATTGCTCAGAGGCACGCGAGCTGGGATCTTCGAGGGTGATTTAGCCCCGGCCCGAGTAGCAGCCCCGATGGTGTTGTATTTGGTGGTCGGATGCGCTGTGGGCGTTTTCGAGGCCGAGCGAGGCGGAGGCGGCCCTCGCATGACACTGCCAGGACGAGAACTCATGACACTAGCAGGGCGAGGTGGTTGCGCTTGTGCCGGACGCTTGGCCGTAGGAGTGGGCCCCGGAGTCTTCGAGCGTGGAGGAGGCTTTGCAACAACGGGGGTAAGCTCGTCGAGATACCGTTCTCCATGGACGAGGAATGGCCGGCCATACTCATCCTCCCACCGCTCCAACTCCTTGCGCAAATCACTCTCCACCTTGGGCAACTCCTTAGAGATCCTCTTTCTCATCTTCTCTTCTCTTAGCAGCTTTCCAGGGTCGCGTCTCTCTCCTTTGGCACCACGGGCCATGAGACGGGACGCGTCTTGACTCGAGGCCGCCAGAGCTTCGCGTTCTGCTAGAAGGCTCTTATGCTTCTCGATGAGCTGCAACGTCGATGCGCGCTGTTCCTTCAAGGCCTCGAGTCGCGCAATCTCCGCTTCGTGTGCCTCCAGCAAGGCGTCGCTGCATACATCCGAGAAAGCAGGCGTGAAATCGAGCATCTCTTCTTCGGAGAAATAAAGGCCATCCCAGAGTTCCTGAAGCCGGCATCGGGCATCCTCCACAAACAGGTGCAGATTCTGTCTCTTCAGCTCATTCAGGCGCTCCAATTCCTCCTCAAACTCATTGATCGTCCGAAGTCCACAGCCACGATTCGCGGCCAGGAACGCCTTTCTGTCGCAATCTTCGACTCCAAAGCGTTCCCACAGCGCCTCGACGGCATTCTTAAGATCCTTCAACTTGCGCTCACGGCCCCTCTTCTCCTCCAGTAGCTTTTCACGCTTCGCCCTCAAGCTGGCTAGATCTGATTCGTGGAGACCCAACTGCTCCGGCGATTCGCGGTAGAATTTGACGATGTTGGAATCGGTCTGGACTTGGGGCGTTCCGAGCTCGGCCCACAGCTTGATAATCTCCTCGCAGGTGGTTTGCACAAATTCGAGGCGTCGGTGGTACTCTTCATAAACGCGGGTGAATTCGCTGTCGAGCGCAGTAACGTAGGATGGCGAGAGGTCAAAGCTGGGGGAGATGGTTGATCCCGGCGCGGTTGGCGGCAGTTCAATGGCGACAAAAGTTGGTTCGAGATGCGACGAATACGATTCAAGGGCCTCAACAAGTTCTGCTGCATATCAGTGACGGCGCTTCTTCTGGCGCTGGAAAAGACTTACTCCTGACTTGCTCAAAGCGCTCCTTGTGTAATTTGCTTAACGCGCCGTGCTCCTCTCGGAGGAAGCTGAGACAGCGATTCAGGGGATAGCTGACGCGCAGAGCATTGTGATCAAGCTGGTACTGTCCATTTGCCTTTTCGTCCACCAGAGACTTTTCCATATGTTGGATCGCCGTGATGAGACGCTGCGCCTCACCCTCCATATCTTTCTTCTCGCTGTAAAGAGTCAGTCTTTGCTTCGGAGTCATTAAGTTCAGCTGAGCGCATACTTATCCACAAGCTTGAGATGATTATTCAGCGTTTCCGACAAAGCGCTGAAGAGCTGCTTCCATGTTAGTCGCGAGAAGCGCATAAACATACGACACAACCGACCTCTGCCTCTCTCGAGTCGCGCTCATGGTTAGGGACACCAATGTCATCATAAATTCCGTGCAGCTGAGCAACAATATTGTTGACCTGGGTGGTCAAGTAGCTGGTGTCAACCGCCATGGTGCTGAAAAGTCCAACGCCCGAACCAGGGGGTTGGTTGTTGACTTGCTGATTGGTTTATGTCGATTTGTTTGAGTGCGCGACCGGAAACAAATTCGCCTTTAAAGGGCGGGGGTCAGCGTCATGTAAGCTCGGAGGCGGCGATGCGCCTGGAGGTGGACAGCTGCGAGAAATCACAACAGGCGGGATCGAGACGGCGATTGACAGCGAGCGCCTCACGGAAGGTCGAATGGCATCTGCGAGAACAAGGGACGACCCGCCAGGTTTATGAGCCGGTCAACCAGATGCAGAAATATGCAAGGGTGACGGGGGTGGAGGGGGTTGAGGAGACCGCGGTGGAGGAGGAAGACAATAACAATCTGGGCCGGCCTCCCTTGGGTTTCTGCAGCCGCAATCCCGATCTGCTCGCCGCTCAGGTGCTGTTGAGGGTTGAGCATGTCACCCCGTCGTCCCGGCAACTGCTGACTCAGATGCTCACCGCCCCATTCTGCCGTCATTCAGTCACCGCCCCCCCGCGGTCCAGCCAGCTCGACCTGCCATACTCCGCGTCCTTCAACAATCCAGATCATCACTAGCCACTCCACCCTCAACGTCACCCCATTCAAGATCGCCCCTCTGTCGCAAATCATCCTTTCCGTGATACCTCTCCGCTATCTCCCTTCTCAACCCGACCACACCCGTCTCCACCATCATCATGCAGGCTGCCCAGCAGTCCTGGGGTCCGTACTTACTGCCCCGACCTCCCCCCGCGGTCTCACACTAACCACCAAACCAGAGTTCGAGAATGCCATCAGCCTGATAGACCCGCAACGCGACACTCTCTACCAATACGATGAAGAAACGCACAAGGCCCTCTCCGCCGCCCGCCCCTGGGCCAAAGACCCGCACTACTTCAAATCGATCCGGATATCAGCCGTCGCGCTGCTCAAGATGGTGATGCACGCCCGCTCCGGCGGATCCCTCGAAGTGATGGGCCTCATGCAAGGATACATCCTCCCGGAGACATTCGTCGTCACCGACGCCTTCCGACTCCCCGTCGAGGGGACCGAAACGCGAGTCAACGCCCAAGACGAAGCCAACGAATACATGGTCTCATATCTACAGTCGTGTCGGGATGCAGGGCGGATGGAAAACGCCGTGGGATGGTATCACAGTCACCCGGGGTACGGATGCTGGTTATCGGGCATCGATGTCACTACCCAGGATATGCAGCAACTCGGCGGGCCGTTTGTTGCAGTGGTGGTTGATCCCGAGCGGACTATCTCGGCGGGGAAGGTGGATATCGGTGCGTTTCGCACGTTCCCGAAGGACTATACCCCGCCCAAGGGTCAGCAGGAGGATGATGAGTATCAGACGGTGCCGTTGAGTAAGGCGGAGGATTTCGGTGCGCATGCTTCGCATTATTATTCCCTGGAGGTGTCGTTGTTCAAGAGTGCTTTGGACTCGGAGATTCTGTCGCTTCTGTGGAATAAGTATTGGGTGGCGACGCTGAGTCAGAGTCCCTTGTTCACGACGCGGGATTATGGGAGCAAGCAGATGGTGGATTTAAGTCAGAAGGTGAAACGGGCCACGCGGGGTATCGAGAGTAATGCTTCTCGGGGCAATCTATCGCAGGTCAAGGATCAACAGGTGGAGCGAGTGGCACGCGATGGTCAGCGGATCGTGTCAGAGGAGGTGAAGGGTCTGTTGGCGGCGGAGGTAAAGATGAAGCTCTTCCAGGGCATTGGGGAGGAGAACAACACGAAGACATAATCCACTCGACTTGAGAACCCATGACAGCTAAAGCAGCTCTACGAATGAGATGACCAATTGACGCACACCCTTCCGCCCTATAGATCGAAAATGAAATCTAGAGTATCAAACTACACTAGATCCAAGTCTTGTACATCTGATTACTATTCGTAGTATGTATATAGCAGGTGTATATATCCGCAGAAGAACAGGTCAGTACAAGGAACGAAACAAAGGGGGTAGTAATCATGGAAAAATATTGCCCAAAGCCAAGGCCAATCCGTCAGTAGCCTGCGTCATGATATATCATTATCCGAACCGTAAAGGAGCCTCTGTATGAGATCACAATCAACACCAGGTGAGAGACCACGAGAGCAAGGAGAATTTGTACAGAAAGAGAAAGGACCAAGCCATTGTACAGAGTGATATAGTCAAACACAGTATGCAGAGAGTCAGAAAAAGCCGAAATGCGCTGGACCGTCAAGGTGGACTGGAGACAAACGAAATTGCAGAGTCGTATCGATGTGAGATGGGTCGGGATGGGAGGGACCGGAAGAGAGACTTCAGTTGCGAAAGGAGAGGATGGGACAAGGAACGACAGGGAAGAGATGGACCGGGTTGAAGCCGTAGTCGGAGCTGCAAACATCCTGCCACGATCGGGGGGTGGACAACACCCGTCTTTTCTCACTTTGATGTACCATTTATGGGGCCACCAGTTCGTGAAGACATCTAGTTCAAGGAATGCATTGCCCACGAACACTCAAAGTGACCGATATGGCACCGTCGCTGGCGATATCCCTGTATGCCTTTCAGAGTCATGGTGACAAAGCTTTGCTCAAGCTTGGCGTACATTAGTAGCCAACTGAGGAGATGACGATCGTCCAGACGAAGTCGAAAAACAGTATAGAAAATCTCATAAGACCCAGCTGTAAAAAACTGATTGGCCATGTCGTAGAAACGGCGCGTCTTGGTATCGGCCGGGTCATAGATAAGGGAGGAGCCGTCGGGAGGGCCTTCGGATCGGTGTTCGTCGCTCGCAGGATCAGCCGCTCGAAATAGAGTTGGATGGCGTGGTTAGAGTGAATCTCGATCGCGCCATCGAACATCGTTCCTGCATATGATAGGCTGTCGTCGTCGGGTCGAGTGAATGGACGGTCGACAGGGGTGGCTGGGCAGCACGCGATAAGGAGCCCCGACGGAGAAGCGATAGGCGAGGCTGGCACTACAGGAATCCCGATTCCGACAGCAGTCTACGGGGGAAAGAAGCAGGTTAGTCTCGATCAATCACTCAGAGGTCTTCCACAGCTCAATATTTCTCGACAAATGGCCGCGCCTAGGGAGATCAACCACTGGACCTCGGGAACAGAGCAGGGGATAGGGATGGGGGGAAGAAGAAAAAGCAGAACAGGCGACTTGATCAGCGCGTCGACACCACCATGCTCGCGAGAGTCAAGGCGCTCATGTCTCTACCGGTGTTGGCATACCTCGCAATCTTTTCGTCCTCCCGTTCTCTCGGTTCGACTTCCAAACTCCGATCGTACATATCGTGCACATCGCCGGCGTTTTGCAGGTTACTGAGAATGTAGTCCTGCAACTCATGGACCGGTTGAAGGAGGTAGGGGACGTTCTGGTACTGCTGGATATCGCGAATGACCTCGGCCGTTTTGGCGCGCTTGTTGAAATTGATCAGCTCCGACGGGGTGAGAGATGGGATACCATCTTCGATGAACGTCAAATCTGTCAAGTAGACACCTAGACAACTAGGTTAGTTCCAAGGCCGGGTACCTATAAACTAGAATCTCGAGTAAACCGCATACCGAAAAAGGGAATGCAAGGTGGATTGGCCAGGTGCAGGGTCTCTCGATATTCGCCAAAGTTCTTCGTGCTCGCCATGAGCCGGCGCATCTGTTCCAGAACGGTGGATGTGCGTCCGCTAACCTGAGCCCATGTTCGTCCGAGTCGGTGGATGGGGGCCGTTCCAAGGGCAGAGATAATTGATGTCAGCGTCGAGTAATTGTTGAGGGCACGACATTTCTAGAAAGGTCAGCATTCTACCCTTCGACAAGGCAGGATAGAACTTACATCTGCTACGTTGACAAAGTGCTTGATAACGACCACGCGCTTTTTGACATCTGATTGGTTGAGGATCATCTCCGCAACCCAGTTCGTCAGCTGGTTTGAATGGAGAATCAACGCCTTGACATTCGCAGCAGGTTCCGGTTCGTCAGGCCCGACTTTCTTCTGCCAGGTCTTGTTCAAGCACTCCGTAGGCCGAATCTTCGAATAGAGACGCGACTCAATGATAGTCAGTTGCCGAGCGAACTCGGTAGGGTCGATATCCAAGAATTTCAACTTCTTCATGTTCTTCGGGATAATCGGCGTCGGAGCAGCAGTTGCCTGTGTAGGAACAAGGCGCTTCACAGTATTGTCTTGTCCCCTCAGGCGCTGCTCAATGACCGCCAACAGTTGCGGGGAACCGGGAGTCTTTGTAGTGGCGATCGAATCTTTGGTGAACGCATGAACGTGCTGAAGGAGCGCCATATGAGGTTCGTCATTAGGCTCCATCCAAAAGTTCTCGAACCAACTCTTCAAGATATTGACCACGCGGAACCGGATTGGTTTTTGCTTCCTGTCAACCCACATCTGCATTTCATCCGGGTTGAGACCGAATGGGGGCTGAATGTTGAACCGCTCGGTGAGCATCCCGAAGAGCTCCTCTGCGGACGTAAACGAGCGGTAGGTGAGAAGGAAGGTGTTGTTGAAAGAAGCCTCAAGCTTATCATGGCGTGTCAGCTGTTCCACCAACCCTGCCAAGGTTCCGCACTTCAAGGCTGGCATGTCGTTCTTAGTATCGAAGAACACTTCACCTTCGTGATCCGTCTTCAAAAACCACGGCGTTTCCTCCGGCTCACGAACGGGTTCTCGAACAGGGGGTTCTCTGGGGATGGCAGCCGGAGGAGCTTGTCCAAAGAACCTCTGTGCCTTGTCCATATTGCGTCGCACCTTCTCAGACGTGCCCTCAACTGAGTAGGAAGATGGGATTCCAATGGATTCTGTGGCGACTCCCACTTGAGACTCGGAACGGCTGTGGATTCCCCTGAGCCCTGGGTTCTCTCCGCCCAGGCGACTCTCGGCGCGGAAAACAGCAGTAGGCTCGGGTACCTGTTCGAGGAGCAGTGAAAGAGAGAATCCAATCTGTGACACATAGTTCTCAAGCTGCCGGTGAACACCACGCACGGCATTCAAGCGGTCATCAAGGGAATCGCCGCGCAACTCAGCCCACTCATCACCCAGTGGTGCCGACACGGCCTGGCAACTGAGGACGAAATCGGCAATGGCATCGTAGGTCCTCTGCTTCTGCAAGCTGAAATCGACCAACTGTGGATTCTGGAAGCTGGTCCCGAGAGGCGCCAAGTTGATGGACTCCACCGCTGAAATCCAGGGGCGGAACTGTTCAACAACCTTGATGGCAGCGGTGGCAACGGAATTGCTAATCTCTTGGTGTTCAGCGATCGTGACAATCTTCTTCTGGTTTAGTGTTAAGCGCTCTTCCAGCCGACGGATACTGCCAACAAAGGACCTCCGGAGAATATCGATGTGATCCAGAAGGGTGGCGTCCAAGGTCACGGATGGTTCCGCTCGGGAGTCACTCGCGTCGTGGTCCAGAAACGAGGTCGGACCCGAGTCACTGAGAGACACGCCGTTGTTTTGCCAGCAACCGCCGGAGAAGCTGCCGACAACGAACCCAGGAACGATGCGACGGATAGTCTCGCCACGCTGTTGTCTGGCCACTTCGACATAGCCGTAGACTCCTTGCATCACGCCGTCGGCTTCTTGCAAGCATTTGTTGATCGAATCTGGCCCGGGCCAATCTGCTGCGGCAATGTGGGATGAGAGCACCAGTTTCGAGAATTTGGACATCATGTCCCGAAAGTGGGGGTATAGCGCCTTGTTGGTGGAGATGACGGATGGGTTTCCAGAGTGATTGTCGGTCGTATCTGAGCCAGCTGCCAGCAACATGCGCAGATGGTCGGATATATCTTCCGCTTTCCTCACGTATTCCGAGCGGTCGCCGTTTAACAGTGTTTGCCGATAACCCTCCACGGCGTGGCGCATGTTATCGACGAGCAAAGGCCAGGTCAGCTGAACCGAGACCCCATCGTCAACGAAATGCGACGGGACTTCGGAGGAGACCGAAGGCCTGTGGATGTTGTCGGAGATGGAGTTGTTGCTGCTCGCGGCGGAATCATAGAGCTTGTGCAAGTTGAGGAGGGACTGGTGAGAACTCATCCCGTCGTTGGTGGACTTGGTTGCCGACGGTGGATGCAGCGAGTCCATGGAGGTGGCGGGAGAAACGCCATCCAAGTAGGACTGACGTCTCCGGGACATAGAATCGCGCGAGGTCAGCATCAACGACTCCCCCTCCGCTTCCGAAGCCGAGCCATCGTAATCATCCTCATCGCGTTCGAACCCACGAGCCATCATCTCCGGCGGAGGTCGAGTCTGGTCCGGCACGAGGAAGTTGCTGCGATCATAGGGGCCGGTCTCGTTGGCCGCGGGATTCTCGAACGGCAGCTCCATGGTGCTATAGCCGGTTAGAGTGTTGAAATAGAACAAGCGGCCGTCAGGCGTCGCCTGTGGAATCCAAAAGGCGGCCTCCTCCTGCTCCTGGGGAGCGCCTGTACCCTCGATGGGCAAGATCGGCTGCGAGTCGCGCGGATTGCCTGCTGAGTCGACCTCATCGCCCTCTTGCTCCTCTTCGTACTCCTCGCCGACCCCGGATTCTGCGCTGGCCTCTTCATTCTCGTGCACCTGAACCTGCGATACCTGCTCTTCCAGCTCATCTAGGTCGGTAATCACGGTGCAGTAATTGCTGGGGAACCAGCCCCGAACACTGTTGTCGATGACGCCATCCCACCAACCGGTTTCGAGCTGGTTCAACACCTGGATAATATCTCCCCGACGAAAACTAAGACTGGTGTGGTCGTCTGCATCGTAGTCATACATGGCCCGCACGAACAGGGCCGGGGGCGGTTCGGGGCTGGGCGTGAAGCGCCCATTGGTGGTCATCTTCATGGAAGAGATACGCCGATTGGGCGATTGATCGGCAGCGAGGGCAGGCTGAGGGAAGGATAGACTGTTCCCACGGCTGCGCGGGCCAGTAGTGGGGGTGGTGACTTGCTCCTCGGGGTACTCGAAAGCGGCCGTATAGGTGTTGGTTTTGGTGGCCAGCGCAGATCCGGTATCAACGGCCAATGGCTCTGCCGCCCGGGAATCGAACATCGGGTATCACAGCGATTGACGGGTCCGAAAAGAACGGAGGGTGGAATAAGATCGGCTCGCAGGCGTCCCCGCAACGTATGGCTGGAGGAGCTTAACGAAAGGCGTTGTTCATGACTTTGTCGGCAGGTCACCGAGAAACGAACGAGCGAAGCGGAGGGGCGGTAAACGGAGTCGTGGGGGGTTGCAGAATGACTGCGGGAGTGATAGGTAGATAGCGGCGGTGGTGGTGGTGGTGGTGGCAGGGAGAGCGAGACGGAGGGAGGGGGTCTGAGTGGGATCAAACGGTGGAAATGGGCACGAATGTGAAGCCAGAACGGCGTCAGTTCTGGTCTAGAGGATCCCGGGGTCAGTCTGGCATGGAGTGAGAGAAGAACCGCAGGAAAAGGAGAGCAGCGGCAGATTGTAACTGCCAGGAGAGCGAGGGAGATTTAGGGAGGTTCCGACGGTTTACTAAGTCTTGGGGTGGTGGGCAGATTGGCATTATTGGTCTGGCTGGCGGTCGGGGGGGACCCAATGGTGGAGTGACCATACCGCCGTACCATACCATACATACCAGCCGGTACCACTGCAGCTGGCTCACAGTTCTGTACAGTGCACCGCGTCCAATCTTGTAGAGATGGAGTGTCTGGTTCTTCTGGCAGTCAGTACTCCGTACTAACTGTCATGGTATGCAGTCGGCTGTCAGTTTGATGCCGGGGAGTGACCATTCTACACCGTACCAGCCAACATACTGCACAACACCCAGTGTCTAAAGTAGGTACCAGTCCGTGCTTGCAGCCGGTGCAAGCACAGTTTTCTCTCGTTGATTTCTTTTTTTATCCCTCAATTCTTGCCACCCAACCATTCATCTTGACTCCCTGTAGCCTATCATGTAGCCTATCATTAGCTTAGCGAGACCTCGTGTCTTACCTGGGGAAAAGTGCCAAACCAGTCCACCGCGTGAATTACCCACGTATGCCAGAATACAGGCTCTTACACGGGAACAGCACGAGCCTTCTGAGGCTTCGGATGGCACCGTTCTCCATCGGCCACCACTCCTACCATTGGCAGACTGCCTGGGTAACCACTTCCCCGAACCATGGATGCGAGCGACGCTCTCCGTAGCAGGCAGATCTGTTATTGGCAGCGGACGGTGAGTACGTGCGCATCCGGACCCTAATGGGGCTCTTGGGGGTCACCCAACCTTGTTACCTGAGACGACTCGACTCGACTCCCGTGACGGTACGCTGGTAAGGGCCGAGACTGGCCGTCACAGGTTGGCTGGGCCAGGGGTTGATATTATACGGTGATCATTGGTTGGTGAAGCGTGTAAATCGGGGAGAATTCCAGCCACTGTCTTCTCCTTCGGGTCTCAACCATCACCTGAGAAGTTGGAAATTGGAATCGAGTCCGAGTCCACACCGCACGGCTGGTCCGTTCAATCTGGAGGCATGTTCCGGTAGCCGGTGTGATTAACTTCTTATCCATCCAGCCCACTCGCGCTCCAGTTTACCTATCAGAGTTTCAGCGCTGGACCCGGACCTCCCACTTGGCTGTTCCCCGTTCTCGGTGGGGACGTATCTTGACTCGCGGCGCGCGGTGCATTACAACGGTCAGCTGGCGCTGGCCGCTAAACGCTGAGGTTGGCGATCATGGGGTAATCAAGAGCATAGATACTCGTTCGAAGAGTATACCCATTGATGCTAGCCTTACTGCTAAGCAAAGACATATACGCGATACCTTGCCATAGGATTGGTACTGACCCCTGTCCATCAACCGCCGCGGAAATGCAGGATTTGGGTCTGTGTACGCAAAGCCACCAGGATGATGATAACGTATGATACTGATCAGTAACCGGTCTTGAACGTCTGGTAAGTTTGCCTTCTATCACCAGCTGATGTGCCATGGTAGCTTCAGTTGCCTAGGTTGTCGTGAAAGCACCAAACGCGTACTTTTGATCAATTGATTGATCATATACCCCTGACGCCGGAACAATGATATCAGGACTGTTTGGGTATAATCAATCGAGTGTGACCGAGATTCAAGATACCGCACATACAGAGCTCATGATTGTTATTGCCGATCATCGCTCATTGGCCTCGACGGTAACAACATACGTTTGAATATTGATTGAGAATAGTCTACTGCTTGGGATATGCTCTGAGAATTTCGGTCATATTATAACCGCCGCATTGTGATAATCCAGACAGAACCGAAGACTAGGGTTTATGTCAACATGCAGATGATCTGCTGACAGCTAGCAGGGATGTCGTCTGCATATGATGACTTAATCTTCAGAGATACTCTGCTTACACGTGAGAAACAATTCTATTGTCTACATATCTACAGAGGTTGGACGGTGATTGCCTTATAAGTAGGCTCCAGATATTTCAGTTGACGAGCGATGCATGAGTCTTATCTTCGCTGACAGCTATAGCATGCCATTTATCGTTGAGAAAGAGGTATCAAAGACCACTAGCGACGATAAGGTTATCGATCATGAACATTGATACTTTATGAAGTCGGTCGTTCATGAGCACTGATCCTTGCTGTTAGTATATTTATTATGAACTTCTGAACCTGCATACCTAAGATGAATATATCAAAACTCTCATGTTAGCAGCTACAAGCCTTTCCAGGGGACCTACTTCTGTCAACTCAAATCGAGCACTGTCTGTTCGAGATGTTTGGAGACATGATGCGACTGCAACTCGACCTACTCCCATTGTCACTTTTTGAGCCAGACAGAAGCGAGCATATCTCTCTTAGCTTTGCGATATCTACATCTATATCAAGATATCGAAAGCAAACACTTCTCTCTTCTCTTTGCCTCAAATTAATCCCATTATCGGAATGAAACAACAACCACTCCTCCGTTCACAATCATTGTCAATCTACTAGTTGATATATTGACATCTCACCCTCGAGTCACTCAACCACAATTACATCAACATCCAACATCCAAACAAACCAAGTCTCTACCCAACGTAACAATACCACCATCCATACCCAACCCCATCCTCAAACAATCAATCCAATCCAACCCATTCCAAGTAAAGACATCAATCACTCAATCCTCTATCCCCGAAAGGATGTACACCCGATACACCACCCCTGCTCCTTCTACTCCTTATCGATACCACAACCTCCAAGCCCACCACCACCAGCAGAAGCAGCAACACTAACCGGCCATAATCGGCCTTACCCGCCAAGCCCATCCCTAACCCAAATCCACCCGATCACACAATCGCCCCAACCCATCCTTCTCCAATTCTAGCTTATTTCTACAATTCTAGCCCACCCCACTATCCTCAATCCGGACACCTTCGGCCTAAAACCCACGTGCGTCAGCCATTCTTCGGACTCCGGATACTTATCTAGGTCGGTAAGCCAGATAAGTGCCAGACTGTCAGATGTCAGACTCGGGGTCTTGTTCGCTAGGTCCCCGGGTCGGGGACTAGTCGGGTGTTATTCCGTAGTTTGTTTTGAATTGATGTTAGTATAGGTATGGTGGACTCCACTTTGGTTACTAGAGTTGGTGAAGGTTCCGGGTGTGCCGGCGGGGATATCTCGGCTTTTTTTTATGGATTTCTTGGTAAAGATGGGTTTTATGGATCGGTGGTTGGGGTTGGGGTTGGGGTTGGATTTGGGGGGGAGGTGCATGTGAATATCAACTTGTAAATACGGAGTGGGATTTGAGGTGAGGGTTTGGGTTGGTTACAGGGCTGATTGAGGGCTGATTCAAGGTGTGTATATGATTATTGGCTGATATTGTGGTAACTATGGGATTGTTGGTGAATGTGATTGTCAGCTTACACATCGTACATCGTACATCGCACAAGTAGAGACCGTTGGAGTCTGCAGAATGTCATGTCAGCCGTTCTTACTTGCAGGGGCCGAATGTGTGGTTGTGTAGGGTTGGTTAGGAGGCTGGATGGCTGACGTTGGATGGACGAGTATATGGTGGTAGTGTTGGGTTTTTACGCTTCGTGTTATCCTTGTTTATTACTGTGATGCAGGGCATGTAGGGTAGGGTGCTTATGGTGTTGATGGGTTACAAGGTATGGAGGAGGATATGTGTAACGATATACGAGGAATACTATCTTATCGGGTTGAAAGAGATTCTAGAATCATAGATATATTCTTTAACTAGTCAAGTCACTAACTACTCAAAAGCATATAGTGTTGAATTGCTAAAGAACACAGCACAAGAACCTAACTACATAGTATGTTGCCTAGCGCATCCAACACAGCCCATACCACAAGAAACACATCTCATCTCTCAATAACCTTAACCACTAACTAATACATCCAATGTCTTATAACCTTACATCCCAATCTCCCATGTCTCTCCAGTACCACATACCAAGCACCACCACTCAACACAGATCAGCACGAGGGGCACCAGCAAGGAGCCAACTCAGGGGTAACAAGACACACAGAAGTCAGAAAGAGAGGGAGGGGTAACTCCCCCTCACAGCAGTCGCATCAAGAGCATCTAATCAACTTGATCAATAATCAATCTAATTTGATGGGGCGTTTGAATTTCGGTAATGATTGTCATGGTCATAGGGATGAAGGGGTAATCCCTCTTACCAGTCAGCTACCACACTTGGCAGTCTATCCAGGGATACTCCGTAGATAATACTACAATTATGATAGTAAGAATAATATTATTAACATATCAAGACATGATCAGAAATAAATGAACCCCTGGATCGGATTCGGAGTACTAAGAGTGAGCACGGAGGACACGGAAATGAGCCATGCTGGAGGTCCGTCTTACTCGGACTACCCCGAACCCAAATCAAAGGTGTCGACAATTCGACAACTCGGATTGGGGCATAGTAGTGATAGTAAATAGTTTAAGCATCGAAGAGAATGTACGTCGTACGGGATAATCAAGATAGAATCTAGTACTCCGTACACCGACCCATCATCGCTATTCCAAACAATCGGATGCACTTCCACAGCCCATGAACCAGTCCTCTACTCCGTAGTCTAATCCAAAAGAAACAAAAGTTAGCCGATCACCCTACCGGCCATAATCATCCATCCATCCATCCATCCATCCCGTCCAACTAAAAACAAAAATGAAAAACCAAAACAAAAAAGAACAAAAAAAACTAGCTCCGGAGTACTCACTCTTAGTTAGCCCCAAACTTAACTTCCCAGGCCGCGCCTCGCCATCGCCCCTCCCCCTATTTTTTTCTCTTTCATCAGTTCAGTTCAGGTCATCCACTTGTTTCTGATTTTGCCCGCGGGTCGAATTCCTACTCATCCGGTTGGATGGTGGTGTGGCGCGCAGGATTCATAGGTGGCTTCGAGAAGCTTTGGTTGGATTCTAGGCTCGATGGGATCCAGGCTTCGATGGGATTTTGGATTGGATCCTGAATTTTATTGAGAGGGCGTGGGGTGGGTGGGGGTGTCTTTGTTTAGGATTTGGATTTAGGATTGATTTAGATACGTACGGAGTAGGTGCTTTGGGATGTGGATTTGAAGGCGTGCTATGTAAATGTTGATGGGTGAGTGGATTGGTTTCGGGTTGAGTGTTTGATTGCTTGATGAGTTCGTTGGTTGTCTTAGACTCTTAGGGGTGAGTGAAGGAAAAGTTCTAGGCTAATTTTTCTGACTTGTTTCGAGGTTCTCGGGTTGGGTTACTTCTTTGTTTGTTTTGATTATTGCAAATCTGGTTTCTTGAGTTGAAACTTGAGTTGGGTTGGATGGAGTTTGTCTGTTCGTTTAAGTGGGTGGTGGTCGATGTGGTAGATTTGATAGGTGAGTTGAATTTGTGTACTGTGTAGGAGGGTGGTGTAGCACGTACTTTGTTCGGCTGGAACTGGGTTTATTCTCTCCTTCAGATGTTTGTACTTTGTAGTGGATAGATAGATTCGATAGGGGTTGAACTGTGTAGATGTGGGTTCGGTTGTGGATCGGGTTATAGATCATATTCTTGATATTAGGCCGTTGAATAGATCACTGTTCATTTGGCTATGTGGGACACGGTGCTTTATTTGTAGGTAATTAATTGTATCTACTTTGTAGTGATCAAATACATTTGTAGCATTAATATGAAGAGATGAAAGTAGAATAACTGAGATACATTGTTTGGTTTGGTAGATGATTTGAATATGTCTATGGTATATCCGCAATATATATATAGCTATATATGGGGTACCATCAACCCACTGCGAGACCACAACAATCCAACTAAACAACCAAACCACACTCGAGAGTCGACAGTCTCGAGTTATCCCCCGTGTATGGTATATATCTGGTAAGCGGGAACGAACCATGGAACCATCCGGATACCATCTCCGACCTGACAGATGATTTCCATGGTTTGCTCGATCAATCGAGTACATCTGTTCCTCTGAGTATCTAGTATCTACAGTCGTCGAAATAGTCTAGGCATGATACGGGGCGATAACTAGACTTATTTCGTACACTTACTTTATATAGTCAGTACGGGTCAAACCCACTGGCTAATAACTGCCGATGTCACTGAGTCGAGGACGGGCGGATTAGGTCTAGGGCTAGCAGGCGTCGCACAACGCACAACTGGAAACGAAAAGTGGAGGAAATCTGGTCAGACGGATGTCTGCCGGGTTCGTTTTTCGGCCCTGATAGTCTCATCGAGTGTTATCAGCTCGTCAGCTCGATGGTGGGTCCTCATATCGACCATCGGTGGGTGCCCTTAAGTTTTTGCTAGGACCCGTGATTTCCACGCTCTTGCTCCGTTGCTCTCTTTTGATAGATACTATGTACGGAGACCTTGTTGGCATTTGGCAACAGATTGGTGGACCCGACAGTCCATATTCTCAATGCCATGTGTAAATAGTGCCCAACCCGATAGTATATAGAAGCGGTCAAGAATCCTTCTACAATCATGATCGATCCCCAACGCTCCAACTCGGTGGTGACCACCTTCACCGACTCAGAGGATGCCCGCTTAGGAAATTCCAGACCGGATGGACGGATCACGGACGCCGGCGGCCAGGGTCGCTGCAACCCGCAAAGGTCCTAAAGTGGTCGGGACGAGGAGGCCAGCCGAGATAAGTAGACTTCCTGAACTTCCTTCTAGCCTGCCGATGCTCGCTAGTGTAAGGGCCGGGCTCGGGGAACAGGTTCCTGAATTCCTGCAACGGTACCTAGTGGAGCAGAGACGCCCTGTGGAAATTCAATTGCGCATTCAATAGCCATCCAGGTCGCCAACGATCGACTGCATCGGGTGCAAAGGAGGAATAGAACGGGTAGCTGCAGGCAGGGTGTCCTTTCTTTTCGAAACTGGTTTTTGCGCGCCCCCTTTTCCAGTGTCCACCGACGTGAATGTTCACGACATCGCCCGGGAGCCGCCGGATCACTGGAGGAATGAAGGACACGCTCGCGCCGGAGAAAACTGAGCCTGGATCGGAAATGATCGATCATGGATGGAAGATCGGTATGTACGGGAGATTTTGCACTATTGCCCCCTCCTTGGCCCCGTGCGCCAGCCTAGGAAACCGGTGCATGGCCCGTACGCAGGTGCTCGAATTTGCTCGAGATGAAGCGACCCATCCAAGGTATCTGCTCGACTCTATCACCAACTGGCATCTGACTGAGTCGCGTTCCTGACTGCACTCATAACATCCTTTCATGAGATACAGGACAGGCGTTGACTGGGTCGGACCGCTGCATGGTCTGGAAAGTGGAGCGAGGAATCCTCCTAGGTACCAGGGTTCTGGCAAAAAGGGCGGCTGGACGTGTAAGAGCCAGCCGAGTGTCTGACTTCTGCGGCCATCTTTTTCCGACCTTCTCAAAAGCGTAAGCTCTCCGTTCACCGCTCTATTCCTGCACGCCGAGCTCCTGGCAGATCAAAGCGGTGAGGCCCGCGTACGTAAGAATGGGTGCTCAGGCACTAATGCTGATTGGGAGTCGGGGGACTGCAGCTCGATGGAGTCTGTGATTACTGATTAGGGCTGTCTATCATGACAAGGGCACAGGTAGGGATCCTGGTGAGGTGAACCGAGATAGATCAGATGGCAGACGGCCAGACCGAGATAACAGAGGGTGACATGCATGGATACATCTGTACATAGTAGTCTGCATCATCGAATCGCCCCTCTCGAATCTCGAGATGGAGATAGATAAACTGATCATTTCTCGATATCGGATGGAGGCGTCGAGGCGATCCTCCTGGGGTACTTTTGTGCCCCCTCATGGTCATGTGTGTTTCCCTAGTAACTAACCGTGTCTGGTGGGGTTGGTGGTCCACCGCGATGCCCCACCCGCATGCCGGGATTTTACGGGAACCTTCGTGGTGGTGATAGGTACGATGGTCAAGAGTCGGAGGACAAGAATAGCCTTTGGTCCTGCGGTCTGGAATGAAAAGAGTCGACCGTTGTAATCCTGGCTGAAATACCACCGACTTCATTCCATGGCCCGGTCGATATTCAGGACACACGCCAATCAGTCGGGGACAACTATAGCCAAGGACACGCCGGAACTAAAGTCTCGTCCAGCGTCATCTGACCGCGGCATGTACGTATGTAATCATTCCCCCAGTGGAGCGTTTACTCTGGCCGGCGACGCGGAACGAGGGCGCGTCTCCGAGTAGTAGGATCAGTGAGGCTGGTTAGGCGCGACTGCGGGCGTGCAGGCAGCCACAGGGAATCGTCGGGACTAACTCGCTCTGTATAAGAGCCGAATTCCCCATGCCACTTATGCAGCTGGAACTAGGTAGGTAGTCGGTGTTAGGTTGACGCATCGTCGGCTTGGATGCCAAACTGCCAAAAACAGAAACAATAGTGTTTGGCGATGATGCAGTCTTGCATCTTTAAAGGGACCAGCTGGATCGCTCCAGAACCAGGTGCCCGCTGTCTCAAGCTTTTGCATCCCATTAGCGTGGACTGACCGAGGTGTTCTTGTCCCACAATCAAGAACACCCTCAGGTGTTTCGTAGTCGTCAGGGGGGGAAGTGCGGCGGGGGTGGGGTTGGAAAGTCAAAGGAAGAAGAAACACCATGGCTTTCTTCATCGGCTGACGCTGTGGTCGTGTTGGCCGCCGGAGCAGCTGACCCAAGCTGAAGGGCGAGGCAAACCATGCGCCGGGTTGAACCTGTTGAACCTCTGACCACCGTCCCCCAGAGCATCGAGCGATTAGCTTTCCTGCGGTCTTTTCTTTTACCCATTTCGTCCAGGGGACGTCCAATGGAGGCCGAGGCGTGCCAGAAATTAGGGATATCTGTCTCTAGACTACCGATAGACTGGGCGATGATCTGTCAAACCGAGAGACATCACATCGTCAGCAATATTCTCCTATTGCTGCGTGATGACGGGTGGCTTGTTTCCAGCCAAGCACGCTTCATCGTCTGATATCTGGCGCTGACTTGGCAATTTCTGAAGCTGTTGGTTTGCGAACAGTCTGTAACTACACCATTCTCCGTAGTATCTATTTGTATTCCGTATGTTGAGAGTGGAATACCGATCCTCGTCATCGTGACGGATGGGTCTGGACTCTGGAACAACGGCAGCCCTCGATTGAAGATCCACCGGGGCTAGTTCTACTCGTAGTTAGACCGGATAACCCCATTCACATTTTGGATCACAAGGAAATGAAGTCATCAACAGCCTTGCGGCTGGTCACCGATTATCAAATCACTAGTGGATGGTCTACGTAGGGGTTACCGACGGTGATCCTGGCGAGCTGATTGCCCAGGAGGGGTCTGAGAGGGGAGCGAGGAGGGGGTTGGAGGGGATCGAGGGGATGGATCGAGGGGTAACGGCCATTTCGATCCGTGGGTGGCGGGAACGGAGCAGTCGGAGGGGTCCCAGTACTCCGTAAGGACGGAGGAGATGAGCCTGGGAGGGGAACCATCCATCGGATGCGATCAAAAAAGGGATACGGAGTAGATAGATAATGGAAGGATGCGATGAATACGTAGGTACGATCAGCATGAGGAATGGGAATCCATTTGGACGAATCGTCCACTGACCTGGATGTGTGTGTGAAGAGATTCCGTGGTGGAAATGAAGGGAGCCCATACACGAATCATGTCGGCAGAGCTTCTCCGTGGCATTTCGATGGTGCTGGATCCCTGCCGGAGGGGCAAGGGGGGGCTGACGAGGGGCGAAAAATTTGAAAAAGAAGAGAGGGGAGGGGGTCGTGGTGGGTGTGCGCACTGGTGGGTGTGTGTGGGCAATGGACCGACGATGGATTCTCAATTCAACCTGCTACCTGGCCTAACCGCTTCCAGCCTGACTCCCTTCTCCTCCTCGTCCACTTCTCTCCCCCCCCGATGATGACTTTGATTATTACTGTGGACCAGTGGCATGCAATGACCAAGATACATCGAACTGGAATTGTAGTCTAATGCGGTGCCCTGACCTCTGGCCACAATGATAGCATCTACCTGTCTTTTGGACGGCCCCGCAGCCGACTGTACCAAGTTTGCGGTTCTGCGCTGTCAGATAGGGATGGGCGATAGGGATGATGAGGGCCGATTCTCCTACTCCCGACTCGGTTATTGTCGAGAACTACAGCAAGTAGTCCGAATCATCCATCAGTCATCCAGTCAAACCGTGCTAGTGTGTCTGCCTCGAGGTTACTAAGACAACCTGGAGTCTTGCCCTCCTCACTGCACAGTATCCATCGAACTACTTGTACCCACTGAACAAAGTTACATACCATACCGTATGGAGCGGGCTTCATACCAGCCAACCCCACTATGAAATAATGTCGAGGAGTTGAACTGTTGAAGAGAATCGATCCGAGCTTCCTGCTGGTATGGCTCTGCTTATACTAGTAGGCTGGTGAATGTGCTTCGCTGGTTAATTTTCTTCGAGAACCTGCGAAGCTGAGCGAGAGACGCCATCACTAAACAGGGATAGGATCAACCCTAGCAGGGAGACTGTATCTGACGGCTGATCAGGAGGGGACGGCTGAATAAGGATTTTGAATCACCACGATAACCATGATCAGAAGTCTGTCCAGATCACATCATGAGTCTGGATAACCCACCAGGGGAAACATGTAGGATGCTGCCCAATGTTGTGCATATGAAGAGTGATTTTTCTTTTTCTGCTCGGGTTATTTTCTCGGATATTGCGAGGGGGGATTTTCTCTCTTTTCACCATTTTGCCTTTTTCGCGCTGCTGTCGTACTTCATAGTGTGTGCAAATGGAAAATGAAGAGTGGATAAGATTCTCCCTCACATCGACCAAGACCTCTAACAAACGGTCGATTTCAGCCAGTCGAAGAGGAACCCCGGCTGAACCGGGTTGACGGGTTGGAACTTACTACTGTACGGCCCATGTGGGCTGCGGTGGGCTGGGCTGCTTTGTTTTGTTGTCTGTTCTTGAGTCGGTGTTATTTTTTAATTTCTTTAATTTCTTTAATTTCGAATTATTTTTCGATTTCTTTTCTTTTTATTTTTTTTGCCCTTTCTTATTTGCTTTTTTTCTCTTTTCGAAATATGGGTCACAGAAGGAAAAGTGGACGTGTCCTAACCGGGTTCCGTTTAGCCTGGTCGCGTCGTTAGTCAGAATGGGCGACGGGGGGGATGATTGGGCGGCGGGGAATGACGCGGGTGGCATTATAGGCCCCAGTGCGTGGGCGAATCCGGGGACTGGCCTGTTCGCTTGTTTTCCCCCTCCGTCAGTCCCGCCGGCAAGCCCCTCTTTCCCGCCTCCCACTTCCCTGTTGTCGCTGCGCCGCTCGTCGCCCAAATCGCCAACACCGCCGCTGGACACGACCGCCTCACTGTCGCGATCCAGCGATCGCCCGAGTCGTCCATCGGCTTGTGCCCACGTCCTGGCGCGACTTGCTCGCACTCGCCCACACCCACACCAACTTTCCCTCGTCCCCCCCCCTCGCTCCCTTCCTTTCGACCAGGCCTGACCAGACTCCCGCTACTCACAAACTACTTTCTCCTCATCCATTCAACATCCCCCTCCTCCTACCATTCTTTTTCTCTCTTCCTTCTCTTCTCCTCCCTCTTCTCAACGCCTCCCTCCCCTCCCCTCCTCCTCTTCTTTCTTCTCTTCCTCTTTCCCTGGGTCAGCATTCAACATCTTGCTCTCTTCCTTTTTCTTTTCTCTCTTCCTTCTTCTTGTTTTCCTTTTCCGTTTGTCCCATCCCATCCTTTCGTATTGCCCCCCTCCTCGGCTTAAAGCTCCCACCATCACCACCACTATTCCCCCCCTCGTCCGCCTGTGGCTGGACCCCCTTCCTCGACTCAACCTGCTTCCCAGTATTCTCCCACACAAGGAATGATCAGGCACCAAACCGAATCCCTGTCGTCTACCCGCCTACAGAACCGGTGTGAAATCACAAAAGGGACGATAGCGCAGTCTTCGATCGTGTCGTTGTTCTACTGAGAATAAACCGTGGTTGTGCCCTCGCTGCAGTGTTAGAAGCAATGGCCCCAGCCGCATCCTCCCAGGCGACCAACTCGCCCGCCAAGAAGACATCAGCCCCAGAGAAGAAATACAAGTGCCAATTTTGTAATCGCGCCTTTAGCAGAAGTGAACATCGCAGCAGACACGAACGTTCGCGTAAGTAGAGTGTTTCTTTGGTCGCCTTCCCTTCGCGCGGGCATCTGTCACGCCCGCTTCGCATAGGATGCGTTTTCGTCCATAGTTCTCGAGGGCCCGCACTAATCTTCGCTGCTCTTTAGATACCAAGGAGAGGCCGTTCAAGTGTCTGAAATGCCGGAGTACCTTTGTGCGCCGAGATCTACTCCTTCGTCATGACCGCACTGTCCACGCAAAGGACGGTGGGATACCGCTAGTTTCCGAGGGTCGTCGACGTGGTGGCGCGGGCGTTCAAAAGACGTCCCCCGCGCCCGGCCCGTCTAAACCTTCGATTACGATTGATCCTGCTACCCTAGAACAAATCGAGGCGAGCAGCGACGGTATGGTTGATCTTGAAACTGCAGCTATGTTGATGACAGATTTCCAACATAAAGCCGCAGCCGCCGCTACGGGTCAAGCCAATGATCGTGCTGAATCGGATCGCTCCTATTCCCCTGGACGCGGTTCGCTTCTCGAGCCTCCGGTCTCGTACCTGTCGGGCAATGCGACGTTGCCCCAGATGCCTTGGGATACGCTCGTTTCCCCTGCGGACACGAAACATCACCCGATGGGATCCCCGTTTGTGTCGCAAGAAAGTGGCTCCGAGTCGCATACGCTGTCGTCGGTCATGGACCGACATGGTGCTGTGGGTGACGCCCTGGCCCCTTCGTTGCACTCTCTGGTCAACTCGCTGCCGATGTCTGGAAACTCGACCCCGAATGCCCTGTCCCCGTATCCCTCTATGACTGGACCCGTTAGTCCGGTGAACTACCGTCGGTCTCCAGGACCTAGCCAGGCTTTGACGCTCCCCAAGGCCCCGCAGATCGTCAATGAGATCGAGCGCAACATGATCGTCGAACGCCTTCAGAATGTGGATTCTCTCAGTGTGCTTCCGGAGACGTTCCAGCTCCCATCGACCCCGGCTCTGAACAAGTACCTTTCGACGTATTTCAACCTGTACCACCCTCACCTGCCGTTCCTGCACCAGGAGTCGTTCAAGCCTACCTCGGTCTCACCGCCATTGCTCCTCGCGGTCCTGTCGATCGGTGCTTTGTACACCTTTGAACGGCAACATGCGTTCATGCTTCACGTGGGATCCAAGATGCTTGTCAACCAGTTCCTGCAACACAAGGATAACTTTGACTCCCGGAAATGTCCTCTGTGGGCGATGCAGAGCACGCTGTTGAACATGATCTTCGAGAGCTGGAGTGGTGATCCCAAGGGCCTCGAATGGACCTGCTCGATCAAGAGTCTCCTTGCGAACGTAAGCCCCCCCTCTTTTCTTAAGATTGAAGTCATGCTGATGATCGCAGATGGTTGCCGGAAACCGTTACCAATTGAAGCTCCGGACCGAAGCGCGCGAGGGTGGTCAGCCAACTCGGGAGGAGTGGATCGAAGACGAGTCTTGCCGCCGGACGTACTACGCGGTGTACATCTTCTTCGGCATGCTCACGCTGACTTTCAACCACACCCCGGCGATGAGCTTCGATGAATTCGACAACCTGGAGCTGCCTTCCTCGGAGTCCATGTGGAACCTGGACGTGTCGGATGATGAGGCGTGGCGTCGTAGCTTGGCTGCTTCCTCACCGCTTACTGTGCGTGAGGCTCACGACTGCCTGTTCCAGGGCGAGCAGACGCGTTACAGCGCTTTTGCGACCCGTGTCTTGATCAACGCGCTGTTCCTCCAGGTTTGGAACCACAAGAGGAGCTTTGAGGCCCTCCAGGACGTGGTCACTGAATACAAGCTCCGTCTGGCGCTGGAGACATGGGAGAGCTCGCTTGAGGTGTGTGAGCCGGAGACGATTGTCGTGCCGCTCAGCACGCCTCAAAAGGGACACCCCTTGATCTTCAACTCGATGGCGGTCTACCGCAACACGCGCGCTCGCCTTGAAGTCGATCTCAAGTCCATCCAGGAGGCCCTGCGCTACCACTCGTCTTACGAAGTCGCGGCTGCGATGACTGTCGCTCGCGAGAAGGTCAAGCGGTCTCAGGAGATGAACAAGGTGATCCAGTCTTGCTTCGAGTGCATTGAAATCGCCGCCGTTCAGGGCATCAACTGGGTCGCCAAGACGTCGGCTACCAACTGGAGTGTCGAGCACCCGCTGTGTGGCTTGGACTTGATGGTCATCCTCAGCCTCTGGCTCTATCGCCTGGAACATGACGAAGAGCCCGCGACGGAGGCCGAGATGGCCATCTACAACAAGGTGCGGAATCTGTTTGATGACGACGCCGTGGATGCTTTTGGAAAACTCAGCTCTACTGTGGCCCGTGTATGGGGTAACATCCTAGACGGGGTTGTAGTTTGGGGGTAAGTCTGCCGAAGGTTATGTTGAAGGCCCTCGATGCTAATATGTGATAGAATTACCAAGCTCATGGGCGAATCGTTCAAACTGCATTCTCAAGCCTTGGTCGGCTACGAAGACTCGCTGCGAGTTGCCAAGGACCAGCCTATTCATCCAATGCCGACGAAGACGCTTGCCAGCGTCGGCACGGCGTACTAGTCTCACTGTTTCCTCGCTCAACGGGTATAGCCCGGTGAGTCTTTCTTTTGCAATCACTCCTTGGCATTGGGCACTGGATTTCGGATTTCGGGTCGGGAACGACGGAGCCGGCGGCAGGGTGCTATGATCTGACTGCCGCATGCTCTTGCAGGCGTTCCTGGCTCATTTGATTATTTTGCAACGTCTTTTATTGCGTTATGGTTTCGCAAGAGCTCACGGGAGTCCGGTGTGGTCTTTTCTTGTTTTTGTGGGTTGTTTCCCAAGGCAACATCTCGACACCCGGCTGGTCCGTGTTCATCCTAGCACTCGGTGGAGTTGTTGTTTTTGCCTTCTATACGTCTTCTACGCCTAATCCTTAGTGCCTCTTCTACATTGCGCATCAGCGTGTTTGTCAATTGCCACGACGGTGGCTTTTTTGATACCTTTGTTCGTTATATACTGATTTAGTCTGCTTCGAGACCTTCGTTCATATACTTGATCTTATTTGGCTGTTTAATGGATGTTTGTTATGTGTTTATGTGTCCCGCCTGATGTCTCCGCTCTGTTATTGCGTGCGTGCGTTGAAGATTTGTTAATTGCACATGCTTGAAGTAGTTCTTGTACCATAGTAATTTGCAATATAGTGTTGGCGGGACAGCTATGCAGTGTAGACGTAGCCAGATTCAGCTCTGCAGATTCAAGGTATGAACATGTTGAACTGTTGGAGTTATTCGCAAGTGGGTCAAGCGGTGGATCGGCGGGACGGGTGCTTATCAAGGATCGCGGGGATGAAGCTGAAGCCTGGAATTTGGGATGCCGGAGATCACTGGACCTGAGCAGGTGACTACCCCTCACGTTCTCCCCACTCATACCCTATCAGTACCTAACATAGCCACCTATCTACCAGCTACTTAGTACTTCTCTCCCTTCCTGATCCCTCCAAGTCAACTCAATTCTATCAATCAGTCAATCAGTCAATCCTCCAATCTATCGATCACAATCAATCATGACTCTCCCCTCGAACGTACACGTCTCCTCCCATCCCCTCCTCCAAGCCAAGCTCTCCCAGCTTCGATCCGCATCGACCTCCACCCGCGAGACGAGGAGTCTGGTCCATGAGATTGCAACCATTCTCAGCGTGGAGGCGTTTGCTGCGGGATGGACAATCAAGACGTCGGGGACGGTATGCCCCTCCCTCACTATGAATAGAGTTATGAATAGAGGGTATAGGGATGCTTAAACTAAATGAAATGAAGGACACTACCCCCCTCGGCACCGAGTATCAAACGAAAGACATCGATCCGTCGGATATCGCCCTCGTGCCGATTCTGCGGTCGGGGTTGGGGATGATTGAGGGTATGCCTGACTTCCCCCTACCTAGCCTTTCTCTGTTTCTGTTTGCATAGCAATAAGCACCATCACCTACAGAATAGGAAGGATACTAATACTAATACTAATAACAGCAATAAACGCCCTCCTCCCCACCTCCATCCCAATCTACCACCTCGGCCTCTTCCGCGAACGTCTCACCCTCCAACCCGTCGAATACTACAACAACCTCCCTTTCCAACCTACCAAAGACGACACCAACACTAATACTGCTGCCGCGTCGACGGCCATCCTCCTCGATCCCGTGATCGCCACCGGCGCGACAGCCGAAGCAGCGATCCAGTTACTGCGTGAATGGGGCGTGCAGCGCGTGGTCATGTTGAGTGTGTTGGGGTCGGAGGCGGGGGTGGTGAGAGCGGCGGGGACGTGGCCGGAGGGAGTGGAGGTGTGGACGGGGGCCGTGGATGAGAGGTGTGATGAGCGGGGGATGATTGTGCCGGGGTTGGGGGATATTGGGGATCGGTTGTTTGTTGCGATGGGGAAGTAGCCGTGCTATCTATCTGGGTGGGGGGGGGTTGTGGGTATGGATGAATGATATGAATGGGATGAATGGGGTTAGATTGTTTTGTTAATTCAGTTGAGTTGAGGTCAGTTCAATTCATGACAATATGCACTAAATCATAAATAAGAGAGCGAAAGACAGAAGAAAGCCGTCTCAATCCCTACCCTACCCCTGAGCAAACCCCTGCTGGCTACGACCATGACCATGACCATGAGCACCTCCATGACCCCTCCCATGCCCATGCTGCAAAAATCCCAACACATCCATCTCGACCCCCACCTCCGCATCCACATCGGCATCCATCTCCATCCCCATACCACCCCCATCATTCCCCCTCCCCACTCCACTCCCCCCCACCCCAACACCCCCCTCAGGACCTTTCCCTCCCCTCCGACTATGAATATTAATCATCCTGGCCGGCCCCAAACTAGGCGACCCGATTTCCATCGCCGTCCCCATACCCGTCGTCACTGCAACCCCGATTTCGTTTCCGGGCAGGGGCTGTTGTTGAATATACGGATTATGAGATGAAGATGCGGTGGCAGTCGCAGTAGTGGAAAACTGATTCATCATTTTCTCATGAATCCCGCCTCGTCCGTGATGAATGCCCCGGTTTAGGAGCATTTCGCGGCGGAGGGACTGGGCGTGTTCTTCGCGGGTTTCGGCGGCTATTTTTCCCCCTCGCCTTTTTATTAGTATTTGTTTTTAATTTGGTGGGGGTGGGTGAGATGAGAAGGGGAGGAGGAGGTAGGAAAGTATAGATGAAAAGGACGTGAAGGGGAGGATGGCATACCGCGCCAGAAGTACACATACACAGCCATCACCACGAAACAAGCCGTGAGGAAACCGAAGAGGACGCCGAGTTCGTGGCCTAGGGAGGTCATGGGGGTGTAGGGGGGGATGTTACTTGGGGTGTCTGTTTCGGTGGTGGTGGTGGTGGAGTTGGACATTTTTGTGTTGCTGTTGATAGTGTTGTTGTTGTTGATGGAGGTATGTAGATGAGGGATAGGTAGGTGGTGGTAGGCTGTTGTGGTTATTAGGTGATTGGATTGGTATGGTTATTGTAGGAATAGAGGTGGTACATCAAGGCTGTCTTTGTTCATCGCTCGTATTCACTTGACAAAGAACGGCAATTTATCCATTGGCTCGGCACCTAGTACGACCCGACTGCAAACCAAGCAATAAATTCATAAGGTAATAAATACATCATCAATAAATATAAGGCCCGCAGGCCAGAATCCAAGGTATCATGTACACGTACAAGAAGCGTAAAAAAGTGACCCGGTCTATACATGGGTATGAATCAAGCAGTAATGCAGCTCCGAGGAGAAGAAGAGAAGAAATGCAGACTGCCATGTGGCCGTCCGATCGAATGCAATGCGAACGCTCGTAGCAAAAGCGACCCGCGGTCGCCAAAGACTGTCGTGAAGTAACTCCGAATGCAAATGGTGTATAGAGAAGATAGTGGTGGTGGTGTCACCCCAGCATCACCGCGGCCAGAGCTGTACAGGTCAGCCCGATGGCCATGCCGATCCAAGGCGTTTGTCCGAGGGTGCCTTCACTCCGTGCGCGTAAAGCCTTGGTCTTTCCGGTCGATGCCGCCAGCGTGCCCAGTCCGATCGTTCCACTGGCAGGTTCCGGCCACTGGTCCAACACCCGTGTCGCGTCGGTGTCTTCAATCCCAACCTCTTCTTGCACCGTGCGGACCAATAACCTCACATCGTCGTCCGTATTTGACGGGGTGGGAATCTGCGGCAACGGGGCGGGCGGATTGGCATTCGGCAGGGACGGCGTCGGGGCGACGGCGGGTGGTGCCTGATCAGCCTCAACGGCGAGGGCTATCGTCGGGACGAGACAGAAGATAACTGTGGAGGGCTTCATGGTGGTGGGTGGGTGGGTGGAGAGGAGCGAATGCGACGGAGTGTATATATATAGGCGGAGTAAAGTAAACAATGCAAGGCTGTCGGACGGCCGAACGTGCTGAACCCAACTCGTGCGAAAATCCACCCCAACAATCCGAGTCAACAATACGAGGGTCGACGGAGGCTGCGAAACCTGAAACCGAAAGCGAAACAGATGCAGAGGTCGAGGTAGTGCGAAGTATGTAGTGAGCGTAGGGCTCTCCTGAAACCGCCCGAGTCACTGGGCGAGTTGAGCAAGGCAACACAGGAGGACAACGGCAACGACAGTGAGGAATCACAACACAACCACCGCAGCGGGTAGCAGCAACAGCAGCAGCAGCAGCAACAACACAACAAGCAGCAATGCAAACCGAACCAAGTGAAGGGATGGGAGGAAGAAGAAGAAGAAGAAGAAAAGAAGAGAAGAGAAAGGCAAAGGGGGAAACGGCCAGGCGCTGACAGGCCAACGGGCCCTGACCCTGTTGCAAATTAGTGGAAATTTAATTCCACTTAGCGTTGGCGCCGACCTCCTCCCCTTCCTGTTGAGGACACGCCCCACCCCACTGGCCCCTAATAGTGGGTCGCCCAGCTGCAATGGCCCCGGCCACTAGCCCCCTGATTGGTTGCGGTCCAGCCGTGTCAGCACGGGCTGGGACTAGCGTCAGTTGATCGATGTCTCGTGCCACTTACAGAAGCTTGTCAGGGATTACTGCGGTGGATCCCAGGCACAATCCCTGCAACAATCGACCACAGAATTTGCCCGATTTGACGAGGGTCTGGCCCGGGTGGCCAATCAGGGGCAACACATACTCCACGCGAGGGCGCGTTCATTTCCCTCCATTGGCTGTGGAACGGGCTGGTCGGGACGATGCTGCGGTAGGGCAGAGCGCATCGCCAATCGGGCTGGTGGGACGCCAGGCCGGCACTACAGCCTTTACGGCCTTCAGGTGAGACATTAATTTGCAGGAGATTACACAATACGGAGTAAATCAGGAAATCCTGCGATATTCGGGGTTCTTATCTACGGGCGTACATCCAACATGACCACCACAATCGACATACTATGTAGTATCATCTAGCTCCTCGAACCTTGTCGGAGAATTGCGTGGTTCACAGTTGATGCTAATTCAACGCTAGTCCTTTATTGAAGCCAATGCGCATCTCGCGACGATCCAGCCCATCCCGTACGGGGTATCTACATCAGTCGTGACACATGGCCAAGGGTGGCATGCTCTTACGTATGCCTCGCTGGGCAGCCGGGAATGGCGGGATTCATTGGCGGTTTCAAGGCCAGCAACCTCGCATTGATCGTCCATAATGACAGTTCTATCTTTATCCAAACATCCGATCGTCATCGTTTCCCGTCCCAGCCATCCCGCATGACGTAAACCGAGTGCCCTGCCTCCAACATATTCACCACACCACCACCACACCACAACACCGCCATCAACATCCCCAGCCTGCTCCCCAGCTTGCTCCCCACCCGTCCTGTCACAGCATCTTCCCCCAGTCCGGTGTAACCGTGAACTTGCCACTCAGCTGGCCCATCGCCCACACCTTTTTCTCATCATCTGGGAACTCCTCGTCCGCCGCGCCCGGCGGGGTAGACACGATCAACGCTTCCTGGAGAAAGTCCACCGCTGTGGCCCGGTCCAGCTCGAAGCTGATGCCTCCCCAGTCCATCGTCACCCGACCTGACGCATGGACGTTCAGTTTGCCTGCACGCCCCGCGCTGAGACCCCAGTCCGCCGCCGTCACCACCTTAGACGAGCTCCCCGTTGCCCCGGCATCCTCCCCGCCGTCCAGGATCTCCACGCCGTCCTCGCGCTTAACGCCTGCTGGCTCCCCACTGCCCTCCGGCGCAGACGGGCCGTTCGTCCCGGTCACGTCGCCGGCAGCCGTCTCGCTGCCCGGGACCACCAGGTTCGGCGTCATCGGCGGGAACTGCATCAAGAACAGCTGTCCCGCCAGTTTGTCCTTGTTGGTCTCGTCCTCCTTCTCTTCCTCGGTGCCTTCCTTGTCCTTGTCCTTCTCCTGGTCATTCGCAACCACTTCCGGAGTCTCGCCCTCGGCCGGCGCCTCCGGTTGTTCAGGCTCGGGCTCCTTGTGGAAGAGGTCCTTGACAATCTCCAGGTCTTGCTCGTGTCGTTCGTATTCCTCGATATCCTCCTTCGTGCGTAGTAAACTCTTCGGGTCCTTGACCGTAGGGGCTTCCAGTTCCGGCTGTGGCGTCGCCTCCGTCGACGGGGGAGTCAATTTCCTGCGCACCTTAACCTTCTGCACCGGGAGCAACCCATCGTCCGTCGTAGCAGGCTCCTCCACATGCGGCACATCCGTCATGACCTGGTCGTCATCCGTAGGCTCAGCCTTGACCTTGGGCTCCCCCTCCTGTGTAGAATCATCGTCCTCCTGCACAAAGAGCGCATCATCGTCCTTCGCCTGCGCCTTGGCCTTCTCGCGCAGCTCCGCCGATTTGCTCGAGCTCGACTCCATATTGACACTAACCACGCGCTCCTCATGCTCATGTCGCTCGACCCGAATGGGCCGCAACCCTCTCTCCGCATCCGCGTACTTCACCGCCGCCTTGCCCTTCTTACTATCCACCAGCGCCTGATCCTCATCCTCATCGCTATCCAGATTAATCTGGTCAATGCTGACGCGCAACTCGCCATCACTCTCATCGGACGAGACATCGCGACTCGCCGCTGCACTCCCCAGATCAATGACCGAGCGACTGCGTCTCGACATGGACGAGTGTCTCGAATCCTGCCCAAAGCGACCCCCACGGCCCCTGCGCCCAGTCATGCCCGACCCCAACGGCCCAGCCGACCCCATGGGTCCGCCGCGACCCCGACCAAACCCGCCTCGACCGCCCGGTCCGCCCTGGTCCCGACCGCGCTGGATAGCCGCCGCCTCCTTAAGTCGCTCCCGGTGACGCTCCGCTTCAAGCTTCTCGATCGCTTCTCGCTCCTCCTTACTGCGACGGCCGACGGCGCGCGGCTTGTATTTGAGAGTGGGCTTGGCGGGTTCGCCGGGGCCGGCGGGTGGCCCTGCCGCGGCCGGAGGCTTCGCGGCCGGCCCGATGCTGCCGGAGGGTGTGCGCTTCTTGAGGGATTGGAGCCGTTGGACGGGGGCTCGCCCGGGGACGGCGGTCTGAGAGTCGCTGGGGGTGGCGGTGGACGCGGGACTTGCTGAGGCGGTTGCGGAGGCATTGGCGCGGCTGGCTGCACCGGCCGGTGCTCCTCGTCTAGGAGCACCTTTCGGAGGCATGTTGGGGGATGTGAATTTGCACGTGCGATCGATCAGGTGTGCAGATGGAGGGGGTGAATTCGGAGATTACGTCAGGATATCGCAGTGAGCACGGGATTGTAGGTATGTGGATTGCCAAATCAATGAGAAAGGGGAGGAAGGATAGACAGGACGTGAAAGAAGATGCAGGTGGCTGACGGAGGACATGGAACTTTTTGCAATGATCCGCGCCGCTCGGCGTTGGAGAAAAAAAGGAAGTGCGCGCCTAAGGCCGGCCATGCGGGGCAGCCAGTCAGCGCTAGCCCGATTCGGACGCGGGTTGGAGGCCATTTCCAGCGGCCATTCACGGACGGGTCGATGGCTCAAGCTATTGATCCCATTCACTACATCGAGTCAATCGATCGCGTTGCTTTGGACATGGTCTATTTCAGATTCGAAGTGAATTGATCCGACGATCAAATCACCAGCCTCAGCACCTCTGAAGATCAATATATATTTCTTATTGGATCACTAGACCTCTGGCTAACTCATTTCCAGCAAATCAGACGCCACGATCAAAGGCATTCAAAACAACCAATCAATCCAGATACATTCGCACTTCATGTGGGTAATGAGCGGAGGCGACACAATCCGGGGCCGCGGAATCAGCTGCTGCTAACGCCAAAAGACACAACTCAGGAAGCTCAATCAACCCGCTCAGCTCAATCGCTAGACTATCCATGAGAAATAACAGACCAGGCAGTATGCAGAGGGCAATGCGACCAGGTTGGCGATCGGAGAAGAGAATGACGGGAGCGCTGGGCTCGTGGCATTGGTGCGAGGTGTAAGGAGGGACATCATTCAAGGATCCGCGGTGAAGGGAGGGACACCCCGAGAGGCATGCGAGCTCAGGGGAGAGGCGGGCGGGAAGGAGGGAGGTTCAAGACGATCAAGCCAACGGTCCGCGGGGCAGCTTGGTGAGGGAGGGAGGGAGGGATGCGATGCATAAGAGTAAGTCAAATCGTCTATGTTAAAAGGTGTAATATGTGAAATGCAGCCATCCAGGCGCAGCTCATCGATGATTCTGTACGACGGGGGTTAGGCGGAAAAAGTAGATGTGAAGTTCAAAGGCCATTGAGCCCCAGCAGAGGCCCGGCCATCCTTATTGCCGGAATAAGATTCACCTAACGCTTGCGCTTCTTATTCTTATCCACCAGGGCCGCCGAACACACCGGGAGGGCGGCCACGATGGATTGCGTCTCGACGCCATTCGCAGCGGGCTCGAAGGCTTTCTTGACGGGCACCCCCATGTGGCGGCCGTACCGGCCTTTGCGACCGTTTCCTTCGTCCTCGCTGATGCAGCCGTCGAGGCCGATGCCAGCATCCTTGCATCGGCCGCAAGGGCGCTGCCGATCACAGCCCTTCTTGCTCTTACGGCACCGCTGGCAACGCGGCTTGGTCGACAGGTCCTCCTCGTCGGCAGCGAGCTGGTGTTGAAAGTTGACCGAAGAGGTGGACGTCTTGCGGACTGGCACCGGGCTCATCATCTGCGGGGAGACCGCCACCTTCTGAGCCACAGCAGTCGAGGTCGACTTGACCTTCCGGGCGACCCCATTAGCCGTCGGCTTGCTGCTCTTGTTCGGGCGCACGGATGCTGGCTTGGGCCCGCGTGCCTTGGTCACGACCGGATTGGTGGGCCGGGTCTTTGCCTTCTTCGACTTGGGGGCGGACTCTCGGTAGAGAGAGTCCTCGTCACCCTCATGTTTGACCAGGCTATCATGAAACTCCTCATGGGGGTACTCGTCATCGTAGCCGTCGTAGCTTCCTTCGGAGCTGTCAAAGCTGGGAAGGATATCATCCAGTCTCTTGTGCGTGCGCTTGGTGGCACCGGGGGGGAGCATGGGGCTAGAGTCGATCCGCTGTTTGGTCCGGGCGGGCAGATCATCGTCATCATCACTGTAGTCATCCCCATCGCTGGTGGCCCCCGTCGAGGATGCAGCGTCCGCAGCCCCGCTGAAGGCATCGTCGAGCGTGGAGGCCGACGTCCGGCCGTGCGAGAAATTGGAAGCGTCTCCGAGGCGGATCAGTTGCATAGCCACATCCTCATCGGAGATGCAACTGGCAATAGTCGGATCCGGAGTGGGGAGGATCCCGGGGCCGCCACCCCGACCGGCCTGATTGCTATACTGTCCAGATGACTGGGTAGTGGCCCGGTCGCGCAGGCGGTGGCCGTGCTCAGGGACCACGGGGGTGGCATACACAGGATTCCGTACAGCGCTGACGCTATAGGCTTGTTCGTTATATCCATAGCTCTGGGGCGAGGGCAATGGCGGTTGTTGGTTGTATGGACGCTGGGTAGGGCGTGCGAAAGGGGAGATGGCGCCTTCTTGACCGATGGACCGGCGTTGAGGGGAGATCGATGAGGTGGATGTAGTGAGGGGGACCTGTGGAGGAACGAACAACGGCAATTCCTAGACAAAGAAAGAAAGCGTTAGCGGATGTGTGCCGCAGAAACGATGTGATTCGATTGGGGGGAGGATCTTCAACGAACCGAACTTTCAAACTTGGGCCGTTTCCGGCGGCCATCCTGAAGGATATTATCCATGCTAATATCCGAGCTACCAAATTGCTCGCTGCGGGACTTCTTCGTCCCCGAGTAGCCACCTTCGCTATCACTGTAAACAGGGGTACCATCCTCACGGAAGCTGCCATGAGCGCTCGAGCCTCTGCTCTTATTGCCCATCCGGGACGACTGCTTGTGTTGGGAGGCACTGCGACGGCTTCTCCCGGACGGCGATATGCTACGCTTCCGAGCGAGCCGGGATGCCGGCCGAGAAGGCGGCTGCCCATGTTCCAAGACATGCGCCGGCTGCATGGCCGGCGCCATCTGGAACGGCTCGCCCAGACTGGGACGCTTGCGGGCCTCGACGGGGATGTGCCCATAGTAGCGATCGCCGTAGCCATCTGTGTATGCCTGGACGGGGATGACCCGCACATAGACAGTCATATTATTGCGTAGGTTCTCGTACCTGGCAATGAGGGTGATTCCTTGTTCATCCTCGAAGCTGACACCGCTGGCAGCGCCATCGTAGATCCCGTAAAAATTCTTGACCGTGGTCACGATGGAGTCGGTGGTATCGTGAGGGTAGATCTGTACCCGCATTGGTATGCGGGCCCGGACTTTGGAGTTCTCATCGAGCAGTAGCTCAAAGGCGACGTTCTTGGGAACCGAGCTCCGGGGGGAGGGCTCCTGCGGCGCACGTTGGTCGGTGTAGGCAGGCGACTCCCCAAGGGCAGCATGCTGCTCATAGTGAACAGCCTGCATGATGGAAGGGTCCGAAAGGGAGTGCTACCACACTGCTACTACATTGATGATTGCATCAATCGGCTGTTCGATCTCACGTGGGAAGAGCGGTCCGGGCGAGAAGAGAGAGGGTGGGGGAGGGAAAAGGTAGAGACGGGGAATAGGAGGGTTATGGGCAAATTCCATCCTAACCTACCACAACAGAGAATCCAGAGGGGTGTGGTCGACAGATGGATCGCCCGCGACAACTTTTATGGATATGATGGATGGATGGATGGATGGATGGCGAAAGGGTGGTTCGATGGGAGGACGGCACCCAAGTCGCAACAGCCGAGAGCGACGGAAAGGCAAGAAAAAGACGGTCGAAAAGCTGGTCGGCCACCACCACCCAGGTCAGCACGGTGCGATGGAAAATGTGTCAATGAGAAGGAGAGATGCTTGGGAAAAGGAATCCGATTCCGATCGACGACGCCGTGGCCTCCCCTGTCGAATCCTGATGGATTGACGACTGGGGGGAGAAACGACCCGAACCGCTCGGAAGAAGATGGAGAGCATCAAAGACGCACCGATGATAATTCAAACCAATGTGTCCAGAGTCGCACCCGTATATCTGATCCGACCAGGCGAGAAAGGAAGGTGGGCGATGGTGGTTGAGGGAGTAGGGAGGGGTGGGCCGTGGGAGGTGAGTCGTTCTACCAAAGCGCTTGGGTATGTCAGCGGTGGCATCACGCAGAGCCGAAGCGAGTCAGGAGAACAAGAGGCCAGGAAGGGGGAGAGCAGGTGCCAGATAGAATCCAGAAGATGCCGGGCGATTGAGGGAAGCCTACCTGATAGAGATACACCAAAAATCGAGGGAGGATGGGGGGGATGAATGGGCGAGAACGATCGGGTTGGGTCGAAGAGAGGTTGAGGGAGAGAGGAAGAGGAGTGGGCGCTGGATGGATGGATGGATGGATGGATGGTCTGGTTTCACCCAAAGCGAGCAGAGGTGGCCTGGGTCGGTGACAATCCATCCACGCAAATGCACCCTTTTTCCCCCACGAATTCCTCCAACGCTGGTTCAGATGCGAATTGATACTACACTCCTTTCTGCTTCTGCTTTTTTAACCTTGCGCGCTGCCTTTTTCCATCGCAAAATCCTCAATCGCATTCCGTCCGAACGGGCCGGCTTTGACTGCATCTACGGGATCGGACTCTCGCTCTGGGGCCATCAAGGGGGAACTCCCTTTTCAAGTACCTAAAAGATGAATCGCTATACCTATACTACTATAATTCTGTAATCCTTATTCCTTAATCATGATCGTATTGGGGTCGATGGTCGGGACAAAGTCGTTTGGTGCTGGAGTATCGGCCGGGTGTTGGCGCAAAGGACGGCGACATGGACGATCCGCGACCACGGTGCCAGGGACTTTTGGTCGTCCCCGTCATCCTCGACGACCAGAGCAAAGATTGAACCTCGCGGTCCAATTTGATTAGAACGGCTACGATTGAATTCCATGTGCACCCAACGGAGACGGCCGGCCAGAGGAAGCGGAGTGGCGTAGGTCCAGGTTGGCTGGCACATCCTCAGCGCGGCCACGTCGAATGACACCCCCGATCACATCCCGGCTAGGAGGACGAGTGACCGTTCTTCAGTCCCATTCTCCTTCTGCTTCTTACAGGCTCTCCCACCACCGGCTCTACCAAAAAGAAAGAAAAGAAAGTCCCGACCAGCCAACACTCAAGTCGTAAGAAAAGGTGACCGACAAAACTACCTTCCGGGAAGCGTGGTCCCCTCTCGCGGCCACCAATTCTTGACGCTGGTCGCGCAAGGTTCCTACGATGCTCAATGCTGCCATTCATTACTCGCGGAGCGTAAGACATGCATGGCTAGATACCGGTTGAAGGGCGATCGATGCTCCCGGCCCCAAGTTGGGGGAGAAATCTCCTACGGCGCAATGCCTGGTCCCGGCCTCAGGCAGGAATTCCAGAGGGTCCCCCCATCCCAGTGCCTCTCCCCCATCTTGCCCCCAGCCAAGTCAACGGTCAAGCAAAGCATCCAAGACAAAAAGAAATATGGATGAATGAGCTGGGCAAAGCCTCCCGGAGAGGGGAGGGTAACACCCACCAACCACCGTCTTGGGGGACAGAGAGAGATCATTGGGCCAGGGCGCTGCACTGAAAGAGGGCCAACAGGCTGGCGAGCAGCAACGCCCAATTGTTGCCTCGTTTCATGATCTGCGCCTGTCCAGACTCGTCCGTTTACCCCTCCTCGGAAACGGTGGGCTACGTAAGGATCCCCGTCGTTCGTTCACCACTTTCGGGCAGGCACAAGACTCCTGCGACCAGACTGTCATCCAGCTAACCAAGTCCGCCTGGCCGGACTTTGATCTGACTTACATTCCGCAGCGAGATAACCATCGCAGCTGCCCGGCCGGCCATTACCAGGTCTGCAGGTCCGGTGCGACGGCGCGGGCCATGAGCTGGAGTCGGAGGGTTCTGATGACTGCCTTGCCGCTGCTCAACCATGACTTGCGCGTTGCACGGAAGACTTGACACGATCAGATCCTACACCTCAGGCGATCGAATCGCATCGACTGTCGCGAGACTAAGCGCAACCAGCTGGCGCAACGATGCCGTTAGCCGGGTGGGGAGGGGGATTCGAGAAACTGCATCTAAGCAGGACTCCGAGGTTATGGTGGTTATATATCTATCGGAAGACATGGACATTTCCATGCTTCTTTATTTTACTGCGACGTTCTTGAACGAATACCTCCTGTCTCGCGAACGATAACCAGTGGCAAGAGACAAGGTTCGTAGTGTTTGTAGTGTTCCTTATTGAGGGCCTCAAGCGGGGCCTGCCTGGAGTCAATAACCAGCCCGGCCGGTGGTGGTTCAATAATAATTCTGCCCATTATTCTGCTGGCTTTCTGCTATTGTTGTGGTCCGCCGCCAAACACACACCGAAACTTTGCGTATCTTCAATAGTCCGCTTTCACCGTTTCGTTGGTCGCCCGCGACACCTCAAAAGTCGGCCATCCGCCAGCATTCCGGCCCATTCTTCCTTACTCCGTACGGACTCACGCTTTCTTTCCCAAGGGGAGGGATCGCAGAATCGGCTAAAGTGGATTCGCAACCCTCGCCGAGCACCAAATGGATGATTCAGTGATGGCAAATCCGGTGGAGGCCTGACTCCTCGCGGAGGGTCGTCGAGAAACCCGCCCTCACGAATCCCGCTGCTTCATGATAGGTACCGCCGGATCCGCGTCCCACAATGGGGGGGGGGGGACTTGTGGCTTCCTGGCGAGGTTGGCATTTGCGCGGGTGTAAACGGGACCCAGAGAACAGGCCGAAGCAAGTGCCAGTCCAACCGCGAAATCCAGGCAAAAGATGGAAACTGTAAGCCGGCAGGAAACATGGATTCCTCAAGTCATTGACGGTATTGCTATTATCATCCCCCATCTTCATTGGCATTACCAGCATCGGCGTGAGATCTCGACCCAAATGGCCCCTCAGCCCCATCCCGGTCGGGAAGTTTCGCTCAAAGACAAGAATTGCGCCTTCATGCGACACCGGTGAGCCAGGTAAATTGGCTCGATCCGATGCCCTGATCGAGAGGTCTGGTCACAGTCTCTAGCATCGCGGCTGCTCCAACCTCCGCCCCAAGCGTCGAATCCCGGAGCGAAATGGCAGCCCACGCGGCAGCACCCGGTCACGTGAGAGCGCGTTTGGCGGTCGGCGGCTTCGTGATGTCCGGCGCGTCAAGGGCCTGGCGGAAGATCAGGGCCCATTGTCCCCCTCACCATAATGTTTGCTCCGCAACTCTTCCAAGATAGAATCGCAGCATTGCTCTTCCTCGATAGTCTCTGCTAGGACCCTTTTTTTTTCGTTTTTGGAGCTGAAGTTGGTGCGTAAGGGAATTGATGTGCTGGCGGGAAGACGCGTTGGATGATGTCACTCATTCTCGGCACAAGCAAACCAGGCAAACCAGACAAACAGTGGCTGACATAAGCATGCCATAGCAACGCCCGAAGGGGACTAGCGGGGGGTGTTGTTGACGGTAACCAAGTAAGGAAGTGACTGTTCCGAGCAATGCTTGGTTGCCCTTGAGAACAGAACGCCTCTCGCTGCTTGTGTTTGGCCCTGCCCTTTCTTCGCCGACAAACTTCTTTTTGTTGATGTGTTGGTGTTAGTCGTCGGCTTCTTCTTCTTCCTCCTCTCCTTTCTTATCGTCCGATCACCTTCCCCTCGGTGGCAGCCAATCCCGTCCCAAAGCCCCGTCGTCTGGCGCTATCTCTCTAGCCCTTGGCGCGGTCTTGTTTGTTTGGGGCCGCATTTTAGTATAACTTTGGCTGCGACGAACGACTCCTGCGCAGGGCGCAGACAAGTAAACAACCACCCACCCGTCCCCCAAGCAGCTTTCCCCACGGTTCTGGAGGCTCCAGCTTACCGCCTCTCTTCGTCCAAGATGGATGCAAAGGTATGTGCCTGTCATTGCGCGTTCTTCCTGCCTGTCTCCCGCCCAATCGGCGTATAAACATCGGCTGCATATCTACGATACTCGACGCGCAACGAGGGGCTAGCCCCGGTGATCCCTCCACGGATGTCGCGTCTCGGTTTATTTTCCCAAGCTAACATGATCTTCCCTTCCAGCCCCAGAGAATTCGCGTCCGTGGCGACGAGAACGCCCCCTTCCCTCTCGCAGCCGGCAAAACCCTTCACCAGAAAAACAAGTCCACTCCCGCCTTGTCCACCATGTTTCAGAACGGCGCAAACAAGAATGCCTCCAAGCGAGCTGCTTTTGGCGATGTCAGCAATACTGCCAAGCCAGTTCATGCGGGCCGCGACGATACTTCACTGGCGGGCAAGAAACAGACCAAGGGGGCCGAAAAGGCGGCGCTGATCATTGAGAAGAAGCCCAGCGTTCTGTCACAGCCGGCTCAGCGGCCCATGTCGATGGCTGGCATGAAGGGTCTCTTGAACAATGTCCCTAATGCGAAACCCATCGAGCCTTCCAAGCAGATAGCCATGCAGCAGCAGACTGCCAATGCCAGAAAGACCTTGAACAAGCGGGCGACAGTGTTCAAGGACGCATCGGAACCATTGACCCAAAAAAGCGAATACACATCCAAGGAAACCAACATTGAATCAAAGGAGGGAAGCAGCAGGGGCTCCCTTACCCAGAAGTCCGCCGCGACGGCGAAGCAAACCACTATCAAGGAGGAAGTAAAAGAGGAAGAAGCGAAGCTTGATCTAGAAGAAATCGAAGGGCCTTCTAGTGTGGACTCGGAAGTTGAGGACGGAGAGAAGGATCTGCCCAAGGTCGACGATGACCATTGTAAAGTTCAGGATCATAAAGAGGTGTCTAAGACCCGCGAGCTTCCCGCAGCGGCAGAAGTCTCTGAAGCCAACCGTGCTGCGAAACCTCACCGTGACTCTGCATCGGGCTCCCACGCGCCGGTTCAGTCGGAGCCCGAAGAGTACTGGGACGAGGAGGACGAGAACGAGGAAGACGATGGGTATATCACTGCTCGCTCCTACCGTTCTCGTGGCGACAACACCACCGGCGGTGCCACCACGGTTCTTTTTCCGAAATTCAACCAGCAAGTGAGGCGCGAACTGGCCCTTGCGAAGCAGGTTGTGGAGGCCACGCGAACCGATGAAGATATCGAAGATGAATTTTGGGATACAAGCATGGTGGCCGAATACAGTGAGGAGATCTTTGAATATATGAGAGAACAAGAGGTACGTATTGGTATCTGGGAGACCGGGTTGTCTATCCATGACACTGACCCTTTCGACAGATCAAGATGCTGCCCAATGCCCATTACATGGATAACCAAGCCGAGATCCAATGGTCCATGCGGTCTGTGCTCATGGACTGGGTGGTGCAGGTCCACCATCGCTTCTCGTTGCTTCCAGAGACCCTCTTTCTGTGTGTCAACTACATCGACCGCTTTTTGTCTTGCAAGATCGTCTCTCTTGGCAAGCTTCAGCTCGTGGGTGCTACGGCCATCTTCATCGCTGCCAAGTATGAGGAGATCAACTGCCCGTCGGTGCAGGAGATTGTCTACATGGTTGATGGAGGCTATAGTATTGATGAGATCCTCAAGGCCGAACGATTCATGTTGAGCATGTTGCAGTTCGAGCTGGGGTGGCCTGGTCCCATGAGTTTCCTGCGGCGGATCAGCAAGGCCGACGATTATGACCTGGAAACTCGCACTCTTGCCAAGTACTTTTTGGAGATCACGATCATGGATGAGCGTTTTGTCGGAAGCCCTGCGAGCTTTGTTGCCGCTGGCGCTCACTGCCTGGCTAGGCTGATGCTGCGCAAGGGAACCTGGGTATGTTCTTAGCCACGCTGCTTCCCTGGGGGACCATTCTAACATTTGCAGACTCCCGCGCACGTTCACTATGCAGGGTACACCTATACTCAGCTGCTCCCGCTGATCTCTCTCATGGTGGAGTGCTGCGAAAACCCGCGCAAGCACCACGCCTCGATTTACGAAAAGTACTCCGACAAACGCTACAAGCGCGCTTCCCTCTTCGTTGAGAACGAGATGAGACGAGGATTTACGCTCCCAGAGCCGACCCGGGACAGTTCCTATCCCGATCGCAACGCATCGCTTGAGGCAGCACACTATTGGAAGCGCCAATAGCCGTTCACTGTCCTCGCTCCTCACCTTTCTTCCAGTTCTTCCATCTCTTCTAGCTGCTACTAAACCCCGATAAATATCCTGAACCGGTTGCCCCTCTGGCAAAATGCAGAGGGACGTACGTCTCAAGTGCTGTGCACTGGACTTCGTGCTATACTGTTCTGCAACCCGTGACTATTTGTGAAAACCGATAATACCAGAAAAAGCTGAGATCGAAGGCAACCATGAGGGCGCGAAAAGCTCACACCACTAATGCTCCATCATGACGCTTACCAGGACCAGGTCCCATACACTACCTCGTTTCCTTTTGATGATACCATGACATGCAATGCCCATGGCTGTGCATGTTAGATGTAGACCATGCAAGAAAACTGATGTCGTGACCAGCCATCGGATGTCAAGGAGGCGGAGTTCTTGTTTTCTTTTTGTTTTCCAATACTCTTTTCTTTTAATGATTCGGATGACGGTGACAATCCGGGCTCGGGAGTTAATGGGTCGATGGCGGTCGGTTTTACTATCCTCTCTTTTACCTTTCGCTTCTCTCCTATGTCGTTATGTCCTTTCTTCCATTTCTTCCTCGACTATCACGACCTCACATTCCCGGAATATTGCTTCTATCCGCAGGACCTTACGACGGACGGCGAGCTCGGCTGAGTATGGCCATAATCCCCCTCTGATCTCCTTTGTCTCGTTGGAAATGACTTTTCTCCTCGTCTGTTACAGTACGCTTCGTTCTGTGGGTTATCATCCAGGTTTATGGCGCAGAATTAATGAAATTGGATCTATCACTTCGGCGTTGCCAGCTCCTGTCGTATGGCTCAGTCACGTCAATATCCGGCACGCGTGTCTCGTAACCTTTCACCCATCCGTCTATCTTCACCTCATCTCTACCTCTATACATATCTCTATTCCAAAACATCACCTTCAACACTTAACCAAGCCACCACATCCAAAAAGAACACCCCAACATCTACATATATATATAAATATATACCCAAAATCCCGTCTCAACCTCTACTGATCCAACCCATTAAACTCAATCAACCTCTTCACCACCTCGACCACCTGATCCGCAATACTCGCTCGATCCCCACACCCCACGGAAGCAGGCTGATCGATTCTCATCGCAATGACCTCATCCAACATCATGCGCAACCGGGAGACCAAGACACCGATGCGGGCCCAGCCACGGAGTCGGAGCCAGCCATCGACGATGAGTCCGCGACCGGTGGTATCTAGATCGATGGATCCGCAGAAGAGGAGGAGGGAGTAGGCGTTGAAGGCTGGGATGTAATGTTAATCTTTATACATATATAGATGGGGGGATATGGGAAGGGGAAGGGGAAGACGTACGGGTCAAGTCACGGATGAAGACCTTGCTGGTAGCCATTTTGGTGAAGTAGGTGAGGTATGCGGAGGAGCTGGGGTAGGATTGGGCGGAGAAGAGGACGGAGCTGGGATGGATGAAGACACGGCCGTTTTCCTGGTTGAAGTATTTGATTGTTCGGGCGTCGGGGTCGATTTCGACGGTTCCGGTGACGGAGCTGGCGAATTTCTTGTCGGGGAAGGAGATCTGCGCGATCTGGGGTTGGAAGGCGCCGGCGATGAGGGCCCGGAGGAGGGCTTTGTTGCCTCCGTTGCGGTTCCAGCGGGTGTTGGTTGCTGTGCCTGGTTCGGAGGAAGGGGAGGAGTAGTCGACTGGGAGGAGGCCGGCGTCTTTGAGGGAGGTGAGGAGTTGGGATTTGTTGGAGGATATGTCGCGGAGGGTTTGGTGGGAGAGGAAGTTGTCGGAGCACCAGGATTGGGTTTGCCAGTAGCCTTGGGCGTTGACTCGGTCGGACCATTGTTGGTAGGCGAGGAAGTCGGTGAGGAGGTCGCCGTCGCCGCCCTTGGAAAAGGAAGCTTTTGCGGCGTTGGCTTCTTCGCGTCGTTCTCGGGGGGAGACGAAGGGGCTCTTGACGGTGAGAATGGCGGAGATGGTGACGCAGGCATCGATGCAGCCGAAGATGGAGCCGTAGACCATGAGCTTTGCGCAGCGCAGATCGGCGGGGATCATGGACAGGTAGCGTCCGAGGGCAGTGAGTTTGTCGTGGTCAAGAGCTCCGACACGGTGCAGGAAGTCTAGGGCTCCCTCGACGGCGGTACTCTCTGGCGGGGTGAGGGTGTTGGCGAGGAACGTGGCGACGTCGTTGATGCCTTGCATGGCTTTGACGGATAGGCACAATTGTTCCAAAGGCACTCGACGGATCTCCGGGTCTGGACGATGCGCCATGTTTGCCTCTGCTTGGCGCGTGTAGAGCTTGTAGCAGGTGCCGGCCCTGACACGACCAGCTCGACCACGTCGTTGCTTGCAGGCGGCCTGGGATGCCCATACTTCCTGCAGGCGAACGATATTGTCTCTGGGGTCGTAGCTGGTCTCCTTGACTCGACCCGTGTCGATGACAGCCACGATATCCTCGATGGTGATAGACGTTTCGGCGACGTTGGTTGCTGCGATGACCTTGCGTTTGCCTTTCGGGGGACTGAGGAAGACGCGGCGTTGGTCGGCTGGGAGGAGAGATGCATGGAGTGGGAGTGGATGGGCATTGGGAATTCTCCTGACAGCGTTCAGACATCTTTCGATCTCCATGGTACCCGGCAGGAAGATGAGGATGCCTCCAGGTTGATCGCCTAACTGGGCGTCGATGTATCGAACCGTGGATGCGATCAATTCGTAGTTGATACCCATGCCAATGCTGCGAAGAAGTTTGCCAAAGGACCCTTCGGCGGGTGCGGTTGATGCGGCATGGTCCTCATAGTCCAGTTCAGTGATCTCTGGAGCGAACCCAGTGTCACGGACAACATCATCCAAGTAGTAGTCTTCCACGGGGAAGGTTCGCCCAGGGATGTTGACAAATCCAACGGATTGGCGACCGCCAAAGTAGTTCATGAAGACATCCGCGTCAAGAGTGGCACTCATGAGAATGACTTTGATGTCTTTCCGATGGCGACAAACGTCTCTCAGCAGGGCTAAGAGAAAGTCGGTGTCAAGACTCCGTTCGTGCACCTCATCCACCACAACGTGGGTGACATCCGCGAGGGAGCTCGCCACATTGCCGTCAGGACCGCTGCCGGATTGCATGCGACGGAGCAGAACACCAGTAGTGACAAATGTGATCTTTGTTGTGCCCGACTTGACCTTGGACTCGCCTCGAATGATATATCCAACCTCATCACCCACCGACGCACATCGCTCATCGGATACTCGATCGGCTAGACCCAAGGCAGAGATTCGGCGAGGCTGCGTACAGATAATGTTGGCCACAGCACCAAGGTCTCTCTTGATCAAGTCGTCGAGCACGAACTGGACGGACTGCGTACTCTTTCCACTACCCGTTTCTCCAGAGATGATGGTAACTTGATGCGTATTCACGGCACGAATGATTGCCTCTTGTGTGTTCCAGGCGGGAAGGGATTCTCGCTTCCGAGTCATCTCCTGCTGGGCCTTGGTAGACTGCTTCGCTTCCCAGGCTTCTCGCAGTGAAACGCTCTGTGGCGAGCCCGGCTGCCAGTTGACATCCCTACCCTTCCTGCGTGACTGGCGGACAGGTATTTGAGATACAGATCCAGTAGCAGTTGGGGAAGCGGAGACTGTCGAGATATCTCGTAGTCTGCCTGGATTCTCTATCACTTCCGGCAGATGGACTTCCAACCAGTCCAATATATTGAATATCATAGGTTCACCCAGGAAGTTCTCCTCGGAGTACTGCACCACCTGACGTATAGCACTGAGTCGTATATAAGCAGGGATGCCTTGAGCCAGGAGAGAGATGACTGGCACGGCTGATGGATAATGCGAAGAAGGTCTCTGGAAACGGAAGGTCATAGACTCTGGTAAGCTTGACCCTTCGCCCTTGATTTCGCACACCTTAGGCGATATCCGCGAATATCTTTCTCCAAAGATGGCCTCCAGTGTCTCCTGCTCTTCTGCCCATAGATCTTCGTCCCCGGAGGGCGCGGCGTCTATAGAAGGATTCGCCCCATGAACCAGGGTGTTTTGAAGGAACTCTGCTGTTGCAAGCTCATCGCCCTGCTTGCTGTCTAGTGTCCGCGAGCATAGGTCGGCAGGGTAGCCAATAGAGGCCAGTCGTTTGATTTTCGCCTCTCTGGCAAGGTCATCGCTGGCAAGGCTCACACCAGCCGAGTACCCCTCTGGTAGACACCAGCGTGGAAGATCATCCTCCGGAACGTATATAAGAAGCCATTCTAGGACTTCTTCTCGGTCTTTGCATGTGCTCGTCGCCTCCTCAACGTGGCTGCGCCGGAAGCCCAACTGAGTAAGCTCTTCGACAATAGTCTTACGTTCGCTTTCCGGAATCTCCACGTTGTAGGGATTCCAAATGGCATGTTGCCGCAGAATCCCCTCGATTTCACGGCGGACTTTACCCCCAAGGTCGACCTTCGGAGCCTGCGACCAGATTTTCCTCCCCTTGTTATCTCCACCAGAACCCAGCCCCAAGTCCACACCCCGTTCTGCGGCTTTCGCCTGAGTCTTCTCGCGCTCTTTCCGCTTCTTCTCCAAATCCGCAGCGGCACTCTCTCGTTCCTGCTTGGCGAGAAATGGGTCTGCTTCGTACATCCATCCTTTCCCTTCCTTGGTGTCTGCAGCTTTGATATCCGTGAAGTCTTCTTTCCAGAGTTTCTTGTAAGTTGGCGGAAGCATCATATGCAGGTTCTTCATGTTGCAGACTCGGAACAGAGCATAAGCCGCTGCGAAATGGCGCGCCTCCAATGCCGTAGGTTGCGCAGCGAGATGCTTGTGGGACGGAGGGGGCTTCATGGGAGGAAGGGTGATAGTTTCTCGAGTCTTGAGATCGACGCGCTTCAGAATAACGGACGATACATAGCCCTCTGACACTTTCATCTGCACGAAGACAAATACGGTTAGCATTACCAGCTTGCGCATTGGACCAAAAACCAAGTCCATCTTCATCTGCCCACGGCATCGCCTTACCATGGTATACTCAGGCTTCTCCCACTTCTGCTTCTGACAATGCTCCGAGAGCATATTGACCGGAAGTTTTCCGGTCCATGATGCGCCTCCAATGACCTCCTTAACCGAAGGTTTCTTCGGTTCCTCCGTGGAAGCCTGCGCTTTCTTCGCCGTCTCAGCCGATTTCTCGGCGGCGGCTTTGGCCTGTTTCGTCCCGGGTTTGGGGCCTCCACGGGCGTCGGACTTTTTCTTGGGGCCCATAATTCCAAGGCAATGATTATCCTAGAGCAGACGCCCGTGGAGTAACTAAGGCCCTTGAGGTATCCAAAAAGTGCACTTGGGTATAGAAAGGAAGCCGAGATCTGGGCGATTGTGACCGCGGCTGGCGGTCCCGCACTAGACCGCTTTGATCCTCTGGGTAGGGCTGCGGGGCCTCGCCGCTGATCGCATCGGGCTCTCCGCATCGCATGCCTCGACGCGTGGCTGCAGCTGTGAATGCCACCTATCTCGCCTGTGAACTGACCGGTCATTTGGCTTTAGACAAATACTTAAACTGCGATGGCCGAATCACCCATCTTGGAGCTAAACGGCCCAACAGAGCAAGATGTCGCGCCCGCAGAACCGCAACAGTCACAGAAGCCAGCGAAGAGAGACGCCTGTACGCTCTGAATTACACACCTAGCTCCCACTCCCCTTGCATAACATCTGCAGGCACAGCACAGCTAACTATCGCAATCTCAGTTGCAGAGCTATTATCTCCGAAACCTAAACAGCCCAAGCACTCCGATCCGAGCTCCTCGAAGGTAGCTCCATCCAAGAAGCGAGCCTTCGGAGGCCCCCGAGACGGTCTAGGCGTCTACATCGAGAAACCAGAATCATTCCCCTCCAACGTGGTAGTATACTACAACGAAAACTTCGTCGTGATCCACGACATGTTCCCCAAGGCCACCCTCCACCTGCTTCTCCTTCCCCGCGACCCCCAGAAAACCCGCCTCCACCCCTTCGAAGCGTTCCAAGATCCCGAGTTCCTAGAAAAGGTCAAGAAAGAAACCAAAAAGCTGCGCACACTCGCGGCGGGTGAGCTCAGGCGAATACACGGGAAATACTCGGTGCAGGATAAGGAGAGACAAGAGGCGCTGAACGTAGAACCGCCGCTGGATGAGCTGCCGCCCGGGAGAAACTGGGAGCAAGAGATCATGTGTGGGATTCATGCGCATCCCTCTATGAATCATTTGCATGTTCATGTTATCTCTGTGGACCATTATAGCGACCGTCTGAAGCACCGGAAACATTACAATAGCTTTTCTACTCCGTTTTTCGTCAACATCGATGACTTTCCCCTGGCGCTTGATGATGTTCGGAGGGATCCGGACAGGGAAGGTTACCTGCGGCGAGACTTTGTCTGCTGGCGCTGTGGAAAGGGGTTTGGAAACAGATTCTCCGAGTTGAAGCTACATTTAGAGGCGGAATTCAACGAGTGGCGACGGCTGTGATGTGCAGTGTATGGGTGACTATGAGCTAGAGGAGCACGTGTCTGCTACTTCTGTCAAGCTTCATTTGCCATTTGATGGAGTAATGTGGGCTTCCGAAAAAGCGGTCTCCTCGAGGCTGAGCTGCGAGAGCTTCGATTACCAATATCAATTTGACGTAAATGTACACGCAAATCCAAGGCAGCAACAACTCCGGGCCGGTCACATTTTCAGTGACCTTTTTCCTTCGTCCGCTAACCTTACTTCGGAGTCGCTGAGAGAACCAATCAAGGTTCCCTCCGACTAACAAGCCCTTCCCTATGTCTCCTCAAAAATCACCCATCAATTCGCCACCGCAAAGCCGTCTAGGCACGGCTCTTAGACTTCGCGCCACCCTTAACCTTCCTGGCCTCAGGACGGTTGATGTGGTGGGCGGGGATCCACTCCGCGTTGTAGGTAGTAGCAGACGAAACGGCAGGGCTGCTGGGAGCCTCAACGGGAGCCTCCTTCTTGGAGGCACCAGACGACTTCTTGTTCTCGGGGCCCTTGGTGGAACGGCGCTTCTGGGGGAAGTAAGGCGCGATCCAGACGGTGTAGAAGAAGTAGACGACTCCGGAGAAGCAAGCCAAGAGGAAGAAGTACAGGAAGAGGCTATGAGTAGACCAATCAGCATTGAATCGCAGAAAAAGGAGCTCGAGGGTGCGGCTTACATCTGAGGGTCAAAGATGCTGGTTTCCGGTTCCACGACGCTGACGGTGCCATTGTAAGCGTAAAGAGTGAAGACGTTGCCCTGGCTGTCCGAAATGACCGAAGCGAGAGTGAGCAGCAGGTCCTGGGGGTGCATTTCGGTGGCGAAACTGTAGCTGACGCTCTCCTGCTGACCGGCCGGGATCTCAATGCTGTAACGGTGGGTAGTCAGGTTGCGAACAATCTGGCTCTTGTCTTCTTCCACAGCCGACAGGGTGCCTCCAATGAAGGCCACCGTCACGGGAGCATCCTCCTCGTTGTTGAAGGTAACCAGCGCCTCCGTGGGGTAGCCATTGACGAGCTTGACGCCAAAGATCTCGGAAGCAGGGAAGGAGGCGTGGGCCGACACAGCAAGCAATGGGGTCTCAGTAACTTCCTCCTTCTCAACGGCATCCTAAAATGGTAAAAGATTGTGTCAGCGACTCAATTGAACGTTAGACGATCGCAAGTCACGCGAGAGAAAGGTAACGTACCGCCGCGAGACTGCCGCCAATCAAGGCCTGGACAGAAAGGAGAGCCAGGGACAAAAGACCAAAGCGACCCATTGTGGTATAACCGAAGAGGGGGACGAGAAGAAGAGAGGGAAGGGAGTGAAGGAGGGGGAATGAAGGACGAAAGACCAGAGAGGCGATCGATCCGAGAAAGAGAGGAAAGTCAAGGTGAGTTGCAGCAAGAGCAAGAAAGGAAGGGGAATCTCCACGTAGGCGGTTTCGGCGTTCCCCAGCGGGCTGACTCAGCCCCGGCTCCTCCCCCGGCGCCGGCTGTGACTGGCCAGCGCCTCTTGCGGCTGTTGATGGTGACTTGATGGCATCTTCCAGTCGAATCAACTGCTCCTGTAGATCACCGCAGTCCTTCCCCCAGTCAATGTACAGTAAAATTCAGACGAATCGTATTGCTTCACGCAGCCTGCGCGCTCTGGCATTTTTCTCCCTCCACAAATCCCAACTCATCCCTCTCTGCTGCCTCCCATCCCCCACGGCCTCTATACCCTTGAGCTCCCAAGGTTTCCCTCTAGATCTCCAAGTCTCCAAGCTTATCTAGTCCATTATGACAGCCCCGGCTTATTACGAGCGATATAAACAGCTGGCCTCCATAGAGCAGGATAAGAACATTCTAATCGAGGTAGCCGCTCAGGATCATATACCATCAAGTCCTCCATGTTGACGTTACACTCCCTGCACCCAGGAACTTTTGCACCGGATTACAGAGCTCGAGTCTGCTTTCCAGCAAGAGAAGCTTGATCATGAGCGCGAAACGCGGTTCAACCGCAATATTCAGCTCCATGAGATGGACTTGATGCAGCAGATCGCCCGAATCAAGGCCATTATGGTGGGATCTACAGTTCTCAGGCCTGATCTGTGCTAATGACGACCATCCGCCTATAGGATCGCGAGCCCTTCATAGTCGTGCTGCTAGATGGGGCTGGGATACTATTCAGGGACGAATTTCTCCAGAACGGGGAAGAAGGTGGTAGGATCGCTGCAAAGAAGCTTTCTAGTGCCCTCGAAAATTACGTTCTCAGCAATTTCCCGGGCCTTGACGTCCCAAAGATAATCGCCAGGATGTACGTCAATTTAAAAGGCCTTGGTGAGATCTGTGCTCGCGGCGGGATTACCACCGACCCATCGTCACTTGAAGAATTCGCCAAAGGCTTCAATAATAGTCATCCGCTCTTCGACCTCGTGGATATAGGAGCGGACAGTGCACATATAAAAATTGGAGGTATACATCGTGACCCCTTGTCCTTTGGTACCTGCAAGTATCGTTTCTTCGAGATGCACGCTGACCTGCTGTCGGTTATCTCCAGAGGCCTTCAAATTAAATCTATATAACTGTCACTGCCACCAGATCTTCCTGGGATGTTCCGACGATAGCGCCTACGCCCAAATTTTGGTAGACACCTTGGGAGAGCTTGACTTAATAGGAAGGGTGTCCTTGATCGAAGGCATCCCCTTTGGAGAAGAGTTAAACAGTATTAAGGCATCCTACAGGGTCTCGCGATTCCCGGAGCTCTTCCGAGATACGAAGATAACGCCTGTCTTGGCCCCATGGAAAGCCGCAGTAACTTCCAAACCACCGCCTGTTCTCACCCCATCACCAAATCAACGTGCAGTATCGCTGTCGCGAACCTCAACCAATACGTCCACAAATGCTAGTACATCATTGTCCTCTACGTCTGCAAGCCCAGGAGAATTCCAAGTGGTGCAGTCGAAACCAGTCGCGCCCGCGCGACTGAAGACCGTGGAACGAAACAAGTATGGTCAACGAGTAGACCGGCTGGATTTCAAAAGTATCCCACGGGATGACATGAATCGCCTCAAAAAGCTAAAGCTTTGCAATCTCTATTACCTCCTAGGCGAATGTACACTTGACAACTGTCAGCACGACCACTCGCGCAAATTGACCAAGAATGAGCTTTCAATCTTGACAGCCATCGCCCGCATGACCCCATGCCGATATGGATTGGAATGCGACGACCCGGAATGTACATATGGACACCGGTGTCCGCACACGGATCCCGGGAAAAAAGATTGTTACTGGGGCTCATCCTGCCGATTTGACCCTGCCGCTCATGGCATTGATACCAATATCGTCAAAGTAACCAAGGTCTAATACCCCTTCCTCTTTCCGATATGGATAGAGCGAGGAAGACCAATTTTGCCCAAGTACTAATGATTCTGCACGTACAAGATCTCCCGTTCTTGCCTTTTTCATCCAAAACTGCTTATTGACTCATTCACGTCTTACTCTTGGTCTGTCCCCAGCACATATCATACTATACAGTTCCTTGGAATCTTCTCCCTTACTATATATGCCTACTATATATCAAACTTGATTTCATTCGAATCCCAACCAATCAATGATTTATGGCATGCGTTTATTTGGGACTGCTACATTTATTTTGTGGACCAGCAAAACATAAGTATTGATAGACGAAGGTGAAGACAGACAGGCTGATGGCTCGGCAAGAGGAGCTCGATTCACGCAAGCGACAACGGTTTAGCCAAATGGACTCGGTATTAAGGCCGAGGTTACCATCTTGTCCTTAGTTGTCCTACTCACTTTGCATCGTCTTCCCCAACTCCTTGCAGAGTATATTCTATCCACCCGCACGGTTAAAAGACAGCGCGTCCAGTGCTTTCTGCCATGGGAAACGGCGGACCACTAGGATGGTGAATATTATCATGGGACTTGCCACACCCAGTAGGTATCGCCAGTCCAGCATTACATCGGCTTCTTCTTCAGGAGCACGTGCGCAATACAAGGCAGCGCAGACATCATTCATACTGTGAAACCCTTCTTCAAGCCAGCATTTCCGAATGATATCACCCAAAAACAGATCTTTCGTGTCCGGAAGCTTCTCTTCCGTCGGCCATTGTCTATATGTCTTTGATTCGCCATCTTCCAAATCGACCTCAATCTCTGGCGATACATAGAATTCATATCGATGGCCGGAAACGATCTCGAACAACATGGACCCAAACCGAGCGATGTCGAACTTGATGGTAAGAAAGCTTTCCGAGACGAACTCATTCAGATCCTGATTCACTGGAATGACAATAGATTCAGAGAAATCACAGAGTTGGAGTGATAGGTCTGCGTTGACTAAGAAATTTCGTGCTGCGATATCGGCAACAAGAACCCGTTGTCGGTGTACTCTGGAGATGATTTCCGCCGCACTTCGAAACCATAGCAAGCGTTGGATATTTGTTACAGTGTCTTTGTTTGCACTTAGATACCTGTCAAGCGACCGGTGGCTTACATAGGGCATCCGGATTTCTGTATCAGAGATCTCAAACGGCTTCAAGACGCCTTCCACATGGATGAGATGTGCGTAAATGCGTCCCTCATGTTTTAGAGCCTCTTCATTTGACCTGTTCATCTGCTGGTATACAATGGTCGTGTATTCTGATGCGTCGGCTGGCACTGTCCATTTATTTGTCGTCTTCACTGCGACATCTCCATAGCGCATCACGCACCCAGTCCGCCCAATACCGATTAGGTCAGCTTTCGTGTTCATGGCTTTTCTCATAGAAGAACAGATGACTGGATAAAGTAGAGCGAGCCGTTCATAGATTCATCGATTCTCTTGTATACATATGTGTGTCTCTGCTTGACGAAACAAGGGTTGAGTGAGGTTTGTCTTGTTCAGATCCCCAGGGGCTACGGGCCCATATATGTAACAGGCAGGCGGTCAATAGAGGCGCTATTCTGTGTTACTCTCCAGTGTCTTGCAACAACAACAAAGGAAATACAGATGTCATATCGATATCCCAGTGTTATGTCCCTTCACGCGGCCATATCAGTGTCTGTACAGGAATACTCCTATTAGGAATCCTCCGAGATATCTTGCTGGCATGGCTAGCTGCATCCGTGCAAGTGTAGCACTGTCTATTCTTGGCCCGCCTTATCTACTCGGATAGGACGCTATGGTACTTTATGTGCAGACTGTACTCGGGCAATGCAAAGACATGCACTGGGCCAAACTGCCGTGAATGCGGTGGTCATGTGACAGACACGCTGATAATACACCGCAGCAACAACCTCCAGAGGTAGTCTTGAGGCCCTGAGATAAAGCATACAAGGCTACCTGGAACTCAATCTTACTCATATCTACATACCTGCGAGTGCAATCTATAAGATTTAATTATGTGCTGGCGCGTATACCCTACTCCTACGCGCTTCACAGTGTGCGGTCATACAGTCCTCATCCCAAAGACAGAGGAGGTCAAGCCCTGTGGAGACTCCAATTGTGATGAGATCAGGAATACATCTCAAGGCCAAAGGACGGACCGGCTGCACAAGTGCCCTAACTGTGTGCGTGAGGGATTGCGGGGCATCCCTAAAGAAATGAAAACAGGCCTGTTCGTTTCCTGGAAGATGTCGTTGCATTTCTGTCAAGGCCTAACTTGGTGTTATAGTATTTAGTACCGCGTGCGTGCCTATGCAAAGAGCCCCTCTATCTCTCATTATTCGGGCAAAGAGAGAGACTATCTCTAGACCAGGTGATTGCATCGACGGGGGTTGGAATTTGTCTCGTCTTGCAGATGGTGTTGCATATTGGATCGATCATATGTGCGCTATCTAGGCAAACTTCATAATCTTTCGCTATCTTTCCAACTGTAGTATACAAAATCTTGTGTCAATAATATATCCTTTGATATCCTTGAGCAACTCTTGTCGGCCAAGGGGGCCTGTTGAAATTCCCCAGAAATGTTACGCGATAGTAGTCAAGAACATAGCAAACCGCCTATCCCAACCGAAGCAGTCATCATGGCTGCAGCCATTCTCAACTTCTTCGGTATTTGTGCTCTCCGTGTTGGGGCGATGGCTGCACAAGACACCATATTCTTGGATGCAGCAATTGAAAGGCCTGCAGGAAACCGGGCCTAGGTCCTGTTTGCCATCATGCAAGGCAATCCTCTTGCGCTCCTCAAGATCACCCCACAAGATAAAAAGCTTCTCTCGCAACTCTTTCAAGTCTTGTAAATTTTGCCTGAGACTAGAGGGAACTCAGTTAGAGATCGAGTCCAGAGCTTCTCATCAAAAATGTAGGATCAGCACACGTACTCAACTGCGGTCAACCCCAGTAGATACTCTGCATCAGGACCAGCTATGAATAATCTCGTCTGCTCTTTTGTCTGGCCCGCGGGAGGCGGAGGGACACTTTCGACGAGAATACAAAACCGCCATTCCCATCTAATGAAACGATTAGGGTCTTTCGGGTCCGTCTCGTCATCAGAAGTGTCCTCTGGGACGGAAAAGTCTTCCAATCTTGGGGGGAAGAAGTCAACCACGCGGACTGTTGTTCGATAGCAGAAATTTTGAAATGGAAGGCGGTATCCGATGTTATCGTATGAGATGTTGTCATGAAACTTGTTGGATAGGATAGCTTCCAGTGACATTGTTGGGACAGACGGATTGCCTGCTTTAACTATCATAGCATGTTACTCAATGGTACAATACTTCAGTGCTACAAGGACAGTTCAACTTACTGTTCTCATTCGGTGCATATCGCTTGCTGCTTGCGGATGTTATGGGCACCTGGCCTTCTTCCACCTTTCCGGGTTTCTTCCGTTGCTTCTTAGTACTTTTCTTAGGAGCCTGCTGATTTTCACTTTCTGGGCCCCGCTTCCGAGGATTTGCTTTCCAGTATTCCATCTTACGCTGTAGAAACTGTTCAACTCCTGCATTCTGACGGTCCACGGTGCGTACATTGACCGAGCTTGGATTTGTACGATTTGTATGGACACTGGCTTCTAAGATCCCATTTATGCGACTCCGCTTGACGTGGACATTGATTAGTTGGATGAGATCATTCCTCTTGAGATGCTGGCGTGCATAGGATGCATGGGGTTCCCATAAGGTTATTGGAAGGGACATTCGGCCAGCAGGCCCTGTCCACTTTTTCTTAGGCCGGTTTTGGTATCCATAGATATCACCTGCATGATTATAACCATTATCGCTGCCATCGTCTAGTTGATGGTCCTGCAAATATTCGTTGGTTGTATAATCAGTGAGATAGAGGAGGACCTTTTCACTGTCATTGGTGTAAATCTTGACGATTTCGCCGACAAGGTCAACAAACGTCCGCTCTTCAATATCCTTGATGAGGGAGAGTTTTCTGTGCGCATAAGGCTTTTGATTCGGGGTTGCAGCTTGAACGACGTGAGGTCCACGCGGGAAATCATGCGCTGGAGCTTTACGGAAACCATTGACCACAGCGACGCTATTCAGCAAATTCAAAGCGTGTATCTTCTCCGACGTCGATGGCTCAAAGTGCGTAGGGCCACAAAGAGGCGCAGGACTGGACGTTGGGTCCGGGTCCAAGCGAAAGATAGCCCACGGGACTTCCTGGTCTTGGGCGGCGACTCCCAGCGGATCTCCTTTGAATGGCTTGATCTGCGATCAGATGGTCAGTTTTGTCACGGCTGAGTGGGATCTCGTTTCACGAACGGTAAGATCTCGCAGTAGGATAACGTCGCGGACTTGCACGGGAGGTAGATGGCTCTCATTATCTTTGAAATACTTGATTTTCAGGCCGTCCCACGTATGACCGTTATCAAGTCCTGAGTCCTTGATAGTAAAGGTGATGCAGCTGGAAGAGCCCCTGGACTTCCAGATCCCGCCAAAGACATCGACAATTACGCCAATGACACTGACTTTGCCCTGCGAGGAGAGGGCCGTGGACACATCCACGAAGCGAGAGGAGTAGCTGCCTGACATGGTCAAGGATTACGTTATTGACCAGGGAGGCATAATGATTTGGCAGTGGACAGGGTGTGATGCGTATAGAGCCTGCAATCGGATACCCCGAGCTCTGTTCCTGATATAGTTACTAAGTGGTGCTGTTGATTGAACCGCGAGTAGATCGACGCGCGACGGATCGGCACCTGGTGGAGTGCTAACGCCGGTAAACAACACAACCCCCCGGGTTCCCAACGACAGGTCACGAGCGGGCTCTCAGCTCCCAAGCAACCTCAGCTGCGATTGAATCCGGCCAGGCCATGAAGACGACGCGTAAAAGAGATAGACGGAGAGAGCGAGAGACAGAGGACGGGCGCGCCAACTTCGCTTAGGCGGAAGTGGCGCTTGCGGGCGGAGCTGGCTGAAAACAGCAAATCAGCGGCGTCCCGTGACTGGGCAATCCCACCTCCGAACGAAGCATCAACACTTTTTTCCCCTCCTTCACCATCTCGCCTTGCGCTTGTCCTGCTTCCTTTGTCTAGCCTCTTTCTCTATCCCCTTATTTTCTTAAGGCTGCTGGGATCTCCATCTCCCCCCATTCTGCTACCTTCCTCCACTTTCTACTTCCCCTTCTCTTCCTTTCTCTTCACCTAATCTACCCGGTGGTGGTGCGCTTTGTTTTCACCCCTCTTGTGTCCCAAGCAACCATGGCCGAGCGCTACATCCCAGAGCATCGTCGCACCCAGTTCAAGGCCCGGAACCAGTTCCGGCCTGATGAACTCCGTCGTCGTCGTGAGGAACAACAGGTTGAAATCAGAAAGCAAAAGAGAGAAGAGAACTTGGCCAAGAGGAGAGGCATCCAGACCCGCGATGGTGGCATTGGTGTGGGCGGCGGCGTAGCGGCTGCCGAGAGTGACGATGAGGCCAGCGCTATCGAGAGTGAGGTATGCTGTCCTTGCTCCCATTTGTTCATTTTGCATCTTTCGATTTCTTTCTGCTCTCCACCCGGGCGTTGGATCTTCCATGCCCGTTTTCGATCTTGTTTTGCTCGTCCAGATGCGTCTCGGCGAGCTTTTCACCGCTTTGCCGCCGGGGGCGAGCCCTCATCCGGCTCTGACTGGGCGGGCACACGATCATCATCCGAGTCCATCATGCTCAGCCAAGATGCTTTCATTCCCGTGCAGTATAGCTAATGGGTTATCTTCTAGCTTAACGTGGAGCTCCCCGAGATGGTGAAGGGCGTCTTCTCCGACCAGATCGACCAGCAGATTCAGGCCACCACCAAGTTCCGCAAATTGCTCTCCAAGGAGCGCAACCCTCCCATTGAGCGTGTCATCGAGACCGGCGTCGTGAGCCGCTTCGTGGAGTTCCTCCGCTCCCCCCACACTCTTGTTCAGTTCGAAGCCGCTTGGGCTTTGACCAACATTGCCTCCGGCTCCGCCCAGCAGACCCAGGTGGTCATCGAGGCCGGTGCTGTGCCCATCTTCGTTGAGCTCCTCAGCAGCCCTGAACCCGATGTTCGTGAGCAGGCCGTCTGGGCCCTTGGTAACATTGCTGGTGACAGCCCTCAATGCCGCGACTTCGTCCTCAACGCCGGTGCTCTGCGTCCTCTGCTGAACCTCATCAACGATGGCCGGAAGCTGAGCATGCTGCGCAACGCTACCTGGACCTTGAGCAACTTCTGCCGTGGCAAGACGCCCCAGCCTGACTGGAACAACGTATGTATTCGCGCCCATTTTGACCGGCTGTGGTTGCTGACTTTTACATTTGTAGATTGCCCCTGCTCTTCCTGTGCTTGCCAAGCTTATCTACATGCTTGATGATGAGGTCCTGATTGATGCTTGCTGGGCCATCTCTTACCTCTCTGATGGTGCCAACGATAAGATCCAGGCTGTCATTGAGGCGGGCATCCCTCGCCGCCTGGTTGAGCTTCTCATGCACGCGTCGACCTCGGTCCAGACCCCCGCTCTCCGGTCCGTTGGTAACATCGTCACTGGTGACGACGTCCAGACCCAGGTTATCATCAACTGCGGCGCTCTCCCCGCCCTCCTTGCTCTGCTGAGCTCCACCAAGGACGGTATCCGTAAGGAGGCCTGCTGGACCATCTCCAACATCACCGCTGGCAACTCCAGCCAGATCCAGGCCGTTGTCGATGCTGGCATCATCCCTCCCTTGATCAACCTGTTGGCCAACGGTGACTTCAAGACCCGTAAGGAAGCCTGCTGGGCCATTTCCAACGCCACCTCCGGCGGTCTGCAGAAGCCCGAACAGATCCGTTACCTCGTGTCTCAGGGATGCATCAAGCCCCTCTGCGACCTCCTCGCTTGCCCCGACAACAAGATCATCCAGGTCGCTCTGGATGGCTTGGAGAACATCCTCAAGGTCGGCGACATGGACAAGGAGTCTGCCCAGACTGGTGAGGCTCGCGTTAACCGCTATGCCCTGTTCATCGAAGAGGCCGGCGGTATGGAGAAGATTCACGATTGCCAGAACAACGCCAACGAGGAGATCTACATGAAGGCGTACAACATCATCGAGAAGTACTTCTCCGATGAGGATGAGGCTGGTGACATTGACGAGGTCGCTCCTCAGCAGACGCAGACTGGATTCGCCCTTGGCACCACGCAACAGCAAGGCGGATTCAACTTCGCCAACGGTGGTGACTCTATGGATATGTAAAAAATTGACACGCATTTTACTGGCAATGAACCATGACCCACACGAGATCTGCACTATCTATTTCGATTCTACTTCTCGCTAGATCTACACATGGCGGCGTGATGGCCGCCATGTGGACCCTCAATCCCGAGTCCGTGGAGGCCCTGGGACTGGATTTCCCCTAACTGTCCCAGGACTCCATGCCTCAAGAATGGCGGTGTCTAGTGTGGCTCCTTCTCATGCTTGGAGTAATTTTGCGGAGTCCCTCCAACCCTTTTTGCTCTCAGGTTTTCATGCGTCCCCTCTGTCCTCCACCCCCTTACCCCTCCCCGCCCGTCTCATGATTCTTTCCTCCCCTGTTTTGATCATCACGATAAAGATTCACCATCATGTACCCCTTTATATTGCTCGATTCCTCTAGTACCTCCCCGTAGCATCCCTCATACACAGGCGTATTTGCTTTTTCGGTCTCATTCTTGTTCATTCCCTCTGGATGTTCTCTTCGGTTGTGATTTGTTTTGCGGGCTTGGGTGCTGTCCGTCTTGTGTGCCTTGGGAAACTAGCAGACTGATATTGGACGATGGCGTCGACTGACTCTGTCCCCGGATGCGGTTTCCCTTGGGTCTGGCCCCAGTCGGAAAGTACCTAGTATAGTCAAAAGCCCGATAAGTTCCACATTGATGGATAGTAACCTAGCCTGAAAATGACGATTCCCTTTTTCATCCACGTCTTCCACAAGGGCCCTCTAGGCTTCGTCATAACGTACCCGCCCACCGCCACACCTCAAATTTCAGTAAGCGTCAGCCATATCCTTTCACCGGCCACATCTATACAGTACGGAGTAAATTCGTAGAGCAGGTAATCTTCCCCATAGACACCAAAAATCAAACTCGGAATATATACTAATTAGTATCCCCTCCACCCCTCCAACCAAGGGATATATATACATGGGTAGGCTGGCTACATACCCCTTTACGATATATATCAATACGTAGCGCGTAAAGACAAAGCAACTGAGCTTAAGGAAAGAAAAAAAAAAAAGAAAAATAGAAATAGAAACACACGAGATGAGCGATATATAAACTGGAGATACTAACATGCACGGGTAGAATCGTATTCAGGTAAACACTAAGTGAACTTGAAAGAAACGAGGTATCAATATATGTGTAAGATTCAGTTCGAGTCGATGGCAATATATGATACTATATTAATGATCTTAAGAGATTGAGTCAGAGGTGGATTGATTTGAAAAGACGGCGAATAACTCCTGTTCATGAAAGGTTTGCAGTAATAGAAGAGTAGTGTGATATCGAGCTACATAACAACAGAAAATAAGATGCAGGGGAAAGGCCCAGCTGGTTGGAAAGACAGAAAGGTGGAAGAAAGAAAAAAAAAAGTCATAATCGAATCAAAGAAGTAATAGTTAGTAAGTAGTAAGGAACCGTGAATTTGCCTTCCCTAGTTTTCATCCGGAAAAATCAACAATAAAGGAAAGACATGCATATATCAGATCAATCGAACTAATCACCCATAACGTCGTCCTCGTCTGGATCTGGACCAGCTGGGTTCTCATCTTCCTCCTCCTCGTCGTGGTCTTGGTCGATGTCTTCCTCCTCAAGAAGGCCTCGAGCTCGTAGGTCCTCCTCGTCGTCGTCCTCGATGGGAGAGTCGCCGCCGTGCTCATCGTCGTCATCTTCGTCGTCTATACGTTCGGCGGATTTGTGGTCTCCGGATCGCTTGCTGGCGCCGGCGCCGTTCTGGCCTTTGCCTCGCGCCGCGGATTGTTTACTCCTGGCGGGGGCGGCCCGCGTTGCGGCACTCTTGGGCTTACGGTCTCCAAGGTAGGCGAGGACTTCACGGTAGTTTCGACCCAGCTGAGATCTTTGTTTGAGCAGTTTCTGCCTCAGCTCGCCACTGTCTGACCCGGAAGCGTCGATTATGCGACCTACGATGGCTAGGACAATTTTGCCGGTCAGTTCGCACAGCCGTTGTTCTGCTACAATGCTCGACCGCAGGCGCTCGTCGTCCATGGCTTCTTCCGGTTCGGACTCCTCGTCTTCATCCTCGGGGGCCTTGCGGATATCGTCTTCGGAAAGAGGCGCCTCGTCGTCAAGAGGCTCCAAAGGCAGGCGTATCTTCCTCGCATACGTACGCTCGGCTAGGCCATGGATCTTGGTGATGAGGGCCTTGGGCCCAGGTCCGATCTCATGAACAAGACTTTGAGTCTGGAGAATCACATCCTCGTCATTGGCTGCACTCAGTCCAGCATGGCGAAGGGTTCCGAACAAAGTCTGGAGGTCTAGGAGAGTCGTAGCTGCGCAAAACCGCATGTCGTCTAGTCCCGAGCGCTGTTTCATGATAGCAACCAGAGTCGCGATAAACATTTCGCGGCCTTTCGTCAGCGCCTCAAAGTAGGCCGTGTTGAACGAGGCTTTCCCTGCGTTCAGGGCCGTGGTTAAAGTTTGCACCTTCCACATGAAGTAGAACAAAAGCGTCCTGATACTGTTGGTGACCAACTCGGTTTCCGCCTTGGCCAGATCCTCGTCGCCCTCTGGTTCGCGCAACCCACGTTTCACCAGACGCATCAGGAGGTTGAAGGGCGCTTCCGAAAGGCCGGTGCTCTTGCCCTTTGCTCGACCAGACGGCATGGATTCCAGGAGATGAGTACAATCCGTCACACTGGCAAGGTTTGAGATCCGGGTCACTGTGTTGATGAGCTCATTGAGTGTGGCGGGGGATATCGAGCTTCCCTCTGCCACTTCTTCGTTCTGGGATAGAGTACCGAGGGTCTCGACTGTGTTATCCCAGAGCTCCTGGATCTTACTTTCCATCGCCTCGCGCATGTCGTCGGAGCTCTTTGCATGGATGAACGCAACACTGGCCTCGGCCAGAACATCCTGGTCCGAATGCGTGAGGAACTGCTTGTTGATGTCGTTCAGCAACGTAGTATAAGCCGTCGCATCCTTTTGGATATCCTCGATCTTCTCCAGATCGACCAGATGCTCAAGCCTCAAAACAGCAAATGCTGCCTCGGGGACGGAGCCGTACTTGTTCAGGAGCTGCGGGATAATCTGCGCCAGACTATGCGCAATCTCTTCCTGCAGTTCTGGGATCTTGTCGGTCAAGGCCTTGACCTTCCGGCCCCTTTTATCAATGTCTGATTTGGCGATTTCCAGAACGCGTAGCTTGACCGCGCAGCACAGGACTTCCAGAAGAATCACCTCCTGGCCTTCCTGCATTTTGTACGATGTCCGGACCACGGCAGCCGCATCGTCCTCGCTAGGCTCGTCGGGGATCTGGGAGTGGTCGTAGAGAAGGTAGCCCGCTAGAGCTTGCCAGTGAGCTAGGTCAGTGAGGTGGGGGTAAATGGCCTCCGTGGCAAGGACAAAGCGCGTGTCCATGGGAGCCCCCGCAAGGGCATCTCTGGAAGCCACGGGCTCTTCCGCGCTCTCGTTCTCTAGATCATCGTAGGCTTGAAGAATATCGGCTAGACATTTAAACTTGATCCACGTGCGCTTCGGCGACTCGAAGTCGTCCTCGTCTTCGTCGCCAAACAATTCGTTCCCCTCCTCTCCCATTTCCTCCATCGTGGAGTCGAACACATCCTGAACGTTCGCAACGAAAAAGCGACCAGCCGCTTTGCGAACTCGGGGTTCGGAGTCGAAGACGAGTTTGCCTACCGTGTCCACATCCGCAGGCTCGATCAACCCGGCATCGCGGATGAGATCCAGCAGCTCAATGGCGGAGGTGCGCACTGCGATCTCCGCATCGTGGGCAGCCATCTCAACTAGCCGCTGGCGGAAACGCTCGGTGAACGATCGTAAGCCAGCCATGTTGTCTTTGTTTTCGTAGAGAAGTCGGAGCTGGTCAACCACAACTGCGCGCGTTTGGCCGGCGGCGTCGGAGAGAATCCAACCGAAATATCGGAGGAATTGGCCCTCGAAAAAGAATTCGCGATAGGCGCGCATCCATCGCCCCAAGGCCGCCATGCACTCTGCCCGAATCATGGGGTCGATGTCGCGGTAGCGGTGGACGAAGACGACGTTCACCCCATCCTTCAGGTATTCGTCAATCGTCTCTAGCTTCTGTTCACCATCGTCGATGGCGGTTTGGATAGCATCGATTCGACCCTTGTTGACCGATCTCTTCTTCTTCTCACTTTCAAGTTGTTTGCGGGAGGTGGAGACCGTGGTATTGACCTCGCGAGCTATATCACAAAAAGCGTTCATCGTGGCCAGAGAGATGACTGTGGCGGTATGTCTGAACGGCCGACACCTGGAAGTAGAGAGGGAAGAGATCCAGACTTGGACGTTCTCGAAGAGATTAGGATCGGTGTATAGAACAGAGGAATGGTGCAGGGTTTGTATCAGGGTCATGAAGAAACTCTCCAAGACGGGCTGGAAAGACCTCAGCTTCCTAGACCTGGAGATCAGGGGGTATTCAGAGATCCCTTGTTGATGATACTGAGTTTGCAGGTCATCCACGCGACCCGGTGCATGATCGACATCTTCAATATCGGCAGTATTGACTTCGAGGTCGGTTCCCGCGCATTTCAGCATGAAATTCACCATATCGCACACTGCAACGTCCTGGGCTTCCTGATATTGCGTTAGCCACTCCGCAGCGACCGTCTCAACGGTTCGTCCCTTGCCAAAGACCTCCGCTGGAGAACAATGTCAGCCCATGCCAGTTCCGCGGAAAGATCGGATGTATGCAACCTACCATAAAGACCGCCTTCGCGAGCAGCCATGGTGAGCCGGGCCTTCATCTGCCTGGGACGCGCGACCGGCTTCCGCCCATGAGTCGCGGGTCGCAGGGCCAGGCGACTGGGCAGTCCGTTGCCGGCGACCTTGGGTTTCTTTGCACTACGAGACTTGGGCTTCGCTTTCGATCCGGACGACTGCTTCTTGGGAGCTGCTTTGCGCGCCGCTCGTCTCTTCTCGCGCAGCTCCTCTTCGTCGGGTTCTTCGTCGCCGGGCTCATCGCTTTCAGCCTCGGACGCGTCCTCGTTGATCTCTTCATCGTCATCATCATTATCATCGCCAGTCGTGGTGCGCTTGCGTTTAGCCCCGCCTGCGGTCGCACCGTTGCTGGCGCCATATCTCTGTGAATACAACTCGGGCTTTCGCGTGACCCGGCCGGACTTCCTCCTGTCTGTTGACGGGGAGGCGTCGCTCTGGGTCGGGTCCGGCTGAGGTGTTGAGAGGGGCGACTCGGCTTCCATGTTGTCTGTCGTGAGAGATATTAGAGCACTGCCATTCCAGCGAAGGTCAGCCGGAGTTCACGGATGTCATTTGAGGGGGTGCTGATCCGGGAGCATCCCAGAGAGGAAGAACGTACTTGGACGTGGGGTTCGTGAATGCCAAAGATAGATGGGACGGGACCGGTCAACGCGATGTTGGGTCTCCCGGTTTGCGCGCGCGTACGGCACGTCCCTGCGAGTGGACCGTGGGGGGAGATCCTCGGTAGATATTGAACGAATTATGGGAAGGCAATTGACAGCATGCGGGAGGAAGGAGGGGGGCTGGAGGGATAGGGGAAGGGAGGGGGTGGACAACGGAGGTGGACTTTGGGGGTCTGTCCTGCTCGTTGACAGACGGACGGACGACGCGCTTTGGTGCCTGGCGATGACGGGGCCGGCGGCTGTGGTGGCCTGAGGCGACGATGGTGTGGTCGCGGGTCACGGGACCTGCACTGGTATCTGGGAGCGTTTCTAGCATGTAAAATACAGTAATTACACCGGACTTGGCGCCGAGGGGCCCTCGGACCATCTGACCAACCCAACCCTAGCCCTTGCGGGCCAGCCCAAAGCGGGAAGTGCGGAGGCGGAATATCGATGCCGTAATGGAAACCTCGCCGGGGTCCATCGCGAGACGCAGAATTGATGCCATTGAAGAGCCAAGAGCTGCCACTCCATCTTTCCCATCCACGGGATCACTCCAGACCCCGCTCCCGGCCAGGGATTTGCAGGCATCAGGTACTATCGAAAATCGAGAATCCCTTTCGCCGTCGTACAGCTCGCCTGCTGTTTGGCTGTTCTCCGTACTGCCGCCCCAAAGTCTGGAAGATCGTCAGGCTGCAGGACGAGAATATTGGATCGGACCTGGAGAAGAACCCAGTCTCACGCCAGCACCGTGACGCCATTCCCCTTCCTTGAGTGCCCATTCCACAGGCCATGGATAAAAGCAATACCATGCTGTTAAAAGCCAAGCAATCCGTCCTCGTCCTCCTCTTTTCCTTCTTCTTCCATCCATAGTTCGCCCCCAATTCTTCTCCCTCTCCGTCTTTCACATCCCTCTCACCCGCAACCATGCCGATAAAATCCCCCTTCGAGTCATCCATAGCAAAGCCTGGGCAGGGCAAGGTCGTCCTCTCCCTTCTGCCTCCTTGCAATCCAACTCTCACGACTCTCACCTACAAATATCCTTTGAAACTCCTCACTCGGGTCCCCGGCTTTGTTCCGCAAACCTCCGCGCTATCAACATGTCCCTCCCGACCCGTTCACCTCTACCTACTCACCTACGGCGGTGGTCTGTTACCAGGCGACCACATTTCTGTCTCCATCACCCTTGAACCTAGGACCCGCATGGTCGTGACGACACCCCAAGGGAGCACGAAGATCTTCAAAACCGAACCCAACGCCGGCGTGAAAGGCCACCGCGGCACTCCCAAACACATTCTCTCCGATAAAAGCCGGCAAACATTAGACGTGCACGTCGGCGAAGACGCCGCCCTCTGCTACCTCCCGGACCCCGCCGTACCCTACAAAGACAGCCGCTACGAGCAAATCCAGACCTTCACCGTCGACGGACTCAACAAGAGCAGTCTCTGCATTCTCGACTGGGTCACAGAAGGCCGGACGTCTCGTGGGGAGAGCTGGGATTTCCATCTTTGGCGAGGCAAGAATGAGGTGTGGACAACGACGACGACCACCGAGGACGAAACCGGGACACCAACAGAAAAGAAGAAGCTTCTACTCCGTGACTCACTCATCCTTGACGACGAGGTTGACGTGGACCTCCTCGAAAATAACACCGACACCATCAGCCGCAGCGATCTGATCCGGGAACGGACCCGGCCACACGGTGTCGTGGGCACTCTGATTCTCTACGGGCCTGTCTTCGAGAAGCTGGCGTCCTTCATCATGGACCGATTCACCTCGTTGCCCAGGATCGGCGCGCGGAATTGGGCTTCTTCAGCTCCGGCGGTGATGGAATCCACACCGAACTATGACTCGCAGGTGACGTTTACGGCGGCGCGGGTCCGGGCCGGCTTCGTATTGGTGAAGTTTGGGGCGAAAGAGTTTGCTACCGCGAAGGATTGGTTGGGTGGGATTCTTCGGGAAGAGGGCACCGTGTTTAGGGAGTTTGGGGAGGAAGCGTTGTTTTGCATGTGACGAATACTCCCTGAGCATCCTACCTCTCCCCGTCTTTGTGTTCGGCTAGTCACGGTGACTAGTTCGCTTTTCAGCTTGCTATCTAGCTAGATAGATGATACCCAGCTCGTATTTACTACGAACCACCGATGTTGTGCAATCCAAAAACATCCAGCCTGTTCGTTTTCTTTGTATCTAAGCTAAGTCGTATGTAAGCATCTAGTAAGAGCCAAGCTAACCTAACCCAAAAACCACAGACCAAGTCATCATGTGGGTATCTACCTAACACAAAGGAAACCAAAACCGAAACGCCGTCGCAATGTGCAATCGTCTCTCTAGACATGGAATGAACGTGTGGGTGAAGATATTCGAAACTGGGAGAAGCTAAAGGGAAAAGGAAAGGAAAGGAGGGTGTAAGGAGGGGAGATAGATAGCGAGAGAGAGGGTTTGGTCAACTCAATTCCACCAATCTGAGATGCGCGGCTGCCAGTCCTTCCGAGTGGCGCTTTGAAGATCATCGACGTTGAGAAAGTCGACGCCTTCGCGGACGAACATGCTCCAGAGATGGTTTCTCAGACTCCGAGGCCAGCTGGGCACGCCCCAGTACCGGACTTTCAGGCCGCGACGATGAGCGCCCCGGATCTGGGCGCGCATTTTCTCGACTTGGCGCTCGCCGAGACGGAAGGACCAGGGCATGCCGATGGATTTTTTGAACGAGACGGAGGCGTAGTAGCTGTTGGTCCAGTCGAAGGTGTCCGGGCGGATCTCTCCTTCGGAGATACCGGACAGACCCTGACCGACATTTTCTGCGACGCGGGCGGTTAGTGCATTCCCGCCCTGGTTGTTGTTCAGCAGGCTGTCGTCATCGTCTGCGAGCTTGTCGAGCGGGGCGTCGAAGAAGATGTCCCGGTGGGTGGTGTTGGCGATGACCCGGTTGAAGGGCGTGTTGCCGGTGCCCACGACGGTGATGGGGCCGGGGATGAGGTCGGTGCCGTTGAAGTAGGAGAGATAGCCGCGTTCGCGGAAGGGCGCGAGCTGGGCATCCACGTAGGGCCAGGTCTCCTGACCGTCGGTCTTGAAATCGATCAGCAGAATTAGGGTTTGCGATGGATCGGTATCGAACACCCCTTGCGGCGGTTGGTCGCGAAGCGGATGGAATTCGGTGATGGGGTTTTGCTGTTCAAGAATGCGCAACAACGGGTCGATGTACATGCTCTGCAGGGTCCGCTGAGGCGTCAAGGAGGACCGTTTATGGCCGACGTAGAGGTCGTGGTCGACGAGCCACACATCGGCCTCCACACCGATACAGCCGGCCTGGAGAGCGGAGTACAACGGGATGGGACGCCAGTAGTCGTTATGGGAGTGGCATCCCACCGGAACAATATCTCTGGAGATGTCTGTTGGCCAATGCAGAATGTCCATGGTGGGTCCTGGATCGCTGTGACGCCACCGCTCGGTGGCACGGTCGATTTCATCGGGGAAGAAGGAGATGATAATGCCGCAAGCAATGGAGATAAACTGGACGACGCCTCTATGCGGGTGAGGTGAGCGACGGAACACCCATGTTGACGGGGGATGGACTCACTCACAGCATGACGAAAATGCCCAGGAATGGGTAGCACAGACAACGCGACAGAAACCTGAGCCTCCGATACTGTCGCGGCGAGGATTTGCAGCTGGCCGTTATCGACGTGGCTGAAGCGAGCAGAGGCCGAGCAGCTGCGGACCCGCGAGGAACCCGAGGCTTTGTGGTGGTGGTGGTGGTTGATAAGGAGGCCCCGATAAGAGCCATTCCCCGCATCCCCCAATTCTTCCACCACCTCTGCTGCGGGCCTCGCGGTCGCTCCGGGCGAAACCGCGATGCTGCCTCGACATCGCCCTCGTAGTCCGAGTCACTAGTGATCGCACTGTGAAGACCATGGTCCAGCGGGTATCCCTGCATCCATTCACCGTCGTCGACATCGAGGTAGGTGTGGACGGAGCTGGTGGAAGAAGAGGCGGCCAAGGAGGGCGAAGGATCCATGATGCGATCTGATCTATCCACTGCTGATCCCAAGCAGAAGAGGCACGGATGGAGGGGGAGTCATATAGAATTATATAGAGCTCAGCTGCCGGCCACGATCCATTCGTTGCTTGTCCCCTCCAGACTGCATCGGGAAAGCGCCTTGGGCGCCATGCCGCAGGTCTCCGAAGGACAAAGTGAGGGTCGAGCGTGAAGCAATCCCCACCCCAGCTACTACCAGTCGACTAATTCTCTAGTCTAGGGTCGTCTAGTTAGTTGGTTATACTAGTGTTTAGTTTGATATTCACCGATGCCCATGACCACGGGTCTCTCCGTGCTGGCCCCCGGCCCCAGGATTCGTCCTTCCCAAGGTTTGGTCGAAGCGACCCTATCTTTCTTTGGTGGACGAGCCAGGCGCCCATGTGCAACGGGCCGGGCAGCCATTGGACCGTCGGCGCTTCAACCGCACGGGCTGCTGGCCAGCCTTAAATCACCTGGATTCCTCATGCAACATCTCGTCTACACACTTTTTTGACTCAAGGTTGCGTCGGCTCAGAGCTTGTCTAACCTGCCCATTGATGATACACACACCACAAGCTTTCTCTGGTTACTCTGGGGCGAGAAAGATGGCACTGCCTTCCTCCTCTCAATTCTGCTGCCTAAGTCAGCATCCTCCAAGTGGAACTGTATCAGGATGGCAAAGGATGGATAACTTGGTCATTGTGGGACAGAGACCAAAAAAATTTTCCTCTCAGGGATACCGACAGCGCCATCAGCAACAAAGGATGTGCCGGGTTATCCAGACCCTCAGGGATCGGGGAATTGATTCGTGCAGACCGCTGCAGCCAAGGGCCAACGGGCCAGGGTGCATGCGCTCTCCCACTGGCTGGACCAGCGTGACGAAGGACCCTGTTGAGTGACACTAAGCGAGTGCAGTGGTTGGCTGGCCCTACGGTCTGTCACATTCATTTCGCTTCAGTGTCTGACATCCACCGTCGGGGGCTGTGTCCGGGACTGTCATCCACCGGATGAATGGCTGTCAGGTTAGCTAGCAGTGCTAGATAGGCTCTAGCTTCCATTTCGGAAGGACGGCTGTCCCGGAGGATCGTTGGCCCCTCTGTCCCTGCATAAAGGTCTCGGATTTGAGGCTGTACAGCCTGGTTGCTAATCAAATCCGTGTGAGGGATTTTGTGTAGTGTCAACAGGGTAGTATACAGTTGGAGGCTTAGCTCTGTTAGCGTTGCCCTATGTCTAAGAATATCTGAAGGGACGCGATAAGGCTACACGATGGAGCTACAATCCACCAACAATGGATCCCATCTGTGTAAGTTCTACTAATGGCATCGATTAGACCCTGAATATATCCGACAAGTGTATTCAAACACCAACATGGAGTACTCCGTAGTATCCTCCATCCCCAGAAGAGTAACTCCCCCGTGCGTAGCTTATCAGCGGCGATAAGATACGCCGCTAACCGTCGGGAAAAAAAGTTCAACCATCACCACCGCTACCACCACCACCACTCCTACCACCATCCACCTCCAACTTACCCACCAAACACTGCCACAATGCCTCACAAACACAAGCGTCGCCAAAAAGACGCCAAGTACGTTCCCCCTCCACGATCCCACTATCCCACTATCCCAAAGTCTCCACTAAATCCTAACCAACCCAGCACCTACGACCTCCCACCCACCATCATCGCAAAGCCCCTTCCAGTGCGCGATCCCAAGTCAAAACCCACTACGACCAAAAAGGGCAAACAACAACAGCCCCAAAAACCGCAATCTGAGACATCAGCAGCATCAGCAACTAGCGCATCCCGCCGATCCAAATCAAATTCCAAACCAAAATCCACCAACCCCACAGGATGGGCAGACGATACTCCCCGGGCCTTTCGCCGGATGATGCAATTCCAGTCCGGTGCGAAGGGGGCGCAGAAGCGGAAGCGGAATATTGGTGGTTCCGAGGATGAGGAGTCTGACTCCGAGGGGGGTAGAACTTCGGGTCAGAAGAAGAAGAAGAGGAATGCGCCTACACCTACATCTACGACTAAGAAAATCGCCAAAGAAGCACAAAAGAATGTAGAATCATCACCATCAGAAGAAGAAGAGGTTCAAACAACCAAACCACAAATCATGCCGGGGGAAAAACTCTCCGACTTCGCGGCGCGCGTGGATCGCGAAATGCCCCTCTCCCACATGAAGCGGAGCACGAAGCCCGCGGCCGCTGATATGCCCAAGATCCGGGAGACACGGGTCACGAAGCACGAGAAGCATCTCCGACGACTACAGGAGCAGTGGCGGAAGGATGACAAGGAGATATTAGAGCGGGAGGCGGCGGAGCGGGAGGAACGGGAGGAGGAGATGGAGGAGCAGTTGCGGTTGTGGGATCAGTGGGAGACGGAGGCGGGGAAGCGGAAGGCGAAGAAGAGTGGCGGGGGAGCGAAGAAGAAGGAGGCGACGGTGGTGAGGGATGATCCGGATCCGTGGGCGAAGTTGAAGCGTGAGCGTATGAACAAGCAGATTAGTCCGTTGGATGTGGTGCAGGCGCCGCCGCAGTTGACGAAGCCGAGGGAGATTTTCAAGGTGCGTGGGGGAGCCAAGGTGGATGTGGCGAATGTGCCGGCGGCGGTGGGGAGTTTGAGACGACGAGAGGAGTTGGCGAGTGAGCGGAGGAATATTGTCGAGGAGTATCGGCGGTTGATGGCTGAGAAGAGACGGGCGTGATGGACTACTAAGATCTAGATTATAGATGGTATAATACCCGGGTGAAAGAAACGAAGATATTGGGTGGAAATGCTTTTTATATACAAAGATTCTCTATGTCCGGATCCGTAGTAACACCGATGCTCACTCCTGCTGCAACGACTTGACATAGTCCGCCGCCTTGGCCTTAATCTCCTCGACCATCTTATCATTCCCGCCCTCAGCAGAAGCCAACTTCTCCTCAAAGGAGAGCCACTTCTTGAAGAAGAAGCGGGCCTGCTTGGGACGAACTTTCTTACTGGCGTCCACGACGCCGCCCTTCTTGGTGATGCCCAGGACCCGCTCGAACAGACGACGGACCTGTTCTGCGTCGCCGTGCTTGATCTCCAGATCCAACAGGATGTTCCACAGGTCGATCTTCTTGGGGAACGAGGACAGGAGACCCTCGAACACTGTCCGGCCACGCTCGACGTCGCCGTTCGCGGAACGGAACTCCAGCTGGGCGAACTTGGAGGTGGTCTCGACGTGGGTGTGAGAGGGCAGGGACTGGAGGGCGCGAGGAAGCAGTGCACGACCGCGCTCGGGAGCAGCCATGGTATCGAACAGGAAGCTGGCGTAGTTGAGGAAGAACTTGGCCGACTGGAAGATCTTCTTCTTAAGAGCGGTTTGGAAGAGCTCGTCCGCTTTCTGTAGGCGAATTCGTTAGCAAGAAAAGGGGAACAATCCGATGCAGTCAGCTTACCTCGTTCTTGCCAGACTGGATGTAGATGCTGATCATCCGCTCGTAGACCTCCTGGGTATCGTTGTACTGGCACGCGCGCTTGAAGACCTCCTCCAGGGTATCGTCGTCGCCGTAGGTGTTCTCCAGGTTGAGCATGGCCACCCAGATGTTCAACTTCTCAGCATCCTGGCCGATGGTAATGGTACGGAGAGCACGCTCGGCGATTTCCCTCGCCTTGTCGACTTCACCCAGCTCCAATTGGAAGGCCATGTACTGAAGCCACAGGAGCGAGGAATCCGGTTCACCGAGCAGGAGTCGTTCGTAGTCGGCGACCGACTGAGGTCCGTTCGCATCCAACTCACCGGTGCGGTCCACCTGGATCTCGGGCTTGCGGTTCTTCTTCTTCTTCCGCCGGGACTCGTCCTCGTCATCCGACTCCGGCTGAACACCCATATCCTCGTCATCGTTAGTGTTGCCGCTCCAGTCGAAGCCACCGTCCCCGAGGCCTCCAGCTTCCCGAGTTGCCGGCACGTCATCCATCGCCTCATCGTCGCTCTGCTCGGAATCGTCCTCGCTGTCGTCCTCCTCAAGGTCAACGCCACCCATGGAAACGTCACTGTCCTCGTCACTGTCGTCGACATCGACGCCACCGATGCCATCCAGACTGATGCCTTCGGAGTCGTCGCCTTCTTCGTCGCTGTCCTCGTCCTCGTCATCATCGAAGTAAGAAGCCTTCAAGCCGAAAGAGATCTTTTCTTGCTTGCGGTCAATCTTGAGAATCTTGGCCTTCACAGCGTCACCTTCTTCGAACAGAGTCCGGGCATCTTCCACGCGACCCTCGGCCATTTCACTGCGGTGGCAGAGACCGCTGATGTTCTTGGAACCATCGATGACGATGAACGCGCCGAACTCCTCGACCTTGCGGACCTTGCCGGTCACGATCTGACCAGGCTTGAGGTCGTGGAGCGTAACAGGGGCCTTGTAGTTAGGGTCCAAAGCAGACTCCTTCAGGCTCAGTTGCAACTTGCCTTGCTCCGCGTCCGCGACGGTGACACGGCCCTTGACCAGCTGATCAACCTGGAACGAGTCCTTCCACTCCTTGAGGTAGGAATCCGAAAGGTCGGAGATACGGACATAAGCAGTCACGTCACGGCCGACCGTCACGAACAGACCGTTGTCGGCAACCCTGCGGATGAAACCCCGGACAACATCATTCACCTTAAGTTGACCGATGGAGGAGATTTCCTTGTCCTGAACGGGAAGAGAGGAGCTGAGAACCTTAGACGGGCGCAGCGAAAGAGAGATCTTCTTGTTAGCCTTGTCGATGCTGATAACACACGCGCGGAGAACTTCGTTCTTCTGGTACACGGTCGGGTTGGCCTTGGTGTAATCATCGGCCATGTCAATCAGATCGACGGCACCGACAATCGACTTGCTGAGCTGCATGATGACTTGTCTCTCAGTGACCTTGGTGACTCTTCCCGGCAGAATCATGCCGGTGGTGATATCCTCAAAGGAAAGCTTCTCGGAGCGTTGCTTGGCGGTCAGATCCAGACGCCCCTTCTCAGCGTCGACGGCGGAGACGTGGACCTTCAGCGCAGATCCCACGGGATAGTGCTTCTCCACATCGGCAAGAAGGGACAAGTCATCGGATGCGTCCATGAGACGCAGTCTGCCACGGACATTGGGGGACAAGTTGATCCAAAGGCAGTCGTCAGCCACGTTGTTGACGAAACCAACCCAAGCAGAGCCAGTCTGAACCTGTTCCAAGTTCAGGGGGCTGGGGTTGGCCGCCTGCAGGAAGCTCGGCTTCACAGACAGCTCGAACACCGGGAACTTTCCGCTACGGTGACTGATGGGAAGGAACTTGTGATTGCGGGCGTCGTGGATGCCCAGGATTCTGGCGGAAATGATCTGCTTAGGACGGAAGAACCGGAGCGGCTGCTTACGATCCTTGATGTCCTCCCACTTGTCAAACACCTCAGACACATCGATGCGGCCCTGGATGTTGTCGGCAAGCTGAACGTTGACCTGAGTGGCCCTGACCGAAACGACCTTGCACTTGGTGACCCGTCCGAAAGTGAAATCAGACATCGAATGGATGCCCTCGTCAATGGCGTTAGCGACGGCATCGTCAGCCGGAGAGGGTTCAGGCTTAGCAGCGGCCTTCTTCTTCGCACCGGCTTGGGTAGCCTCCGCGGGGTTCATGCTCAGGATGAACCGCTGGAAATCGGCGTCGATCGAATGCACCGTCGCCGTCACCACTTGAGACCTCGCCATACCGTAATCCGGCTTGCTGACATTCTCGTCACCAACAAGACGCTTGGGAACGAGACCGATGACACCACCCAAGAACTCCACAAACACTCCGTTCATCGTGATGTTACGGATAAAGCCAGTGACCTCGGCACCTTCCTGGACATCTCCGAACTTGGCGGGGAGCCGGCCTTGCTTGGAAGCCTTCTTGAGACTCGGTCTGCCTGTCACCTTGATGAGTCGGTGCGCGCGCTGGATGTCGAGCACCATCAGTTCATTGAGCTTTTGGCCAACACGGATCTTCGAAAGAGTCGAGGCCTGCTTCGAAGGGGAGCCATCAGCCACATGCTCAACATTGAGTCGGGCCACAAGACCATATTCGTCCAGTTTGAGGAGCATGTCGTCGGTCGACTTCTCGAAGACAGTGCCGGAGACAAGCATGCCGGGGTGAAGGTTCTCAAAACCCTTCCTGTAAGCCTCAGTAAATGTCTCAGGGTCCTTGCAAGAGACTGCGAGCTTTCCAAGAGACGCATCCACGCTCAAAGCGTGAACATTGACAACCTGTCCGAGTCTAAAGTGTTGCGAAGGATCCTTAATGTAGGCTTCACTCATTTCAGACACAGGCAGGAAGCCCCGGACGGAGCCATAGAACTGAACCACGGCACCGTGGGAGTGAAGTTTGATGATGGTTCCCGGAGACTGGGTGCCAGGGGTGATGCTCTGGTAGTCCTTCCAGATGGCGGATTCGCTGTTCAACAAGCTCTTCTTCAAGGTCAACCGGATCTGGCGCTTTTCCAAGTTAACCGACAAGACTCTGGTCGACACCGTCATACCTTCCCGGAACTTCTTCTCGGGGAATTGAAGGGCAGTGTCAGCGAAGTGCATAGATGGAACAAGACCGGTGATGCCATCCGCCAGAGTAACAATCAGACCGTCAACTCCATTGGCTCCGATCAGAAGCTTCTCCACCTTTCCTTTCACAACTGCTCCCAGCGTCACATCCTCGACCCGGAGGAATGGCTGATCAATGATCTTCTTCTCGAAAGACAGGAGGTAAAGGCTGTCAATGGCACTGTATCCAACCACTCTTGCCTCGTGGACGGAATCGGTTCGGAAGGGTCCGACCTCGGGGGAAATGGTTTCCACCTGCCCGTCTGAAAGCCGCGACACATGAACGAATCCCATGTGTTTAGTCGAACCAATTTGCACATACACACCGAGACCGGGATCAACTGTGACAATCTTCGCCTCCGGTACAATCGCAGAGATGGCGGGGGCGTCGTCGGAAGAGCCGGGACCACCCTCGGAGACAAACTTGGCGACGTGGTCGAGCAGCGAAAAGCCAACCTTGAACGGCTCAGCGGCGGGGAATGTGCAGACAAGACGGGCCTTGATCTTGGCGCCAGTACTGTATTTCTTGGTCAAGTCGTTCCCTGAATTTCCTCCAGACTGCACCATATCTACCGTAGCATCCAGCATGCCCATTATCTTTCCAGACATGCCGGTTGACGAGACCTCGGTGAGAAGGATTTCCGCTGCAGTACCCGGGAGGAAAGAAGTGATCGTTGGAGCAGTGCTGAGATAGTGTGACTTTTTGATCGAACCAGAGGACTGAAGGTTAGCAGACAGCTTGATGACACTGCCGTTAGCGTTCTGGCCAGTGACCATGCACAGAAACACTGAGCCTTCCTTGATAGACGAAGGTTCCGTCTTGGAGTCAACTTCTTTGGAGGACATGAATCCTTTGACATCACCGCCCTCAAGGCCCAGATCCATAACCAGACCGTGATCCTCCACGCTGACAACCGATGCTTGAACGGCGGTGTTGACAACCAGATCCGATTTCGAAAGCCCAGTGTTAGCTTGTCTTGGGTCGATAGAAAGCTCAATGCGCTTGCGATTCTTAGATTTACCATCGGCGGTGTTGCTTCCCGCAGAGACAACGTATGCTCGCAGGTACTGGCCGAGGTAAAAGTATTTGTTCAGGTCCAGCGCATCCTCCTCCTCGTCCTCATCCTCCTCGTCATCCTCCTCGTCGCTTCCGTCATCCTTCAGAATCTTCTCAATCTTCTCCTCCAGCACCTTGGACACAGAGGTTAAGGGGACGTAACCAGTGAGGTTGTTGGGCAGGGAAAGTCCGATGTCGTGAGCGTTGATACTCGAGACTTGACCCAGTACCATAGTGCCTGGTTGAATACGCTGCTCTGGTAAGTTCCAAGAAGCGCAAACACCACCGGTTGAGCATCAAGAAACGTACCTTGAAATTCAGACCCTCAATCCGCACGCCTTTGCTCTCACCTGCGTCCTGCTCGGTGCTCTTCTTTCCCTTGGTCTTGCGCTTGCGAGCCTTCTTCGCACCGGCTGATGTCGCATCTCCGGCGTCTTCCATGTCTGTGTCGTCGTCCAGTCCATCATCTCCGAAATCCCCGGCAGAAGGTCTGGCGCCCTTCTGCTCGAAAAGAACATCCTTCGTGGCTTGGATCTGAATTTGTTTCCGTTCGAGAGGCGTCAAAACGCTTCCACCACCACGGGGGAAAGAAGGTTCGTCATCGCGCAGAACCGAAAGCTCCGAAGGCTTGGGCGCAGAGGTTGCGTCCGACTTGGACTTGCTGTCATTCGAGGCGGGTTTTTGTTTCTTCTGATCCTTGTTGCGATCCTCTGCTCCGACGCGGACACGCTTCTGGGGCTGACGGGCAGATGCCTCCTCTGCGGCATTGCCCTTGCGTTTAATCGGAGCCATAGTGGTAGGAGTCTAAAGTGTCCGAAACGCAGGAACGGACACGATGAACTGCTCCAAAGCTCCCAGACCGAATACCAAACCGGCGGTCTTGCAGACGAAAAATTAAAATTTCTGGACGGAAAAGCCGATTGGCGGCGCGACCGCCTTCTGTTCCTGGCGCCGCCGCCCCCTCCGCGAGCACTCTAATGGGGTCTCTCACCGCCTGCCCGGCTGGGCCAGTCGCGACACGAAAAGGCACGTCGACACGAGACTTTTCTTTTCCGCGCGGTGGAGGACTGGCATCATCACAGCCCCCAGCTCCACTCGCCATGCCTCCAGTCTCGCCCACTTAGGCCGCTGTTCTCTTTTTTCCCCCCGACCACCCTCCCCCTCACTCCCCTCCCTCCTCCACTTGTTCCTGTAGCATGTCTGTGTGTCTCAATCGGTCTATGGAGCACAATGGATGGCAGGCATGATCTCCCCGACGTACCTCGGTCTGAACCCGTTTTCCCTCCGTTCTCGCAGGAGCTTCCTTCCTCTCCACCCTCAATAGCCTCCGATGTGGGCTTTCGACGCAAACCCAAGAAGCCTCCCCCGGTCACTCCCCGGTCATTCCGGAGGTTCTTCACGCCTCGTTCTATGCTGGATGGTGGGAACAGTGCCAGTTCGGTCAGAACCAATCGGCAGGCCTTAAAGGCCCTTAGTTCCCCGGCCGTCAATCGTCTGGGGCCCGCCTTTACAAGGACATCTAAGGCCGTTGAACATCGACCGGAGGCTCACGAACTTCTACGAACCCCCAGTCGGAAACGCAAACTTTCATTCTCGTCAATCGGCTCTCCGTTGCAGTCGTCCCCACTTAGAAAGGTTCATGTCCGAAATACAGTCCAGGATGACGCAGAGGTGGAAAAGCCAGTTCGGGATATCCAACTTAATGTTGAACCACGTGCGGACGATATCAAGTCAACTACTATCACCAAACCTTCTCGACAAGTTCTCCCAGTCCGCCGCTCGCAAGCATTGCAAACATCCGGAGCGCTGTATATGCGAAGTGTTGCAGGGACTCGAGCAAATCGAGTGACCATACGATCCAACTCGGGAGCTGGTAGGTGACATCCCTATTAGCTGTCAGACATTTCCTCATCATTGTGAAGGTTGGCAGGACTTGACATCGGACTTCTATTCTCGACCAAGCGATAGCCACAATTGCGCCAACAATTCCGGAGATCGCTATGTTCTTCCGTTCTGCACTGCAGCATGCAATAGTAGGTGAAACCAGGAAGGTCAATTGTCTGTTGTACCTACTGACCGGCTTCATAGCCAACAGCCTTGTTGCAGTAGGTGATGAGGAGGGAGGCATTCGACTGTTGGATTCTGCCAAAGACGATAAGAGCGGCTTTTCCCGGGCATATCTCACCTTCCGTCCCCACACGAACTCGATAATGGACCTGGAATTTTCGTCCGATGATATGCTCCTTGCAACCGCCTCGGGAGACCAGACAGCACTGGTTATCGACATGGCTACGCAAACCCCGGTATATTGCTTATCCAACCATGTGTCCTCCGTCAAGCGAGTCCAGTTTCAGCCAGCAGCCAACAACAAAGTACTTGCGACATGTAGTCGTGATGGTAATGTCAATATATGGGATCTTCGATGCAAAGGATTCGATAGGCCCAGTCTGCAGGCGCGGTGCTCGCTTGAGTCCGACGCAGAACCTACCGCTGGCGCCATCACCTCCAAAACGGCGTTTCCGCAGGTCTTGAGTACTATCCACGGTGCCCATGCCTGGACGTCTCACACATCTATGCTGGAACCCCAGGCCCGCCGCTCGGACATCACTGTGACTTCGTTGGCTTTTCTTCCGCCTGGTCGTGAGAACCTCTTTGTTACAGCTTCGAGTACCAACGCTTGTGTGAGACTATGGGATCTGCGTACAGCACATAACAACCGTCGTGGTCGTCCGGTCCTCCCTCTAGCTACTACTCGACAGCCGGAAAGCCATATCAAGTATCGCGGGTTTGCGGTTACATCGATGGCCCTCGGTGGAGACGGTGCAAGACTTTACACGCTCTGCCGAGATGGTACTGTCTACACATACTCAACTTCACACCTAGTCTTGGGAAGTGCACCCGAGCTGTCTTTGAACAACAATCGACCACGCCGCTCAGGCGGGTCTGATAAAGAAGGGCTCGGACCTCTATACGGCTTCCGCCATCCACGTCTCCAGGTTGCAACTTTCTACGTTAAAGTCGGAGTCCGCAAAGCCGCTGGTGACAAGCCAGAAATGCTAGCTGCCGGAAGCGCTGACAATTGCGCTGTCATATTCCCAACGGACGAGAAATTCCTCTCCAATGATCAAAGAGCAACCACCGAGGATGACTTCCTTCCTCCGATGCCGTCGTCGTCCACTCGCTCCGGCCTCCGCCGTGCCAACTCAGGACGGGTGGAAGACACCGTTCCCATCTACCAGTCCGGAACACCTCTAGTCGGAGGTCACGTGAAAGAAGTCTCCGCCGTGTCATGGACCGTCGACGGCGAACTAGTCACAGTTAGTGACGACTACAGTGCTCGATGCTGGCGCGAGGGACCCGAAGCCAGAGACCTCCGAACCAGTGGAGAGGCAGAAGGGAAGAGATGGCGTTGTGGCTGGGCGGAAACCAAAGACTCCTATGACGACGAAGATGAATGACCTTTCCGGACTACGTAACTGTTTCCTTTGTTTGATTTCACCATTGTTGCATGCATTGCATGGCGTTGAGGCATAATGCTCTATTTAGCGGGTGTTTGGATTCTGTTCTTTTGCAGATGGTACTACTACAGTGTTTCATAGCGTCGGATATTCTTGCATGGCAACGAGGACCCCAGTTGTCTTATAATGGGGATTAACATATGACTTATTATTTACTGCTCTTAAGTTCTTAGCATCACCCTAGACGAACAACCAGTAAATATCGGTGTGATACCTGACTATATGGGACCGATAAACCTGCATTAAATGTATGCTAGTATCTTCAAAGACCAGGTCCAATTCCAATATAAAAAGAATGTCCATGTCGAGCATTTACTACATCAAACAGCAATTAAGACCAACTAAGACCCAGATACTCGTTCAGAACCAGGTACATCAATACTAGGGTAAATTTGTACTCATGACATCTTATTATACTTTTTCTCGCCTTCACCCATAGTCTAGAACTCCGAGGGGGAAAAACCAGAAGAGGTAGGTAGGTAGCATTGCAACCGAGCATCAGACAAGAAAAGGAGAGAACTTAGTGACCGTGTCCGTCATCCTGCTTCACCTCGGGGTCCAACTTGATCATGGTATCAATACGCATAATGGCAATGCAGGCTTCGACGGCACTCTTGAGCTGCTTGATCTTGCCCATGCTGGGTTCCAGGACACCGGCCTTCAGGGAGTCGTGGACACGGCCCTTCGTCAGGTCGAGACCGTAGTTGCGGTACGTCTTCTTCTTGGCGATGGCCTTTTCTTCCTCGTTGGCGTCGCCTTCCTGGACGCGCTGGGAGAGAGCGTGGCGGACACGGAGCTGGGCGACGAGTTCGGAGGAGTCCTTGGCGGCATTCACGGCCAAGGTCTTGGGGACAGTCAGGAGGGACTGGGCGAATTCGCCGATGGCGAGTTGCTCGCGAGAGCCCTGGGGGTAATTAGGACAGAGGTTTAGTAGATGGGGAAGGGTCGGTACGTACCACTGTGACTGCGAACTCTTCGAGGTAGATGTGAAGAGCCGTCTCGACGGCACCGCCACCAGGCACAATGCTACCGCTCTCCAAAGTACGCTTCACAGCGCACAGAGAGTCGTGTACGGAACGCTCCATCTCATCCAAGCTGAAGTCGTTGGGGCCACGGAGGATGATGGAGGCCGAAGTGTGGACCTTGGTACCCTTGACAAGGATGCACTCATCGTCGGATATCCGCTCCTGCACAACTTCCTCGGCATGTCCCAGGTACGAAGCCTCGAACTTCTCATCACCGTTGAGGTCGGAGAGCGTGCTCACCAGGGTAGCACCAGTAGCCTTGGCAATACGTCTCAGATCCTCCTTCTTGCAGCGGCGGACAGCCATAGCACCCTTCTCAACGAAGGTCTTGAGGACCATATCATCGATACCCTTGGTAGTGAAGATGACATTAGCACCGGACTTGAGGATCATCTCAACCCGCTCGAGGACAATGCCAGATTCCCTCTCACGGATCTTCTCCAGCTGGTCGGGGTCGTCGACTGTGATTTGAACACCGAGCTTCATTCTCTCCTTCTGCAGGTTCATGTCCAAGCAAGCAATCTTCGCATCGGTTATGCGGGTTTTCATGGCCTGAGAAGCCACGGTGCAGTTGAGGGCATAGCCGTTGACGAGGACCGACTCGCGTCCACTCTTTCCGTGGGCCTTCAGCAGGTTCACGGCCTTGACCGGGTATTTAACCTCGTTCTTCTGGTTGGTGGTCTTAACCAGGAGCATGGCATCAACGACCATGTTGGCGTAGAAATCGGCGTCGGAGCCAATGATCTTGCTGGACATGGAGGTCTTCGCGATGTTGATCAAGCTGTCTTTTCCAAGTGTCTCAACCTTTGTGGTGATGTTCTCGTTCATATACTTGACGGCTTCCCTCAGAGCGAGTCTGTAACCGTTGATGATGGTGGTGGGGTGTATGCGGTTCTTCATCAACTCGTTGGCACGGCGGAGGAGTTCGGCAGCAATCAGAACAACGGAGGTGGTACCATCGCCAACCTGTAGATAGGTATCAGTGTCATGCTTGGAGGAAAGAAGGGGAGGGAGCCAAAAAGCGGGACGGACCTCCTTATCCTGTTGTTGGGCCAGATCCACGAGGATCTTTCCAGCGGGGTGCTCGATATCGAGAAGGCTCAGGATGGTCGCACCGTCGTTGGTGACCGTGACATCCTATAAGTCCGTTAGGAAAGCTGTTCTATACCGACGCGGGGTTGAAGCGTGATGCGTACACCAATATCGTCCACCATCATCTTGTCCAGGCCGGACGGGCCGAAAGAGCTCTTGACCACATTTGCGATCGCCTGCGTGGCAAGGACTGCCGCGTCGTCAGTACCCAGGCCCTCGAGTGAGGGAATCCGTCAGTTCATACCGTTCTGCTCCCGCACATCAGCGCCGGTGATTTTCTGCCCCCCCAAGACTGTGCGAGATTGGTCAGTGATAGCTGTCAGGGGAGGGGGGATGCGGGGGGCAGAGGGGGCTCACAGAGGGTGTCCGCATTCCGCGGCTGTTCGAAGATGCCTGCCATGGTCGTGAAACAGACGGAAAGAAAGGTGCAAGGGGGAAAGACGAGCTCCGACAGCCAGAATGCCTGAAGCCGCTGGACGTTCGCCTCGAATGTTTGCACTAAAAGTTCTGCCGGCCCAGGGCGGTGAAGATTTCCAGATGCATCCCACTTTGACTCAACCCCTCTTCCCTTTGCGCCTCTCCTCCCCTCGTCTCCTCCCTTTGTCTCCGCATCGCCTTTCCAATCCGGTCCTCCCCCTCTCCCTCCTCAAGATGGCAAGCCAGAACCCTGCTGACGCCGCGGTCCCCGTCGAGGCGGCCGCCCCTCAAACCCTCCCTGATCGCACCCAGAACCCCGCCGATGCCGCCGCTCCCCAGGGCGAGGTCTCCAAGAATGCCGCAAAGAAGGCCGCGAAGCTGGCCAAGCAGGCCGCTGACAAGGCCGACAAGGCTGCCAACAAGGGAATTGGCAAGCAGGAGGCCAAGAAGCCCGCTGCCAAGGCTCCCAAGAAGAAGATTGAGGGCGCTGCTCTGATCGGTATCGATGTCGCCAAGGAGGAGGATTTCCCCGGCTGGTACCAGCAGGTTCTCACCAAGGGTGATATGCTTGACTACTACGATGTTTCCGGATGCTTCATTCTCAAGGTGGGTCGCCATATCCGCCCGACTCAGCGGCTGATACTGATGTGCGCCAGCCCGCTTCGTACTTTATCTGGGAGGAGATCCAGCAGTGGTTCAACACCTACATCAAGAAGATGGGCGTCAAGAACTGCTCTTTCCCCCTGTTCGTATCTGAGGATGTGCTGCAGAGGGAGAAGGACCACATTGAGGGCTTTGCCGCTGAGGTCGCCTGGGTCACCCACGCGTATGAATCCTTATCTCTAACCCCCCTCCCCGCATAGACGGGTTACTGATATGCCATTTCTGTTACAGTGGTTCCACCCCTCTGGAGAAGAAGATCGCCATTCGTCCCACGTCGGAGACCGTCATGTACCCTTACTACGCCAAGTGGATCAGAAGTCACCGTGACCTGCCCCTCAAGCTCAACCAGTGGAACTCGGTCGTCCGTTGGGAGTTCAAGCACCCTCAGCCTTTCCTCAGAACCAGAGAGTTCCTGTGGCAGGAGGGCCACACGGCGCACCTGACCAAGGATGCTGCCCATGAGGAAGTCCTGGAGATCCTCGACCTCTATGCTCGTATCTACGAGGAACTCCTCGCTGTCCCCGTCGTCAAGGGTCAGAAGACCGAAAAGGAGAAGTTTGCTGGTGGTCTCTACACTACCACCGTCGAGGGCTACATCCCCGCCACTGGCCGTGGTATCCAGGGTGGTACCTCCCACGGTCTGGGCCAGAACTTCAGTAAGATGTTCGGCATCACTGTCGAGGATCCCGCCGCCAAGGGTGATGTCCTTCACGTGTGGCAGAACTCTTGGGGTCTCTCCACCCGTACCCTGGGTGTCATGGTCATGATCCACAGTGACAACCGTGGTCTGGTCCTCCCCCCTCGTGTCGCGGACACTCAAACCATCATCGTCCCTGTCGGTATCACCGCCAAGACCACCGACGAGGAGCGCCAGAACCTCTACGCTGAGGTCGACCGCCTCGTTTCGGTCCTCCGCGACGCCGGCGTCCGCGCCGAGAGCGATCTGAGGGAGGGCTACTCCCCCGGCTGGAAGTTCAACGAGTGGGAACTCCGCGGTGTGCCCTTGCGTCTCGAGTTCGGTCCTGGTGAGCTTGCCGGTGGCTTCGTCACCGCTGCTCGTCGTGACATCCCCGGCAAGGACGCCAAGGCCCCCATCCAGATCTCCGAGCTGTCGACCGCTGTCCCCGCTCTCCTGGAGACCATCCAGAAGGACCTGTACAACCGTGCCGATGCCGAGTACCGTTCCCACCGTAAGATCATCACCAACTGGGACGACTTCACCCCTGCCCTCAACGACAAGAACGTCTGCCTGATCCCCTTCTGCTTGACCGAGGAGTGTGAGGACCAGATCAAGGAGATGAGTGCCCGCAAGCACGAGGAGGACTCCGGTGTTCCCCAGGACGCCCGTGCTCCTAGCATGGGTGCCAAGTCTCTCTGCATTCCCTTCGACCAGCCCGAGGGTATCATCCCCGGCGAGACCAAGTGTACCAACCCCAAGTGTACCCGCTTCGCCGAGAAGTGGTGTATGTTCGGACGTAAGTTATACCGACTCCTCTCATTTCACCAACACTAGCTAACATCATCCCCCAGGCTCGTACTAATCGCGATCTATCATGTTGGATTCGGATGCTATCTTCTCATCTCATCCAAGTCCTACCTATGACTGTTATGACTTTCCATTCCTACCATTACAGTTTGCGTTGAGTTCGACACAGGTAACCAAAATTCTACGAACGTATAAGAAAAAATCAAGAAATTTTGCAAGACAGATAAATCAAGGAGTTAAGATGCATGCATGCATGGGTGATGCGAGTTGGAGGGGCAGATATTCGTTGAGATACCTTTTATCGGTTTACCATCGGGGAGTCAGATATAGGTCGTTTCAGTAGCTAGCGGGTTGAATTGAAAGATCTTCTTATGTGCTTTTCGCTCCTTATTTGATTATATTAAACCAATATGTTGGGTAGGACCCGTATTTAGTAATTTCGCTTGTAGTAGACAGACAGAGACAGAGGTAGGAAAGGAAAGAGAGAGTAGAAGAAGAATACAGGTCCACCGCTAGGGCGTGGGAAATGCAAAATGTATGCAATAGATGATCAAATGAATGAAGAAAAGAATAAACAGGAAATCGGAGAAGCTGGATTAGCCGTATGTAACATGAAGGAATGCAAGATGGGATATGTTATAAATCAAAGAGCGTCTGGGCTGTCGGTCTGACGGCGACAAAAAGAGTGTCACTGATAGACTTTGCAGGGATTGACATGAGGTTTAGCGTGCTGTCTGTTGCATTAAGACATCGTATGAAGCTGATGGGACTGAAGGAGCGGATTATCGATTATGAGTAGTAGTGATAGAGGTAGACGTGGTGATGGTTGAGAATACGGCAGCGCCGGAGTCGTTGGCAAATCGGGTATAGAAAGAACAGATCATTAAGTAGAACCAACAAGACTGCACTTAGTCAAAGCAGACTTTTAGAGCTGCTGTCCATTTCGCGACGATGTCCGAGAGGGAATACGGTCGCTGGAAATAGTAGTTCTGGTACTGGTGTTGGCACTTGACTTTCGTGGCCAGAGCGTGTAAGTGTTTCTAGGGGTCGTCTTTTTTATGGTCTGGGATGTCACGTTGTTCCGATTGACAGTCTGGATACAGACTTGTGGCATTTCGCCGACACTCGGTAACTGAATGATTTCTTCGTCACTGTCGTCTTCTGTATAGCTTAGCTGGCTATCTCGTGATTGAGAGGCTTGTGCACGCATGTGCAAGATAGACGGCGCCCTGCCGATATCTTCCAATTCACCGTAGGACGAGTTGGTCCTCGTGGACATAGACTGATTAATGTGCCCATGAAGCTGCGGGTTTATTGGAATATTCTCAAGATCCTTTTCAGACTGGAGAAGGAGGTCCATGTAAGTCGTTTGCTCTCCGGATCTCTCGATATGTTGCTCCGTCATTTCCCCGGTAGCGAGACAGCCTAGGGAGGGAAGAGGAGCATCAGTGTGCCTCCGTCGTCGTGTAGTATCTGAGGCCCGAAAAGCCGTCAAAGGTACGCTCGTTGATATGCTCTTGCGCTGGTCTGGGCTTCTCTTATGCTTTTTGAAGGAGTTTTTGCCAATACGTTTAGAGAATTGCCTTTCTTTTGCGGAGAGACTCCGTTCCAGGCCAGAACCTGGACACAACGGCACATGGAGGGCTCTGTCAAACGATTCCTGGGACGGTGAAGGGGTGAGCGACGGCTCAGTGGGAAAGGACAGGCGTTGGAAAGCCTCATGGGAATTGATCTCCCTCACGATAGCATCCTGAAGAGTTTCAAAAGTAGGGTGGGGCGTCACGGCTTGTGTCGAAGCAAAGGCCTGCTTAAACATATCCATAATTTCCGCCACCTTTTCGTTAAAGGGAGGCAATGGGGAGATGGATGTTGGAGTTCCCACAGGAAGAGGACTATTTATAACCTCTGCAATGCTAGGAGTCTGCTTTGCGTCAGTGGCACTGGGGGTAGGCGGCTGAATGGCGCGATGTGCAAGTTTTGTAGTTGGACGTCCTCGGGCTGCTAGTTTAGTGTTAATAGAAAGGTCGCGGACATTCTTCTTAGCACTCCGAGTATTTGGTGCATCTTGGACGACTTGGTTCTCGTCCGTGCTGCTCTTATTCCTCATTGACAATGGGAGCGTTGGACTGTCAGGCAAGGGCCTATTACTCCATGTATCTCCTTGTTTGTGAGCTGGAGGGACACCCAAATATCCATTGGCGCCTGAGGTGGCTTCTTCCTGGGGCGCACTGATACTTTCAGGTAGTAAGTCTGGTGCCGACCTCTGAGATCTCAAGTAGCTCTTCTGAGAGGCTGCTACTCTTGAAGCGCCAGGGCGCTCATCGGTCTGGGATCGAGACACAGATCCTGAACCTTCTGGAGAGCATGACCGTGGCATCTTCGTGCCTTTCGCCCTTGAATGGATACGATCCCCTTCGTACCTCTGAGAAGCCAGCTGCCGGGAAAGAGGAGGCGTAGCTCGAGATCGCGCACTAGCACTACGGGAGAGGGAGCTCCTCCTGCTAGAAATGTTGCGGTCTGCTACATCTTCCTGGTACAGGGCGGAAACAGGACGCGAGTAGGGTTTCTGCTTGAGCGCCATTCCTCTCAAGAAGGGGACCATGTTCCGTTCGGCTATGTCTTCATTGTAGGGTGTGATTGGCGACAAAGTGCTAGCGCTCTGTATGTGATACCGGTGCGAAGAGAACAATGCATCGAGCAAGTCAACATGCCGAGGGTTTTTTTCCGGGGGGCGGTTTGAAGCACGGGATGGCGGCGCCTGCGAACGAGCGGATAGAGGTCTCGATTTCATCCGGCCATGTGTTGCCTCGCCCTTCTCTTCGGCTTTCTGGAATCGGCTGTCTGCAGCCATGCGCCGGGAGGGTTTCATGTTGGGCGACGCATGATGATCATCGCCTTCTGGGCTGCCTGTCCGGGCATCATGATCGTCGGAGTTTGCTGGCGAAGATTTCTCCGCATGGAAAAAACGTCTCAAGGCAACCATATTCCGATCAATGGTTGCAGCTAGGCCATGTGGCTAGCTTCTATCTGTATGTAATGCGCTTCGTGCTCTAGGATGGACAAAAATCTGGTTATCATATAGGTGCGGCCAGACCCTCAATGTCAGAAATTGAGCTCTCCAAGGTTTGGCGAAGATGATCAGATTGAAGGAGTAAGAACTAGGAAAGGACTGGAATCCAGATTTGCTATCATGATAACGTTTAACTCATACTGGAAGTCGCTGAACGCAGGAGTTTTCCGCACTCGAGTGAATGAAGAGCAACGGGAGGGAAGATTGATGAGAGGAAGGATTGAGAGGAGGAAAAGAAGCACGGCAGACGAACAAAGGATTGGCCGTCTACGCGGGATAGCTGCCCAGTTCGCAGATCCGATAATTGTTCCTGTCTGTATCAGGGGTAGAAGTGGTCCAGGTCCCCGTAATCCATCAAGACAAGATGGGGCTGAGCTGGCGGACGGGAGGGTACCAGCGAAATTTGCGAGCTAGATACGCACTTGCGCCGGTCACATTTGAAGACCGTGGCTCCGCGATAGCTGTCTACCTAGTCCAACGGCGCGGTCTGGCGCGCTTATGGCCTTATAGGCTTATACAGGCTTCCCCGAGGCCATTGTGGAATCCCGCGGCCAGTGCCCTGCACAATCTTAGCCGAGGCCAATGTGACTGTGTAGAACGTGCAGGCAAACCCTAACGTCCTCATACCCACTATGCATAAACCTAGAGCTCCGAGTCCACCTGACAGCGAGGCCATGGAAATTGGATCTGCAAGACTTGCAGTTGTCGGTCAAGCTAGTAACGCCGACGTGCCAATATTAGCAAAAAAGCCAGGCCTGACGTTATTTACTAGCGAGCTTACGGTACCCATAGGCCACCCGACAGCGGGTGGGGCGTCCTCGAGGACAAACAGAGTTCATGGGACGAGCAGACCGGCAACGAGTTGACGGCTTAAGATACGATGGCAACGATGGGGCCCAGAAAGCAGTTGGGGAAGCTGGAGACTGGTTGGAGAGGAGAAGCGAAAATTAAAAAGCCGAAAAACTGGCCAGGGGAAGGGGCCAATCACGGGGGATGGCCGCTGGCCGCGACCATTCCGCGCTGGGAAGCATCCCCGGTGGCCGGGAATTGCTTTCAATGTTTTCCGGTCTTTCCTGTCTGTGACTCTGTCATACTCGGTCTATTCTATCTCGCATGCTTTTCTCTCTTGAGACCTCCAACAAGGAGGGGGCCAAGACCGAGTAAGACAGAGCAGAGTGAGACCATGGTTCTCAATGCTACTATTAACGAAGGACTCGTCCCAGGAGTGACCATTGTCTGTCCTGCACCGACAACAAACAGCTCACTGATCCCACGCATTTTCATAGTTCATCTGGGCTGGAAATTGCCACCAGGTAAGAAGATTAACGTCTCTGCCTGCATACGTATTCCTCCGAAGGTCATCTAGGTACTCCTCGCCCGGGTTATCCTATCCTTTCCGTGTACCTCAAACAGGCCCACTCGGACTTAGATTAGCTTAAATGAGGATGTGATTTAATAATCTATGCTGGGGATCCGGCCTAGAACCTCTTTAATATCCATATCAAAAGATAAGTGGCCCCTGTGAGCTAAAGTAATGCTTAAGACGGGCTATTATAGGCGTCGTTTCCCATCATGAACCTGATTGACGCTAGCGCCGTGGGCGTGATCGTCATCGCCCTCGCATCGATCAACTAATTTAGTCACAGGGCTCGTGGGAGCTTGTACACAGATCGTACGATCATACGATGCCCTGCATGTACATGCTCCATGGCATGTGAGGGAAGCTCACAGCGTCACAGAGAGTGTGCTGACTCTGCTTGAACATGACTCGAGTTTCTACAAAACAATCCCCAATACTATGGCCTTGTCGCAGAGATATTATCATTATCATTGATGTGGCGCATTGGTTGCATTCCATGACTACACACTATCAGTCAGCATGGACCTCCCCACAAGTCGGAGCATCTTGCGCGAGCCTTGTACATCACAAATAAGTCTTCGTTCAAAACCACGACAGCTCCAACTCAAGCAGAAATGCACCCTTTTACCCTGATCAGAATGCGCGCCGGTAGATATGTCACAGAGTATCCGCTCCCTCGCTCAGTTTTACAGAGCAAAGAACATACACTTGAATTTGGAGAGGCCGACGGAGTATGGATATATCAGATGCTTACCCTAGTGAAGTAGACCCATACTTTATATGCTATCGAGTTTACTCAAGCTTTAGCTCGGCCCTAACTATATGTATACAGGTAGGAATGATACTTCTCGGTCAAATCCTAGACCAGTCATGGCGTTCATGCCATTCATTTCCGAACTGACAAACATCAAGTCGGAGATAACGAGCTCTGTAAAAACTTTTTTGAGGCACATCACCGTAGATTTACTTATTGATATCGATCGAATGAAATATTTCGACGCTTGTCATTCCGCATGTCTGTCATGGCAATCCTGACTACGGGAAATATATTCTATCGGCTAAATCTCGCTCATACCTCTTCATTGTTGGAGTAGTTGAATAAAGGTTGAACGTTATAATAATGATCTTCAGAGTCATTCACAATTATAAATAACAGGTGATAACTATGAGAAATTGTAAGAAGCTATATGTAAAGGTTCATGTCTGGTTCACAACCATTTTAAACCGGTTGGTCTACCAAGAAGGGAAACTCAATGGAACGAGTAACTTGTACGAATGTCGCAAGAGTAATATCTGAGAAACCGTCTGAATGTATCGGGAACTCTACTAATGCACCCGATCTACAGCTTACGACAGGTCCGTACACCTCATGAGGGATACAGCGTTGAATTCAGGGCATATGGAAAGCAAATTCGACTAAAGCAAAAGTTTCAAAAGTGATGAAGAGATAAGAAATATAAAGCCCTATTCCCGACCATTTCTTCCAAAGCAACGCCCCCTTTCCCCTTCCTAACCTGCCCCTCAAACGCCAGTCCCAACTTAGCCCCAACTCCATTCCCTCTCGCTGATCCCATCTCGTAAGCAAAAATGAATCCTTTGTACCGCAGCTATGCAGCAGCTCACTTCTCCTCATCTTCACCAGGAGATTTCTTCTCCCCCTCAGCAGCCGAAGCATCAGCCATGACAAGCTCATCATCCGAGTCCTCTTTCTCGACCTTCTTGCGCTTCGGGCTCCTCTTCTTGGCAACAGGGGAGGCGCCGTCAACGGCATCATTGTCATTGGTGGTGGCAGCCTGTTTCTTGACAGGAGTAGTCATGGGGGTGGTGCTGGCACTGGCACTGGCACTGGCGCTGGTTTCACCAGTTTCGCCGCGCTTCAGGTCAAATTTTCCGTCATCTTTGACGGCACCGTCGAGTTGCTTCTTGAGCCGGGAGTAACGCATGCGCGCGGCTCCGACGTTCAGCTCGGTGGCGTCGGCGACGGCTTTGAAGTCGATCTGGTAGGATTTTAGGATTGGTTTGATGGTGGGAAGGAGAGAACTGTGTCTTAGGGAGATGGGATCTTACGGTCTTGAAATCGGACTTCAACAGGCACACATAGAGGAACACCAGGCTGGTGTCGATGACGGTCTTGGGAGCCATTTGGAAGGTAGATTTCAGGTTGGAGAGAGCTTCTTTAGTATGTGAGAATGGTGTGCGGATGTGGGGAGTTGAACGATAGAGGGTGGTTTGGAAGAGAGGTAGGTTGATGGGAGGAAGATGAGGAGTGAGGAGAGATATAGGAGATGTGAGTGAGTATAACACGATGAGGAGGGAATCCTGTTTCTTCCAGTGAATCAGCCATTGATAGATGACATCGCCAGCGTGAGATAGCCATGAAGGCTGGTTTATGGCGAGATCCGGATGATAGAAGGTTGTATAAGGATGAACAGGCAAAGTGGAACTAGGGCACGCCGGGAGCGCATTGCATTTGGTGCTAAAAATGGAAGGATATATGGTATTGATCAACGCCACGTGTGCACAATTCCGAACCAATTACACTGTGCTTCCCCCAGTCGGTAAGCCGGCAAACCTCTCAGCAGACTCTTTCACAGCTTCTGCCAGCACTGTATGGGCTCCCCGGGCTGCATTCACTGCCCCGTCTATCAGAGATTCATGGCTCAGGTTTTGATCCGTCGTGCCTAGAGACGACTTTGAATGGTCGCCCTTCAGCCAGAGCTCTGTGATCTCGTCCCGAGAAGGCATATACGCAACCACACAGGCGGAGAGGATGGATTTGTGCTCGGCTGGGTCCGTATCGAGCATCAGTTTGGGGGTGGATGGTTCGCCGTCAGGGGTCTCATCAGAGACTATGGCAGCCACACCACCGGCCACAAGATCAAGACAGTCGATCCGAGCATCCGCAATGGCCGCAGACGCAGCAGTGATGCATCCAGCCAGCACATTCATCATTCCCCAGGGGGCATCATGTGAATCGGGAGCGTCACCCCACCAGCGATCATCTTCTGCTTCCAGGATAGTGATGGTGATGTCCAGGCCACTCTTGGGCCAACGCTCGGCAACAATAACGCCTCTGAGGGCCGTCTCTAGATGCACACCCAGGTCTCGTTCGCTGGCATCGCGGATATGCCCTTTCCTCTGACGGGCAGCAAACGGCGCATATTTGACGTGCGTTGTGAGAACGATATTGGGAGAGAAGCTAGCCGAGCGCGGAAGGGGCTTCGGGCCGTGGACTGTGCAAGCAAGCTTCAAAGCGGAGGAGGGCGGGATGAGGGATTGGGGAGATGAGCGAGCAGCAGCAAGAGAGGCGGAGGGTTCGAATTCCAGATAGGCGGAACCAGAGGCCGAAGGAATGAGACCAGTTTTCAGGACTAAATGGAGGAAGATTAGCTAGAAGTTCATCGCACAAAGCCATGATGGTTCTTACAGATCTTGCGCAACTCATCCGGCTGCCTTTGACGGCGAGGTCTGGCGGTGGAAATGCTGGAGGCGGACTTGAGAGACGAGGCGAAAACGGCCGGCCTCGTGCCGCTAGGCGGCCCATTGATTCTTCGTCTGTCAGTCATTACACATGACTTGGCATCCTCTGACCAGCGCGACAAGCGTTCGAGGAGGCGACACGAGGATAAGCGTCAGGACACTGGGATGGCCAAATGAAGCTGCTGGCGACGTCCAGAAACGGCCATACAATTTTGAGGGCGGTTTGCATGGTTTGCACGGCGGGCTGCTGTGGAGCACGGCCCGGCGTTTTTCCCCTCCTGCTTTTTTCTTCCCTTTCGCAGCTTCGCTTCGGCTTTTCTTTTCCTTTCTTTCTCCCGCACCACACAATGCTGGGTTGTGGACAACCACAAGTCTTTCATGCTGGGACTTGCTTTAATCAATCTATTCGGCAACAATTTGGTACTAACAAGTATAATGTGAGTTACTCCCGTTCTCTCTTTCCCTACCATTATGATGAACAAGATCCAAAAATCTTTCAGTTCTGGCGACAAATAAATGGGCCTGAACATACATGCATCACCATCTGATTATAAACCCACATTTTTTATTGTTTACTCATTCCCATGATCCAATGATTGTACTGACAATGTTCAAGAAGCCAGGATATTAGCTTTTAACTTGAAGCTCATCACATGCCATCGTAAACTACTAACGGTATGCTCCCTCTTTCCATTCCAATTCCTCTTCCGGGCCCCAGCCGGAACATCTTTTATGATGAGACACATTTTTTTCAGTTCTGCTTCTGCAAAAACCTTGAAGAAAACAAAATACCTTACCAAAAACTCCTGATCAACTTGGATACCTATTTAATTCTTCACCCACTGCTTTCAGTCAACGATTTACTGACAGCTCTCAAGACCCAATTTAGTTCTGTAAATCTCACTGTCGCACCGCATCCAACAATCACAAAGGTATGCTTACAATTTTCGATTATACTACAACCACAAACCACACAACTCCGTCAATGATGACAACAAGTCAATCCATTCAATGATCTCCTTTGGAGAACCGCCCCTCGGGCCTGCAATCATCCAACAAGACCCTGCACATGATCACAACGATCTGCTTTTTTCCATCTCCCTTATACTGGACCTTACCGCTCGCCATCATTCCCTCGGGGATGATTGGCAGGCATTTCAAGGGAGGAAGGTTGTGGAGTTTTCGGAAGGGGTAGGCTATGTCGTTGTTGTTCCGCATTGTCGTCGTTGGCTTGTCTGCTGTGCTTGACTTGTGTCAGGGCCTTTTTCCCGGCTCGTCGTTCGTTTTGGATGGCGGGTTGGGGGATCGGAATTGGCAGGGGATGGGATGAATTTACCGGCTTGGCTGATTACTACAATGCTTTCCTATTTTGTCTATTCATAGACAAATAGGAATGCTATGCTGCCCTTCTATCGTAACCACGTTTCTTGAGTGAATCGTGAGCTGACATGTTTGTCTGCCTGCAGAGTTCATACTATAATCGATGTCCGTCATCTCTTATAGCTAGTTATGAGATCAATAACATTATTTCCATTTAATATTGATCTTCGTGTGTCGTAATCCATCTGTAACCCATCCCTAACCCCTGTAGAACCCAAGGAAAGGCATATGTACTGTAAAGGCTATGTACACTTGAAGATCATGCTCATCTCTCAACCCTTTTTTATTTTCACTTTTTCGAATCACCATGCAGCTGCGACAGCACAAGTCCATCACTCCCGGGACGCATCCTCTGCTATTAGGAGTCGAGCCGCGAATAAATGTAAGTAAGCATGAAAGACTGCAATTATCATCCATCATTCCAGCGTTAATAGATACCATTACGCCTCTACCTTCTCCTCATGTCTTTCAGTGGGAGTTGTAGCACCATCTCTGGTCATGCTGTACGGAGCCTGTTGCAAGCATACCAGGTTAATTTGTATGTTCAAGCAGAAGAAACAAAGTTACTCACGAGAACCCTCTTCGCATTGCAAATCCTCCAAGCCAGGTTGCGAACGGTACCATCGGCTCGGACAACTTCGGGAGCGAATTCAATACCGAACCTAGTAATCCAGATTAGTATGTCAATGGTACGGTCTGGGGAATGAACTTACATCTGATGCACGGCGAAGACAACTCTTTTGGCGAATTTACCGTCTCTTTCTACCAGGCTTCCAAATTGCTCTTCGGCTGTTTCGGGGGCAATTTCGGGGTCGCGGTCAAAGCAGTTGCGGACAACCGTGAGCAGGCTCTTTTCGACAGACATCTGGTTGTCTTCGAAAGGTTCTTCGTCGAATCGGCTGATGCGAATTTCAAAAGGCCTCGAAATTGCCATCACATTGTGCTTGCCGTTATGGTGGTAGCGGAATTCAAAGACGCCCTGAGTCCAGAAGAGCTTATCCCCAGCGAAGATGACTTCGCCGGTAGCAACATCGCGATTCTCCTCAGTTTTGGCCACGATATCACTGGTCACGATGCCCTTCTCGCAGGTCAAGTTGTCATAAACACCCTCGTTCACTGCGACCCATCTGGCTTGAGAAGAGACCCGCGAGACCTCCCGAGACGTATTATCAGTAACGCGGTACAGGCCGATCCAGTCCTTCTTGCAGTGATTAAGAGGGGCTGTCCATTTGACCTTGATCGGCGAGCCGTACTCGAAGACCAGGTTTTTCAAGTCTCCGCGTCTGTCAAGAGGCACGCGGGCATTGGCACCTTCTCTACCGTTGCTCTTGCTGCACTCATCGAGAGAGGAGGATGAATCAGTGCCCTCAACTTCCAAGCTATAGTCCCGTGAATCAAATCCAGCAAGGTCCTCGTCAATTCGGGAGATGGTTACACGAGCGGGGTACTTCTGGAATAGTGCAGTTGTATCTTTGACAAAGGTAGTGACGCCAGAAGCCAGTCGTGGGCGTGCGGTATCGATAAGATCCTCGATGAACTCAAAAGAATCATCGAAGATCTTGTCGACGCTTCCATGGAGCTGTCGGAGAGTAGGAGGTAGGGTTCGCTTCAGGCTCTTGACCAGCCCCGCATCCTGTCGCAGGCTCCGGCCATAGAGCTTCTGCATGTGAGGACGCTCGACGAATTGGATGAAAGCCAGGCTAAGGATGTGGCTCAGAAGGGCCAGAAACGTGATAGCTCCACTACTAGTGATCAAGACCGCGCCCCAGACGCCGGCCAATCCCAGCACACGTTCAGGGTTGTTCAAGAAGCGATAAATCCCGTTGTACGTTAACTTATGGGCTCCGTCGAAGAAAAAGTCACCATAGAACCAGCCGAACTCCCCGAGCGACTCATAGATGCTGGCAGAGGTCCAGATCTGCAGGCTAATGAGCCCGGCACCCAGGACATGGCGGAGCAAGACCAGACCGTAGCCCCAGTCAGCGGGGAACGTGTACATTTTCCACACGGCAGCGATGAAACTAGCATAGCACATAATCATGCTTAGATGATAGGTGCCTTTCCACTGTTTCCATGCCTCGCTCGGAGTCTCGCCATACTTAAGAAAATGCCGGGTCCACGCTTTACAGTTGGATTGATCGTTCAGGAGATACCCGATACCGATCGAGAACCAAAGTCTCCAGACTGCAGCATTGACCACAAACAGGAGCTGGTATCGTGGCGTCGAGGGTGTCAGCACAGTAAGTGCGAATACGAGGAACTGGACCAACATCGAGGAGGTATCTGTTGTCCGATACAAATCCAAGTTGTTGAATCCCAGCAAGTCGTGGACCGAGGGAGGCGGGTTGCTTGGGTACATTGTCGCTTGGGGCAGTTGATCATCGACCGATGCCGAAGCAACGGAAGGCTCGGTGGCCGGAGATGATGCAGATACAGAGTCTTGTTCCGTCATACGCTTCCGCGGTGGAGGAGGATTGTACGTCTTGTCGATATGCGGGTTTTCGACAAGCACCAGAAAGGCGAATTGAGCTGCATGGGCGATTATGGAGATGAATAGCACCTTGTAACTGGCTGCCATCAAAGAGATACCGTAATAACCGGCGTACCCGACCGAGTACATGGGGTGGGGGGCCATTTCGAAGACGCCATCGAACGTCAACTCTTGGTCGATGAGGTAGAAAAAGTCTCCCCAGTACCAAGCATAGTCTTTGACCACACGGTGTGCGTCTAGTTTGACCCAAAGGTTGAATAGCACCAGCACAATGCCAGCTGACCAACGCAATATCGTCATCAGCATGCTCTCACCCATGGGATGGTGGCTACATGCTATCGCAAAGAGACAATATGATGTGAAGTCGCACATCAGGATCAGATCCACCAGACGCCTAAAGACCAGCCAGGTGTTGTACTCCAGCGGAGCTTCTTCAAACGAATAGTCAGTAGGAATTTTAGTCTCCAGTTCCCGCTTGAGTAGTTTATACAAGTGAGGGTGCGGGTTCTCGTTAGTAGACGGATTCACGAAGATCTTTGTTTTTTCCGCCCAGCGAACCAGAGTCTTGTGGTGAGATTGGTTATGAAGAAGCCATCCTATTCCAGCATTGTAAGCTGCACGCCAGAAGAGGTAGATGGCTGCAAACACTGGGATTTTAGCACCAACCGGGAGCCACCACAGCAAAAGGATGTGGGCTCCCAGTATTGCCAGAACTATAACATCGGATAAATTCTTAGGTTCCGAAGGCGACAGGAGTTGAGAGACCATGTCGTGGGTTTGAGGCACCGTGAACACTGTGAGACAATCATGCAAATTAGCCGAAGAATTCCGCCACCGGCGAGATATAGTATGCCATTGTCAAACGATCGCGGGGATATGCAACTATCAACCGGGCTCGATGCATAATTGGGGGTAATCCCTACCTGTACCGTCAGGGGTCCGGCCAAAGGTCTTCTTGTCTTTGTTCGCACTGTCCTTGGCTTCGACCTCACCAGCAGCAGTGAGTGCCCCGGTGCCGAGGGATGACTGGGACTGAGAGGACTGAATCCTCTCGCGAAGCCCGTCATCCTCGAGGTGAGTGCCTGTTGAGAGGCCCCGATCCATAATGGCTACTGAGTGAGAGGGTCAAGCGAGAAGAGTGACAAAAGCGCACAGCAGAGGCAGAAGCATGTGACAGAGACGCAGGGCGTGGGCTGTATTTAAAGGGCCAGGTAACTATGATTGGTCCGTGCTCCTTCGATCTGAGTCACCAAGCCGCATTGGGGGATTCACGCGAGATTGTTGAACAACACACAACCACCGGGGTGATAGGTCGTTTGTCAAGGTGAATAACTAATGGTCCCGGCCGAGGCGGAAGTTACTTCACGTATTTATCCTACCAAAGCGTTGGGGGAGAGCTAGTGAGACAGTAGCGACCTCTCCTCTTCCCCCAGTGTCCCACTGTCCACAGTCGGCTAGCAGAGTGGGCCCCGTGCACTGCCTGGGGAAAGAGACCCGTCGTCCCAGACAGTTCAACTGACGCCAACCATTACGCTTGGAAAGAATTGGCTGGAACTGAACGGAACTGAGGGATCTCAACGTCCAGGGTCCGACGACCTTCCCACTCACCCACCGTATATTGGGTCGGTGCAAGCTACCGGACTCCGGGCCTTGGTTGAGGATAGCCTCACCTACCAGGAATAGCGCTGGTCTCAAGCCAATATGGACTATCGCATCATTTTTGCTTGCATGTGCTGCGCTCAGGTGTGATGCGCAAGCATTTTGCAAAAACTGGGTTTCGGGATACACCCCCTCATTCCCATCATTCGGAGGCTTCCCCGGGCAAATCATCTGCACCTTGAAAATTAATGTGAATTCTCGATGGCGGTGACGGCGCTTGATCCTCACCCACAGGTCCATTGAATTTTTCTTTTCCATCAATAGAACACCGTGAATGTTGCAATCGTGTACCTTGATCATCCGAAGGTAGATGCAGCTAAGCCTGTACCTGGTGGCGCATGCCTACAATGAGCACTCCCTATGGATCCAGCACACCCCTCAAAACAGCCATTGGCCCCTCCTCTCAGGAGAAGTTGGAGGACTGCAGTCTGCTGGCTATCCGAGGAGGGAAATTGATTGACAACCTAAGCAAGGTGCTTTCATGTAGATGTGAGGACACCCTGGCTTGCAGGGCTTTTTACTTCATGCGCGTACGGAGTATTGGAGCCTTTTTGCAGAGCTGTTCACCTGCACATTCTTTATGAGGGCAATAGGTATTTCAGGAAGTTCCTAGCCATAACCGAGCACTCGGTCCTTGTTTGATGAACAGCATGATATCATTGCGCCACCAGCTTGTGAACGTTGTGACCCTTTAAAGTTCTGACACTGCATAAATCTTCCGCGGTTACCCCTCCTACAACGCTTGGGACCTGGTTGCCCCTCTGTTGACCTGCGTGGTTGGCATCCCATCTGCCATCAACTTAGTTCCCCCTACTAGAGACGGCTCTTTTGACTATGTAGCCTATTATCATTGCTTTCTCTTTGTTGGATTGGATCGACTGGCCTAATCGATATGGACACTGAGCCTTAGATGGCCCTGTCCGGGTACTTTGACAAGGAATAGATCACATGGCCATAGAGTCAATTGTCGTCAAACGAATTAGTATACACAATAATTAGAGTGCCCCGTAATGGGTATATGGTTGTCCCAATCTCTACAAAGAGTCTGATGTGTCGCATTAAATGCAGCTGGAAATATGTCACTGCAGGAGTCCGTTCCCAAATCATGCAGAGGTTTGTTTGCTTCGACATGGATAGCTGATCTTATCGCGGATCCGACACCGCTGCGATCGAAACCCCCGCGCCAATCGCCACCGGAGCGTTTGTCATCCCGATAAGTGTCACGGGTTGATTATCAAGCATCCGCCTGCAGTTCCCCCGCCACTTTTCTCTTGACTCTACTTGCTACCCATTATACACATCGCTATCTTTCTCGAAATCAGGCTACAGATTACTGCCGTGGCTTCGCAGATTACTTCAGATTGGGAGGACAAAAAAGTCAGAAAAAGTCAAGATGGCACCTTCGCTCGAGGAGCCAACGGCTGCCTTCGAGGCGCCATCGAAAATGGCACCGAAACTGGTCGCCCCCGAGCCAGGTATGTCCAGCTAACTGGAAGATAACATACAATTACTGACTAGTGAGAAGAGCATTGTCCTGGACCCGAGTCTGAACAGGCAGGTAAAGGGGATGCCTGCGCTGGTTGCCCCAACCAATCCGTTTGTGCATCTGCTCCCAAAGGCCCCGATCCCGATATCCCCATCATCACCGAACGACTTTCGCAAATACGACACAAAATCCTAGTGCTCTCCGGTAAAGGCGGTGTCGGCAAGTCGACTTTCACCTCACTACTTTCCCACGCATTCGCTGCCAATCCTGAATCGACTGTGGGCGTTATGGATACGGACATTTGCGGGCCATCGATACCAAAAATGATGGGTGTGGAGGCAGAGACAATCCACGTTAGCAATGCAGGCTGGAGTCCGGTGTGGGTGACGGATAACCTTGCCGCGATGAGCGTGCAATTCATGCTACCCAACCGGGATGATGCAGTTATCTGGAGGGGCCCCAAGAAGAACGGACTTATCAAACAATTTCTGAAGGATGTGGACTGGGGCGAGATGGACTACCTGGTCATTGACACCCCTCCAGGGACTTCGGACGAGCACCTCTCCGTCAACTCGCTCCTCAAAGAATCTGGAGTGGATGGCGCAGTCGTTGTCACCACCCCGCAGGAGGTTTCGTTGCTAGACGTTCGGAAGGAGATTGACTTCTGCCGCAAGGCAGGTATTCGAATCTTGGGATTAGTCGAGAACATGTCGGGTTTCGTGTGCCAATCGTGCAACACGAAGACCCAAATCTTCCGGGCTACGACAGGCGGTGGAAAGCGCCTTGCCAAGAAGATGGGCATTCCTTTCCTAGGCGCGGTACCTCTTGATCCGAGAGTGGGAATGGCATGTGACTATGGGGAGAGCTTCGTGGATCATTACCCGGACAGTCCAGCATCGAAAGCGATCAAGCAAGTTGTACGCTCGGTTGCTCAGATGATCGGCGAGGATCCCAATGACGTGCTGCCGGAGGATGTGGCAGAGTGATTCCCATATATATCTTTTCTTTACTTGCGGATATGTTGGCGTTGAGCATTGTGATAGCAAGCCGGGGTTTGTGGGTGTTCCATTCCGGGCGTTTGGGCTTAGATTCATCTAGATACCAGATCCTTCCAACTTTCGTGTTTTCCGTTCAACCCCCTCATTGGCTTCAGTTCCTGTTTTTGTGGCCCCAGGCGTTCTTCTTAGACTTTGACGACGTCCGTGGGGGCGAGCTATAGTTTGGGGGCTGCGTGGGAGCGAACTTGCGGACAAAGAAGTTCGCGTGTTCCTGGCAAATACCGACATCTGTAATGTTAGTGCTCACTAAGCCCTAGATCAGGCTTGGGTCTGGTTGCTGTCGATCCGGCTCTACGTGAGAAGTATATCATAAAAGCGCCTGGAGGACTGCAAAACAAGACGGGCTGCTTGGCGCTCCAAATGCCGTGCTTCCGCCAAGTCTGTTTTTGGGCCTGCCCCCCTTGGCATATTTAACCCGATCCCCGCCCGGCCACAGTCGGCCTTTTTCATCTCACCGTTTGCTTGGCTCTGTTTGAGGAGAGGAAGCCCGCCGATTAACTGATTAAGATCCGCGACTGGACCCGAAGTTAAACGGAAAGGGTAACCCTCGTAGTCGACTCAACGGCATCCGGACTAGCCGATCCGCCGGGTTCTGCTCTTGCGTAGGAACGCAGCGCAAATCTGCCACCCGCAGACTTTCCAACTCAGTGTTGACGCAACCCAGGAAAATCATTCGTCCAATTCTTTGAGGTTCTCGGATCATGGAAACTAAAATTCAGCAGCCTACGCGGCCTCAGGGCTGAGTAAGACTCCTGCTGTCCATACATCGCCCGACGTACGTGTGCGATAGAAGTGCCGGTTGTGCCTGCGCCCATTGACGTGCCGAGGAAGAGGTACTGGTGCAGAATCATGCGTTACCTGCTGCCTGATGAAAGCCGAGTGGCTACTGGCTCAGTGGGCGGGCAGGTGAAGAACCCGTGCCCAAAGTTGGAACAGAGTTATCCATCCATGGGACTTTTGAGGCACGCTGGTGTTTCATGATGGGGGCGAGGTGATTGGCCGGTGGTGCCGGGGCTCTGGCGGTTAGCGGTTTCAGGGGGGAGCCACTCAGGGACTCGCCCCGTTCGCTGTCAAGTCCACGCAGTCGCTGCAGCGGCTGTCAAGGCTTCATGCCCATGCGCTCACAGGCAGGGCCAGACTGGGATGAAGTCTTCTTCCGCACTGCAGAGAGAGATCCAGCTACCCACAACCCCCCGCCGTGTCAGGCAAATGAGATGGCATCCCCCGTCAGTCCGGGGCGAATGGGCTTGGATGACCTGGATTGGCTGACGATTCCACCATTGAGCAGAGCTGCTCCAGCGAGTTGGAACAATGCCACCCCTCCGTGCTGAGTGGACCATCCGAGTAAGTCTTGGTGTCTTGGGCGGATTATACTACTAGTCACTAAGTCGCTCGAGCTTGGATGTGTTTCCAAACTTTTTCGTTCACCTGTGCTTTTATAGACTGCCTTTCTTTCCCCTTTTTTCTCCTCTAGACATTAAAGTTACTATAGTTCTTTCATTTCTTTCTTTCAATTTGCTGGCTTTGCTGGGCTGATCGCTGCTCTTCTGGTCTGCTCGTTGCTCCGCCAGTTTGTTTCCTCTGCTTCGTATCACACAGTATAGCAGGCTAAGTCAGGACTCGGCCCCCATACTGCTCCCTCCCCCCTTATAAGCCCATTCCTTCTGGAAAGGAACCGTTTTCCAGTTACTTAATACTTTTCTTCTCAATCTTTTGTTTCGGAAACCTGTTGGGCCCTATCCTTCTTTTACAGTCAGCCCGCGGATTCGCCGATTTTTGCGAGAGTGAGCATCATGCAGCTCCTCCAGTCCCTCTTTTTCGCTCTCTTTTTCAGCTACGGCGTCCTTTCTTTACCACATGGCTCGGGTGCGCAGCACAAGGCACGGTCTTTCAAGGTGGAACGAGTTCGTCGAGGAACCGGTGCTCTGCATGGCCCCTCGGCTCTCCGCAAAGCATACCGGAAGTATGGCATCGTTCCCACCAACCTCGGCATTGACCTGGTAGACTTCGAGCCCATTACCACCACGCACACTGCTGTTGCCGCCAGCGACGTCTCGGAGCCTGACCAGACTGGCGCAGTCAGTGCTACTTCGGTGGAGGACGATGCTGAGTTTGTTTCGCCCGTCATCATCGGTGGCCAGAAGGTCGTCATGACTTTCGACACCGGCTCGTCGGACTTGTGAGTTCCCATGAATACATACATCACTGCTGCGACATCCTAATCACATTGACCTACAGTTGGGTGCTGGATACACGCCTCAATGAAACTTTGCCCGGCCATACCGAATACAACCCCTCCAACTCTTCGACCTTCCAGGAGATGGACGGATACAGCTTCAATGTCTCGTATGGCGACTCCTCGTATGCCGCTGGGCCCGTCGGAAAGGATACTGTCAACATCGGCGGCGCAATTGTCAAGGACCAGGCGTTTGGTATTCCCACCGAAGTTTCTGAATCGTTCATCGAGGACACCAACTCCAACGGTCTGGTCGGCATGGGCTTCTCTTCCATCAACACCATCCAGCCTGAGGCGCAAAACACGTTCTTCGCCAATGTCGCCCCCAGCTTGGACGTGCCCGTCATGACTGCGTCCCTCAAGAGCGACGGGGTGGGCGAATACGAGTTCGGTGTGATCGACAAGAGCAAGTACCAGGGCGATATTGCCAATGTTAGCGTGGACTCCTCGAACGGATACTGGCAGTTCTCTACCCCCCAATATCGCGTTGCCGACGGAGACTTGAAGCCAATTGAGAAAGTGAACACTTCGATCGCGGACACTGGCACTTCCCTTATGCTGCTGAACGAGGATATTGTTACTGCCTACTATGCGCAAGTCCCCAACTCGACCTACGTGGACAGTGTCGGTGGCTACATCTACCCCTGCAACACCAGTCTCCCGAGTTTCTCGATTGCCATCGGCGAGTCGAGCCTGGCCACTGTTCCCGGCAACCTGATCAACTTCTCAAAGGTTGGTACCAACACCACCACCGGACAGGCCTGTAAGTTCTCCTGTATGATTTGTTTTGAAATGTTCGTTGACTGATTGTTGATTTAGTGTGCTATGGCGGCATCCAATCGAACGGCGGCACCTCGCTGCAGATCCTGGGCGATATTTTCCTGAAGGCCTTCTTTGTCGTCTTCGACATGCGCGGCCCCTCTCTCGGTGTTGCGGCTCCCAAATGATCTTCTCCCATGTACTTTCATTCGCCTGTAATAATATCTTCTGAAGTTACTACCTCCCGATGGATGTGCACGTGCATCGGTTTGCCTTGGGTCTGAGAGTCAAGGCGGGATCACGTGGCTGTAGTTAGAACCAATATCAGTCAGAAATAATCTGCCTCTGTGGAAGGCGATATTAACTCGTCCTGTGATGGCTGTTGTGTACGGAGTACGGAGTAGATTACTACGTAGATGTTGATCGCCAGAGAATTCCGCTGCGCTGAGTCAGCCGGCAGCCCTAAACGTTTTGGGCAGTCGGCGATCCCAGAAAGGGAGGAAAAAGGAAATGAAAAAATTAGTTCAATGTCGCCGCGTGCAGAGTGCTCAATTGCAGCTCAGCGGTGCCATTCGTCTTGTAAACTCCAATTAAACTAAAATTACTTAACCAAGAAAAATAGATCCCTCTAGCCAGGGATCTGGGTGGCCGCGACAAGGTGACGCGCCTCAAGCCAACGGCGGCCCTTCTGCGGGTCGCCAGAAGAACCCCGCGGTTCGCTCGTCCTCTGACTGAACGCTGCCAGTTGGGATTCAATTCTGCCCCTCTTCTCTTGTCCACCACATCGTCTCTCCTCCTGCCTGCCGTCCGCCCCTTCGCAAACATGGCCATCAACTCCGCCCCCGAGTCCTCCCTCCTTTCCCTCCTCTACCGCTCCTACCCTACCGCCGTCTCCCCCGACGCCACGGAGCTCGACCTTCAGACGGCCACCCCCAAAATCTTTCCGCAGACCAGCTTTTCCGTCGCGGAAGAGGCCGACATCAAGCAATGGCTCGCCACGATCTCTGGTCTGCAGACCGCCCTCACTAAGGATGACAAGCCCGTCGTTTCGACCATCCTCTCCCAGGTGAACACCCACCTGGCCACCCGCACAACCCTGCTCGGTGCGAAGCCCTCCGTGGCCGACATTGCCGTGTACGCCCTGGTCGCTCCTCTCGTCGAGAAATGGACCCCGGAGGAACGCACTGGTGAGCAGGGCTACCACCACCTTGTGCGTCACGTCGACTTCGTCCAGAACAGCCGTCTCTTCGCCCTGCAGATCCCCGACGAGGAGAAGATCAGCATTGACGTGAACGACGTGCGCTTCGTGCCTAAGCCCGTCGACCCCAAGGAGGAGAAGGAACGCAAGAAGAAGGAGAAGGCTGCTGCCGCTGCTGCCCAGACCCCTGATGCTGGCAAGCCCCTCGTCGTCGGACAGGGTAAGCCCGAGGCTGCGGCCAAGAAGGGCGAGGCCAAGGGTGAGGCCAAGGACGCTGCTGCGGCTGCTAAGCCCGAGGGCAAGCCCAAGAAGGAGAAGAAGGAAAAGAAGGAGAAGCCGGCCAAGGCTGCCCCGGCCCCTGCTGCTCCCCCGTCTCCCTCCGTCATCGACCTCCGTGTTGGCCACATTCTCCGTGCTATCAACCACCCCAACGCTGATTCCCTCTACGTCTCGACCATTGACTGCGGTGATGCCCCCGGCACCGAGAACACCTCTCTGGACGAGGCCACCGGCAAGACTGTCCGTACTGTGTGCTCTGGTCTGAACGGGCTGGTTCCCCTGGAGGAGATGCAGGGCCGCAAGATCGTTGCCGTCTGCAACCTGAAGCCCGTCACCATGCGTGGTATCAAGTCCTGCGCTATGGTCTTGGCCGCTTCTCCTCGTGTGGCGGAGGGTGAGGACTCGCACGCTGGACCCGTCGAGCTCGTTTCGCCTCCTGTTGACGCCCCGGCCGGTGAGCGCATCTGCTTCGACGGCTGGACCGAGGGTGAGCCCGAGAAGGTTCTCAACCCCAAGAAGAAGGTCTGGGAGACCTACCAGCCCGGTTTCACCACCACCGACGACCTGGAGGTTGCGTTTGAGATGAGTGCCGTCCCCGCCGTGCAGGGCCAGGAGGGCAAGCCTGCTTTGGGCAAGTTGAAGACTCAGTCTGGCGGTATCTGCACTGTCAAGAGCCTGAAGGGAGCGACTGTCCGGTAATCGGTCTGGGAGATTCAGGTATCATAATAATGGAACAGAAGACCAAAATCAATGGGAAGTGAGCTCTACGGAGTATTCAGAACGTAAATAAGTCATGATTGATAGCGCCATTGCGGAATAGACGAGAAACGAGGAATTTCTTTTTGATGTTTTCTTTCATAGCATTGCTACCAAGCCTGGCTGCGCCTCCATCCGCAGCAATAAATCCGTACATTCAGCCGCAACCTCAACCAGGCCATTTCCAAACCAACTACCCATACCCGTACCCGTACCCATAGTGATCTATTACCCATGATTGAAGATATCGACATCTATACTCAAACTTCCCATCCCGCTCCTAGGGTATTTCCAACACCACGCACCCCTCTCCCTTACGCATCCCTCACCCCTCAGACTGCCAATCCAACCAAACCCAACCTAATCCCAATATGAGGAGAAAGAACAACATGTAGATCCCCCGCAAACACAGACCCAGACTAAACCAGCCCCGCCATCTTCCAAACCGTGCTTATGCTTACTTATGTATATCTATTCGCGTTGAATTAGTTCCTTGCAGACGTTTGTGTTTACGGACTGGATACATACATCCATATACCCACACAGCCTCACTGTTCACTTTTTCTTTTTCCGTTCTTTTCTTGTCTCTCATCACCTTTCCCTAGCCATATTTACTCTTTCTGGAGTTTGTATCTCGCCTATCTATTTATCGGACATTATAGCAATCTAGAACCGTTATTTTTGGACGATTTTGCTTAGACGGGAGAGTCAATCTAATCGTTGTTGGTATTGGTATTGGTACTAGCCATGAGAGCAGCCCGATACCACGGCAGGGGGGAATATTCGGGTCGAGGAGGTTAGGGAGTCGGTGTGTGGGGCGGGAGATTAAGGTATGTCCGTTCCTTAATTTAGTTGCTTACACTAATGATCGTTGATAAATCGTGCTGGGGTGAGTATGTTCATGTCGATGTCTACCTATTTACATCGGATTACGCTATGCTTTGGACTTTGTACAATGATTAGTATCTTTCACTGATGGTGGTATGTAGATTCGACCTGCGTCTGTGGGGTTTTGTGGGAGTGGTATGGTTATCTATTTACCCTTCCTATTTATCTAGTCCATGATTATTGTATGATTGTATGCAATATACTTACCTGTTTATGAACTGAGATATACATGAATACCTTCACGGACCTGCTACAGTCCCGTGCACGCCACATCCTGTCACCGGGGGACAGATGCCTGTTACACTGGGGCATGAATTCAGTGGGACGATCATGGAGGTTGGGGAGGGCGTGACGAGAGTGAAAGTTGGAGATCGGGTGGCTGGGAAGCCGAACTTGTATGATGGAGGGTGTGCGACTTGTTTGGGGGGTTGGGCCAATTGTTGTAAGAATTTGGAGTTTGTGGGGTATAGTGGTGAGTTTTCTTTCATTGTCTTCCGGACTTCTGAGGGGAGAGTGTATGGTGTAGCTAACCCGTTGAGGTGCATGGATCAGGCAGTGCCGGGGGCTTGTCGGATTATGTCGTGCTTAAGGAGGAACAGGCTATTCGGTTGCCCGAGGGGTTCCCGTTGGATTTAGGGAGTGAGTTTCTTTGTTTGCTAAATGGATTGTTAGTGGTGCTGATTGTATAGCACTTGTTGAACCGTTGACCGTGGCATGGCATGTGGTCAATCGTTGCTCCGTGCAGGATGTCCGTACGGCGCTGGTGGTTGGTGCCGGGCCTATTGGGCTTGCTGTACTGCCGGTTCTCAAGGCCCGTGGCATGGCATCCGTCATCGTGGTGGAAGTCTCGCCGCAGCGGAGGGCACTCGCCAGCACCTTGGGTGCTACGCATGTCCTTGACCCTCGAACGGACGATGTGGTAGCAAAAGTACATGCGATGACTGGCGATGCCGGCGCCGATATGGCCTTTGAATGCTCTGCGCTGCAGGCTGGACTGGATACCGCCGTTCACGGAATCCGAGCACGGGGCACAGTGACAATTGTGTCTCTGTATGGGGAGAAACCGGTGATAGATGCGCTGGACGTGGTTCTGCGAGAAAAGCGTGTGGTTGGCGCGGTGGTATACGAGGATGGGGATTTTGAAGCGGTGATCGAAGCTATCTGGTCGGGTATGTCAATGCTAACCGAGGCTCTGCTTACCACATAACTAACTAGTACCATGTGCTGACTGTGTCAACTGTCTGCAGGTCAACTGAATCCTCGACCCCTGATCACCAGCAAGATCCGCATGGAAGACGGAGTGGAAAAGGCCATCAAGGCTTTGATCGGCGGGCGGGACAAGGAGGTCAAAATCTTAGTCGATATCAGCTTGTAGTCCGAGGCCGAGGGCCCGACAGTACGACATGATCAGCTGCGGCTGTAGGTTGCACAACCTTGGGCCGAAATGAGATATGTATGGTTGTCTTGCATTCTCCCGTGTTATACATGACTACCATGCGTGTTTACTGGCGGTATTTGCGCATGCCCGGGGGAGGCCGAACGAGGACCACGGCTGTCAGCAATGCCCCGGTAACTTCAATGTGGATAGACAGGGTTGTTGACCGCGCGGAGACAACGACGCCGTGGTGATGTCGGCTGATTGGATGTGGATGTGATGTGGATGTCACCCTCCGACGTCAACACGTGTGGAAAGAATACGAGTCAGCATACTGCCGTCTCCTCCAGCGGCAGTCAGGGGTGGGGAGTGCAACCACGACAGCAGAGCCCGGTCCATCGGAATGGTGATGATGGTGCCAAGGGCGGCGGGGTCATCTCGTATCACCATCCCCATGGATGGAGGTCGACTTCCCCGATGACACCTGGATCCACCGGATTCAGCGGGTATCGTTTCCCCCGTCACCTTTTATGAGTCGTTGATAGTCTTCCCATTTACCGACGAGAAGAGCACTGTGGTCCCAGCTGCTAAGTTTAGTGCCGTACTAGCCGCAAAGGATTGTACCTGATACATAGTACTCCCACCCCATCATCCTTACTGACAGGCATATCCCTCCAATCTTAAAACTCCTTTCATCAACATCAAACTCTCCATACCTCCGAGATCCCCAACCCATCACTCGGAGATAACGCTCCACGCATCACGCGCACTATACATCCCCCCGGTCCACAATCCGAACCACCCACCCCCGTCATCTCCCAACTCGGGTAGACTAGCCCCCCGTGGCTGCAGAAGAACATGCGTTCGATCGCATGATGACCAGACTACCAGACGCCACTGTGTCAACTTTCTCCTCACCTCTTACATGCCGACGGAGACTAAGTCACTAACAATGCCACTACTGTAGTGTGCAGATAGTCGTGAGACCAACCGAACCCACAGACCCATGGCCATAAGGACCGGTGACTTCAGATCCCATTCTTTACTTTTTCTCTACCCGTAGGGGGTTGTCGCCAGGGTCGGTCGCGCTTTGGATTCGAACCGTGCTTGTTGTGAATGGTATGAGGCTTCGTCGGGAGAGAAAGAAAGTATCGGAGAATAAGCGCGAGGTAGCTACATAGTAGGTACGGCGGTTTCTACTGGGTGGTGTCAGGACCAGGAGAAGGGAATCAGTTACTCAATAAGTAAGGGTAATGGTGACATACGAAGTCAAAAAAGAGAAACACTACTGCAGGAAGGGGGGGCGCAAGTAGATACATGTACGAGGCAGACTGGATGTATGTCTCGCCTGCTTTACTAAATTAAGCAACGGAATACACAGACGTGAATACTAAGACAGTAAAGATCCTGGCAATTTCTCATCCTACAGGAAATACCGGTACAGGTGCCATAGAATTATCAAACCTACCCAATTCATTAATATAACAGTTGTAATTATGGCCTGATCATCCCCAAGCATCTATAAGTACGGAGTAAATAAAGAAAAGAACCCAACCTCTTTACGAGCTCCTACACTCAGTGCGTCACTTAAGTCAGTTACTCCCTTCTCACTGACGCCATACTGTGTACTCTATTAATAACCAAGTTTCTCTGGCCGATTCCCCTTTCCTTTTCTTCCGAGTGGATCCCCTCACATCTAGTTTCTGTACTTGGCTTCCCCACCCACGGTTTCAGTGCCTGGTTTTCCCTTTCCCAAATCCCAATAGTAATCCCCCGCCGACTCGATTGCCTTCGGCTCCCGACGCCTTCTCGATCCTCAATTCGGTTTCCTTGGTTCGGCATCTTTACTTTTTTCATCCCAGTTCCACCACGCCTCTTTTCTACCATATTATTTTATTCTCTTTTAATATTATTATATTATATTATTTGCTTTGTTGCAATTATTATTGGGTTGGTTTGTTTTCATGCAACTTGTCAGTATGTCAAGGCGTTGCGCAGACGGAAATTCACGTCTATAGATTCTCATTGGTTAGGGAGAAGAGAGGCTATCCATTTATTTGGTGAAGCTGTGGGTTCGCCTTGCGGGAGACTCCCGACGGACGGCAAAATGTTCTGAATCTGATCGCATTGGATTGATCTAATGAACCCTGTTTGTCGATCGCTTAGAAGAACTGGTCCCCATTCGACTGGGCTGGACTGGGCTTTGCCTTTATTTTTAAACTTCTTTGGGTCCTCTCGGTTTTCGTGTCGTGATTTTTTTTCCCCCTCTAGTGTCCATTTAAGTATGTTACGCTGAGTCTGGTTCTACCCTGATAAACTGTTACTGCCACCCAACCCCCCCCTTACCGTTGACGTCTATTCTTGGTTTTGCTTGTTCACGCTCCCATGGGCACTCCACTGGTTGGGACCGCGATTATCACGGGTGGGAATGGGTTACTTGGGTCCGAGATAGCTGTCGCTATCGCCAAAGCACAGCCGTTCGTGCACTTGCTGCTGGTGGCCCGCGATATCAGATCCGACAGTGTCAAGGATGTGACGGATAGGATCCGCCTGGTCGGACCCCGGTCCGTTGAGGTGGTCAAGGCAGATCTGGCTTGCTTCAACTCCATCGTGAGCTTTTCTCAGTATACCGTGGAGCGGGTTCGAAGTAAAGAGATCCCGCCCGTCATCCTGTTGATCAATTCCGCCGCCATTTCGTCATACGTTACCGATCAGGTCACACGAGATGGATACGATCCTGTCTACCAGACTAACTGCATCGCGCCGTTCCTGTTGACGGTGAGCCTGCTCGAGGCGTTCCGCGCAGGCGACGGTACACCGAACGGTGGCGCGCGGGTAATCAATGTCGGTTGTTCCGCCATGTCCAAGGGATCCCTGGATTATTTTGACAACGAAGACCCGGAGAGTGCAGCCCGGCCGCCAGGAACACCAATGAGCACGAAGGAAGCGACCAGTCGGTTCGGAAGTAGCAAGTTATTGATGAGCGCGGCAATGTATGCCCTGCGTCGGAGTCTGGTACTCGTGAGTCGTCCTTGATACCCTGCCCGCAACGTGCCCCCACTGACCGAGGCCGAACTGGTAGACCGGCAACATTGCGCTCAATGTATACACCATGGACCCCGGCGGTCTGACCGGAGAGAGCCACCAAACGACTACCGCACCGTTATCGGTCCGAATGGCACACCAAACCCGGTCTGGACTCCGGCCATTCCTGCGGATGTTCTCCAAGAGCGCGATAAACAAGGCTAGCGTTCCAGCCAAAGTCATTGCAAGAGTCGCATTCCAGAAGGAGACGGTGGAGAACTGGGGGAGGGAACGATATTATATCTTGGATAGCGAATACGAGGCCGGATCCGTCATTCCGGCGTTGCGGGATGTGGCACGGATGGATGGACTGCTGCAGAAGATTATGCGACAGGTCGAGATAGGCGTCAAGGGCATGGGATCGCCTCAATCACGGGTCTCGCGGCTGACTGCTCGTTAGTCGGGGGAGCATATAATGCTCCGGGTTCTCCTTCTGTTTCTCTGCGTGCCAAAAATTTCGAGCATTTCCAAGGCGTTGCTATCTCTTCATTTCAAATTTGGGTCGGCAGATAAGGAGTTCTTTGGGACAGGACAATCCACTTTTGCTGTAATTAGAAAAATCAACTGTACAGGATCAAGAAGCCACCAATCAAGATGGATAACCGCAGCAACCGACCAGGCGATAGAAACGTGAAGAGGGGAGAGATGGTGGAAGAGCCTGGCCGCGAGGTTGCATGGCTGCAAACGGAGACGGGAGAAGACTGGCGGGTGCCGGATTCGGCCCAGGGCGCGGAAGGCGGTTCTGGTCGTGCTTCGGGGTCTTGGGTCTGGGTCTGGGTCTGGCTCTCTCTCTCCCCTGGGCGGTCGTTGCTGCTCGCCGCCCGCCTTGAGCCTACGTCCAGTCGACGCAATCAATGCTACCGTCAGACCCTCATCGTTCAATTCTCACGCTCGTTCGATCCCTGGGATCTACCTCACTTATAATCCCCTGGATCTGCGGTTCTCCATCGGTCATTCTGCGTCGTCCGTCCCTCGGTTGTTTTTCCCCCTCGTAAGCGCATTCCAGGTGGAAATCTTGAAGCCGGTGGCCATCTCTTCGGGATCCAGGGACCCGGGAGGTTCTTCGCGTCGGGACCCGTTTCCTAGCTATATGCTGCTGTTGTAGGAGATATGAACAGGCACCACGCCTTCTCGAATGGCTATGCTGCCTACCCTCGCGGGAAAGGCAGCACCAACACCTTCTCCATCTCCCCCCACCGGTAAGCGCCCCCTTCGCTGCTGATCATCGCATACCATCACCGTCTTCACATGAACGGAGGTCGCTGTCGGCAAACCGGCCATCTGGCATCTATCCCATCGACTTAGCGACGCCGCAGGGTGTTCCGTGCTGACAGTGGACCGCTAGCTTTCAGCCGCGCCCACAACCGGCTTTGCGACGTCGAAGACAACTCCTCCAACGACTGTGTCTCATTGCTGCCGTCTCAACGCTGCTTCTTGTCCTCATCTTCCCTTCATTTCGAGCCTTCTTCCTCCCGGCAGTCTCCCTCGGAATCGTCTCCTCCGCCGAAGACCTACAACTAGAAACTGTCCGATACTATGACTTGTCAAAAATGCAGGGGACTGGAAGTGGATGGGAGCAGGGCGAACGAGTGCTCATGTGTACACCTCTCAGAGACGCTTCATCCCATTTGCCCATGTTCTTCTCGCATCTCCGCAACCTGACGTATCCCCATAACCTGATCGATCTGGCGTTTTTGGTTTCAGATTCCAAAGATGATACGATGGAGTTGCTGTCGGAGATGCTGGATGAATTGCAGAACGACCCGGATCCGAGCATGTCGTTCGGGGAGATCTCCGTCATCCAGAAGGATTTCGGCCAGAAGGTGACACAGGATGTGGAGAGCAGACATGGATTTGCTGCTCAGGCCAGTCGCAGAAAGTTGATGGCTCAGGCTCGGAATTGGCTGCTTAGTGCCACTCTCCGCCCGACTCACAGCTGGGTTTACTGGCGAGATGCAGATGTTTTGACCGCCCCACAGACCATTCTGGAGGATCTCATGAGACATGATAAGGATGTTATTGTACCGAGTGAGTCCTCGTGTTGGCATGTTATGATTGCCTTCTAATTTTTGGACCAGATGTTTGGCGGCCCCTGCCAGACTGGCTAGGCGGCGAACAACCATACGATTTGAACTCGTGGCAGGAGTCCGAGACCGCTCTGGCGCTCGCCGATACATTGGATGAAGATGCGGTCATTGTGGAGGGTTATGCTGAGTATGCGACGTGGCGGCCTCATCTTGCCTATCTTCGTGATCCATACGGAGACCCTGATATGGAAATGGAGCTTGATGGAGTGGGAGGTGTCAGTATTCTGGCGAAGGCCCGAGTCTTCCGCGCGGGAGTTCACTTCCCAGCTTTCAGTTTCGAGAAGCATGCCGAGACGGAAGGATTTGGAAAGGTAATTTGTTATGCCCAGATTTATAGGTGCTTAATGCTGACGCTAGACAGATGGCGAGACGTATGGGATTCTCGGTCATTGGCCTTCCACACTACACAATCTGGCATCTCTACGAGCCGAGCGTGGACGATCTCCGTCATATGGAGGAGATGGAGCAAGAGCGACAGGAACGTGAGCGGGAAGAACAAGAACAGGCCGAGCGTGCCGAGCGTGTTCAGACTCTGTTCAAGGACGCCAAGACGCAGTGGGACACTGATAATGCAATCATCGAAGATGCAATCCAAGAGGAAGGGCAGGGACAAGAGAGTGGGGATTCGACACCACCTTTGAATGCCGATAGTACAAAAGGCAGCGAAGAAGGCCCTGTAGCCGAGCCCGCTGCGAAGGAGCAAGGCAGTGCCGACAGCGCACTGGAAGAACCGACGAAAGACAGGAAACAGGTCAAGCAATAAGGAAGCCATAATTTGAGCTTCTAGGTCCAGCAACAGTCGAAACGAGCCATAAGGATCTGGTCATGGTGGTTCGTCCGGGAACCATGCGGAATGATGTATTCCTCAATGACCAGTCCAGCCGCTGTGCTGGCCACAGGGCGACTTTCTTTGACTGCAAGTACTCTTTCTAGGTGGCCTCTTGTACTGTGTAAATGGTGTTTGGGTCTACATGTGCTTATGCCTTTCCTTTGCTTCTTCCCTTCCACTTGATTGTCTGATCACGCAAGAACACATACTCTTGTTGATCTTTGTTATGGCTGAGATGATATCTCTTAATTTGTACAGCATAGACCAATAAATTTTACATCCAAACGACGAGCTGATCCTCATGTAATCAATTCTCTAGGGCAGATCCACCCTGAGTCCCTGATGAGTGCGAAATTCATGCGTTGCGTGGCGTGTGCGGATTAAGCAGTGGCCCGTGCGGCTATCGATCTGGGAAAGCACGCGTACCGCGTCGAGGACCCAGCACTCGGAATACTCTTTGCAAATCTGAGTCCTGACACCTCCTGAAAAGGGACCTAACCAACTCTCCGTTTCCCTATCGAGGTTCCGGTCCTTCCTCGGAGGCACAAAACCAAAATGTCCACTCAATCTGCTCAAAGCATTCTGTTCACCCACACGGCACCCCAACAGGCCTTCCGGTTACTCGAACTTCCACCGGACCTCGCAGAGCTCCTCTCCTCGGACAATCCTCCAACGTACGTACACCAGAACCAAACCCCGTACCTCTTTCACACAGCACCAACTAATGCAACCCACAGCCTCGAAATAAAATCCCCCGCTCCCTCGTCGCAAGATTCCAACCCCACCGACCCTCCTCCCACCGACACCACCCGCGAATACATCAACCTCTGCACCCCAAGCCAGACCTACCGCATCCGCCAAGTCCAATCCTCCAATTCCCTGCACATTCTCCGGCCCAGCGACGATGGCATCCAACGCGGCGATCTCGCCGTCATCGGCGCCCCCACCTCCACCCCCACCGAAGACGTCCTCGCTGACATGAACCTCTCCGAAACAATGACGACGATCGCGAAGTGCGGATCCACGCTGGAACTACATACCCCGCAGGAGGGGTTTGATATTATCCCGATTCTGGAGGGGTTGTTGGGGAAATATGATTCCAATTCCGATAGCAATCACGGCAACACTGGGCAGGGGAGACTGTCGAAACATACGGACCGGCGGAGCATCATTGAGGGGGTGTTTGCTGATGTTCCGGTGTCCCGGGCGCAATGTGAGAGGGCCTGGAGGGAGATTTGTGCGTTTGTGTTACCTGACACGGGGCGGGGGTGGGTGCCGACGGCGAAGGTGAAGATTGGGGTGTGGAAACGGGTGATCGAGGGGGCTATGTTACAGGGGATCGATCTGGGGAAGCAATTTTTGGTGGGGGATGTGTGGAAGTCGGCACTTGATGAGGATGGGGAAGCGGAGTGGCCGAGGGAGCTGTTTGAGGCGGTTGTGCGGAAGGTTTGTGAGGCCGGTGATGGTGATTGGGCTTCCTTGGAGGGAGCGATGAAGTGTAAGTTTGCTGATTCATGAAAATACGGGGGTTGGCTGGACTAGGCTAATTCTTATCGATTGGGGCAGGGGCGAGTATTGATCAGGAGGGGTGCGTCCGGTGGGTGGGCGAAACGTATTTGGAGGCTGTGGCACCCACAGCGAATGCTGCTGTTGGGCGCAGTGAGTTCTTGAATGCCTGGAAGGATCATTTGCCCGAGGGCTGGAGGGAGGATGCTGCGTTTTCGAAGCTTACGGTATGTGGTTTTAAGTTAGTCTTCATTTGGTTCGCTAACAGTATGCGTGTACAGGAGGGCAAGCACGGATTTCCTGATCCAACGACTATCTGCTTTGTCAATGATGATGATCGGCAAAAATTGAAGAAAAATCTCTCAACAGATGCTAGTGCTTCTACTGCGGCGAAGAAGGCAAGAAACTGGCACGAGCTGTTCAAAAACCAAAAGCGACAGAAGCGCTGAGGCTTTATTTCTAGAGAGAATGTATTAGTCGACGGGTCAACCTCAACACCAGGCATATTTCTCGTTCAAGTGCCATTCCACGTTCGCCCCCATGCCGTGTTCGGCCCCCGTCCATCTCAGACACGCAATACTGCTCTTCTGCCGGTGGACCAGCTCGGCGTTGGGGTGCAGCACAGCAACCGCCTTCTCTAACAGCGGGGTTGGGTTCCAAAACTCGATCGTTGCCATGTTCCACCTGTGTGCCTCCAGTTGAGCACGTCGCAGGACGGCAGCCATGGCTTTCACGATTTTCTCGGCCTGTTCTGGCGAAGCCGGCTCATCGTACACCCACCGCAGGATGTATAAGGTGTTTTCCTCGGGTGTCTCACCAAAGTTCCTGTTCCAGGCACAGTACACCCCCGCGCTGTCCTCCCCGGCACCCTTCGCGCGAGGGAGTTCTTGGTCGGGGTAAAATCTCTCGGCATAGAACTCTTCCCTGGCCCAGTGCCATCCGAAGTGCTCGAAGTTGGGCGCAATGGCAATCTTGGGGACAGATGACTGCTCGGAGGCCTCTCTCAGCAGCTCACGCTCCTTTTGCAAAACCGTCTCGTTACACATGATGTCGCGGACATCCTCCGGGGCCAAGGTTCGTGCCTTTGGCAAGCTGGCCTTGGCATTTGCAGAGGCATAGTCTTCTTCTGACATTGGCGACAATGCAAAGTGAGACGACGTGAACGGCTGCCAACCGAATTGGGCATAAAAATCCTTTCCAATATCAGAAAACAGGATGGTGAACAGACAACACTTTCTGGTCTCGGTCTCCATCTTCCAGGTCTCGATCTTGTTGCTCAGCTCCTGCATCATTCTCTTGGCATATCCTTTGCCTCTGAAGTCGGGGCGGCAATACACACTCCCGACGCCATGAGTCGACACATCCTCGGCTTTGCCAGCATACGCCAGTATGGCCTTTTTCTTGTATGTTTCGCAAGAGCTCAGGATGGTTCGTTGCTCTTCCGGCTCTCTGCGGTCGACCAAAATCCAGCAGGTCAAGCCATCCTTGGTCAGCGGTTGTTGCAACAGGTGGTTCTCTCGAGTGATGTACGTCTCAAGGTCCAGACGACCCTTCCACGCTTTGCTGTTCAGTCGAATGGATTCGATCCGCTCCCTTGGGGTGGCGGGGACCAGGATCAGGTCAGGAGAGTCACCTTGGGGCAGCTCGGTGCCGTTGAAGTAGGAGGTGTCAGCAGCGATCATGATGTCTACTAGGCAGGGCTTCGTCCTGCGGGGTGGAGGAAACTGGACACGGTGGTTGTAAAGAAGGTCGAGTGAAGGAGAACCGGCGAAAGACCCCACGGCTAATTCTAGCAATGCAATTGTTTGGCGCGAAGGAGCAAAGCCCGTATTTGTTCCACCGGAGTCCGACAGGGCCGCAAGGGGGAAGATGTATTTAATCGATAAGGAAGTAGACCGTCCTGGGTTGACGGTACTACGGCGCCCGGGCAGCTGATCCTATTCGTCACGACAGCCGACGACAAGCGGCGACAAGCGCAGCGGAGAGGATGGACTTGCCTGGAACGGGCGCGTCTCATGCTCCGTGACGTCGCGCAGCGCATGACGCCCGCCCGTCATGTTAGGGCATAGGGCTTGCCGGGTTGGGAATTGGCCGGGGTTGGAGGGTTGTCCGGGACACAGGGATCCTGGCCGGAAGATGCCGCTCCAGGAGAATTAATATTTAAATGAATTCCCCCGACTCGCCTCAAACCTACGGAGCACCCCGTAGTCACTAGTCGTTACTGGTTTCTGCCGGGGTACTTGTATTCATTGGCCGTTAACCTCCATGCCTTGCGGGGGAGCAGGCGGTCGGGAACTGCCGGTACCTATCACGTGGGGCGGCTGTCAGTTGCCCGCCGGCCCCCCAAAGAAAGAAAGCGGCATGATTTCTCTGGATCCCGGAATTTTCCCATCCAACGCTGGAGGAGCCCCCTCCCATCAACAACGCTGCTGGTCCGTCCACCCGGCTGCTCCTCTCTTATTCTTCAGCCTAGCGTCCCGGGCTCGACAGATTCCTACTGCTCCCGGTTTGTTCCTAGATCCATCGTCCGTGATGAGACTACCCCCGTTGTAGGTTGGACCTCCCCCAGCTTTTTTGACGGACTTCCGGCCCCACCGTGCGTGCGAACCTTCTCCTATTGATACTATTCCCCGTTGGGTGGCTTTCAATCCGGGTGATCAACCCACTATACATCTGCCACCAACTCCCTCTTTTGCAGCGTCGTTGTGACCGGACAGCCCCTCGAAATACCCAAAGGCTGTGGGTGTTCCTCAGCCTTGGTGGGGGTGGCCTCGGGCGAGCCTCAGCCCATAGTCGAGTAGGTCCATTGACAGCCTTGGTCGATCCATCCATCCATTCATGCTTGTCAGGTATACACATGATAATGATCACGCCTGGCTCGTATGTGTGTTGCTCAATACACAGCCGCAAATCCTCCAGGCCCTTCTAGTATAACCTCGGCCTGTTGGTTTCTTTGCCTGGGCGATTCACGCCTATCACCGATACCTCTCACTTCATATTGGAGGGTCTCTCCGTCCTGGCAACGCTGTTTGCACGCCTTCACTACTTCCCCCCTTTAGCCTCAGCGGATTCCTGCTTAATCACTGGTTCCCTGCCTGACCATTTCCTCATTGTCCTAGCCCCTAGTCCGTGGATTTTGGAGAGTCCCTTCAGACACACCTCAGAAGTAGATACTTATCACAGAGCTTTTCTGCTCAAATCTATGACAACAATGGAGTTCCCTCACTTCAATGGACCCATGCATCCTGCGCTCCCTCTAAGACTGGGATATTTAAACGGTGACAATCTGGACCTTCCCTACAACGACAACCCTGCGCTGGCTGAGCTGAACCACTGGGACATCGCCACCAACGACTTGGATTGGAACACGATTGCTCCGCCCTTCCCTTTTTCCGACTACGACAATCCAATGAAGAAACAGAAGCAAAGTAGCACCAGCACCATCGGTAGGGAGCTCGGTGCTTTTAGTTTGGGATCCGGGTCTACCTCGGCCTCATCGCATTCTGGGACCCAGCATGGAGCAGTTTTCATCGATCTTACCGAGGACGATGCGGTGCTGACACATATCTTGGACATCTTTCCTGACATCAGCCACAACTATGTGGAGGAGCTAATCAATCGACACAAAGGCTCCCATGGGAAATCGATCGAACAGGAGTTACTGAAAGAGAACGTTGTCGAAGAGATTGTACAGCAATCTGACTATCCCAAGCAGGAAAAGGTCAAGAAGAGGAAGATTGCAGAAACGGAAGATGAGGACAAGAAATGGATGGCTAACATGCCGGAGCGAGGCAGTCGTCTGTACCTCCAGCTAGCGTGAGTGTACTGCATATTGCACCCATGAGGCCCTAAGCGCTGACCACTGACATAGGATTGGAATGCTGTCCCAGGAATTCGGCTGGATCCCATTACATCATATCCGACATGTCGTGAACGAGAAAAAAGAGCTCTTTTCAGCGTTTCTAACTCTGCATACTCAGGAGCTTGGACGCACAAATGATTACATTAAATTAAAGAGAGAAAGGATCTCGGTTGCTAAAACAGATGATGGGAGTTCTATCGTTGAGAACTTGCATCAGGAACTGGCGGCCGCCAAGAAGAGGGCTGCAAAGGATGATGGTGAGTGGCACAGCTTTGACAATGAGAACCCTATCACTGACCAGTGGGTCACTTGCAAAGCCGTCCTTCGTAGGCAGAAGGAGGACCAGGAGGCTGAGGTACGAAATGAGGAGGAGCATACGCGAACAGGGAACCTTGTCGAATGCCAGTGCTGCTACCTCGATGTCCCAGCGAATAGATCGCTCCCCTGTGAAGGAGATTACGTCCATTTCTTCTGCTTCACATGCATCCGCAAGTCTGCGGAGACTCAAATTGGGCTTATGAAGTATCAGTTGCAATGCTTTGACACCAGTGGCTGTCAGGCCCAATTTTCTCGTGCACGACTAGGGGAAGCGCTAGGGCCAAGCATGATGGAAAAGCTTGACTCTCTACAGCAGCAGGATGAGATCGAGAAAGCAGGTCTGGAAGGCCTTGAAGCGTGTCCATTCTGCGATTTCAAGGCCATCTGTCCGCCCGTGGAGGAGGACCGTGAGTTCAGGTGCAGAAAGCCCGAGTGCGAACGGGTTAGTTGCCGTCTCTGCCAACAGGAAAGCCATATCCCCAGGACCTGCCAGGAAGCGAAACTAGAAAGGGGTCTTCCCGAGCGCCACTTGGTCGAAGAGGCAATGAGCGAGGCTCTGATTCGCAACTGCCCCAGATGCAAGGTGAAGATTGTCAAGGAGTACGGGTGCAATAAGATGATTTGCTCCAAGTGCCGCTGTGCCATGTGCTATGTCTGTAAGAAAGACATTAGCCAGGAGCAGTACGACCACTTTGGGCGCCCTCCGACGAATTGTCGTACCCACGACGAACCGGCAGAAAACCGCTCCCTGCGAGAAATTGAGCAAGCGCAGAAGGCGACTATAGAGACCTTACTGGCACAGAACCCCGAACTAACGGAAGAGGAACTGCGGGTGCATACTGACAAGGAGAAAAAGCCGGCTTCGAATCAGCAGCGCCGCAATAATTACCCCCGCGCGGAGTTATATCAAAACCAGGCCTGGGGAAATGCGCGCCAAGCCCGGGTTGTGCAAGACCCACGACAACGGCTAAACATACCTGCAGACTTACCTGCAAGGCCGATGTTGCTAATGGATCATGTCCAGCACCAATTTCAGGAGCTCCACCGTCCTCGGATAGAACCTTTTCCTCGGGTAGAACCCTTTCCCCTCCCGCCTCAACCCATGGGTGCCGGTGATGGTCTTGTTAGACCGGGAAACGAATATCAGGCCATATTGGCAGAGTACCAGGCCAGAAGGGTGCGTGAATATCAAAACAACCCAGCTTTGGCAGGGCTCTTTCGAGATGATGCCCTGCCGAATAGAGAGCAAAACCCCGCGCCGGCTGCAAATGAAAGGCGCCCTCATCCGCACTATATGGCCGCCTTTAATGGGTTTCCCCTGCGACCCAACGATTATGGAACCTATCCGCTGCCCTGAGCTATACCCCAGTTCGGGGTAGAGCAGAGCATTTGAAACGATACGCCATTCATGAGATTGCACATCCAGTCTCGATATAGTGGCTCGTTTCCATTTGTTCCCGATCTGACTCTTGTGTTTTCCTTTCCTTGCGCACAGCATCTGGTAATTCCCCAGTTTTTCTCTTTTTGTTTTCTCTTCCTCTGGGTAAGAACACGTCCTAGCTTTTCAGCGTTGCGCATGAGTTCGTTTCATTCCCGATAGTTCGACAGCGATACCCTTTCTTTCAAATACAGCCAGACAAGAAACGTCCTGGAGGTGTTGATCTGGTTTGGCTCTAAGTGTCATTTATCACTTGGATGGTTTCCCAGGATCTTGATTGCATTGTTCCTAGCGCTGCCTCTGCCTCTACTTTCCCTTCCCCTCCCTCCCCACTTTTCCTTCTGCTTTTTCATCTCTAATCATCTCGGTTCCAGCTTACGTCTAATTTAGAATGCCCTGTTTCCTAAATTCAATTGAATCACTAGCTTATATGTCCCTTCGCCACTCCATTTGATGTAGTTTCCACGTTTCTCGAATCGTAACTACCTCCTCCCCAAGCACTATGAAATAGCGCCATAACCATCTACTTCGATCCTCACAGATTCTGACACAGGTCCAGCTCCATACCCTTCAAAGATGACCTAACTGGAGCGAAACACCACATCAATTTCTAATTAATACTATGAACACTCCTGCCTAATTAGGTGTTCAGGTGATGTGTACACGTTTCTTTCATCTCCTAGTATATCATATATAGTATCAATATCATTTGATATGAAGGATATCTGGGGTGCGGAGTACGATATGATGCATACTTGCAGTGAATCACGTGATTTGATATGCATATAAGAGACTAGACACGTCTGACATCGGACTAAGGGATGAGAAGGTATAGACAGTATGCATGTAATGCTATATGATATGCTAAGATCGGAATGCGGATATTAATGGGTTAAAAGAGGAATGGAAAGAAACGAGACTGGAAAACGAATAGAAATAAAGAAAAGATGATGCAAACTTCCTACCTACCTACAACTGATCTAGTTTACTTCTCACTATCTCATATCCATAACATCACATCTTATCGCTCATGACGCAGATACGGAGCCAAATCAGATAGATAAGGACGAACCAACCAATCGGAAACAAACGGGGATGACAGGGGTAAGAAAAAATGTTCCAATGTATTCGACATCAGGACGGAAAGATCATAGCATAGGCAGCATAGCATAGCATAGCATAGCACATGACAACACGTATAGATGCCACGATATACAGGCGGAAGTAAATAACTCACATGATGCGTTGGGAACCATATTTTAGGTTTCGTTCCAGACAGCCGGTCCATCTGCGTTCTTTGATTCTAGCCAATCGTTGCGACAAACCAGTAACAACCACACCCGCTGGGATCAGGCACGCAAGGCTGCGATGGCAGATTCTTGTGCATATGCCGAACCCCGCAAATCAACTTTAATCTTTCTTTCATGGAAGGCGGCGTGGAAACGCATTGACGCGGACGCTCTCGACTCCGAGAGGTGGACGCCTGTATCTCATCATCAGCTGATTTCGAGACGCATGCACGACCGAAGTGGCGGCAAGATCCTTCCTCCACTGAACCCCATTCCGAACACGCCCAGGCCGCCAAACAAGGAGAGAAAGGGAGACGCCAACACGTACACACACGCGCTGAGAGAAACAAGAATATGCCAAGGAAATGCGGTGGAGACAGGATTAGCGATTACGGACAGGACTCGAGACCCTCCCCGGACGGTGGGGACCATGCTGGCAACCGTGTAGTAGCTAGTGGCTAGATATTTGAATTTGCTAGGATCATGTAGTTGGAGAGAGCTCAACAAAGGAGACGAGCGGAATACAATAGGAAATGGTATGAAAATGAGAACACTGAGGAAATGGCGGGGAGGAAAATGGAGAAAGATGCTTGGGGAAAAATAGATGTCTCCAGAGATGAGAGAAAAATGGAAGAGAGTCAGAGGGATAAGAAAAGAAAAAGAGGAGAAATAAGTAGTAATAGAGAAGAGAAAGAAGAAAAGAACGTGACAGAATGACGACAGGCAGCAATGGACGGAAAGAAAAAAGCGAGCAAAAAAAGACAGGAAAAGATATGAACCAGATCTATGTAATGCCATGCGAGTCCCAAAAATCGTCCGCTCCCCATTTTATATATTTGCGCCACTCACTCGGACGACAGTGCCTAATTTCCTCATCCATCATGTATGTTCGATCATTGGTCACGCTAAAACAAGAATGAGATAAATGGAGATATGAGATACGGAGCAGAAACATGTTTCAGTGAAATCAGAAGGTAATGGTGAACTAGACGAACACGGCAGGAAGATAGAGATGATGATCCGAGGCTCACGGTGGATGTTCCGAGTCCACCGGTTCATTAAACTTCTGCCGTGCCTCTTCCACCCATAGTTCCAGTCGAAGCTCTCCGGCTTCTACACGTCGTACCGGGACCGTCTTGGCGCGCCCGTTCGACACCTTGGGAGGCGGCTGTTGCGGCTCGCCGTTTCTCAGTTTAGAAACAGAATAAGGGGCGGTGCATGATCGGAGGTGGACCTTATCCGGCTCGGCCACAATCCATGTCTGTTCCTCGGTTGTGGTCCCCGCGGGGGGTAAAGCATCTTCCCGCACTTCGATGCAGACGGTGAAACTGAATTCATCGTCCCGGGGCAAGGGCGTCAGTCGCGCACAGGCAGAAGCCAGTCTGGCTAGGCAAGCGCGGAATTGCGCTTCGAGGTCGACTGTCGTCGGAGCGGAGGCCCGCTCGGTCACGGGAACACCCGGCTTGGTTGGTTCCTCCCTTCGGTCTTCGAAGGTGGTATTGACTTCGCCAGCGGGGACACGAGGGAAGCCCGATAAATCAAAGGCATATCGTTCGAGGGGTTGATTCGTACGGAGAGAGGAGATGATAATGCTGACAGCGGTTATTGTGCCTTTCAAGATCTCCGTTCCGACCGCAATTGACGCGTCGTTGATGTAATCACACACCTTGGGGTGACGGGATTGTCGGACGGGATAATTATAAGCCCGCACGGGGAGGAACGTGGCTCGTGGATAGACCGAACGGAGGAACAGGATCTGGTGTATCGAGACGGTGAGGAAGTTCGTGAAGGATGCCGCCAACGCAGACTGATTGTTGGGCATCGATCTAGGTGCGGTGACCGGAGCGGAAAATGTTGTCATGGTGGTAGTAACGGAGTTGACGGTGGTACTCTCACTGGCAATCGGCATTGCCGTCGTAGGCTCTGGTATCGTCGTTTCCACGGGAAAGATGGTCTTGACGGGATCTCGGAGATTCTGAGTGCTGTTCCACCCTGAGGCTAATCATCGCTCTGCCTTTTTATGAGACGATGAGTCAACAACGGTCTTCCTTTCCACGCATGAGAGATGATGTATTCCTTTTCCACTCTGCTTTGGCTATGCGACAACGGGGGGAAAGGTGAGGCGAGGAGGGGAAGGGCGGGGTGGTGGTTGAAGTTGAGGGGGTGGGTGTGCGAGGTCAAAATAGGGAGGGGAGGAGATGAACAGGAGTTCGAATGGCCGGTACTACAAAGTACCCGGCCCCGAGGACGCAGTTGGAACCCAGAAAATACAAGAGTAAAAAAGAAAAGAAAGACAAGGGAAACGAAGTAGTATAGCGAGAGATAAGAACAAAGTTTGTAAAAGAAAAATAAAATCAGAAAGGGGAGACCGGGGGGGGGGATGGTGGTGGAAGGGTAACAATAGATAGGGTGTGGTGGTGGAAGTAGCGGAGATGGGGTGGGAGTGACGGTGTTTGGGAGGAAAGGCAGTGAGAGAGCGCGAGTTGAGTAATGTCGTTTCAGGGAACGAGTGTGAGGGAAACCACGAGAGCGAGAGGGAGGGAAGGGAAGAGGGAGGGGAGGGGTGAAGTGGATTGGGGCTCGAAAAGTAAGGAAAGGACTTCGGATTAAAACATACGTTGGGTGGACGAGACGAAACAAGCAGACCTCAGAGCATGGATGGAGGCGTTGAGATCGTGACAACCGGCGAGCGAGATCTGGGATAGAATTAAGGAGAGAAGAGTCCTGGCTTGACGATAACGACGGCGATGATGCTGCTGCTGCTGCTGATGGAATTTTCCTTTTTTTTTTCTTTTTTTCTTCCCTGGTTGGAATTCCCGTTTTAGTATTTTCCTCTTTGGCGCTCCCCTCTCCCTCGGAAGTTTTTGTTCCTGGAAAAAAACTTTTAAATAAAAGAGAAAAAAAATTACTGGGCTAAGAAAAAAAAAAGGAAATTTTTTTCTTTTTTTTTTTTTTTTAATTCCTTGCTCTCTGCGTCTAGGGAGAGGAGGGACGGCAGACGATAGAAAACCAACCCTTTGAGGGGGGCGGCGTGGAAGGGAGGTGGGCTGCTGGTTTGCGCTGGTTGTGATTGGGAAGGGCCGAATCGACCAGGGAAGCCCACTCAGATCCCAGAGCTAGTAAATAGTAGAGAGGGAGATGCAAAGAGAGCGAGCAGAAGGCGCAGGCAAAGCACAGAAATATGAAAAGAGAAAGAGAGAAAGAGAGAGAGAGAGTCGCAGGCAGGCAGGCAAGCAGTCCTTCGGAGGGGAAGGCTTGTCGGGCGACGAGTCGTCCAGGTAAAAGGCGCCCAAGTCACGATTCCCAGGCCGTCACGTGGTTGCGTCATGGGTGTGGATGCCCTGCAGCAATCATCATAGTAGGAAGTAGGCAGCGCATGTCCCATCACTGAGGAATGCCTACGTTCCTTCCAAGGCTGCCTACCATCGAACTATACTACATTACTACTACTATCCTTACCGAGTCTGCCTATTCCTCCCAGCTATTCCCAGTGGAGCTGGTAAGCTGAATGAGAGACCAGGGTCACACAAGGGAGTACTTCGTCCGCAGACTGGGGGCGAAACAGAGGACTGTGTAGGCAAAGGTATTTGATCATGATGCATTACGGCTACACTCTTCGACGACTATCAAGTCCACCCTTCGATGCCAAAATCATACACTGTTGGCAGGGGACATGGTATGAAAAAGGAAGAATCTCGCTGGCAGGTGTGTGACAGTATGACGGTATGTAAGCATAGAGCCTGTAATTGTACTGTTCTCGCCAGTACGGACAACATGACCAACCCAATCAGTAGTGGGATGGATTTCTCCAGCTCACAGAGGATCAGCATGAAGTCAAACTGGAATCGACACGTAGGTGGCCGGGGTAGAGAACAGCAGCAACAATTATAATAATAATTAGTCAGGAATCCGAGCGATTAACTAACTAACTAAAAGGAACGAAAGTTAAATCTGCTAGTAGTAGTCTCTCCCAGGTCTCTACTCCGTACTCCGTAGTCCAAGCTCTTTGCCCATCCTCTGGCTTATTCCGGTATTTCATTCGTCAATCAGCCTATATGCCAAATCATTTATTCATTTCTTTCCTGCAGTTGCTGCATGTTGGCCGAGTTAGGTAGTGTACGGAGTGCCTTCTCCAGAAGCATACAGCGTCCCCCACTGTCGGGATCTCTCGATAAGTGAAGAATGTTTAGTGCGGAACGAGAGCTATCGTGAGCTTACCCCTCCTGCGGCGGACTCCGGCGCTTCCTAGGGTTGGCGTGTCCTCAAGTTCGCCAGTCGCATTATTGCCCCGATCCCTGAATATTATTAGTATCTCGACACGCTCTAGGACACGCGATCGCCTTCTAGGTTGTTCCTCGATGATCCATCAGTACAGTACCCGCGGCTACTTGACCGTATGGTATTCGATCTTTCGAGGGTAAATGGGTAAGAGTACGTATGGGCACCCATACAGCAAACAGAGTACATTTCGCAACGCCGTACTTTTCTGTTTTAGGTGTTTCCGCCCCTCAGTTGGCCTTAGATAATCAGAGTTGCCGGTCTATCCTTCGTCAACCCCACTATGATCGACTTACGACTCCCCCTTCCATTCACTCTGTCATCCTTTTGAGGAATGCATCGAGTCCATCTACGCCACTTACCTATCTGCCCGGTGATCCCTACCTAAATTTTTTACATAACTGTACTTCGTACATGCCATAGTACATAGTACATAAAACATACATCAGGCTCATCAGGGGACATGAAATCTGGGGGGAATTACGGACAGACATACGGCAGGTGCAAAAGTACAGTGCAGGACTCCAGAACGTTAGACTGCCCAGGAGGTTTCAACATCACTGCTGTCTCTCTCCATCATTACACAATGAGTGGCCCCGGAATGGATTCACAACGATCCAAGGGATTTTCTTTGCTCTTTTATGATTGGACTGAAGTCAGATCTTCTCCACAGAAAACTTCGACCTAGGCAGATCAGCAACTGAGACATGAATGCCACGTCCACTTAGTCCTCACACCTTCACATATTGCTCCTCCTTTATTCAAAGTCCTCGCTCGGCTTGGGATTTCTACGATCACCCCTGATTATTCGCATTCGGTTCCCGTAGAAGATGTGGCCTTCATTGGCGAGAGACAGCTGAAACGACACGAATTTAGATTTACCCACAGCAATGACCACTAAGATCCGATTCCCTGCGAGTGATCTCTCATGACTTCAGTGAACCCAGCGTCTGCTCTCTTCTTCTCTAATTGGACGGCTACCAGGATCTCCATTGTAATGACTGTATCTTTCGGTGTTCAGTTCTTTATTGGATAATTGCCGCTGTTGCATGTATTGTGGACGGCCATTGAGTCGCCGACCTCGGAGGTTAATATGGCTCTATCGTTTGACATTGGGATGCTGTCAGACTATTGAATGTGGCGGGTTGCGGACATCTAATCAGTGTTCGGCTTGCCCTCGTAGGTGTATAACTAAAATCCAAAACCTGCGTTGTGTCACACCCGAATCACTTGGGTTCTTTATGCTAGAGCCCTTGGCCTTGGGGATTAAAGAGGAAAAGTTGGATGTAGAATTTAGACTGGCAAATCTCCGGTGATCAGTAAAATGGCTTGGAGCCAGAAACATAGGAAGAGGATACTTTTGACACTCCCGAATGTCCTGTGGCCCTTCCATTCGTTTGGTGACCAGTATGCTTGAAAAGCGGGACAGATTGCAGGAAAGCTACGGAGTAGCCGCTGTCATCTTCGGACTCGTCAGTAGTTTTCAATGGAAGAAAAGAAGGTAAGCTAGGTCGGCTGTAGTCGACGCGATGCCATCAACGACATATGTAACAGCACGGCACACACGTATGGGTTTAGTGATCCGTAGACTTCCAAAGACACGCCATTAGCAATATCTAGCAATAATAAGCCAGATTATTATTCTTTGTCTCGGTTGCCCGGAAAGGAAGCTCCTTGTTGCTGAACGATGGGGCTTGGGGGGGAGTTCTACCCCTCACCGCCTCCCTCTTCCCGCTCGTCTTCTGCCCCTCCACGACGCGACAATTCGCGATTGATATTAATTTGACCCCTCTACGTGGGCCCTGGTGTCTTCGCTATCATTGCCTGACGAAGTCTTCCGGGTTGTGATCCATATTCAGAACCTCAACGTCTGGGCCCTATTTAGATCTAGGTGCCCCTTTCGTTCAATAAACATCGACGATTGTCTTCTTATCGACCATCTATTTCCCCCCGTGTCTCCCCCCAACACCATGGAGCAAGAGCTCCTAACATTGCTCGCCGACACTCAGTCGCCTGTCGCCGATACGAGAAAGGCTGCTGAGCTCCAGCTTCTAGACCTTTATGCCAACGAGAGTTTTCCTCTTACTCTTGCCGCTATAGCTTCGCACGATTCCGTCCCCACCAACCTCCGTCAGTCCGCCCTCTCCGTTCTCCGGACCTTCATTACCGCTGCCTGGTCCCCGGTTCTTGATGAATTCAAAGGCCGTGTCCTTGTCAACGATGAAAATAAGGTCCAGATTCGACGAGTGCTGCTGGATCTAGCCACCGTTACCGAAACCCCAGAGCGCAAGGTCAAGTCGTCTGCCAGTTACGCTGTCAGCAAAATCGCCAGCGCCGATTTCCCCGAGCAGTGGCCGGAACTTTTGCCTTCCTTGCTGCTAATCATAAATGATGGCAACAGTACCGCCAGTGCTCTTCACGGTGCATTGAAGGTTCTGTTAGATCTCGTGGATACTGGATTCAGTGAGGAGCAATTTTTCACTGTCGCTCGGGATCTCGTCTCCACCCTATTCAACGTGGCCACCAATGAGTCGAGAAAGCCGATGTTGCGAGCTTTGGCTGTTGCGGTCTTTCGGGCTTGCTTCGATACGTTGGAAATGGTCCTGGAGCAACATAAGGCGGCTGTTAAACAATTTGTGGACGAAGTACTTAGTGGCTGGTCTCCATTCTTCCTCTCGACTTTGAAGGCTCCTCTGCCACAAGCTCCCAGTGAACAAGAGGAGTCCAAAGACTCCGAGATACCCTCCCAATGGAGAGGTGTCATTGGCTTGAAGTTGCAGGTGGTCAAGGTACATCATGTTTCTCCACCTCTACCTAGTTTATGCTAACCGCCTCAACCCGTTAGACTGTGATGAAAATCCGCATGGTGTTTCCAGGTCTTCTGACACCTCAGAGCCCTGAATACTTCTCCACTATATGGACCGAGCTTTCCAACATACAGTCTGCTTATCATGGATTCTACATCGATGATGAGAGGCAGGGTCGTCTCGAGGACGTCGACGGACTCCCATACACGCTAGACTTTTTGGTTCTAGAGGAATTGGATCTGATCCAGACACTCTTCAAGGCACCACCGGTCAAGTCTGAGCTCCAGCAACAGCTACAAAACGCCGGGCAATCTGCGGCAACGGCTAGTTGGTTGCCCGAAATCATGAAGCTGGCGGGCTCGTATGCTCAAATCACGTCGGAAGAAGAAGGCCTGTGGGATATAGATGTGAATCTATTCCTCTCGGAGGAGACTTCAGTCACTGCAAACTACACTCCCCGTACATGCAGTGGAGATCTGGTGGTCAAGATTGGAGAATGGCTCAAGAACACCACGGTTGAGGGCCTACATGCGTACCTGAACGCTGTCTTCTCCGATTCATCTTCCACGTAAGTCAAATCTTTTTGCATGGAAGTTCAAGTGAAGACTAATTGCTCGATTTCGTGAAGGTGGAAATCGAAAGAATCAGCTCTCTACATTCTCAACCAACTCCTCCGGGACTTCAACGAGGTTTCTCAGCAAATACCCTCTGGGCTGGCTGCTGGATTCAGCAACTTTATCCACTATTCTATCCAACAAGAAGACGAGTTTTTGCGAGCGCGGGGCTACCTTGTGGCTGGAATTCTATGCCAGGTCGCAGACACGTCTTTCCAGCAAACCGCTGTCTCCTACCTCGAAGCCACTCTCAAAGCTATCTCCGAAGATCCTTCCGAAGTAGTCAAGGTCTCCTGCATTCGCTCTCTACAGGACCTCATGCCCTCACTTCCTTCAACTGCCACCGTGCCTCTCCAGGTTGCTGTGGTTTCAGCTTTATCGGATTTCGTATCCGCGCATGACCTTTCTGAACAGTCCGAGAGTGACGATCTCAAGGTCACCATTGCGGAGACACTTCGCGATACGATCATGGTCAAGCCAAGTATTGTTCTGTCGTCACCCGCTATCGATGTGCTGTTTAATGTTGCCAGTAACGGGGCCACCAATTTCCAGTTGACTATGATTGTCACGGAAGCCTTCGAGGACATTGTAGAGTCTATCGCAGGGGGTGGTCAAGAGGATTTTGTTCGTCTCTGCGAGAAGGTTCTTCCTTCCTTGACGGGGGCCATTGACGTTGGCAATTTGACCCAGGAAAACGCTCTGACAAATTTTGCTGCGGACCTTGTACGCGCTCTTGCAGAAGGAGCCTTGGAGCCTTTACCCGCCGGTTTCGTGGAGACTGTCATGCCTAAGTTGAATCGCCTGCTGCTCGATTCGACCGACGCAGAGCTAATCCGCCCAGCTACGGAAGCAGTCCGTCACATGCTTTCCCACGATTTTAGCCAGTTTGTTGCTTGGAGAGACCCGCAGAGCGGAAAGGAAGCAACCGAGGTCACCTTGATCATCATTGACCGCCTACTGGGACCCGCTGTCGATGATAATGCGGCGACAGAAGTCGGGCAATTAGCCGCAGAGTTGGTGGAAAAGGCAGGTTCCGAACGCCTCGGACCCTATCTGCCACAGCTTCTTCAAGCTGTTGCCCAGAGACTTGCCACCGCGGAGCAGGCCCAGTTCATCCAGAGTTTGATCCTCGTCTTTGCGCGGCTGACGCTGATCAGCGCCCATGAAGTTGTTGAATTCCTTGCACAGGTTGACATTCACGGCCAGAGTGGGCTGCCCATCGTACTGAGCAAGTGGCTCGAAAATTCGGTCAACTTCGCTGGGTATGATGAGATCAAGCAGAACATCATTGCGCTGGCAACTCTGTACAGTCTGGGAGATCCTCGCGTGTCCCAGGTGCAGGTCAAGGGAGATCTCATTATTCAGGACACTGGCCGTATCAAGACCCGGTCTCAGACCCGCAACAATCCTGATCGGTACACGACGGTCACCGCCCCCTTGAAAATCATCAAGGTTCTGGTGGAGGAGCTGGCTGCTGCCTCCGGCAGCAAGGAATTAGACGCGGCCACCGCAGCTGCTCTGGAAGAGGAGGGCAGCGATGACGATGAATGGGAAGATCTTCCGGGCAACACTCTTGACCTAAATTTAGGCGTTACGAAGCAAGAGCTCATGGCATTCGGCGAGGGTGGATCGGAAAGTGTATTCGGGGTGCGCAAGCGAGATGACGAAACGCAGGCCTTTTTGTCGAACTTCTTCCGTGATGCCGCCAGCAAGTCCGATTTCCAGCAGCTTTTTGAAGCCTTGACTCCGGCTGAGCAAGAGAAGCTACAGAGTTTGAACTGATAGGGCTGATGCCAAGATATGATGAGCCGCGCTTTCTATTTCTCTGGATGAAGGGTGAGATTACGGGTGATCATATTGAATGCTTGCATAGATACTCCTAATGATTGTATGAACGGGCGGGATTAATCGTCACAATGAATACTACTGGTGCAGCCCTGTCTAGGCGAAAGCAGCAAACGGCCCTGGAAAACGTCAACGGAGGCATGCACCCGTCCGCTATTTTACCTCGTAAACACCTGCAGCTGACGACAAACCAACACGTAGCCAGCTGCCCGGAACCACCCGACGGTCATGCATTTACTCCTTCAGGATAGGAAAAATGTCCCTAGTGCGCACTAAGATACGTCGCCGATGTGATGTCTCCACCCCGGTGTTGCAATAATACGCGCCGACTTCAGCACCTATCACATCGCCTAGGCAATCTGAATTCCTGGACTAGCGGTGGTGTGTCGGTTGAAGGATGATCAACGTTGATGGTACCGGTGGGGAGAGATTTGGGCGGAAGATCAACGTTCTGGCGCCGAGAAATCCCCTCCCTAGGCCGGCTACCACCGGGAACTCCTCCGTACGGAGTACTCCGTACATCCGAATTACTTTGAGCCATACGGGATCAAAGTATCTTGGAGTACCAGATGCGTGACAAGCTTCAGGGGAGCAGTTTGTCAAGAGAGGGGTGGTCTCAAAAGCGGCAACGGTCGGCAGTATTTTCCCACTTCGATCTATGATTGTATGGTTGCATGATTGTTGTCTGTTAGGTTTCCTCGGCAGTCTTGCCTTCTCCGCGCATCCTGGGGCCATTCTATTGGATACCATCCTACAGAACCCGGTGTGCGCTAGTCTGGTCACATTTACCGGTCCTCACCTCCAATAGAAGATCATATGAAGAGGAATCCCATCTGCACCTGAATCGAACAGCTGGCCTTCGGTTTCAGTTGGGCATAGCGGATTTCTATCCTAGCATGCTGTGCACGTCTGGTGGTGAGTCATTGGGACTAGCCTGGACGGAGTAGATACATTTGCATCCGATCAAGTGGCTGATCAACTGGCGTGATTGGGATCCCGAAACGGGTCCAGCCGTCACGGGTGCGGGGCTCGGGCTTGGACCAGCTGGGAGTTGGGGTGACATCTAGCCATATCAGGATCAGCTAGCGGTTGACTGTCTTGTATTCTCGAGGGACTCCAGACAATATTTGGTGTCCAGGAATGTCTACACCGCGCTACCATCGGGTCGTCCCATTACTTGGGATCTACTGTCGTACAAGTTTAAAGCTTGCGTCAGTGTTGGATGTGCAGAGAAATTGATGGGTCAAAGAAGGTCAAAGAAGATACCGAAGTCAGTTACGGAGAAGAACTAGCGTGAACCAAGACGAGGGGAATCAATTCCAAATCCTTTAGGGCACACACTACGTCGGCCGCATGGACCAATCTGCAGTCTTTCCCCCCCAGCGAGGACTGCGCCGCAGCTGCAGATGGCTGGGACTTGTCCCGTCCCCATGGCTGTCCGGAGAAGAGCCGGCCAATGAGAGGCAAGCGGCGTGGACAGCTGAAGGGACGAGGGGTTCAGCCCCCGTCCAACACACTCCAACTGACAATACCAAGCAATACCGGGCGTCATCCCCGACCCAGCGCCCCGGCGCCCGCAGACACTGACCGCCGTCCCCAGCAGACCCGAGGGCCTGTCCCCCGGGACGGGTCCCCTGTCCGACCGCAGTTACAATAGTTACCCGTAACTTACTGACGAGTTTAGTAGGCCAAACTAACTTCAAGGTAGTCCCGGGTAGTTGACTAGTCAAGTAGCCAGGCCATTCTTTGCCTGCTAGCGACGGAGCTGGAGTAGTTAGCCCGCCCTGAATTATTTATTAATTCATCATAGGCTGAATTTAAACCTGATGATCCTCGGCGACAGTCGCCATCTGTTTTCCCTCCCTCTTCTTCGCCCATCGTCACAAACATGCCCCAGCCAGATGGGGACCAGCACATCCAGGTAGACGTAAGCTCTTCCTTTCCTGACCTTCTCTCCTACCTGACTTGCGGCCTATTGCGTAACATGATCTGAAAACTGACTCCCAATCAGACAAGCGACGAGGACTCTCTTCTAGACTCAGAATCTGTACTCGGGTCCAACCTCACCACAATCTCGTCGGTGCGAGACTATTGCTACGAAAATGGCCGTCGATATCATGCCTACCGCTATGGGCAGTATCTCATGCCGAACGACGAAGAAGAGCAGGATCGTCTCACGTTGATGCATCATACCTTCAAGCTTCTTTTAGGGGGCGATTTGTTTCGTGCTCCCATACACCAACCCCGGCGCATTCTTGATGTCGGCACCGGCACCGGCATCTGGGCCTTGGAAATGGCCGAGGACTACCCCAATGCGGAGATCATAGGCACCGACTTGAGTCCAATCCAACCCAGCTGGGCACCACCGAACTGCACCTTCCTCGTCGACGATGCGGAGAGTGATTGGGCCTACACCAAAGCGGAAGCATTCGACTATATTCATGCCCGCAGCTTGGGTGGCAGCATCGCGGACTGGGGACGGCTTCTCAGTCAAGCTTATGATCATGTCAAACCGGGGGGCTGGGTAGAATGTCAAGAATCCGAGGCCTGGATGTCATCCGATGACGGCACCTGCAAAGATGCGGTGATGATCCGGGCTTTGCAGCAGAAGTTGGAAGAGGGGAGCAGCAAATTTGGGAAGCGGATGAACATTGCGCCTGAAGTCCGGGGTTATATGCAACGCGCCGGATTTATAAACGTTTCAGATGACGTATATAAGGTCAGTCTCTCCATTTCGGCTCTGGCATCGAAGAGTGACTTATCCGTGAAACAGTGCCCGATAGGCACGTGGCCGAAGTCCCCGCGTTTAAAAGAAATCGGACGAGTGGGCAAATTGGCGGTTTACGACTCGATCGAGCCATATGCGCTTGCTCTCTTCACTCGTGTCCTGGGATATACACCGGAGGAGGCTCGGGACTTTGTGCAGAAAGTGCAGGCGGAGCTTGTCAGCTCGAACTACCATATCTATGTTTCTTTCCATTTCGTGTATGGACAGCGACCTTTGCATGGATGACGACGATACGATAATACCTGACGGCCGTGGTACTCCTTGTGATTCCCCTTTGCTCTCTTTTACATTTGGTGTCTGATCATGGGCGGATGCATTTCTCATTAAGATACCTCGTTTCGGGCACATATATCAACCTTTATATATACTAGATGCGAGGCTTGATGCACTCTTTTGCTTGATCAACAGAGATATAGACAGGCATCCTATATTCCGATATTAACAGCCATCATCTTATGTACACTTGGAAATTCATGTTCCGTTCCTGACCAAGTTACCCCTGCAGGGAGTAACCCACCCCTTCACCTGTCCCCATGGCCACTAGATTGGCTCTCATCTTCTCGGGCCGCTCTCCGATACCAAAGGCGGCATCATCCCGATGCACCCAAGCACCAACGCCATGCTGCAAGACCGCAGTAGCTCGAACTTTCTTGTCCTCATTCGCAGCCAATGCAGACGCATTCAGCCCAAGGCTTCCATGCAAGGTCAGCCTTGTTTCTGCGCCTCCCTCCGGCTTAGCCTTATACACCCCACGGTGGAGGATATTACTATCATAGAACACGGCATCACCAGGCTGCAACTCCACAACCAACTGACCCGGCAACTCAGGCTCATACGGGGCAGCATTACGCTCCACCTCCGTCCGCACCCGCCGATGGGAGCCCGGAATCACAATCAGGGAAGAATCCGGACAGAGAGCCAGATTATACTGCGCATGCGACTGCTTCCCCAGCGGGCTCTTGGCCTCCAACATCTTCAGCTCCTCATCAGGGGTCACCGTCTCCGGAATATCATCGCGGTGCCAGCGTAGCTCAAAGTCCTTCGTCTCCGGCGCAACCAGCAAATTAAACAACTCCATCACAAGCGGCTCATCCTGGCCCTTAGCCTCCTCCCCTTTCAATCCCAACAGCTCCTCCGCCACGGCCAGTACTTTCTCGGAAAAGTAGAACCGTGCAAATTCCGTCCGTCCCGGCATCTCGGGGTGCAGGAGATGCTGCACACCCCAGATTCCGCCTTCCGAGGCTGGCGGAGGCGTCTTGGGCCAGGGCGGGAATTGCTTGGGAACGGTGCGGAAGTGAGGCCATTGTCCGGTACGGGTGCGGGTGGTCGCTTCGGTAGCGATGGTGCGGAAGTGGGCGACTTCCTCGGGGGTCAGGAGGGACGGAATGCGGACGAAGCCGTCTTTTTGCAGAGCGTCGAGATATGGAGTTGCCGGCATGGTTACCTTCGGTAGTTGTGTTTTGGGATTTCTGTGGGGTTGCCTGGAGATTGCCGTTGGGATGATGTGATGATGGAGGGAGCTCAGGCGGGGAAGGAGAAATTATCTATCGAACTGCCGGTCTACTAGGCTATAAATAAGCTCCCTTTGTCCCCTATCTAGTATCTATCGATTGTTCCTATTACCCAACAATGTGGTATATGAGATGCTACCTTGTCAGCCACATGTTACCTTCTCACGAGAAATTCTTTGTGGTCGGATAAGCAGGGGAGAGTGTGTGGTTGATAGATAGTGCCTGAGTAATCCACCACGCCAGATTGCTGAAGTTGATTGATTGATTACCCCGCGGCACCCTGATCGATGAATCCATCGGGCGGGGCTACGCTGCCCGTCCATTCCATGGTTACATCCAGCTATCATTTGGGTGGTAGATCGGTCGAGATCAGACCACCTCCACAAATAAATACTGCATGTCCTGGATCACACAGAGCTGTACTCCGTATTGTCACCCACGATCGAGCCACGTTCAGAATCGTGTTTGACCGAGGATGAAAAATACCACTGCCCAGACTGCCGAGCATTGGGTTGAACCAGTGGCGGGCTCGCTGGAGTGACGGCCCACTTTCCCAACATCCGAGAATGATGATCAGCTGGAGCAAGGACCATATGACGAAATCATACTTGGCAGTTCCGCCTACGATGCTCCCCCAACACTGACCGGTATGTTAAAGATGCTTAAATATGCAATTTTACGCGACGGGACGACACACGATCGAGTCAGGACAGTGGGGGTGGTACTTTCATCAAGGGTTGATGATCGTGGGCCACAACGCTTCCGCTCCTGTATACCTGCCTGAACGGGAACATCTCAGCTGTCAAGCCGTAATCGAGTAATGCCAAGCAAAGCCACCGGCAGCGCCATGGCTCCCTCCGAAACCGCATTACGGAAACCCGCCCTCGTATTAACGTACCCTGGCTGTATGCGAATTTTCTCTCTGTGTGTGTGCGTGTGTGCCAGTGTCAGGAGGGGATAGATGGAGCTCTAAGCCACCCCGTTGACCGGCGAGAATACATGGTAATCTTCCGAGTTCAGCTGGCGTTGATGGCGGGGCATCAAAGGGTCCCTCCGAGATCTGGCTGGGTTTCTTGCCGCGTCTTGTACGCAGATCCATGACAAAATTCCTTTTGAGCTCAAATTTTCGGACCGCTGTCTAAGCTCCTTTCCTTTTTGGCCCGCGGCTGCAGTGAATCTGCAGATAAGACCTTTTTTTTTCCCCTCCTGCATGCACCTCTTCTTCCTCTGCAGCTTGTCCTTTCGCTAGACCTTTCTCTGCCATCTCTGCAGATCTCTACAGCCATGGCTCCGAGAATGAGTCTGGGCACGCATGTCCTGCTCGTTTTGGGACTGTTGCTCGTGGTCCTTCCAACTAAGACGTGGGCTTTCGGGGCTGGAAGTAATTATCCCAATTCACCTCGACATCTGCTGTCTGCTAACACAAGTCAGATATTGCTTCGATTTCGGCCGTAGAGGGCAAAAACTGGCGCCATGGAGATATTGAGGATATGCTCAAGACCGTCGCTTTCATCAAGGGCCACAAGTGGACCTCCACGATGATCAAGCGCGTGTACTTTGGCAACTGGTTGCGGGATTAGTGAGTTCATTTGATTTCTTGGTATTCTTTACGCAAGCTAATGGTTTGTTTAGTTCACAGGCTATGGACGTGGGTACGCTTAAGAATCTCCCTGCTGAGACTATTCGCATTCTGGTCTGGATTCTGTCCTTCATGACGTTCGGTTATGCAACGGCGGAGTTTGAAGTCACTGCGGACAGGTTGGGGGTTTATCGGCCTGAAGAGCATATCGAGTATGTCTTGTCTTTCGTATTTGGAGATATGTCTGGATGGATTCTCACCATTTTGTCACTTGCAGTAACCCCAAGGACTATGCCGATAACCAGGACGCTCGCCAGTACGATGAACGACTGCGTGGCCCGATTCGCCAGGTCGAGCTCGATATTGATCCGGAGACGGGCATGAAGAATTACATTGCTAATGAGGAGGGAGGTTGGGCTACGAGCGCTGCGTACATCAAGTATAGCTTGGCTCGCAGCATTCACTACGGACGGACATACACGCACGGAAGCAGGAAGGGCAACGACGAGGACCTTTGCGAGGCTCTTCGGTGCCTGGGTCAGGGCCTCCATACATTGGAAGATTTCGCGGCGCATACGAACTACTGCGAGCTTGCGCTCCGCGAGATGGGCTTCAAGAACGTCTTCCCGCATACCGGCGTGGACACTCAAATGAATATCCGTGGCCATCAGGTGTTTCCTCTTGTGACTGGAACGTTTGGTATGGTTGACTTCTTCCATTCTGTGCTGGGAGAAGCTACCGACCACTTTACCCAGTCAGAGGTCAATGAAATGGACATTGCTCTTGGAGATGCCGAGGCAAACTCATCTGGTGGGTCTCTCGGTGCTTTGACTGGTCTCCTGGGTAAGATTCCTGGGACTAAGGACCTCGTTGCCGAGGCAGAGGAGCTCAAGCGTTCCTCTGAGGCTCAGAAGTCTGCAAACCGGGCTGGTGGTTCTCGTTCTGGCTACACAACACGCGGTCTGGCCAGGGATGTTGTCGAATATAGCTTATCACGCAGTCGAGAAGTTGATGACTATAGCGCACCACGCAGTCGGGAAGTTGATGACTATAGCGCACCACGCGGTCAGGGATTCGACGACTACAGCTCACCACGCAGTCGAGGCTTTGACGAGTACAGCTCGCCACGCGGTCGAGCATTTGAGGATGAGGTGCCAAGATATAGAGCAAATGAGAACGAAAGACCTGGAGAGGGCAATCAGTCCGGGTCCGGCTTACAGGACTTCGATCCAAGCAAGACCATTGCCCAGATCTATCCTATCCTAGAATTCAGAGACAAGGTTGTCCGGAAGCTTTCGTCGATCATTGAAACGATCCCTGGATTGGAGGCGATCGTCGAGAAGATTACTGAAACCCTGACCGTCTTCATCATGTCTCTGCTGGCTCCGTTCATACGTCCCCTCATCAACGCCGCCTCCAAGTCTTTGCAGTCTGGTTCATCTGGTGTGATCGATGCTTCTGGACAGCATCAGTATGAACCTTGGACCGACCCGAACTGCACCGATCCCACTCATTCCTTACTTTCCAAGGACCACTTCTCCAACGTTCTCAACGAGCCGGCTGGACAGGTCGCGTCTGCTATCCTGAAATACGTGGCACCTCGGGTTATACACGCCTGGGACAACATCAACGTCTCCGAGGAACAGGTCCTGGATGACTGTCTGAAGGTTTTCCACCATCCCGCTCTGCGCAATATGAGGAATGAAGCCCATCGGACCATGTTCGAGGCCGTCCAGTCCTGGGTGCAGTCTAGGCCCGATCGTGGCGCTGATCTCAACGATATCCTCAGCGCGGAGGGAGTGAGAGAGGGAAAGAACAGCACCGGAGAGGACGATCATTCACACGGACATGGGAGCGGACATAGCCACGGAGCTTATCAGCAGCGTCCACCCCAGTCGCACCAACAGCAATGTCCGCTCCAGTCGCACCAACAGCAACGTCCGCCCCAGTCGCAACAACAGCAAGGCTCGCCTCTTCCCTGGGACACGCTTTCCAGTCTTCCCATTCCAGGCATCTCTAATTTGAACAAGCTGAACAGCGCGTTCTCCAATCTGATGGTGGGTGGGTCGTCGAGAGAGGAGACCGCACCGTCCGAGTACCCATCACAGTATGAATCTCACCAGCAGTCCCAATATTCTCACCAGCAGTCTTTCCAGCAGGAGCAAAGCTATCAGTATCAATACCGGAGCGAATACCACAGCCAGGAGCAGTCATATCACCACCCCCCTCCCCCTCCTGACTTTGATGACTCCGGTTACGGTGGGCACAATGGAAGTCAGCGGAGGCATCATGGCGACCACCCCCATCCACACTACCCGCCTCCTGGTGGCAGTCCTCCTCGGCATCCGCCTGGCGAATATGAAGAGCAGTCTTACAGTTCCTACTCGAGTCATGGACACGGAAACAGATACGGACAGAACTATGGAGGAGGAAGTTATTATTGATTCATCGCTAGCGACGTACTCCTATGCTATTTGATCTCATGTTGATAATTACAGTCTTTCCACATGGAGATTTTCTGTTTCACTGTTGGTAACAGCGCGTCTAGCACCCAAGCTCAAACTGCATTCTTTTCCAGTATGGGTGGTCATTATCCCTTGTTTTAATGCCACAGTTTGACACTTTTTTCTCTTTCTCCGGAAAAGTGGAAGGTATTTGGCAGCAGCTACTCAACACTGATCAGATTTCTTGGTTTATATCCTAGCGTAGACCTGAAAATCCATTGTAGACATGCAACTTGTACCAGTTGTTCATATATATAGTGTATACTTTTCCTGATGAAGAAGTGACCTCATTGCGGATATTCCGTCCTGTCTTGTAACCCCGACGGGCAACGACGAGCAAGACAGGGGCGTTCCTTCTGCATCTACGTCTTGCCTCGTTCATCCTCTCGAATTCTGCCGATGGAGGTCAACTCCCACAATCTCATCATCGAATCTTCATTCGTCCGTCTTCAAACATAAATCTACGGCTCACTTATCGACTTTCTCTACTGCCATACCTATCCTTAACTCGCTGGTCGTTCTTATCATCATATCATCATAAGTTCCAGCGTCATGACCACCAACCCCTGTGCAGCATGTAGCTGGACTCCCGAGCGCCAACGGAGGAGCTTCTACGAAAGCCAAGTCAAACTGATCTCCACGAAAGGTAACCGAGGCATCTGGTCCATCGGTAACGGCCTAATCCTGAAAGATCGAGGTCCCGGTCTTCGCAGCTTTGAGACTTTTAACGCCAACTTTGTGCGAGAGAAAACCATCATTCCTGTTCCCACTATCATCGGGTCCTGGCAAGATGGCGACCGTGTTGTCATCTTAATGAAGCGCATACCCGGCGAGCCACTCAGCAAACTGTGGCCAAAACTCAAACCCAAGGAAAGAGAGAGCATAGCCAAGCAGACTGCGGGCTATCTCTCCCAGCTCCGGCGCCTCACGAGTGACAAGATACAAGGAGTGGGGAATCGCCCCATCTACTCCAACCTTCTTTTCCCATACAAGAGGGGCGGTGATTCTTTCCCTCCACACGGTCCTTTTTCCTCCGATGACGCACTCTGGGCCGATATGGGGATCGGTATCAAGAAAACCTTCCCGGCGAGTATGTATGACGATCTGAGACGAGTGATGCCGCCTGCCAAGCCTTATACGTTCACGCACTGTGATCTTGCCAGTGATAATATCATGGTGCAAGACGGGAAGGTGAAGGGCATTCTTGATTGGGAGTATTCGGGTTATTTCCCTGTCTGGTGGGAGTATGTCTGTACGTCAGCTGCTTTCAATCAGGAGGATCAGGAGTGGAAGACGCTGCTAAGGAAGCATCTGCGTGATTTTACTCGTGCGCGGGATTGGTGGTCAACTTATTGCGTTGTTTGTAATGATGTGGAAGAGGATGATGAGAGTGGTTCAAACACTCTTGCTGATAGTGTGGGAGATGGTGAGGGACAAGGCAAGAAGACCCATTTGGAACGCGACATTCGTTCGGACGGTGACTATTCGGATGACGAGCCCTATAGGTCGGAGAGTGAGAAATCAATTGAGGCAAAGAGGCGTAATAGCATGTAGCTCTAAAGGGATAGGAGACAGGCAGCGCTGGGTTCACTTGGTAGGTAATACAATAATATTTGCTAGTTGATTGTGTTTGAGCAGGCGTAAATCGCAGTCTCACGAAGGCACTGAATTGAACATGAGACCTCCTATTGAGGTTCGCCTGTACCCTGAGTGAAGCACCAGAGAAAGCCATGTACAATCACCTCCATCGAAAGATTCCAAAAATAGACACGACGATCTATATACCACGTAGACTATCCCCAGTAGTGTGAACAGTATAGACAGCTCAGCACTAAAAGCACCGGACCTTTAGCTTTGCTTAATAGCGCACTTTAGTGGAATTATTTTCATTCAATCAGCCGGGCTAGCTCAATCGGCAGAGCGTGAGACTCTTAATCTCAAGGTTGCGGGTTCAACCCCCGCGTTCGGCTTCCCTTATTTCTTTTTTTGGTGCTTTGGTTTGGTCGGGGGGAGATAAGTAAGTATCGGGTGGGTAGTCGAACAAGGTCCTTCTCTTTTTTTTTTTTTCTAGAAGGGGTGCTTTTTTATCTAGGAGGGAAGGAATGAAGTGGAACTGTGAGTAAAATGGTTCTTGGGGGGTTGAGAGGTGTGTTTTATCGTTTTATGGCTTTGTTGTTAAGGTGAAAAGTGTGGGCTGTGTCCTTGTAAGTGAGTTCATGCTGAGTTAAGTTGGGGGTATAGAGAATTTCTGTTCACAAATTGAAGTACAGGTAGAGGGAGGGATATATACATTTCGAAAGTAGAGGCAGAGGAGTATGTACATCCATTGGGGTAAGGGAATCGGGATATATCTATGTGGGATGGAAGGCAGTACAACAAACACAACCATATGACAAAACAGAACAAATCCAACCACGCTGGTCTGGACCCGGGAACAGGATAGGGTAGGGGAAAAAGGATATCATATCACGTCATATCAAACACGAAGCCGCCAACGCACCGATTGGTCTAATTCCCGTCTTGGGACAACTAAGCGGACAGCAAAGAGAACGAGGAAATGCGATACCATGTCATACCGTTCGTCATTACTATGATGGCGATGTTTTTATGTGATGATCGGCATTCGCTGTCTATAGTTTGGTGCCCTCTCGTCCGCTGTCGCTAAGTCGGCGGGGACGAAGAAAGGCTGTTGATGGACCGGCTCCGCTACTGGGTCCCGATGCAGATGCCGGGTTACCGTTTCCGGTGTTGGCATTGCTCGGACGTGCACCGGCGCGCTGGCCCTGATGCAGACGCGGATTCAGGAGCCATTGCACCTGCATGCGAATGCTACCGACGGCTGCGTTGGTGTGCGCCATGTCTTCCTTTAATCGGAGGCATTCGTTCATGAGTGCCATGCTGGCGCGGGCATCAAGATCGGTGATGGCGTGGGACAGCTGTCCGACCTCCTCGCGGAGAGATTCGTGGAGGGATAGGAGGTAATTTGTTGTAGTTGCGGTGTAGAGGTTGGAGCTGTCGATTTGAGATTGGTTTGCGGACTCTTGACGAGGGTCGGAGTTGGCCGGAGAAGATTCCTGCTCGGCTAGAGTACGAGACGACTGGACTAATGTGGATCGGATGTTGGCGATCCCGTCCTCGAAGATCTCGTTGCGTTGTTGAAGATGTCGGATGGTTAGCTCGAGGGAGTCGAGTCGTGCATTCTGCGCCTCGAAATACGGGCCCATGGCAATCAGCGGGCAAATTTGCTCGTGCGTCGCCAGGTCTGCGCGCTTGACCTTGACAGGACAGCCATATTTCGATGCGGTGCAGGGATGGACAACCTCGGGACAGGTGTCGATGTGTTCTCTCAGTGCTTTACGGAGGACACCGGTCTGACAATCAGGACAGGTTGTTTTAAGACTCGGACATAGTTCCTTGACATGTTCCTGTAAACGGATATTATTAGCAATGGCCTCTGACAATGGTGTACGAGCGTACCTCGTAGTCTTGTTCCATGATATACTCGTCGCAGCGCAGGCATCGATGAGGCTCGTGCAAACACCGGCCCTCAGGGCTGAGGTGTTTCTTCCGGGTCTTCTTGCTGCACGCGCTGTCCGGACATTTCATGAGCCTGTAGCCGCAATACTTGTCGAAATGGGACTGAACATGGCCTCTGGGTATGATCTCTTGACAGCCCTCGTTCCGACAAGGACACCGCACCCTAATGTCATCGCACATGTTGAGCAGCAGGCGGGGCACGTTGAGGTAGACACCCCTCGTGGGGGTCCGGCAGGTGGGACAGGTGAAGTCGTCTCGACTGGCGGCGAAGGCCGTGATGGCGGAGTTCAGACATTTCTGACAGAACACATGATCACACTGAAGGCGCACTGGACGAACAAACGGGCAGTGACAGATGGGGCACATGAGGTGATCATCGTAGCTAGAGACCGTCTCGAGTGAGCGCAGGTCGACGACTTCGTCACGGTCGCAGTTCGTTTCCATCGCGAGCAATTCGTCGAGGGTAATGCTGGTCATCCTCCCAACCCCTTCCCCACAGGAAGGGTCCAGCTTATATTGTTCAAGCCACTGGATCCCCGCCGACCGAGGCCGCCCTGCACAGGGGGTAGATATGAAGGGACCGAGTGCAGATGCCACAGGGGTGAGCCGATGAGACAATAAGACTAAGCAAACCCCATGAAAGTCACACCGTGGGGAAGACAAACACCGGAATGAAGGTGGGAGTCAGGGAGGCGAGACAGGAGGCGGACGTGAGGAAGGCGAGGAGGCCATTGCGGGGGATGGAATTGGAATCATGGAATGGAAATGGGACGATGCGGCGGAAGCGGAAGATCGGCCGAGAACGAGAACCAGTTCCTGACTGGCATTCCATCCTCTCGATCCTATCCATTCATCCATTCAGCCATTCCTCCATCGATCTCGTCCGTCAGTCCCTGCATCTTCCCTGTCATCTGCACGCCTGCAGGCCTGCCAACAGCCGCGGTTCCGACATCTCCGCATTGCCTCGTCCACCACGCTAAGAGCCTCGCCCAACTCCTCCTGCTGCAACCCATCATCACATCCACACACATCCTCTCTCTCTCTCTCGCCACTTTCAACACCATCCCATCCTCCTCCGCCATGCCAAATCCCTCGCAACTCCTCCTCCTTGCCGACCACATCAAACTCTCCCTGCTCGAACGGCAACGAGCCATCTCCCTCGACCTCGAACCCAACAGCCAAGATGGCGAGATCTCACGCTCCCTCGACTCCTTAAAAGAGGGCATCGACGGCGTCGAAGCCGAATGCGCCCGACTCGAAGAATCCAACGACGACAGCGCCGCCGATATGAGAGATCAGCTCGGTCACCTCCACTCGCAGTACCGAGACCTGTCCTCCCAATTCCGCGGCTCAGATGTCGCAGACTCAACGGACGATCCGGTCGAATTCACCAACATCAAGAACTCCTCGCCGGACCTGAAACAACCGGTCCCACAGCACCCGTCGTCCAAATCCGTCCGGTTCATGGATTCCGCGGCCGAAGAAGAGGACGATCTCAACCGTCGCAACCTGTTCCAGCCGTACCGCGACTCGCCCTCCCCGCAGGGCGTGGATACCTCCGATATGTCCAATCAGCAGGTCTACGATCATCATGAACAGATCATGCGCGATCAAGACGAGCAACTCGATCGTCTGGGGGAATCGATCGGTCGACAGCATCAGCTTAGTATCCAGATCGGGGATGAACTCGAGGGCCATGTTGCCTTGCTGGATGATATGGATGGTCATGTGGATAGACATCAGGGTCGATTAGACAATGCGAGACGACGACTGGATCGAGTCCGACGCAGTGCGGGCGATAACTGGAGTATGATGACCATCATTGGACTGATCATCGTCCTGGTCATTTTGATCGTCCTGTTGAAATAGCCGGCTGCCTATCCTTCATCGTCGTATATGATCTTCTTTCGTTTTTGTCATGACTGTGGACCGGCATGTCTGGCGGCGTTACTTGTGGATTGGAGTTGTCGATTGGGATGGATTATGGGCGTTAATGTCATACGTATAATGAATGGGCTTGCACCTACACCTACACACCTGGATACCATCCAAGGATCTGTTCCAATACACTATATATCATTCTTTACATAGTACGGAGGACAATCTTTAGCAGAGTCATCAATCTCATGCTTTTACCATCATACCAACATCCCAAAAGAATGATAACACATAATATTTCCAACATATAACCACCCAATTACCTGACCTAACCTTCATTTATTGAGTCTTATTAACCGGCCCATCCCGATTCGGCAACCCCTTCGTACGTTCCTGCATAGCCCCGAAACTCTTATCGTCGCTGTCCACTTCGCCGCGATCGGCCTTGACCTGTTCATACCATTAGCATCATCATCCTCCATCCTCCATCCACACATCCACACATCCATTAATAAATAAATAAAGAGGGATAATCATACCGACGCCTCACTATCACTCGCAATCTCCTGCTTCCACTTCGCCTTTCCCTCCTTGGTACTTCTCAATTGGTCGTGTTTCTCGGCTTCGTAGATGGAGGCGAGGTCGTCGCGGTCTATTCAGTTTATATTGTTAGATTGATGAGGGGAGTTGGTTTGGGGAGGGGAAGGGGGAGGGGGAGGGGATGTACGTACTGTGGTCTGATTCTTTCAAGCCCTGGCGGGGAGTGCTGGTGTGGAGGGAGGCGTAGATGGTGGTTGGGCGGGTGAGGCGGAGGGAGGGACGGAGGAGGGTGGTGGTGGTGGTGGTGCGGAGGGTGGGGAGGAGAGTCATCTTGGTTCTTTGGATTTATTAGTTGTGTTTTGGGGCTGGGCTGGGATAGAGGGGGTTGTTAGTTGATTGATGGTATAGGTAGGTAGGGAGGTAGGGAGGTAGGTGGACGGTGGATGAGAAGGGAGGTTGATGGTAGGTAGGTATGTCTCTCCCACTCTTAAGCGAGTGACAGTGCAAGAGGATGAACTTACCGTTCTCGGTTCTATCAAAATGGACAAATAATCAAGTCGATAGCAATCTAATTGTCGTGTAACAATCCACAACAGATAAGTAGATAGGTAGGTAGGTGCGTAGTAAGAAGTAAGTAGTGGTAGTAGTAGCAGTATATATCCAACGCAAAGGAAAATCAACAGCGCCCCCTTATGTACTTAACCACCCCGTGCAAGCCCCAATTCCCATTCCATGGAATCCGTTCGACCTCGGGTAAGTCATTCAATCTGGCAATTACTCAATTGCCTACTGCAATAGGGGGACTGGATTGCAGACCGGCTGGTAGCATCGGTGACGTCATGGAGACTCATGCATGGATCGATCATCATCTCCTACGTAGTCTAGTCGGATTGCGGTGGCTAATGGGATTAGTCATATTAATCATATTCTGTTGTTTCGGGTACTCTTTTGAGGATTGTTTGAGATTGTAGAATGATGGGTTGTCTTTCACGGGTATATTGTGTAGGCAACCTCTGATGGGAGTTGTGATGAGGGTGGGAGTAGGTCTGCCATGTTCGACGCCAAACAAGGAGATGACATCACTGACTGGACACCACCGGTGCCAGATAAGTAGGGATTCGCATCGTGTTGATCCAATTTCGATTCTTTGCTGGCAGGGACTTGCATGGGCATCTTCACTGCACTCTACATAGTATGAATGCCGCTGTTTGACTCTTCCTCGTTGCACTACAATGTATGTCTGCCAGCCTGATTCACCCAGTCAGTAGCCAACCGTTGGGGCAGCAACCGCTTATCGCCATCCATTATCTGCAATGAGGTCATCACCAATCAACATGTCTACAGACTCCGAGTACAACACATGGTCCAGCTTATTCAACTATGTATAGGTATTACCCGCATAGTGCAGCAGCATATAGACAAAGGAGATCTGCCAAGAGACGGAATACCCAAGAAGCGAAAGAACCAGAAGATCATACAGCATCACACTCTCCGGGAGTCCCCAGGATTCGAAGAACATGAGAGAAGAACATCCGAACGAATCAACGCGGAGCAAAGAAGCGAATTAGGTCGTCACCAGACAACGGGCCTCGCGGAATTCCACGAGAAACCCCAGCAGAAACTCCTCATCCAATCCATGGATTTTCACAGCATCACCGATCCCACCCATCCCATGTACATGATATCAATAACAGGTTTTCCAGGAAAAAAGAAGAAAAAAAACACAATATGCGAAGTGTAGCAGCCAAACATCCCGAACAACTCAACAAGCCCAATCAATGCAGACGTATATCGTTTCCGCCTTTCTAAATCCCTGAAAAGCATGAGCAAATAATCCATCCCACCCAAATGTGACAAAACACCAAGCCGAAATATGTCAGATCTGGCGTCGCCGCCGGGGGAAACCAAAAAGCAACAAGCAACTCCGGACCATAGATGCGCGCCTCAATGGCAGATCGCCGCGCTTTCTATACATCATCGCGGCCACAAACTCGAGGCCCAACCTCGAGGTCAAAGCACGTAGTTTTCCCTAACCGAAGAATAAAAACAAGGTATCGTTGGAGATGGAATGCAAAAATCGAATCGCAGGCGCCGTCGCTCGCAGGAAGCCGAAAGCATCAGTCTAGGTATAAGTGCTCGAAGTCGTCATCGGAGGAAGGTGTATATACAGAGAAACACTGGTGTATCCTTGCTGTTTTTGCGCTCGTCAAAGCCAAAAAGAGGTGAAGGGTAATTCAGTAGGATCGTTAGAATGCGATGGCCGTGTCGAACAAAAGCAGAACAAAGCAGCAAAATAAATTATGACCCGCGGTTAGGGTGCCCGATGATGCAGAAGCCGGACGAAGTGGTGAACATGCTATGAGCCTAAGCGGCCCCTTGCCGAATGGAACGGCAACTTGCCAGATCGTGGTCCTCACCACCGACGCTGGGCATTCTGCATCGAGGCCGGCGAGATCGACGTAGGGGGGCTCGTCAAGGTCATGCCGGTGTTGGGGTTGACAATCGGGATCACCTTGCGCGTGCGAACGGCGGAGGGTTGCTGGAAGTTCACGTGATTAAGATTACCGTTGACCCCTGAGTGCACATAAGAGTTGCTCGAGGCCGGAGACAGCGAGATGGAAGGCGTAACCTGTTGAACCGGCTGGATCTGATGCTGCAAAGGAGAAGTATCGGGAGATCCGCTGGAAAGAGAGGAACGATCCGAAGAGGCCGAGTGAATGGAATGCAGCTGCAGAATAGGGGTTAATAGGTTGTTCATCCAGTGCGGGATCGGCAACGAAGACCATCGCAGTCGACCGGGGTCTATAAACATACATCGTCTTCCGTCAAGAGACCAGGACAGAACTCCAGGTCGTCGTCCAGGTCGAAAGACCGTCCAGCTTCAAAGCGGGCCCGGAAAGCGGTCACAGCCGGGGCCTCGGCGAGCTCCCTCATACTCTTCACTCCTCGGAACTGGCGCTGAGCATTCTGGGCAGCCATCTTGGGTCCTCGGCGGGAACGGCCCCCATGGTGGTTGTTCGAGCTCGTCATATGGGTGGCAGCGCCATGGTGAGGATGTTGCTGGTGCTGGTGCTGTTGCTGGTGACCGTAGAAGAATGTCGACATCTTGTTGGAATCAGAGTGATTGAAGATAGCGACGAGGCGAGCGAAGTTATATCGTTGGGAGGCAGTTTAGGAATTCAAAGGCGGATATAAACAAGGACCAGCGCTCAGGAATACCGACAGTATGAACTCCGAACGGACTAGACAAAGAAACGTAGGTGGAAGAATGACAAGCGGTCGGAGGAATGCAGAGGTTCGAAACAAGAGCAGAAGCGAAGATTGAAGGTGGGATAAAGATGGGATGGGAGTGAATGTAAGAGAGTCAAGTAAAGTACTAGATCGGGGGGGCGGGCGAATTTGCGATTAGTGTTGTGGGATGGGGAATCATCGACGGATGGCGGGACAAGAGTTGAAAAGAAGACCGGGAGCGAGAAAAGTCGCAGCGCCCGGAGCGGACGGAGGCGACTGAGCAAGAGGGGCTGCAGTGGTTAATTCCACTGGGGCTGAGCGCCGAAAGTGCAAGTCGGTGGAGATCCGCAAGGGAAGGGCGGTACCCCCCTCCGGCCTCGTACGTGACCGTACGCGCCCTTCCACCACTCCCTCGTCGGTATCCGTGGTATCGTCAGTAAGTCTGTAACCTCCAGGCCCAGATTTCCCGCGCTAACCTGGTCACGCACCAGTTTTAGGGCAGCTGAGAGGACCAACCAGAACCCTGTCAACGGATCTCCAGTGGCAAGACAATGCCCCGACCACCAATCAGGGCTGCAGAGCACGGCGCTCGGTGGGCTCATGGCAGCCACCGTCAATTGACACCAATAAGAGGCGCCCATTGGCGGCTCTAATCGGCTACTATGTGGGCTTATGTGACGTCGAAAGGAAGCCGTCTAGGCCGCTTCAGGCATAGAGCGACGCACCACTTCCTCGACGCCTAATATCTGGGTGTCCTCGATCTAACCGGGAGGAGTGCAAGCGGCTGTCGGATGAAGACCGGGTCTCAGCCTGGACTTTAAGGCTGTATTACCTGTACCGTAGGTAATACAAATGATGGTGCAATGATGCCGATGAGTCGTCGTCTGATGCAGACTGCCGTTGACAACTGCCCGCCGGGGCAGTGGATCTACATTGGTGATGATTGATGAGGTGGTGAACCGGTGAATCTCGCCGACTAGCGGTGGCATGGGTGATGACGAGGGCGACGGCAACGAGATCGTGGCAATGCTTTGTCTACTCCGTACATAGTACTCCGTACGGAGTACCCAGGGAGGTTAGGTTTCATGGTCACCCGGAGGATCCTCCATCGTACCCGTACTCCGTACCTCGTCAGGTATCGAATCCCTCCATTCGTGTTCATAAGGGTGGCTCCCGCTTCCGAAGACAGGCATGCGTTGGCAAGCAGGCAAAATGCCCACTACGACACCTGCGGGTAATGATTTGCAAAAATGTGGTGAGCCCCACCGCCTAGATACCCTGATTCGTTGCTGTTATTCTCGGTACCTTTCCCTTGAACCGTGCCACTTGGTCTCGGGGCACTCCTATTTCCCCCGTCTACTTTTCGAGGGAGAACTAAGGAGCAACTCCTATAATTTAGTTGGGCGGGCCCCGGGTCATCTTATGCTCCCCCAACCATTGATTTTGAAGATTGCCATTGACTAATGAGATTAATAACGGGCAGCTCCTGCCATGGCCCCTTCGACGGCTTCGACCAGTATTCCATAACAGAAATTAGTCCTCCACTTGATACTCTGGATCTACTCCATCCGGGCGGATAGTCAGCTGATACTATTGTCAGTAGTTACCTGTCCCAAATAATCAAAATCAAATAAATTACACAATAATAAACAAATAAACATGGCCACCCCTCTCTCCCAATTCAGACGAAACGGGTTTGTTTACATTGCCATCCTTTGCAGAAAGTCAACCAGGGACGGAGAACGCCGTGCAAAGCACCTGGATCTCAAACCAGGCTTGGCTGCTGTCCGTTGATCTGCTCGGTGCTCCCTATATTCCTGTCCACATGGGGGCAAGCGCTACGACCACTGCATGATCCTGCACCTCTCTCCATGCAGTAACGTTCATAATAATAGTACTTCGTACGGATTAGTAGACACTTAGCCGACTTAGTACGTAGTCCATCCGGTAAACCGACCGATCTGCTGTCACGACTCATGGGGTTTCTCCTTTCCAATAAACGCAGAACAACTCTCCCCGACGCCTGGGCCTTTCGAGTCCACGCTAAACCCAGGGGCTGAAACGACGTATCAGTGGTCGATGGTAGCGTAAATGCAGGATGGGGATGCACCTAATGGGAACTGGGCAGACCGGTAGGACTGCAGGCGGCTACTGGAACCGCCATCGCAGCATAATATATTATGGATCGAGGTGGAATGCATGTTAACAGGGTCACAGCTCCCTCCAAGCCTGCAGACTACTGCAGGATGCAGACCCGAGAGTAGGATACGTACCCTGAAGCCAGCCGGGATGGAATGAATGGGGGCGGTTTTCTTGTCTGCACAAGCGATTGGGCATCACTAGCCAGGGAGCCATTGGTGCCAGAGGTCCTCAGTTCTCACTTCTCAGTCCTTCGTTCCCCAGTCTCACCCGCGTGCATGAAGGCGCTGGATCCCATGAGCCATGCAATCTGGCTCAACTCGGCAAGATAATGCTGGCTGCTCAGATCTGACCATCTCACCGCCCTTTCGGTAGATGGGATGCGACGGGTCTGGAGTGGCCCCTCTGGGGACAGGAACTTTGTTGTATGATCCTCATCTCATGATAGGTGCATCTCAATGCCTAAGGCAGGGGTGGGTTGAGAATTCGGTATAGTCCGTTCCTCATGCTTGTGCCTTGTGGATGGGTGATTCTGAGCAAGTTTTGCGGGTTGATACCAAGGCATCCATCCCTGCCGTATGTATGGTATCTGTCGTATGGAAATGGTATCCTTCTTACCAGGTTATCTTACCAAACCCTGCGGGCTATCAAAGTCTAGTTTAACGGGAGGAATGTCTTGCATTGTGGTGAAGAGACCGCGTCCCCCAGATAGATGGCTTAGAGTAGGTAATTGGTATAAGGTGGATGGCGGGGGCGTGAAGCAGGATCGGCTGCACTCCAGACGCCATTTCCGGAATATTTGTTTATCTATCGACGGGCCAGTGTTATTCGATGAGACATTTCAGATTGTCTCAACTCCAAGCCTGGAGCGCAGAGGGGTCAACCTCCGCCTGCATACGTACCCCGAAGCAAGGGAAATGAAACACGATCTACCTACCTAGTCTGGTCAACGGTCTCAGGAAGCGCTTATGTTGCATTGGAGATGTCCAATCGACGACATCATGTCCCCAGGCAACCTTTGATCGCTGAGAATGGGCCGGAGTGGTTCATGTCGGTAGGCGCTTCGCAAAGTAAAGAGGGCATGGCTGGAGTGGTACGGGGTACCTGTGTGACTTGCAAACGGGATGGTTATGCTCCTTAGGCCCCCAGCGGGAAACTCAATTAAAGTGGCTTTTTGTCAAGGAGCTGCTTAAGGAGCATAATTTTAAATCGCAAACGCTCCTCCTTTCACGATTCACTCGGATGGTAGAAACTTTGACGGTTACATTCACCCCGGTACCCCATATCTGCCCCAGAACAGTCAACCGCCATCGGATACAAACAAAAGCGAAAAGTCGCATCTCCAACAAACAAAGCTCAAGGTATACTATCAGCAGTTATACCACTGCAGATCATCCATATCCCTTGTCTAAATACTCATCGTGCGCATTCTGACTCAGATCGAAATGAGTCCCTGGATCCGTCTCCCTGTCGAAGCCACACATGCCAGAATGCACTTTCTCCACGCATTCCAGAAACTTCCTCTAGATACATACTATTACATGCATACACAGTACACAAGAAGCTAATGCCACAGACATGTATCTACAGGGGTCAGATCGACTAAGGCCGGCCCTACATGCCTACTGACTCAGTTGTACTTATGACAGCTGGGCCTGCTGCATTTGAAGACAAAGGAAAGCTGTATCCGTCAGGATTATCACGGCTGAACCTTATCTGTGAATTCCGCTAAGCTTACTGCGTGCCCCCGTAGTGAGAAGGTTGCTCTGTGTTACGTATATCTCGCATTCCAGAGGTAATCGGGGTATTATGTTGGTGTGCAAGTATGACGGGTCCAGCCGGGGATTTGTTTGTCCATGTACTCCGTATTGGTTGATGGGCTGATTGATTATGCGAACAAGATATCAATCCCTAGAAGTTGGTGGTAGATTGACTGCTTATGAAGGGTGAAAGCCGCGGACTAGCCCTCCGAGGCAACCGGCGATGTAATGTTGAGGATTGATCTGGAATGACGGGCCTTTGTTTCCCCGGTGACTTTGTTTGTTCCCTATCTGCTGCCCTTGTGGCACTATACGAGAATGCAACCTTTTGAAATAATCTGAAGCAGCCGAAACCGAAATACAAACAGAGTCTCGCTTGCTTGATATGCTCCGTATTAATTGGACCCTTTGAACGCCTCTTGAAACCCTATGTAGATGCATGCACCGGGCATGTTCATTTGTCCAGATTCTTGCTCTTGACCATCCGACCAAGAAGCTCTTTACAGTGCTTTTCGCTGTACTGCTCCCAGACCTCGTACAGCGATACCAGCTCTTGCGTACACTCGATGACGGCTTTGATGTCCACTTCGCTCTCAGCGAGCCATGCGATTAGTCTCTGAATTCGGGGAGGTGGCCCGTTGCCGTTCTTATCTCCCAATGCCGCGAGGATGTTCATGCCCCCATCGCGCATTGCGCTGGCCAACGGTGCTGCTGACCCGTGGAAGCTCGTCTGACTAGGCTTGAAAACCACTGCAACAATAATTGCCATAACGGCAATGACGTGAGGCGGGTATAGCAGCGGCAAGTCGGTGAGATAGTGATCGTTGATGACGGACCATGCAAGAGCAACTTCATCTGATGTAAGTGACAGCTCGGGTTGCAGTTCGGATAACGTCCGATACGGATGATGCACAATGAGCTGCGAGTTCATCTCCGAGATCAAGGAGAACTCGCACTCTCCTAGTTTCGACACATCTGGGGCAATAAACTCTGCCGTCCCGTCAGCGAAAAGCGCATGGCTGTCTCAAGACCGGAATCTGTACCTGGCCAGAGACCTCTAGCTTCCCCCACGACAAAGCGAATGTGCTGGGGGCATTCCTCCATTTTACAGGCCAGATAGAAGGCAGTGGTCACCACCAGATATGGGTTTGTGTGTCTTATTTCGTTCTTGGTGTAGAATCGCTTGACATAGACCTGTGCTGTCGCCAGGGCTTGTTGTCTAGTCGACATCCTCTTGCCCAGCTTGATGAGTTCTGTTGGCATGGTGAGCTTGGACGCCCACTGGAGGGCAAAGCTCTGATCTCTTACGTTGACTGAAATAGATATTCAGCAACCTCTGATCCGGCAAAGGAAACTGGGTATGGGCGACTTTGTCCCTTTCTCTAAAGTTCTCCCGGATCTCTGCCAGCTTCTCTCGGGAGAAGAGCCAGTGTCGACGTTGTGTCGACGCCCAGTAATTGGCCGCCATTGTTGAAGTCTAGTAAGGAGGTTGTCGCGTGGGTTTAGTCTAAGATGGAGGTTGCAAAGGTCACCATGGTGCCTCCTTAGGCGGAGAGGTGCTGGAAGTACAGGTTGGTTGGCCAATGAGATTAGGGCATCCGGGGATGGCAGATAAAGTAGGTAGCTTATCCGACCCACTTTCTAATGAGGGATCTGGCAATGGAAGATGTGAACTCTGAAGAAAAGAGCCCAAGTCGAGGCACATTCCCTGGCATCGGGAGTGAAGACGAGGATGTCGTGCAGGGTCGGAAGTGCAAGGCCGAAGGAGCCGAACTGGAGGCAAGGCTCAAACGGGAATAGCCGGGGCCAGAGAACCAACAGAACCAGCACCGGGCCGGGGTCTAGTTTTCTTCCGGTTCATGTCGTAACGGAAGCAAATCATCGAGCCTGGATTTCTCACGGCTAACTATCGGGCCCCCCCAGCTGACCCTACAATGACCTTCGCTTTACCTGGCGGTTTATAACTCCTCTTCAGAGCGCCGTGGATTTCGATGCCCAAATTATCTACCCAGCTTTTACTCCTACCCTGTCGCGACAGGGATACCTCCCTCCTCAAATCCTGTGACCCCTCCTTAAAAAAATAATGACGCAGCTGTGATAAGACCTCTTGAACCGAACATGGACACTGGCGAGTCGAAAAAAGATCGGGACCAGAGAGTGGCCCAACTCTGGCAGCGCCTGGACACCAGGGAAGAGGGACATCTTGATTTCAATGGCCTGAAAAAGGGACTGAAAAAGATCGATCACCGTAAGTATCCTCCGTGACTGGATCCCGTGCGGTTGGGTGCAGATGACCAACCGCCTCAATACAGCCCTGAAGAATGCGGATCCGATGCTGCGCGAGATCATCAAGGCAGTCGACACCAACGGTGATGGTTATATCGATTATCCTGGTAAGCTCACGCGCCCCACACCATAGCTGCGCTGCCTCTGAGAGTACCCGGCTCGACGCCGGTCTGTTCCTAAACCTAATGTTCACTAGAATTCCGGGCGTTCGTGGACCACACCGAATCCGGCCTATGGCAACTGTTCGAGAGCATCGACCGCAATCACAACGGGGAGATCGACAAAAATGAGCTCAAGACCGCTTTTGCGAAATCCGGGGTAACGGTCTCAAACGCTAGGTTGGAAGAATTCTTCGCCGAGGTCGATAGTAACAAAGATGGCGTCATCTCCTATGCGGAGTGGAGGTATGTGCTGAAGCAGTCAGCTGAAGATGTCGGGGGACCCCAACTGATGACCGACTGGTATCCAGGGATTTTCTTCTGTTCCTGCCCGCCTATTCGTCTTCCAACCTGCGCTCTGTCCTGTCATACTACACGGCCACGGGAAATCTAAACCCGGAAGGAGATGTCCACATCAATGATCTGCAGGGTTTAGGTACAGACCACTCGTTTCTTAAACGTTATATCTTGGCCTTGCAGAACATCCTGTCCAACGTTTTCCCAGTGCACGTTTTGACAAACCTGATTCCCTCAGCTTACGCGGAAGCCCCCGGCGTAACCAAGCTTGGAGTCGCGTTTGAGGATGATTCTGTACCCTTAGATGGTGACCTGGAATTGGAGTGGTTACCCATACCCAGGACTGTCGCCATGTGGATGTCATTCCGCTATTATGAACGAAAGTTGACCGAAAGCACTCCTCAATTAGGTTACTTCCTTGCGGGTGGTATCGCAGGCGCCGTGTCAAGGACGGCCACTGCACCTCTGGACCGGCTCAAGGTCTACCTCATTGCTCAGACCGGCGTGAAACAATCAGCTGTCCGAGCAGCAAAGGATGGGGCACCATTGCGCGCAGCTGGGAAGGCTTCGAAAACCCTGGTCGAGGCTGTGAAAGATCTGTGGCGTGCGGGAGGGATTCGGAGTTTGTTTGCAGGTAAGCCTTGTGGGCACTCTGCCGGTATGGTGCAATTCTAACGAACGAAGGAAACGGGTTGAATGTCTTGAAGGTCATGCCCGAGTCTGCCATCAAATTCGGTGCTTATGAGGTGAGATACTGGATGTGACCCGAACGTGCTTTTCAAATCGACTGACCTGTGACAGTCTGCGAAACGTGCTTTTGCTCGCCTGGAGGGCCATGGCGACCCAAAACGACTTATGCCTGCGTCACAGTTCCTATCTGGGGGCTGTGGTGGTATGGTCGCTCAGTACGTTGAACCACTATACCCTTAACCATATAACTCGATCTGACTGCAGACAGGTGCTTTGTCTACCCGTTGGATACCCTGAAATTGTAAGTATACTCTTGCGTCATATCTTTCACGTGTTTCGCGAAACTTACGTTGCTGCTAGCCGTATGCAGTGCGACACTGTTGAAGGAGGTCTGAAGGGGAACCAACTCATCGCAGCCACGTTCAAAAAGGTGTGGAGCAGACACGGCCCTCTTGGCTTTTTCCGTGGCTTGCCCCTTGGTCTTGTCGGCATGTTTCCTTATGCGGCTCTCGATTTATCCACGTTCGAATACATGAAACGAGCCTTGATCGCGCGAAAAGCTCGCCTGCACAATTGCCACGAGGATGATGTTCCTCTGAGCAACTTCACCACCGGCGCGATTGGTGCTATGAGCGGAGGCTTCGGCGCTTCGGTCGTCTATCCCCTGAACGTTCTCCGGACGAGAATGCAAGCTCAAGGCACCATCTTGCACCCTGCCACCTATAACGGAATTGGGGACGTTGCGCGCAAAACCATCCAGACGGAAGGATTCCGTGGCTTTTACAAAGGACTTACGCCCAACCTTCTCAAGGTCGCGCCCGCGGTGTCCATCAGCTACGTTGTCTATGAAAACTCCAAGCGGATGCTCGGGTTGAAATAGACAGGCGACGAGGCAATGCCCAGGTGTCTGCGCGCTGTAGATTCTGCCATCTGACACCGAAGCTGGGAGGAGAATCCGTTGTTTTGCCATATTCTCGCATTTCTTTCTACTTACCTCCATTTTTTAGACATTTCGTTCGAGATACCCATAAAGCCAGTGACCCCCCACGGGGCACCCCGTTGTCTCTTTTGGACGGTAATGTGGATCTGACCTTCGGGTCACCCACCACTCTCCCATAGAGCATAACCCTCCTTTCTGATCGCAGCCCCTTTCCTGCCCAACACATTTTATCCCATGTCGCTCATTGCTGGTACCCCAAGATCTATATCCCACTTGGATGACCAGTCGACTAATTGGGAGGGTCGCATGACCGACATTTACTAGCATGGAAGGGCGTCGTCGTGCGGCAAAGCATAACCATGGAGTTTCATCTTGCTTCTTTTGCTCTTTGTATAATGGAGGTGTCGTCCGGGTGGACCATTTCATTTCCTTTTTGCTTCTTTTTTCCTAATGTATGTAGGGGTTATACCCCCCGAGCACTTACTGCGATGATAAATGGATATAGAGATACATATTGCACATTGAATGAATTGCATATTGCACTGCTTCAGCTGCCCAGTAAATTTTCGAATCCTCCAATTCAAGCCCGTCCCCCAACAACCCTAACCTCCTCCCCCTTGGGCAAAACATCCGGCACCGGCCCAACAGGGGTAATCCCAAACTGATTAATCTGCTTATGACTCTTAGTATAATGCTTCTTAATATGCTCAAAGTTCGTCGTCTCCCTGAACGCCTCGACATCCCAATACAACCCCCTCATCCAAGCATGAATAGCCGGATACCCGGACCGAATATCCCGAATATTACACTTAAAGTGCTGAACATAGACAGGATCAAAACGAATCATGGTAGTGAACAACCGGATATCGATCTCCGTGAGCTGCGAGCCGAAGTAGTACGGCCCGTCAGCGGCGGTCGAGGCCAGATGGGCTTCGATTTTGTCGAGCGAGGAGAAGAGCGTCGTGACGGCTTTCTCGTAGGCTTCTTGGGTGGTGGCGAAGCCGGATTTGTAGACGCCGTTGTTGACGTCGTTGTAGGTCCAGTCGTTGGTGGAGTCGATGGAGGAGCGGAGGGTGGGGGGGTAGAGGTCCAGGGTTTTGGAGGGGGAGGTGGACGGCAGGAGGTCGTCGAATTCGTAGTACAGCATGCGGATGATTTCGGAGCTCTGGGTGGGGGTGAGATTAGTTGGTTGAGGAGGAAGGGGAGAGGGGGGACGGGCTTACCTCGTTGCTTACGATGCGGTTGGTCTTCTTGTCAAAGAGGACCGGGACGGTGAAGCGGCCGGTGTAGTCGGGGTCATTGGAGAAGTAGATGTCGCGTAGGTGCGTGAAGTCGGAGTGGAGGGGGTCGGTGGTGACATGTTCATCGGGTTGTTGTTCTTCTGCAGTTGCGAAGCGCCAGCCTAGGGGTGATTGTGTGAGCTTCTCTCGTTTTGAGGTGTTCGATTTCTCGGTTTGATGGTAAGAGCCAACCTTTCTCGCCTAGGTGCCAGTGCACGGATGTGAAGGAGATGATGTCTTCGAGGCCTTTCAGCTTGCGGGTGATCAGGGTCCGGTGGGCTGTCAGAGAGCGCAGCGTTAGAATTCGTAAATGCAGCTCAGATGGCGTAGTAACGCACCCCAAGGACAGGCATATGAGACGTAGAGATGATAGCGGCCCTTCTCAGGAGGGAATTCGGCGCCGGGTTCTCTGGAGATCCAGTTGCGGAAGACCGATGCTTGGCGCTTGAATTCGCCTGACTTGTCATTGGGGTTGACCCAGTCCGTGATCTTGCCGGTGTTGCCGGTCTATGCGACAGCAGGCGTTAGCTCGAGGGGATGGCCGTGGAAACGCAAAGGGTGTATAACCTACCGCCATGGTGCGTTTTGGAGAGAGGAAGGGTTGTGCGGGGACGATGGAGCTTCGGTAGCTGGCTGGGCGGGGGAACGTCGCAATGGTTCGGAGCTGCCAGATACGTTGCGAGACCGGTTGGATTCTTCGGAGAGCGGGAAACATGAGGGACAATGGCAATGGCAAGGAGGGGCCCTGGCGCGTTCATATACGAAAGATCGAGGCGGCGATACGAGGCCAGACACGGCGGTGCGGGGAGCCAATGACGTGATGTATTGCTTACGGATGCGTTACCAACGGCTTGGTTATCGCCGCGCTGACCAACGCCTTGCTCAGCATCGCTCAGCATCGCTCAGCACCACCCGCGGGCCACAACCGCCGAGTAGGCGCTAGACATGAGAAGAACAGTACTACGAAAATAAGAAGGGGAAAATCAGCTATGAAATTGCTTCTGCGGCGTGAATTACATATCCAGATATAGATCATGGATCTCCATCATATCTCTCGTCTACTGCAGCTTCACCATCACGTACGGAATCTCAACATCCTCCTCCGTCTGATCCTCTGCGGTCACCTCAAAGATGATGTTCTTCTGGTGCTCGGGAACCGGTTTCTTGCTGATGTGCTCCACCAACTTGCTCATCCTATATCCCAGCAGATTAGTATCGCACTCGTTGCCAAGGGAGGGGGGTTGCAGTATACTTACTTCAGGGGAAGGCGGTCCTTGACCTTGGACGGCGGGTAGAAGCTGGCATACAGGAGGCTGACGCCAGAACTGACCATGCTGATCTCTAATCCCAGGTCCGAGAAGTGCTTGAGGAAGTCCTGGAGGGGAATATCATCCACCTCAAACCGGTCCCAGATTTGATCGATCGTCACCTCGCCCTGTTTGCCCATGTACTTGCCCTTGGGACTGGCAATGGGCTCACTGAAGCCAAGGAAGGGGAGTGCGAGGTTCACAAAGCCGTTCTTATACTGCTCAATGTCGTCCTTGCCGTCAATGATCTTGAACAGCTCCAGGGCGACCAACCCAGTGACCAACGCCGTGGTGGTGGCAATGGCAGGGATAATCTTGCCCGCAATGAACTTGGTCTTGTGGCGGTCGGCCTGAGGAATATCGTAGTTGTCGGCACGGAGGTTGCTGGCTGCCGTGATGAAGTCAATGTGGTGGTTCGTGTCGTCATCCTTCTCGAATTCAACGGGACTCAAGCGGAATCCTGCCAGTTCCTTGGGGGATGGAAGCGACTCCACAAGGCGCTGAATCGCTTGACTATCATCAAAGGAAGAGCCGCTAGCTTGAGCGTTGGGATCGGGATCGTTCTCGTTGGCTTGGATCTTAACGCCCGACTTCGGAGTAAACTCGGGAATGATCATATTGTCAACGACCTTCCGGTAATAGCCCTTGTCGGCGCCAGGGTTCTTGATGCCATAGTTGAACGCATGGAGGTTGGCACCGGCAACAATAAACGAAAGGTGAGTAGGGTTCGAGCTGTCGAACTTCAGAGGTGTAGGCGCACGCTTAGGTCCAGACCAGAAAGGCTGCCCAGAGGAGGTCTTGGAGTCCCGCGGGAAGTTGTAGAGGAGCTGCTGGATGGCATTGTTGTACTGGGCCTCGAACTGCTGACGAGCCCAAACAATACAGTCATCGAAGGTAAGGGGTTTGTCAGTCACAAGGAAGTCACGCAAATGCTCCAGGGTCTGCTTCTCATTGCCAGCCTGCTTAAGAGTCTGCTCGATGTAGTTGGGCTGGGAAAGGTACATGTTGACAGCCTCCGGGGGACCGACGAAGTACGTCTGGAAGAGATCTCTGGCCCAGGCGATCGTATGCTCAATGCGGTTGGGGAAACTCTTCAAGGTGCACATGGGGAAAGTCTTCTCGGGCGGATCCTGGGAGCTCGAGTAGGATTCAGTGATGCGGGGAAGGACAACCTGAGTGTTGCCCTTAGTACCAAGGGTTCCACTTTCCAGCAAGGGCTTCCTAAAGAAGACGCAACGACGATCAACGTAGGTTCTTGCATCGACGTTATCAAGAGCGTTCGTAACTCCGTCCAAGCCTTGCCAGAACTCCTCGTTGAAGATATGCTCGGTGTCAGCTCCGACCCGGTCCCGGAGCGTGACAATCTTGCCCTTCAATTCGGGGTTCATTGCCTCAACAGCAGCGGAGGCGCATTCACTCTTGAGCTTCCCAACATCCCTGCTGCGGAACAGAAACTGTCTGTTAAGGTTACTCTTCTCGATTTGATCCATATCCGTCACGATGATTTTTCCCTTGGGGCCAGTTCCCAGACCCATCATGGCCCAGTTCTTCAGGGTCTCGCACCCAATAGCGCCCGAACCAACGAGGAACTGTGTGATATTGGCGATCTTATCCTGGAACTCCTTGCCAAAAACTGCAATCTGGCCATCATAGCGGGTACCGAGAGGCTTGCAAGCTTCCTCAGATCGAGGGATGGAGGTGGGAAGGGACTCCAAGGAGTCAAAGTAGAGCCACTGATGCACAGGGTTAAACTTGCCGGAGACCGCCTTCAAAACTTCCTGCGCCGCAATACCACCGAACAAGGCGGCCAAGGGGTTCAGGTCACCGCGGGCTTGGTAGCTCAGTTCCTTGAGGAGTTTCTCGTCCAGCTCTACTTTGTCTTCTAGGGTCGAAGCTAGCTCGTTTGCAATCTTAAGCACTTCCTGGGCATCGCTATCATTGTGAGGGCGAGGGAGGTCGCCGCCATGGGTCTCTGCAAACTTGTGGAGTGCTTGAACACCAATGTGCAGCTGCGCTGGCCGATCGAACTTGGCAAAGTCCGACACCATAAATTCGGGCTTCGCGATTTGTTCGCTGAGAGGAGCGAAATCCATGAACTTGGGCATCTTGACTTGCGAGAAGATACCGCCACTCTCGTACGTTCCAAGACCAGAGACATCTCCGATGGAGAACGTATAGGGACCCTTCACGGTAATCTTGCGAGGAGCGCAGTCATTAAGACCCTCCATGCCTTTAACCTCAGAGAAAGTCACGAAATCACCGTCCTCCAGTCCGTGCCGGGTCTCATCCAGGGCCGAAACCAAGCCACTCTCGTCGATGGCTGCCACAATTCCACTGACAGCTTCTTCACCGGTGGCATCGCCGACAGTAAAGTTCTTTCCGAAGTCGTTGAAGAGGTACCCGAAAAGGCCGAAGGTATCCGTAATGGTGAGGTAGATACCATTTTTGTGGCAGAAGTCGGCGATTGCAAGCTGCTCCCTCAAAGAAGTCAACGTGAGGACAACAGCCTGATAGCGCTTCAACCCTTCAAGGTTTTCCACGAGGTTGCTGCCCTCATGAACCGTGACGGGGACGTAGGAGTTCAGCTCAGCCACTCTCGGGGCCGTCACCTCGGCACGCGGCTTGCCGACATCCTGGGGCTGGAGGAAGAACTGGGAGGAGAGATCGGAGATGGCGACCGGAGCAGGATCGTACAGTGTGAGGGACTTGACACCGGCAAGGGCGATGTTCTTGGCTGGAAGCCATCAATAAGCATGTCCCGCCTACGCGCAGGAGGTTGTACCCACCGATTTCGACACCCAGACCCTTCAATCCAACGACAAGCACGTTCGAGGAGCCCATACGCTTCATGGCTTCGTGTCCGAGGACATATCTAGGTAGATGATAACCAGTCAGCACAACGTTGTATGAGGAGCCAAAGATTTAAAGATGAACCACTTACAGTTGCCGACTGTACAGCGACTCGTCAATTTCCCCATGCTTGATCGCCTCCACAGTCTCCTGTGGGTTATCCACTTGCATCATGGTGTCCTAGAGTTGTTAGCCACCGAAGGCTTGCCATGTGATGCAGGATCGTCTGGAGATGAGGCATACGGTCATGATCTTCTTCTCCGGCGGAGCTTTCTGGTCGGCAGACGCTCTCCGCTTTCCCAGCTTCGCAGCCTCACGAACGGGAATTTCGGTGGGAATTGTGAAAGCTTGTGGATGAAAGTCCTGCCGCTGAGAGCAAGACTTTCTGGCAGTATATTCCTGATACAGACTCAGGAAGGAGGGGTAGGAGCGGTGAGGTACGCGGAGGCGGGCGGGGGGGTGGGTGAGGTGATGGAAGTCACAGATAGGCGATACTCTATAGCAAGAGCAGAACTTTTGAAGCAAGATAAGGGAACGGTAGAGATAGAGCAAAGCAACGATAGAGAAGGCGCGAGAGGCGGGGCAGAAGGAAGAAAGATCACTAATGGAGGATGTTGTTGCGAGCTCACTCGGCGGCGACGTAAGAGGGGACAAGCTGTCGAGCGCTGACTCAGCCAGATCCCCGGCGGTCATTGGCTGGAGCCCCGCGGACACTGATTCGGAATGAGCAGCGAAACAGCAAGATGGACACCGAATGAGATCAACAAGCGGCGGTGATGAGGCACCTTCCTCCAGGCGCTCGGACCCGGATGAGAAGTAGCCCTGGATAAAGGTAGCTTGGTTATTACAAACAATTAGATCAGCGAGTCGCTCAGATTTCCCGGTCCATTCCATGCTCTCGTCCCTTTCTCTCTCCGCTCCGCACTTCTCGTGACGCGCTTTGACAGACGCGGTGGCTCGGAGCTCTTGTGATAGGGTCTTGTTTCTGCAGCCACTTCTGTACATGTGTCGATACGAGCTTCTCGGATGTGGGATTTTATACTGGCAGCGTCATAAATCCAAAAATAATAAGGATCATTCCTTGAGGTTTGCTGCAAGGCCCGAGGTTCTTGGTAACTTATCTGACTTTACCGTTTCTCCAGGGAGATTCGCGCACAATGCTCCACGAGATCCTCCTCTCCCTCTCGGGCCAACCGTCGCCTCTTTTCAATTCCCAGTCTGAAGCGGATGTTATCTCTGAAGATGCCTTTCCCTTGGTTTCCCCTCCGGAGAAAGCCCTCCTCGCCTCTCTTGCCCGTCTGAGCCGTCTCCATACCGAGCTGCGAGCACATACCGCTCTAATCTCCTCATCACATCCCTCTGTTATCTGTCGCGCCGTTTCGACAGCCATCAGCTCACGCCACTTGGGAGATTTTCAAAGGAAAATACTGGAAGTGGAAAAGGCAATCCTAGTCGAGGACAGTGGCTACGTGGGTGGCTACGGAATTGTTCCGTTGTCGACGATTGTTGGCGAATTCTCTCCCTGGACACGGCGATTGGAATGGCTCTGGGAGACTGTGCGGTTAATATGGCCTATAGACTCCCGAAATCAAGATCAACTTTGCACTGGCGTGGCTTTGATCGATCACCTGCGAGCGGAGTCGCAAACAGGGTACGTTGATCTGAAAGAGATGGCCCTGCACTTGGTTGCAATCGCAGAGACTGCTTGGATGAGGCAATTGTCCACATGGCTACTGTATGGCAATCTACCCATACTGGGGGAGTCTGATTTTTTCATTCAACGCGACAAGGCGAGCGAGGGTGACCAGCCATTCACTGCCACTCAGTTTGTCGTGCATCCCAAGCTGCTACCGCAATTTGTAACGGCCCATACTGCCTCCTCTATCCTGTTCATCGGGAAAACCTTGAACCTCATTCGAGCAAAGCGCAGTGCGCCCGCTGCCAGTCCTTCGGCTAGTCTATCCACTACTCCAGTCACACTCCATGTGGAGCATATCGAACATCTTGCTTCGTTGAAATCGCCTATATCAGCGTCGAAACTGTCAAGTGCTGTAAATATCATTCGGTATTCTCTGTCGCAAAGCACCCTCTCCAAGCTTTTCCCACTGCAGAAGATCCTCGAAACTCTTTCAGTTCTCCATGACTTTCTGCTGCTCAGACGTGGTGAATTTGCGGCAGCGCTTGTATCTCATGCCGATTCCCGTATCCAAGATAGGTACCGAAAGCACGAGCATTCAGTAACGACACATAACCCCGCGGAAGGCCTAGGAGGACTCTCTATCAAGGAAGGAGACGTAGTGACTACCCTGTCACAGACGCTGTCGGAGCTTTACTCATTGCAAACTGAAGAAGACCCCGCAGACGATGAGCTCGATCTCGCCAAGGACCTTCTTCGGTTGTCGATCAAGCAGAATATGGACGACAAGACGACACAGTCCCCCGGCATGGCTGAAGTCGAGACCGGCACCGGAATCTCGGACGTCGCCTTTGATGACCTTCTTTTTCCCACCCCGACATGTCTTTCGGTCCAGGTCCGTCCACCTCTTGATTTGTTCCTTTCCGCCTCTGACATCTCGGTCTACTCGAAAATCCACTCCTATATCCTAGGCATCCGGCGTGCGCAAATGCATTTGGGAGACTTGTGGAAACATACTTTTCTTCGCAGAGTTCACCCTTCCCCCTGGGGCCCGCCTCGCAGCAGTACCCCTTACGGCCAAAGTCGACTCAAGCTTGGCAGGCAAAGAGACAGCGCCCGGACTCGGCAGATGAGACCAATCTGGGCAACGAGCAGTGCTTCTCTCTTTGTTCTTTCGGAGATAGGAAGCTATTTCCAGGGCGAAGTCCTCAATGGCTCATGGCAGCACTTCCGGGAGTGGATCGGAGGTGGTTCTCCAACAACGGGCTCTCGACCTGGGACCGCATCCTCCTCTACGGGCAAACGCCTCGAGAATCTTCAGCGCATTGATAACCCGACTGATTCAGGTTTTGGAGACGCCGGTCAGACCATACAACGGCACGATCCCGAAACCCTGACAGCTGCACACCGTCGATACCTATTCGCTCTTGTTGAGTCGCTCTTTCTCACGGATATACCATTTACCAAAGCCCTCCGTTCCTTTCTGACCAGTGTTGAACATTTCATTGCACTTGTAGTCCGACTGGAAAGCATACAGCGCAACATGGACCTGGAGACTGATGAGGGTGTCATAGATGCTTTAGTAGACTACGCAGGAGAAGAGAGGGAGATCTGGCAAGCCCTTGGTGCTGCGCGAGCTAGTGTCGAGGCGGGGATCAAGGACGCCGTGGCACGACTAAGAGACATCGATGATAGCCGGTCTGGCGAGGGACGCCAGATGCTTGATTTAGTGAAGGACTCACGCGAGAACGGGTCATTCTTTCCAGTCAATGGCTCAGCGACCGAGCCGGGTCTGTGCCACTACGTGCCTCGAAAGGCAGCTGGTGTCGACCATCTGCTCATGAAACTAGATTTTGGCAATGCTAATGGAGGTATGGTCGCTGCAGCAGGCGCTTTCGGCGGCATGGCATAACAGGCTCATTACTGGCATAATGCCTGCCATTGCTCGAGGACCCCATTCACCCGCTGTCAGGAGTTCTCGTGGTGACCCTGACTGGTTAATGAGCAGCAACCAAGCTATGACTGTCAGCTTATGATTAATGAAGAGCATGACTTTACGGTGTAGGATTCCGGTCTGATAGGGTTCTGTAATACTACCGCTTTGTGCCTTGTGCTCTATGGATGTGACTGAAGGCGAGAGACGGGACCCCTGTCCACTGCCCATCTCCTGCCCGTACGCGTCCCCTCTCTGGCATCTGTTTGTCACACGTTTGGTTTTGGGCCTGGGCTTCATCCTCCGTCAACCGATATTACCGCGTTGACGTGGTTCATACTACTGCAAAGATGCGATCGACCAATGAATCCCAAGATATGCGTCCTGATGAGCGATGCTTGCTATTCTTTGAGCAGAAGCCAAAAACACCAATCGCAGACCGACGTACTAGTTCATGCTTACGTGCATAGATAGTATCAAAGGCTCATGGCCAATGGTCTGAAGATGAAACGAAGGCCACGGTTCCGACGGTCGGCTTGATCTCGACCACCTGCAGGAGCACGACAGGTGGTGCTGTCCTGCTGTCTCGCTGTCGCGCTGAACATCGTGAAAAGTCTGCCGCTGCACATGATCGGTTCTCGGTCTGGTCACGGATTACCCGAAAAGGAAGGCACCCCTGGTCGCCGGGGAAAGCAGGATCCCCGAATCAAATTCCTGCTCTTTATTTGGTCAAACTTACTCCTCCGTACTCCGCATGTACGACCGGATCCCCGCGGCATTCTCTACCATTCGGATCTTGGCCCTTCCCCCTATCTTACACACTGCAAATGGTTTCTTCCTCACCAACCGTGAGACCGGGCCAATTGTCAACTGGTGTACTCCGTAAGGGGTGGGGGAGAAGGGAGGTTGGGTCTTGGCAGATCTGGAGGAATCTGGCACCCTGGAATGCTCCGATCGTGGACCCCCAGTACGGAGTATGCTGTCGGTCCACCATGGTTCAGTCTCGGGTTGTCATTATTCGGAAGCTTCGCGCGATAGTGGCAAAAGTACCACTCTTTCTGGGTCGTTTACGGGGATGCGGAGTATGACAATCCAGACCCGGCCGCAGGGAAAGGGGCTCCGTCAGGGCCTATCGGCGATTTTCATGGGCCACCGACATTTGCGAATATCGATGATAAACATCTCATGTGCCCAACTGGCTGGTGACAAAAAAAAAGCACCAAGCGTGGGGTAGCATAACCACCGGACTGAGGGGAAAATGTAGAAGGCTGGATGACCCCGTAAAACCGGGTCCCAGCAGCAAGGATCCTGGCAAGGTCTGCGGCTTGACACCCGGAACCAGAAGCCCTCGACTCCGGATCGCACTAATGGACTCTTATCTTCCTGCAGGAAGGTCGCGGAAGCCGTGGAGACAGTTCCATGCTGCGAGGGCAGATTACACCACCACTTGGATGCCGAGCCCGTTATTGGAGGGCTGCCATTCCCTGGAGCCGAGAGAGCTTCCCCCAGCTCTGCTCTCTCCCTCCGTGGCCACACTGTTGATTCTCTTGTTGAGAACGGCTCAAACAGCCGAGGAACCATTTTCCGTAGAAAAGTCCTTCTGATTCATCCCCATTGCCATCCAGGAGAATCCGCCAGGGTCGCGGATGGAGGTTATCCTGACCGCTAGTGCCGCGTTGCTCGTTCTAATCTGATCCAGCAGCTCGGCCTCCCCATACTCGGATATCCCGTTCTGGTGGGCCATTCCACTTTAATGAATGGTTGATCGTCATCCCTCCGATCAAGTGATCAGGGCTGCTTGCCGGGTTCAGCAACCAAGCAACGACAGATGTCACGATGCCTTCTCAGACATGGCCATTCCCCCCTATTGCTCTGCTATGCGTCCGATGCCTGCCCATCCCTCGCCCTGTGGCAAGCTTGCCCGGCCATGGCTTATGCATGGGCTCGCCTGGTACCACGGATGGTCTCGGGCGATGATGTGGTCTGGGTCTTGAAGTCATCGTGAAAGCAGCTCTAGAATCTGACGATGGACCCCATCAGGGCAATCACGCGGTCTTCGTGTTTTTCTGAACCCTACTATTTTCGGTTGTCTTGTGCGACGGCTGGAGATATGTGCTACTGGCTGGCTGTGGCTCGTTCCGTGGTGCTGAGTCTTGAGATCTATAAACCCCAGGTCCTCCTACAGACCTTGGATGCGATGATATTCTGTAGCCATCGCGACCCTGTGGTAGTCCAGACCCTTCGTTTCGCGCGCATTTGATTTTTTAACCGCTTTCGTCTCTTCTCTTAATTCTTAATTTACTTAATCCCACACATTATAGCCATGCGTTCTGTACTGTGCCGGTCGCTCTCGACCATGGCTCCAGCACGGTCCTGGGCACCCTCTGCGATGATCCAGCCCTTATCGCAGCGGCTGTACTCTACCACGACGACTTCACATGGCGCGCATCACATCCAAACCCGGATACCGTCATTGAAGCCCGAGCCCAAGAAGGGACATCGGTTCCGCGAGTTTGACCTTGACGAGCGTGTCTTTGCCGTCACTGGTGGCGGACGAGGACTCGGGTTGGCGATGGCTGAAGCCTTGATGGAGGCTGGTGCTAAAGGTACTGTCCTCAATGACTTGCGAAGCCTGACCATATTGCCAATCTGTTCTGTGCTAACCCAAGTTACCGTGTGCAGTGTACTGTCTGGATCGTCTCGAAAAGCCTCATCCCGACTTCATGGCCGCTCAAGAGCATGCTGAGAAGAACTACGGTGGCAGCCTGGAGTACTACCGTATCGATGTCCGGGATGAATCATCGGTCAACGAGCTCTTTGCGGAAATCGCCGGTAAGAACCAGCGACTGGACGGCATGATTGCGGCCGCCGGAATCAACCACCTGCAGAGCGCCCTGGAACACTCTCAGGTGGCTTTGAATGAAGTGATGCAAATCAACTACAATGGAGTGTTCAACTCCGCCACTGCTGCTGCGCGGCAGATGTTCAATTACCAGCAAAAGGGCTCGATCCTGCTCATTGCCAGTATGAGCGGCCTGATCGCCAACAAGGGCATGACCTCCCCTGTCTACAACTCTTCCAAGGCAGCTGTCATCCAGCTGTCCCGGTCTCTTGCGATGGAATGGGGTCGTCACGGCATCCGCGTGAACAGCCTGTGCCCCGGCCACATCATCACCCCGATGGTCGAAGAGGTGTTCCAGCAAAACCCTGCGTCTCGAGCCGTTTGGGAAGCCGAGAACATGCTTGGACGACTGGCCTACCCGGAGGAGTTCCGGGGAGCCGCTCTCTTCGCTCTTAGTGATGCGAGCAGCTTCATGACCGGCAGCACCATGCTGATTGACGGAGGTCACACTGCATGGTAATTCAATCACCAATGATCGAATTCCTTGCACAACGAGGAGTATCTAAAAGGAGGAGGAATACTATACATAGCCGTTGGAGGATGAGCATTGTGAAGGTCGCCTCTTATGATTCTTGAAAAGGGACATACGCGTGGCTTTTAATGTATCATACATACGAGTTTTTCTTCATGGCCTGCATTGATTCCAATTGTTATGAGGTTTGAGCGCGTCAGTGATTGTGGTTTGCCGGGTGGTCTTTTCTTCGGAGCTCTACTACGTTGATTCATCAATTGAGCAATCATTCACCTATTTTATCTTATCATCTACGTATCGAATACTATCCCCATCCCAAGTTCACTCGACAACCCGATTCATCTCACCAACATTACATCCAATCTCGTATCAAAATATCCAACCCATCTACAAAACCTACAAAATATACGTAAACCTTCTCTCCCCATCTTCAATACCACCCCTCCTCATCTCCCTCCCCATCAGCACCTCCCTCTCCTCCCCACCGCCCTCCTCCATCTCAATCTCCTCCTCCCCACTCATGACCACATCCCCCTTCCCTCGCGCATTCTCCCTCCCCAACAACACCCTCAACAGCACCGCCAACCCCGCAACCACCACCATAAACCCCGCGCAGACCGCCATCCCAGGCACATACCAGGGCCCTTGACTCCTGGGATACAGCCTCGTCCCAAGAAGTGGCCCACACTGCCCGATGACATTCAAGATGGCTACACTCGTGCCTTTCCCTTCTTTCGCGACGCGGTTGTCCATCGTCCAGGTGATGATGAGGGTGATGGCGGAGAAGAAGCCCGATGTGGCGGGGTAGACGCATAGGTAGCGGATGGAGACTTGGATGGGGGGTGGGAGGTGGGTGTGGAAGTGGCCGGTTAGGGCGATCAGGGCGTAGGCGGTTGCGGAGAGAAGGGCGTGGAAGATTAGGTAGGGACTGCGGGTGCGGGTGCGGTCCGAGAGGTGGGATGTGAGGAGGACGGTTAGGAAGGAGAGGAGGTAGGGGGGCGCGGAGAGGGCTTGTGAGGTGAGTGCGCTGTAGCCCATGCTGGTGGTTGGGTGGGTGGGTTAGTTTGGGGTGTTTGTGTGGGGGAGGGAGGGGTTACTCTTGGATGATGGTGGGGAGGAAGACGGGCATGGAGCTGAAGGCGACGTTGCAGCTGAAGAACATGAACTTGGGTGCGGTGGTGTTAGTTGGATGGTGGTGGATGAGGGGATGAGGGCGTTATGGGGGAGGGGGACTCACGGCGGTGATATAGGATTTGGGGTCTGATAGGGTCTTCTTGACTTCTTTCCAGTTGAAGGATTTGCGCTGCTGCTGGTGTTGCTGTGAGGGTTTATGGCTGGGGTTGGTCTCGTCCGTACGCAGCTGTGCGATGACTCGCTGCCGGGGGCTGAGGAATGAGGCAGTCCCCGGTGAATCGGGGATGAGCATCCAGGCGAAGACGGCGACGATGATGCTCGGGAAGCCTTCGATGAGAAAAAGGGCACGCCAGGGCGCGATTGGTCCGTTGCTGCTCAGTCGGACGATGACCCAGGCGAGACTGCTGGCAAATGATGAGGCCAAAGGAGCTGCGGAGATGAAGAGGCCGTTTCGGAAGGCCAGCTCTTCGCGTTTGTAGAATAGTGATAGGTAGAAAGGAACGCCGGGACCAAATGCTGCTTCAGTGATTCCGAGAACAGCTCGGAGAAAGACGAGGGCCCCGAAGGAGGTAGCTAGCGACTGTAACGATGCGACGAGGCCCCATCCGCAGACGCAGAGAGCGATGTAGATGTGCGGGGGCACTAATCTGTACATGAGGGTCATCCATTCGAAAAGGATGTACGTGATATAGAATGCCGTTAGGAGCCACTCATATTGGGATGATGAGAGATGTAGGTCGTCTGCTAGCCCGGCAATTTTGGCATTTCCAATGTCTGGGCCAGTGTTAGTTGATGTCTGCCTAGGAATATGGGAATGAAGATAGAGAAGACGTTGACAGTAACCCACGTACTTGAACGATCCAAAAAGGAAAGCAGATAGAGAAGAGCGAGGAATGGAACGAGTTTACGGTCAAACCGCTTGATGATCTGCTTCTCTTCCTCTTTCGTATACTTTGGCACGCTATTCCGGCCAGAGATGGGCTGCACATCTTCGTAGGAATCGTATCCTTCGTCGATCTCGTCATCGGAAAACGGCTCCCCGTCGGAGCTGAAGTCCGTCTGCACCTTCAAAGTCCCAGCAGCAGGACGATTGGGATTGGGAGATGCGCCTTGCTCGGATCCATCAGAAACCGGCGTATACTGGGCAGTGGAGGATGATCCACTGGAGACGGACGAGTTGGCCTCGGTCGGCCCCGGGCGCAAGGAGGCCATCTTGGTGGATCGGGGGATCGTGGGGGGTTAGACTGTCATGCCTCGTTGGAATTGGACCACTACAGAAGATATAGACTGTAGATATGTGCTTTGTCCTGACTCAATGGAATTCGGAGGGTTTAGGTACAGGAGATGGAGGGGGAAAACAACTTGAAGCAGTCGGGGGCACGTGGCGGCCACTAAGGACGGTGATTTGCGCCAAGCCATCCATAGATCGTCGACGTCGAGTACGTACATCATCCCACCGTGTTAAATCCTTAAACATCATCTGTCACTTTTCAACAATTAGGTGATGCTCCAGCATACATGTTCGTAGATGGTATAACACTCATGTCAAGGAATCAAAGGCCAGCCGTCTCAACAACCATCACTAGTCCCGGGGACGATAAGAATCTACTCCTCTTTTCCGCTTGAGCTTGGGAGGGTATCTGGGCTCACGAGGCTCGTCGAAACGACGTCCTCGACCACCCGACAGCTGAGCGGCCTTGTCCCTTGCCATTTTGAAGGAATACTCAATTTCCTGGATCAAAGGATGGTCCGACATGCCGTTACCCTGGAGATATAGAAGCGTATTCTCGGCCGTGTCTCGAAGGTATCGAACCAAGCTCAGGTCGTGCACTCCGTCGCGCTGTTTCTCGTCGCTGTACTCAGTCTTGGCCGCACGGTAGACCTGGATCAGACGATGGGCTTGTTCACGGATCCGGGTATCCTCGGGGCTTGAGCTAGGATGTGAATGGCCTATGCTCTCGTCATTCTGGTGGCGCTCTTTATTGTCGTTGACCTTGACTCTATGCTCGGACTTGTCCTGCGCGTCGTTGTCGATCACCGTGGGCTTACCAGGGGTGTAACCGGACCCTGTGACTGCAATGGTAGTGAGAAATGGGCACAACGTACAAAGTCTATCGATTGAAGTTACCTTTAGTCACAACATTTCGGAGCGTAACATGGCCATCGATCGACTTTCTAGCCTGAAAGACGGTAGAAATCGGGACTATTCCGAGAAACTCGGTCAAGTAGAGCTCCAGCGCGCCGGTATCTCTGGGGTCATCACCGTAGTTCGACAGAACCAACAGAGCGTGATCGTAGATGGTGATTTGCGCGTCTTCGGGATCCTGAGACCGGCATCGAACGAGCGAAACCTGGCGCCGAATAGCGTGGACGAGAGATGCCAGCCCTTCCGAGTCCCGAAGTATCTCACGAAGAACCGGACTGGGCTCAGTGATGCGGTCGTACTTTTGTACTAGCTCATCTACCTTTCGCTGTAAAGGATTGGTTAGGTGAGTTTTATGGCTCGACATGGTTGCTGTCCCAAAGTTTACTTTGGAGTCGGTCAACTGAGTCGGCCAGAGTGAAGAAGAAGAAGAAGAAGAAGAAGAAGAAGAAGAAGAAGAAGAAGAAGAAGAAGAAGAAGAAGAAGAAGAAGAAGAAGAAGAAGAAGAAGAAGAA